TGTTCAAGATGAGGTTTTTGTTGGACAACACTCCTCAGATTTGCACAGGACAACATTAGCAAAAGGTTTAGAGGTATCACTTTGTCCACAGGGGGCGCAAAAGCCACACAAACTTCAGTTCCTTACAGACGCTTTAAAGCTAATATTCACTCTTTAAATAAGTCATGATCATATTGTACCCGTATACTGTATATAGAATGGACGCCGTCTGCCTCCTCGCTGGGTGAAGCCACAGTGAGAACAGCACCCTCTGGTGACGGGCTGCAGTATAGGTCATAAATCCTGCCTCCTCCAGCAATCCCTGTGGAGATGTGGACAAACTTTGGAAATCAATTTCACACAATCTAAATTTTATAAAGTCCTCTTTTTTTCTGTGCAGCTCCGTTTTTAAAAGTTATTAGGGGGTTCATGTTTTCTATGATTGACACTTGATACAGCCTATGGGCGTACAAAAAATTGCGTAGCTCACCCCACCCGGGACTATGCTGTCTGAGCCGAGCGTCATCACAGTGACTCTCGGGGACTCTCCCAAAGTCACGCCGAATGCGAAAAACGCTACTGCGCAAGTGGTCGTTCCAGGAAGTGGATAAAATCCCAGAGTTACCAAGAGCAATTCGACCTCAAATTCGTACAATGACGGAATGCGGAACCAAGTTTTCCATAGTATATACAGTCCATGGAAGTACCACAAGAACAAAAGAGTCGTTGCACCTGTGATGATGTTTTTGAAAAATGTAGGTTACAGAAATTTTAATTAAAACCGTGATGTATCCCGACTTTGATTTAAAGTGATTATGTTGCTGAAATCTAAACTGTATGTAAAAACCAGCAGATTAAAAAAGCAAAGGAGGCCTTTTTTAAATTTTGTAACCCTCTAAAATAAACTCATTTAGTTTATTCATGATGTTTTGCCATAGTGTCTTCATCAGATAATCAGGTCCAAACATCAAATATCTATATAACGATTTATCTCTTTTGCAGTATTCAGTCTCTCTGTGCCTGTCTCTCTTTAGATAATGGATCTTTTTTTTCTTATATTGAAATAAATAAATAAATCCAACAGACTAATCAGCAAAAGCATAAGGCCTTCTTGGCTCCCCGGCCACCTTATTCTGGAAAAACCCACATATCAGACAGAGGAAAGCAGACTTAGCGCCTAAGAACACAAATCCTTAAATGTATTCCAAAAAATCTTTCACAGTCTTTTTACATAAATCAACTCCAAAGGGCATGAATTATTTAATGGTTGTAGTATCTGTGCCAAAAGAGACAGACCTTTTCAACATGTTTACCAGAGGAAAAGAGAAAAAATGTGTGGGGACTTTCTGTTCTTGAGCTCAGATGGAGGCAATATATCGGGTCATTGGAGAATACGACCTGGGACGCTTCTTTTTTCCGCTCACCTCCCATCACATGGGGTTAGAGCGAGGACACACCCAGCAGGAGACATTGTGAGTTAATGGGAAAGGAAGTCACTGTGAGTTCATTTGCATACATTTAACTCATGCGGGTTTAAAACTTTGAGGCGAGGGATGAATTAAACATTCACTAAAAGGGACTTGAAAGTTTAAATCTGACATAAAAAAGATGAAATACAAAGGCTGATTAGATTTCGAGTTAAACATTCATTCATGTTCTTTAAAATCTCTTGTATATCATAATGAGCGTGCTCTTTCAGAGCGCACTCAAAATGATACTTTTATTCTCTCTTTGCACTGACTGAGTTTTTAAACAAAGCAACACTTTTTAAAACTTCTTTAAACTCACTGGAAGACATTTGTTCGTCTTCCTCCTCACAAAAAAATAACCTTTTGCCTCGAGTCAGGACAATTAATCATGAGTCCTCACCTCTTCCCCTCTCATTTGGTCAAGTTCACGCCCCACATGCGTCAGTCATTATGATGAGCTGTCTCATTTGTCCACAGGGTGCTTGGAGTATCCCTGAATGTTGAGGGGAACAGAATCGAGAGCGAAAAGTAAAGCTTGCGATGCCCCCTGTTCTTGACCTCACTGTGTCTATTTTTTTGCTAAGTGGTCGGTTCACCCTGCTCACAGCTAAACAAAATTAATTATTTACTACACCAGAAAAGTGAGTTTCGACACAATATAGTGGATTCAGTCAGGATCATAAAAACTGTGTGGCAGTGTGAGCGAAGTCTATGAAAACAGTTTTCCTCATAAATCTGTTTGAGCATAAACTTGAAAGTCAATACTATTAAAAAAGTTCTCGTCAGGCAGTAAGGTGAAAGCTACCAGCTGTTGATGCCTGCCAATCACTACTTACATTTTCAAAATCCTCGACTTCAGCACAACAAAAAGGTCAAGGTGTGACTTTAATCACAGACATGTTAAGAGCGTCCATCCTCAAAACTTGACTGACTTTACTAACCATGAAACATTGCATTAAAGAGATCTTACTACCTACATTTTACCACTTAAAGTGTTCTCAGTGGTCTTTAAATTGTGATTATGAAGTTTATATCCTAAATCATGTTAACTGTGTCATTTTTAAGGTCTTTTTTTCTGCAGAGCTCCAGTAGTTCATTAGCAATTCACCTCTGAGTCGTGGGCGGAGACAGCGCTGCTCTACACACTCCTCTTCATGCTCCTCTTCACGCTAGCTTGTAGTCTAACATTGTCAGTGTAGTAGAAGTAGCAGGTAACATAGCAGCTACTCAGCTCTCAGACACTACTGTCTCAAACACGATTGTTCGGTGATCGTCCTCTCTACTTCCCTGAGTCTGGCCTGCATAGCGGGGCTCTGGGGGCGGAGCTTGGTTTTGTGATGTAGGAAATCTCACTGTGTCTGAGTCTGCCGTTGCCGTTTCGGTCTGCCAGAGATTCAGAGATTTGAATACAGGAATACTCAGAAATGCTATTTCACACTTAGTTTTCTCATGATATGTCCTCTAGCAACAGAAAAAGACCATATAAACATGAAGACAACAAGAAAAACATGCGTGGGTCTTTGACTTTAACATAAATTGTACTAAGATCAGTCGTTTATTATCATCATGCTCTGTCAGACAATGACTACAGACCAGTGGCCCTTACTTCACACATTATAAAAAACTCTGGAGTGGCTGATCCTACGCCGACTGAGGCTCGGAGTCAAAGACTAACTCAATTTCAATTGGAAATTTCCATTTGAGGTAAATTTTTTGTTGTTCCAAATTATGTTTTTTGTTAAATCAACTTTTCATTTGTCAAGTCTACACTTGGATCCTCTCCTGTTTGTTTTTGTGTAAAACTATGAGACGGGCAACTAATAGTATTGATGAGCTCTAAATGCACCAATAGTGACATGTGCTAATCTAAGCTATGGGATCAAAATTAAAGACAGTCGCACTTGAAGGGAAATAAAAACAACAGGATTATTTCAAAAGACTGAATCAATACCTGCCTGAAGGTTACTGTATATGTATTCATGTCTTATTTCATATGTAAGGTATTTGAGCATGAGAAACGCTGACACAAGACACGAGTCATTCATGTTTCACAGATTTCATGGCTCACATGTTCTTCTCAGATTATAAACACACCGTTTATGCAGTATGGTGCACTTTAAAATATATGCTTTAAACCAACATGCCTCAGAGAAACATAAATTTATTCATTGGATTACACGTGTGGTCTAAAGGGAATCAAACCCCTTCAGTGCTGCGTTCCCCCCACCGAACATCTTCCCGTACGCGGACCCTAACCCCCCTTTTAATTTCCCCAGCTTCCAACCCTTTGAACCAAGTGTTGGTTCATTCATTAATATTTATTTCCCTTTACATCACTTTGATGGTGGAGCCTTTTAAATGTTTAATTTAGTTCAGAGCCATTAAACAGTAATGCCCGAGTCTTTTAATTCTAATGTACACATTATGGCAAAGCCTGAACACAAGCTGCGTGAGGTTGACCTGCATACTCTGCACCATTGTGGCCTCGTTTTCCATTTTCTATTGATTTCTATGTTGTTGTCTTAGGTTTAGCTCCAAGGATTAAGGTAGTGTTAAAGGTGCTGTGGAAACACATTTGCCTTGCCTTGTTGTCTCAAAGCATTAAGTTGTTCTTTAGTCTATGCTTCAAAGCTCTTTTTCATTATACTTGAGCTGAGAATGAGCTAAGCTGAAAAGATCCCTTTTCTTTCATTTTTTTCCCCCGTCTTTTTATAAAACATGCAGTCATCCCTTCAGGCTTCTGAAGAGCCGACAAATCAAACAGTCCAAGAAACAGATCCCACCTGATCAGACGAAAATCCCTTTTTGAGTTCACTCATACATCCAACCTGTGATGAGGGGTTATGAGAAGACTGCAGAAAACTCAAGCAATTGTTCGGTATTACACTTCCATGATGGTGGTAGTCGATTTCTAAATGTGCCTGTCTTTCATACTAAGTGGTCCAAATGTTCAACGTGCATGTGGACTTGTGGCTCTTGCTTCAGCTACAGATTTTCATAAATTCTGCTCAGGGTAAGTACTTCTCATGACTGTAGGACTAACTAATCAGTTTAAGTAAAATTGGTACAGCACTAATGTCATTAAGCTAACTGCAGGGACCAGACACTGAAAACGATTGATTTGATCATTACTGCAACGACAAAGGACTAGCTGGTTGCCTGGGCTTAAAGAAATGAACAACTCTGACTTATTTTTCAGAGTTTAATTTAGCCACCAACCAACTAAGAATCTACTGCTGTGAACTGGGATGCTGAGTTGAGCTCATAGACTGAATAAACTATAAACAACATAGCACCGCCTTCCGTCTTTATATGAATTTGAAGCCGAATTGCTCTCGGTATTTACAGGATTTTCTCCACCACTTGAGCAGTAGCATTGTACGCATTCGGCGGGGGAGTCGCTGTAATAATGTTCTGCTCAAACAGCGTATCCCCCGAGTGAGCTACGCAATCTTCGTACGCCCATAGGCTGTATCAGGTGTCAATCATCGAAAACATGAACCCCTTAATAACTTTTAAAAATAGAGCTGTACAGAAAAAAGAGGACTTGAGCACAAACCAGTCTGACAGTAACTACATGTCAACATCACAACCAGGGGGGAGAAAAAATTATATTCTGTGTTATTTATTTCCAAAGTTTGTCAACGGCTCCATAGGGATTGCTGGACAAGGCGGGACTTATGACCTATACTGCAGCCTGTCACCAGAGGGTGCTGTTCTCACGGTGGCTTCAGGCAGATGGCGTCCATTCTATAAACAGTCTATGGTTGAGCTGTGTTGAATTGGGTTTAGCTTGATTTATTGCCTGAGTTGGACAAATACGCCTAGATAATGTCGTTTTGGATTGATTCTTCTTTTGCCATGAACACAGCTCAACTGGACTTAAACTGGCCTAAGCAGTCTGCACATGTTCCAAAATTCTCACCCCAGGCTTTAGTCTAAAAGGTTAATAACATAAGCAGGTTGGCAGGGAGCGGAGTGGTAAACAAATGAAGTTGTACAAAGCTGAAAAGGGGATGTCGCCCCCTACTGTAGTGGAGGTGGACGTGCATCTAGCAATGATTCGATTCTTGCAGTAGTCCAGTATCCGTCTTTGTAAACATTTTCTGATAAGCTTTGGTAATATTTTTATTCTCTTTGACACAGAGTGTGTATAACTTCTGACATGCTGACTGAAAACTCTGGGAGTTGTTTTCAGTGAAATTTGCAGTTTAAAGGCACAGTGGTGTCTTTATTTACAGTTTTCACACTGGCAGCCAGAACAGGAACAGAAAAGCAAGTGATATTTTATTTTAAAGTGTAACTTTTGCACCTCTGTAACATCAGTAATGCATTGACACTGATAGTCCAAGTTTTAATGCATCAACAGAATTGCAGATGACAGCAAAGGGGGAGCTGAACTCATATTAAACATTTATTCTGAGGACTAAATACAACCAAGATTCAAATCGGCGACCTCTAACAATCTGACACCACTTCATATGGCTTTGACATTGTTATCCTGTCACATCCAAAAATAATGTGCAAAAAAAAAAAGCCTTTTTATACCCAAATATGCCGAATCTCCTGCATATACAGTGACATTTACCTGCAACTGCAGACAACATGCTGCTACAAGGAGGCTTCTAGGTTTTCAAAAAGTAGTTCCTTTGGACCTACAGCTCTGGGTAGTCTAAGTGGAAACATACAAGTACAAGAGGGAGAATGTTAGGAGTGAAAGCTGTGATTCAGAGAGCATTTAAAATAACTCCTGCAAACCACCTCCATACCATGAAACATAACCAATACAGTTGATTATTTTTATCGCTTAACCTGTGGGAGTCAAAGTCAACTGAACAGCTCATGGACAATGTTGCCTGAGCTACTTCTACTCTGATCCATGGGTTTCCTGTGTGTGTATGTGTGTGTGTGATTGGTGTGTAAGTCCTTCAGGTAATACAATCTGTCTGCTGCTTCCCCTGTTCCCCAATTACCACAGGTAATTCTCCAGCCCGTGTGACCACATCCAACATATGTCCCATTACCTCCCTGTTAGCCCTGCTCACTCTCAGTCCCTGCAGTCTCACTTCTTCTCCACTGATGCGTCCACGTCTCTGTGTTCTTTTCAGTCCATCACTTGGCACACACATTAGCAGAGGGCCGCCATCTTTGAAGAATGTAAAACTGGGAAAATACAGCTAAGAGAAGGAGGAGGAGAGCAAAGAAGTGAGTGAAAAAAAGTACATATTTGTCCATGTAAATTCATCACTGCTTTATTGTCAGTCATTGCACAAGGTTTATTTTTTTTAAGTTGGCACAGAGAGACAAGAAGGGCTAACCTTTAGTAAGTAAATGTAGTATTGTAGTATATTGTAGTAAATGTAATATTTCCGGCGTAAAATTAATTTAGGGTCAAACACAACATGACACCAAGTTAGACACCCCCTTGAGAGATGAATGTTGCAGACCGCTTGCTTCTCTAGTTTTACCAACTTGAGTAATGATAGCGATGCACAGCGGTCTGAGGAGCCATAAACAAACCTCAACCAAAACGTCACTCTATAGCCACAAATAATGCTCAGAACAGCACCTAACTTCATCAACAGTACATATAGGGTCCCAGCCATAGTACTAGCCACCAAACATCTTTTTAACTTTGCCTAATTTCTTTAGCAAAGAGACTAAACATATCTCACCTACTCTCCTCCAGCAGCCACTTGTTTTTAGCAAGACCTCAGGCCAGTCCATGATCATAAATGTTCTTCCTTGAGCTGCGTCACCCCACAGCAGTCTGTAATGGACTGGCCTGAGGTTTCGCTACAAACAAGCGGCTGCTGGAGGAGAGTGGGTGAGTTGTGTTTCGTCTCTTTGCTAAAGAAATTAGGCGAAGCTAAAAAGATGTTTGGTGGCTAGTGCTATGGCCGGGACCCTATATGTGCTGTTGATGAGGTTAGGTGCTGTTCTGAACATTATAGAGTGGCGTTTTGGTTGAGGTTTACAGATGGAGACGTAGTCCGCTGTGTATCGCTATCCTGCGGTCGTTGCAAAAGTTGGTATAACTAGAGAAGCAAGCAGTCAGCAACAGGGGACGTTCTAACTCGGTGTTACTGTGTGTTTGACTGTGTGCTGGAGCATCCCTTCAAGAGTTGCTGTACGTCTTCAGTTGGTAAATGTAAATACTGAAATGCCAGGTTTCAGGTGTTTTTTTCTTCCTACCATTTTGCGGCACCACAAAGTCACTGAACTCCTTATATGGTCATATGCCCGACAGGATCAGTAATTTTTCCCACATTGTCCCAAAGAGATGGACAAACCGAGGAGAGAGGGCTTGTAGGGAGGCGGGAACTTGCCTGAAATCTCCTGTGCTCAAGAACTAAGAGATTCCACAGATACCTTGGAGGGATAGATAGTTTTTTTTTTTTTCTTTTGTAAATCACACAGAGCTACTTTGAAGGTTTTACAGAGTAGAAATATAAAACTTTAAAAGAACTCAACACAAGAGATTTTAGCCTGGAGAAAAACTCAAGATCATGAATACAAAACCAACAAATATTATCAATGATTGATCATAGAATGGATGTCTACAGGTTTTCATCCAAAGAAATCTAACAATAGACACCTAACTGGGCATTATCTTTTACATTTATTAAAATCATACACATTTTATTGTGTTTTTTCTTTAATCATATTTGTCCCTTTGTTCCCCTTCCCTTCTGTTTTTGTTACCTTTCTCTATTATATGAGACTATAGTAAATCTGACACCCTTGAAACAAAGTTGTGAAAAAATAATGAGGGCTTGTTTTCTATAAGGGATCAATACTGCTGGAATGAGTGGTTTACGCTGGAAAATGGCACCACTGGACCATGCATGTTTTATGACTTAGTTCAAAAGGCATCAGCTGGCCTCTGGGCTGGAAATCTGCTCGGTAATTGGATACTGGAGCTGATATGATGGGACAGTAATATGATAAGATAAATTCAGCGAATCAATTATCTCTTTAATGTGATAGAATTTTAATAAAACAACATGCGCATATGTGAGAGCCTTTTAATGAAATGCTAGAAGCAGGTAGGATAGCTTTTAATCATCCAGGCGTGTGATAATAATAGAAAACCTTCGATTGATCTTTATTCACACAGTCATGCAGTTAATCGCTGTTTGTTGTTCAATAGTGGATTAATGGAGCACGGCACATTTAATGGTTCAATTTTAAAGCAACTGGATGGCAGATAAATCAAAGACTTAAACAAATAATGAAGATAAACATATATTTTGGAATAATGGAATGAATTTTACGATTGAAGCCATTAAATGTTTACTATTTTATCCTCCGTTAAAGTTATTTGTAAACCACAAACTGCTTTCAGGTCTTTTTCTCACACTTTCACCTTCAATAAATGGCTACCAGTGTAACGTGCCAGAGTAAAAACAAAGGGGAAATGACCAAAAACGTAGACAAGAAAATTATTTATTTAAAATAACCGAATGAAAAGCAGCAAAAACTTACTTTAAAATGTCCAGTCAAAAGGCAAAATCCAACAAAAGACACTGGGGATACAAGCATACGCGCACACATCAATGCACAATGAACCAACAAAGACAAAGGAGAAAACAGGGACTATATACACACACTGGGAAACGAGCAACAGGTGAGGCAAACGAGACACAGGTGAAACTCATGGGCGATTAACGAAGGAGGGAAAACTAGGGAAGTAAAACCAGACTAGAAACACGAGGAATAAACTACTACAAAATAAAACAGGAAATAAACACTGAAAACTGATCGAAAGAATAAAACACAGAGAACAGGAGGGGAAACAGGGTAAAACACAAACTGAAAACTCACAAGACTGGACTACAGGGGAACAGGAACACTAGGGAACAGAAAAAACACACAAAATATACTCAATTAAAACCAGGAGAAAATAAAATAAACAGAACGAATCATGACAATCAGTCACGCAAATAGCCAGGCAGGATAATCAAAGTCAAGAAATATAATTGACAGGTCTTTAAAAGTGTGTGTCCTGCAGTCCTTTCCTGAGTTTTTCTAATATGGAATAATAAACATTTTCTAATCAGCAACAACCCTGAACGAATATTCCTGCTGCGACCACAGGGAGGCTATTAGAGCTCATTAAACACTGGGATTATGCCCTTTTATGTGCCCCAGTATCATTATTATATTGAATACTTTTCTAAAGAGCAAAAGCAAAATAAAACCTTTGAATACATCTGCACATAGAGTGGAATGAAACCAAAGTGATGTTGTGAATACATTAAATACTTTTTGTACATTACACTACAGTATGTTTGACAGGAAAATCCCTGGTTTTAGATGATTTTTTCCTCAGAAATTCATATTTATTCTAAATTTCAGCGCTAAAAACCCTAAACCCTCAAACACTGTTGTCAAAATCGTTGACATTGAGTTACACTCAAATTCCACTGCATGCGGATCGGCACTGATCACCACTGATGGTTTCCATTCAAGTTAATAAGTCAGATTCTACGAGCTTCTGGCCCCCTGCGATTCAGCTGGCTTTGTAGCCAATCATCAAAGTTCTGTTTTTTTCCAGACGCCGCAGCATACTGCATAAATTCAGCACAGATTAACCCATGCTGGAAAGGAAATCAGGCACAGACACAAAATAAAACACTACATGTTTCAGGTGGATCATATTTTATACCATGCAAATATGGGCGGGGGGACGAACAAGTCGCAGGTTTTCAGGCATCATTTCACCCCATTGACACCATGGATGAGGAGATGCTGATTCTGGAAGTCCAAAATCACGAATAATCTATGAATCGTCTCGTCCCTGAATATAAAGACAATCATAAAACAAGATATAGCGTGGCCTGATCATAAAAGTGTCTGACCTACTGGTCTGGACAGAGTAGATTTCCTCCTCTGGAAGGACACAATCTACTGCTGATACGGTTATGTGTCTGCCTTTATAGAGACAACTCCAAATCCCGTGATTGCATGTGAATTCGCGGGTTCTTGGGAGTCCTCACGATTCCTGCTGTCTGAAATTTGCCCCACAAACACACCTGGTAGGATTTGGCGGACGGCGAAAATCCCCGCTGTTCTGCATGTGGTTGAATTTGGGGGTTAATCTTTGTTTAGCTTTCTATTTGAAATTAAAAATAATGAAATGTAGCCTTAGCAACAAAGAGCAGGTAAGTGTGGTAAGATTTATCAATTAGTGAGGTCACACATTGAGCGAATTTTGAGCGGATCTAGCAAAGTCTGAACAAGCCGATCCCAGCAGCCTAACAGTCTTATTATATGATTACTTTAATATTTATATATGTATGAAAATGAAATGACAATAAAAATTAATTGAAATCAAATTAACATCGACCTCAGTTATTACATGACTACCCTAATTGGCCATGTGCTGAATCCATCCATAAACAAACCCCTGCACTGAAGAGGCGGCAGCATAGCCACACGAAAATAAATAAATGAAATTGGTCCATCAAATTTAATCAATGTTACATAATTGTGTTGCTGAAAATAAACCTATCTGCACTAACCTATCTGGAAATGTTGTTCAAAGCAAACGCAGATGGACCTTTTAATGTGCGATAACTGTTTTAGTGCACAGCTTACTCTCAACAGAGCCCCCTTTTTTATAGATGTTTTGGCATCATAATGATGTATTTTTCTAAATGTGTAAATCGCTGCCTCTCTATTATTATGAATTTGACCTTCTTGGGTGTCTTGGCTCCAGCTTAACAACAACCAAAACATGAGAAACAGAAAACGTTTAAACAAATACATTGACCCCAACAACACAAAGCTCCATCTAATCTAACTTCTAAATCAGCCTCCTATGTAAAGCAGTAAAAATCAGCAAGTACATACACATTATTGTTTTCAGAACCTCCTGATAAAGATTTAGATATTAAAACATGACGTAGTTTACCGTGCGCTGATTATACTGTGTCTGACAGAACAGTTTACATAATGATGAGAGGCAAATGACATGGATCACAGCAGCCTTTAAACTGACTTAAACATCATAATTAAGATGTCAAGATTTCCATTTTGCATGTGTGTGTGTGTGTGTGTGTGTGTGTGTGTGTTTGCATGTTTAGTCATGCTCAGATTGCTGGGGCAGGTGTTATCTCACAGCTGTTATAAACCTGTCCTGCTTTAAGAAATGGGATGAACACAATTATTTGAGCTGCTGGAGTAAATAAAGTTGAGAGGGCTCCTCTGTGTGTAGGTGTGTGTGTATGTGTGGGTGTGTGTGTGTGTGTAGGTGTGTGTATGTGTGTGTCCGTCACTTCATTAATGAGCACCTTGCAGGCAGGTTGCAGTGATGAGGACTGCTGCTCTCCTCTCCACAGAGATGAGAAATGATAGTGGCAGCACAAAGTCTAATTATAAAGTGGGTCTAACAAACCAGAGGTTCGTGCGTGTGCATGTGTGTGTGTGTGTGTGTGTGTGTGTGTGTGTGTGTGTGTGTGTGTGTGTGTGTGTGTGTGTGTGTGTGTGTGTGTGTGTGTGTGTGAGTGCCAAAAAGCCTCAAAGGAGAAAAGCTCTGATTCTCCTGAAATTTCTTCTCTCTTCTTTCATGCCTTTTTCTCCCTCAGTAAGGTGATGGTTGGTTGTCTTGTGCCTCCTCCTCTTCATCCTCCACCCACACAACGGCCACTGACTGTCTTCAATACAACTCCCCCAGTGACTCCTTTTTTTTTTCCGAAGAAGCATCAACATGACCATCGGGTTGTCATGGTTATTGAGCTGTTGCAACAATACTCAGAGAACTACTACTTCACACTTGGAGAATCTGTTAGATCTATTCTTTAAAATGAGTGTGGGAGGCCGTTTATGCATTGTGCTGTTGAGTTTTTCTTCAGACACCCACCGAGAGTGAAATCTATAGCACTTGAGAAATAGATTCTCATGTGCTCTGTGTTTAGTTTGCAAATGAGGCCCATGGATGTAATCGACTCTACACTTCTCTATAGGAGTTTAAAGTTGAATTTTTAGAGTCACAACATAACGGAGGAAGAAGAAAAAGCTATTTTTCCTGTAATTCCTCAAATATGTCTCTTTTTATAAGGTGCTTTATAATGTTGTTGTTGAAGTTGAATCAAACTGAAATTGCAAAATGCTTCCCAAGTAAATCCAGTCAGTTATAATGTTTTCCAGCCACAACCGTAGACTGTATACATGATGGACAACTTGGCTCCACCTTCCGTCATTATACAGATTTGAAGCCGAATTGCTCTCGGTATTTACAGGATTTTCTCCACCACTAGCGCAGAGAGCGTTGTATGTATTCGGTGGGAGAGTCGCTGTGATGACGCTCGGCTCAAACAGCGTATCCCTCAGGTGAGCTACACAATCTTCGTACGCCCATAGGCTGTATCAAGTGTCAATCATAGAAAACATGAACCCCCTAATAACTTTTAAAAATGGAGCTGTACAGAAAAAAGAGGACTTGAGCACAAACCAGTCTGACAGTAACTACATGTCAACATCGCAACCAGGGGGGAGAAAAATTTATATTCTGTGTAATTAATTTCTAAAGTTTGTCCACATCTCCACAGGGATTGCTGGAGGAGGTGGGATTTATGACCTATACTGCCCGTCACCAGAGGGTGCTGTTCTCAGGGTGGCTTCACCCAACAAGGAGGCAGAAGGTGTCCATTCTATATACAGTCTATGGCCACAACTAGCTTTTCCCTCTTTTGTGTGCATTACACATGTATGCAGAGTCAAGAATTTCTAAGTAGGGAAACAAACTGTTTCGATAGGCTACCTAATTCAGGCCATTCCCACCTCTACAAATGCAGGATTCAAAACTGGCGAAGTCTAAATTATTGACTAAATATTAATGGACTTTTATGCGCCTCCAAATGTGAGATGTGTAGATGAGTGCTGATGGGTGGAGCCGAAGCGTGTGCAGAAGTGACCTGGTTTTTGGAGCCCACAGAATACAGAACCCTATCAGCTGACCAAATCATAGGGCTGGGCGATAAACCGAAATTTACCGATACCGAAATTTATGACAATAACTGATATCATTTTGTCAATAAACTCAGTGTCAAAAGAATAGATAATTAAAAGTTGGTTTTGGATGTGTGTAGGTAGGCTTTGGTCTCATGTCCCTTCAAGATGCTGTCCTACGTCAGAGACGTGACTCCACCCCATCCAGTCCGTAACAAAGAGGGAAAGACAGGTGAGGAGATGGAGCACGGTTCAAAAGTTGTAGCGGCTGAAGTAGACGAAGTTAATGTGGGAGGGGGAGAGCAGCTTGTGGAGTAGTTGTCATCCATTTATCGTTACTGAAGTGAACTGCTCAATATATCGTGATATTGATTTAAGGCTATATCGTCCAGCCCTATAAAGTCATGCCTTATACTGATAAAACACTAAAGACCCCCTCAGATCAGTTTAGTCCATGTCAGATCAGATTCTTGTGTTGATCTGGAGCAGATACTCGTGGCTCTGGAAAGCTGAATGACCCATGTCGTGTTTGTCATGTTTTTTCTTTACTCTGATAATCTGGTGAAAAGAAATTCTGCAGGAGTTTGCATTTGTCAATAGAGCTGCCGATCAAAATCAAACTTCTCAGCATCAAAATAGAAAAACACTATGAAAATACACATGTATGTATTTGACATGTATATATATGGTGAGACATTTCACCTCAAACCACTGATGTGAGTCTCATTATAAGTCAAAGGATCGCTAAAGTCATGTGGGTCCAGCCTCTGGGGATCAAGAATGTCCGCACCAAATTGACAGCATAAGTTTTTGATCTATTTCTGTTAAGATGAAAGTGGTAGATGGACCAAAAGCCTGAAACAAATCAAATCAAGAAGTTAAATCTTGCGGTTCAAGCACTGTGAACAACTGCAGTCGACTCCTTATATAACAGGACCAGGCAATGCAAGCAGATGGGAGGCTGTTGCAGTGCAGCATGAAAATCAGCCACTGCAACTCCTCCTTCACCTTGGTAAAAGTAGATCAGAAGGTACTTTGATATTTCAGCGTGGATTCAATGCTGGTTTCATGGTGGGGAAGTACATTAAAGCTGTAGGGGCTGATGTCCAACATCAATGGGTCATTCTGGACGGAGGATTGCATTGTTTGGACTGGATTATAAAACTCTTAATATTTTCTATAATGAGTAGAAACTCCCCTCTAATTTGCAGAAGAATAGTGAAGCCCCCTTTTCCACAGGTATCTCTTCCATAATGATGTGTACAATGGTGGACAATTATCTGTGCTGTAATGATTATTGTATTGTGGGTGGTTTCCAGCAGTCTGACTCCATAAATCTTAATTTGTGTAATGCCTGAAGTAAGCCCGCATTCAATACTGATTAAACCTAAATTTAATTCTTCACCCAAGGTGCTATACAACAGAGAAGTGATTTAAATGGAAATTTGCTTATTCCTTTTTAAGCACTTGCATGAGAATGGAGATTAGAATTTAATTTCAAAGTTAAAGGGGGTCTTAGGAAAGGATTCAAGTGTGGCTCAGATGCACACACACAAAAAAAACTGGAGCAGGAACATTACACTGCTTCATTTCACACTTGTTTTTCTCACTGAGGACTGCATATGACTTGGATTTATTCAACTCAACAGTAACCTGAAAATAGAGTCAGATTTAATGAAATATTTACACCTCAGACACACTTGATGCACTTGATGCACTTGATGCACGCTCACTGGGCGTATTTGGACAAGGTTACAATCATCACTCTTAAAGGAAGCATCCAAGGTCTACACTCCAATTACAGAGCCAAATACCAAGAGAGACAGCAGACACACACTAAACTTAATATCAACACCGAAATGAAAAGCTTTCTGCAATATCATGATAGTTTTAATAAAAGCTTGAAAGGCAAAAAGCAGACACGAGAACCAATGACAGAAACTGCTCGCACATTGAGAGATATTGAGTTTCTGGAAATTCCTAGGCGACTGCTCCTCTGCTTCCAAGATGATTTCATTATATAATATTTTCCACTCTTTGTACACCAGAGAGCTGCTGTGCAGAGGATATTGAAGACAGAGCAGCTGCAGTGGAACCATAGTGCCCCCTACTGGTGAGAAAAGTCAGCCACAGCTCATCATGGTGTCTGCTTCCCAACATCTTGCCAAAAGATTGTGAGGACCTTTGAGCTTTCTGGAGGAAAATGCTTTTTTCTGTCAGAGATTCAAAAAGTGTCTCCTATTTTAAACTCTCTCCTCCTCGAATAATTCGTGTGACAGAGAAGGATCAGTCATGAGAGAGAAATGGGTAAAAAAGCCTCATGCAAGGTCATGCACGGTGCCCACAGAAGATGCTGTAAATATGAGGATGTGGAACTGTAGCCTGTATTTTAGTTTTGTTCAGTGATCTAATAATGAAGAAAGAAGACGTCACTATAACACTAACCTTTTTTAAAGACATTGTGTTTATTTGATGTCTAAAATTTGATGTCATTCATGCATCTAGTTAGGTGATAAACACTGACTTAGGCTATGTTCACACTGCAGGTTAATTCCAATTTTTTAACCATATGTTCAGGTTAATTTATTAATACCCGAAGGTAGATTTGTTCTGCAGTGGAATAAAGTGATGACGTCCATTTATACAAGTTACAGTACAATATAAAACGACCACAAAACAGAGCACATGATAAAAGCGCCCCAAGGCTCCCCAGTCAGGACATAAGAGAGGGAGAAAAACGTCAATAACCCAAATAAACAACCTCTGGATACAAACCCAGGTAAAAACAAGTTTAAAACCATCATAAATAAGTAAGTGAATAATATCTCCGCAGTATGTGCTAATTGTGCAAAATTATGTGCAAGATCTCTGCAACTTGTTCACTCCAATAATAGCAGCAGGGACAAAGCTGTTTCTGTAACGTTTAGTTCTGCATTTGGGGACTAGAAACCTCCGTCCAGAGGGGAGAAGCTGGAACTCGCTGTGTAGAGGGTGGGAGTCGTCATTTAGAATAGAGACGCTATCCGCTGTAACTCAAGAAGACCATTTAACTATTTGGTTCTGATTTTTTCATTTAAGTGTGAACAGTGCAATTCAGATTTTTTCAAATCCGACCCAGGCCTCTTTTGTTTGTGGATATAAATTGGATATCTATCTTATATGACCACAGTGTGGACGCTCAGGTCGCGTTCATCCGACCTACACGTCATCAATATGCGACAAATGTCACCATTGGACGCATTCCGTTTACATTAGATGCCGCATCTGTTGTTGTAATGCGAACGACCGCACAAAAAATCCGAATTGTGCATCATAACCTGCAGTGTGAACGTAGCCTTAGCTTTGTGTCAGGGTCCTGCTCACCCTGTTAGGACTCTTATTAACGTAGCCACCTGTTCACTTATTCATAACTTTAAAAAGATTAATCCACATTTAGAAAACTTAACCTATCAATGCACCTCATTTCTGATTTTATTCATCTAGGTGAAAAGCCGGCAGTTTTTGTATTTGATGTGTTGCAATCAAATTAAGCTGAATTCCCACCTGATGACTCGCCTTTTTTTACGCTTACATCCAAATTTATTCCAAGTCCCTCAGGCTTCAGATTTAATCAGATATGTGGATTGGTGATGTAACCTTCCTCTGTTTTATCTCCATCTATTATGCCACATCAGACACACTGACTGTACTAAGTAATAGGACAACCTGCCACTTTTCCATTAAACAGACCATGAAATTGATTGAGTCGGCCTCTGTGTTATTATCTGGATGTTTTCCACCTTCAGCGTACAACCTTTAATAAAGACATGAAGGCAGGGAGAAAGGAACACCATGTTTTTTGGATTATTTAAACTTACTCTGTGATGATGGTCAAGTTAACGCCTGCTCCCTCTGCTCCCTCTGCTCCCTTCCCAACACCCCTTTTTTTCTTCTTCTTCTCTTGCCCTAACGATGTGAAGTCTCCCCCTTTGGAAATTCTTCACTTTTCAAGGCAGCGCAAAGGCGGGGGTGAAACCTGACATCTGAAGCCCGTCACAGCAGGGAGGGCTCCAGAGAGGAGAACAAAGACAGATCTTTTTTTCCACAAATGAGCTGCCAATGGGCGTGAGGATCATCATTTCATCCAAAGATCACAGACACGATGGAAAAAATGAGGATCAAGACATGACTGAGGTTAAAAAGAGCTGTTGAGTAGTCAGCACCTGTTTCAACAGCAATCATCAAGACTTTGTCGCCCTCCAGTGGTCTAACAGTGCCATCCGTTAATGATCATGTCAGCGAGCAGAATAGAAACACTTGAATAGCTCCAGTGTAATTTATAGTGGCCAACTCCCAGCTTTTCTTTCTGTGTCTGCACTATGAGGGGTCACTCCTATTGTATAGAATTCACAGCTGATACCACCAGCCTGCAGACACTTCTTTTCAGGCTCTAAAGCACATGAACATTCAAAATATACCACTGACTAAAATAACTTGAAGGATTACAGACACCTGATGCTACACAACTAATTCACTAAACAGCAAAGTATGTAGCTGTTCCCCTGTTCCCATTAAATCATAGATAGATAGATAGATAGATAGATAGATAGATAGATAGATAGATAGATAGATAGATAGATAGATAGATAGATAGATAGATAGATAGATAGATAGATAGATAGGATTGCCTTAGTTGCTGTTTGCTGGCAAGTTGGTTTGTCGGCTGGTTGGCTTGGCTTGTTTGCTGACTGGTTGGCTGGCTGGCTAGGTGGTTGGTTTGTTAGTTGGTTGGATGGTTGTTTTTTTTAGTTGGTTGGTTTGTTGGCTTGCTGGTTAATTGGCTGGCTGGCTGGTTGGTTGCTTGTTTGGTTCTTTGATAAGTTGGTTGGTTGGCTTGCTGGTTGGTTGGTTGGTTGGTTGGTTGGTTGGTTGGTTGGTTGGTTGGTTGGTTGGTTGGTTGGTTGGTTGGTTGGTTGGATGGGTAGCTGGCTGGTTGGCTGGCTGGCTAGCTAGCTAGCCGGTTGGTTGGTTGGTTGGTTTGTTGGCTCGGTTGGTTGGCTGGCTAGCTAGTCGGTTGGTTGGTTGGCTGGCTAGGTGCTTTGTTGGTTTGTTTGTTGGATGGTTGGTTGGTTGCTTTGTTAGCTTGCTGGTTGGTTGGTTGGTTGGTTGGTTAGATAGCCATAGAGAGAGAATATGTCCAGGTAGTTCGGAGCAGTTTAGATGATTGAATTGTTGACCCACAAGAATGACAGGCAGGTGTTCAGAGTTGTACCTACTCTTACTTAAATATTTATTTATTCATTTTAGTGCAGTATATGATTTCTTTCTCATTGTTTTGATTTTATCTATTTGTGTGAGAAAAGTATAAAGAAATAGAATTGTGAAAAAGCTCTTTTGGATTAGAGGTGGGAGTCGGAGTCCTCACGAAGGTAATAAAATCCTCATGAGAACAGTCGAAGCCCAACAAATAGATCAAGTCTGACTGATTCCCCACACCAGTAGTTTTGGACATTGAAATAACAATTTGAAAATGGTTAGTCTAACAAGAAACAAGCCAATATACTGGAAAACACAGCAGCACGAATCAATCCTACTTGTTACATTGACAAAATAAAATAATGTTGTTTGGTATACAAGAATATTGATCTACAAATCAAGTCCGTCAAGTTCCTTCTTCTGTGTGAACAGGGATCTACAGTATGAGCGGTGTTGTCCATACATCCTGTTCACACAGCGTATCCCTGAAATTCTCAACATCCCTCTGTGGACCTAAGTTTAGCTAAGCCAATACAGAGGCGACAATGCTCAAGAGGGGCCTCAGAGGATAAAAAGCAAAGACAAAAACATGCAGTGATCAAAGTCAGAGATCAGATGTGACTCCAGGAACATAATGTGCTCAGTCGAGTGCACCAAACTGTCCTGACAGGACAAAGTTGGTTCAGGGTTGACATTGATTTTCGGAGCGGTCCGGAGCATTCTTTGGTGACGGGGGCTCAGAGAAGACATGGGGGAGCCTGCAGACTTTTCATTAAATTCTTGTTAAACGGCACATCAGTACAGACGGGACCATCACAGAAACATCAAACCAGACATGTAGTTTCCTTTTCTGATTCAGGATTTAAGACGTTGAGGGCAGCATACCCAGGAGGTTCTGTAAGTGTTTTCATCTCTACTACAAGCACTCTGGACTGACTCCCATGTGAATGTACTGCAGCACTGATCTATCACACGTGCAGGTTTCATCTCCATACTTGCATGTGTAGATTTCCTGGCTGTTTTGATCTTTATAGAACTAGATCATACGTGCTGAAAAAAACTTTTATGCAGGATTTTTTCTGCTCCCAGCGTCTGTTATATAAATGCATCGTAATCATAGCTCTAAATTACAATTCTCTGGTTCGATGGAGGTTTTACTATTTCATTTTATCTAAATATTTAGTTCGTTGATTATTCAGAACGTATAGTTAATCATTAGGATTGATTTTGCATTTTGCCAGAGGCCACAATGTCTATAAATGCATAATTGGTTGAAAAGAAGAAATGACAACCACCTCGGAAGATTAAACTCACTAAAGCAAACACGACTATTAGAGACAAGAGGGATTTTTCTATATAGTTGTTTTTGACTGTGGGATTTGCTGCAAAAAGAGCCTTTTTACATTTTCCACAGCAAATATTCTCATTAGGGGTTCAAAAGATATTGTAAATTCATTAGTTTTGCTTATTTTAATAAAAAAAACACTTATGCCATTTCATTGTTTTTGCCATTTTGCCATTTAAGAACTACCTTTAAATTCCTTTAAGAAACTTTTCCTTTAAGGTTCCCATAGCACTCCAGAACCCAACATTCTAGGAGCCTCATTTACTGTTGCCTTTGAAAAAAATTTTTGAAACATTTTACTTTACTTTAACTTAGATGTTTTACTTTTAATCTCCCTTTTACTTTTGACATATTTTACCATGCAACAAAGGTTTTTTTGTTTTCTTTTTAAAGATAAATTTGCCCTTTTAAGACGATTCACTGTCTGGTGATGTCACAATTTGAGTACATTTGTTTAGTTTAGTTTAGTTTAGTTTATTCATTTGCACATGACAAATAGAGAACAATTTTATAATAGATTTAAAACAGCATTGTGCAGGGGAGGTTAGAAGCCAAAAAAGCTTGTCAAAGTACCTCCCCCTGATATAGCTACAATTAATCTAGGCAGCAGTGCAAGTTATAAAAAAAAAATAATAATAATAAAAAATTAATAATAATACTAATATTATTATTATTATTACTATTACTATTATTATTATTATTATTATTATTATTATAAATAAAATAAACAAGCAGAAACAACAATACAATTTAACAGTAACAAGGAAATATAAATTATATGACAAAGTTAACAAATCCAGTCAAATTGAATGGATCCAAGATCAGTTACTCAAAACTATCACAGAAATGACCTTTTTAATTGCCTTTTAAATGATGATAATGAATATGCTGACTGTAGAGTGTTAGGTAGTTGGTTCCACAAAGATGGACCTCTGTGTTTTAGTGTGGATTGGTTCAGGGATGTCCGACACAAAGGAAGGTGAAAGTCCTTAGAATCTCATATTGATTTTAAAATAAAAAATAAAAAAAATAATAAATTAATAATAATTAAAAAAATAAGACTTTACAACGAACTGTAATAATAACTGGATTTACACCACCACTTTTTTCTGGCATTTAAATTGTGTATATTGTAGATAGTTTTATTTTTCTTCTCCCTTTTTCCTTTTTCTAATTTTTTTCTTAATTATTACATTTATTTAAGTTCTTAATATTAGGATCTTTATTTTTATAGCTGCATTTTTACACTCTTAGTCTGTGATGCTGGTGTGACAAAAAAATTTCGCCCATGGGGGATCAATAAAAGAATATTCTATTCTTCTATTCTATGATCTTGCTGAATTTTCGTGACTTTTTTGAGCGAGCCATTCAGACCACCCATTAATCCACACATTAAACCCACCCATTAATCCTTACAGTCTGAAACTTTTTCATGTACAGTACTGGCATCCGACACTTTAAATTAACATTTGTTTTCAAAATATGAAAAAAGCCCCTCTTAAAAGCTACTGTGAGAAGTTTTTGTCCCGTTATGAAACTGAATGATTTTTATATTGATGCTTCGTTTTGAGCGAAGAGAGCAAACAAGACGATTAGGCTGCCTGCAGTGTCTCTTACACTGACTGTTATTTCACAGTACTCTGGGCAAGGCCTGTCCAAAATAACACTGTACTTTTTAGTTTTTATTTTTCCTCTACACCCTTCCTATCATAGGGCCCTCTTTGTTTGGATTTTGAGTCCGGCTCTCATGGGAGTTACCCGTATTGGTGCCATGCTCTCAAAAAAAACAACCCAACAAAGATGCTTGTGTTGCTCCTGTTTACCTTCTTAGATGGGCTAAACACAAAAAAACAAATAAAAACACGAAAAAGATTCAGTCGTGGTCCATCCTGATTGGAGGAGGGTAGTGGAATGCAAACATGCGCAGGACTGAGCAAACACAGGAGTAGTAAGTGAGCATTTCAGCTTGGATGACACAGTTAAAGCTGCAGAGGAGCAATGAGGAGAGAAAATCACTGACAGGAGAGGTCAGGAGCTGAAGAGAAGGACGTGCAGAGATTTACGTGCAGATTTCAGCCTCAGAGTCAGTGAAAATGACCTTTTGGTACTCGCCAATCTCATCTGCAGCACTCGCAGCGAACAGAACAAACATGATGTTTAAGACAAACACGACCCAGCCTGATACAGTACACAACCACAGCGTCCCCACTGCTTGTTTCACTCTGTCAACATGCAGATACGCCTCTCGCTCTGACCGCCTCTCCTTATCAGCATTCCTGTCGTGACCTCGGCTCAGACGCTCTGGTCGACTTTGTTTTTTATCACTCAGCTGTGTGTGTATGAGGGGGGGACTGACAGTGGAGAGCAAACACTTTCATCTGCAGCTGACGTCTGTTAGATAACTCAGTTTGCTGTATGTGGACTGAGAAGGCCAAAGAAAGTTTAGATTCACTGACAGCGCAGAAAGGAGGTAGGAATCTGGGTTGCACATATCGGTTTTAACAAAAATCTCTGAAATAGATCAAATGCATTCTTCTACAGTATATGATCTTTATTTCAGTATTTAAACTGAGGAGAGCAGAAGTGCTTAGACGAAGTTTGCCGGCATACTGAAGTTTGCTTCTGATTCAGGGAAAGTTATGGAAATTTTAGTTTGCAGGGCAGAGCATTCCCGTTTCTGGTTTTTGCACACCCAACTGCTCTGTAAGTATATTAGTCATGAGTCATGATGGTGTTAAAATCCACTTTTAACTTTGCATAACCTTTATTTGTGATTTTACTGCTCCTTTAGCCACTATACCTAGACTTGCCAGATCTGGATTATATCATTCTAGAGGGACTACAAACTAAGACGGTTTGCTCCCTTAAGTAGTTTTTCCTCAGTACTTTGCTGGAACATAATGCAAGAACTGAAGATTTTACTCACCCACAACAACCACAAGTGTGTTTTTGCCATGTGTTCTACCTACAAAAAAAGAAAGAAAAGGTTAACTGAGTTCAAAATATATGCCAACTCTGATGATGATTGCAAAATTCTTCAGTGTTGCAATCCCAGACACGGGATTTGTAGTGTTATTTTGAGGATGGAGGAAGTCTGAGGCGAAGGCAGCACATTTTAGGCACTCCTTATTATCAGGCCATCAAATGTCTTTAACACTGTCCAATAAGCTTAATTTGATCCAATCACTGTTTAAAAGCAAAAAATGACAGTGTGTAGGCTAGATTGAACACCAAAGATAGCCTATGTCTGCCATACAATGGTTAAATTTGCGATAAAAGTGGCCATATATGTATATAAGGAATCAGGTTGCTTTCTGAAAATACACAATGAAGTTTGGTGGACAAAATAAGTTGAATAGGGGAGAGTGGGGTAAGATGAGCCATTTTCCATATTTCAGATCTCTACATCAAGGCAATCATAGTTTTGTCTCTAACTAGTGAATCTGCATTTATTTCAAAATGTTGCGCATCCGTGCAAACCAACAGCATAAGTGTAAACATAACTGTCTTGATAATATAGCATACCAATAAAAAGTGGTCTCCTGCGGTCAACTTACCCCGAGTATGGGGGAGTAATCACTTTTTAACTGGTACAATAATTCTGTTTATTATTATTGTATATAACTGCTAAAAAGCTGTTTTGTAAAAAGCCATTTTAACATGAGAATGTCTTTAAGTGATTCAGAACATTCACAGCTGTATTTTTGAAAAGAAAAAGTCAAACATTCCAACAATCTGAACTGAAACTCTGATCCTCTCATCAGACTCTTTTACTTTCTCAGTTACTCCAGAACTACTATGATTTTATACTAGGTTTTTGACCTCATGTTGTAGCTCATAGATACCACAATTGATGTAAAAAACAAATTTTAAATGATCTTTTTTGGTCTGAACACAAATCTAATAAAACTGATGACAGACTAAATTCACTTTTAAGAGTGAACAATGGAAATAAATGTCTAACCTCTTCCCTCATGTTCTTCTAACCTTCACAGACTCCATGAATTGATGCATATCTCCTAAATATTTGGTCACATGATCAATTTCTTTTACTATTTCCAAGTAACAGGGGGTGGCTCAACTTACCCCACTCTCTCCTATCTGCCATGCAAGAGTTCAATTTGTGATTGAAAAAAATTGACATATATATAAGGAACCAGGTTGCTTTCTGAAAAAACACAATGAAGTTTGGTGGACAAAATAAGTTGAATACATCTAAAGAGCAAAGGGAACTTTCCAAGCTGCTATTTTAGAGTTGATTTCAGATGAGAGAGATAAACAAGGTAAAGACCGCAGAGATTGTTCATGAAAAAGCAGATATTCATACAGGATGAAAGAGTACCTTGAAAGAAATAGTGAAGTTTTCAGCATCTGCCATCAAAATACAGACACATTCATCCTGCAGCACAGAGAGGAGGTGAGCTGCTCCTGCTGCCAGTGAAGGTGTTTGTTTGTCTCTCAGCAAGAATATTTCACACACACAGAACTAAACTTCCCCTTTTTCAGCCTCTTTGACAGACCCATCCTCTCTGGACTCAGAGCAGAAACCTTCCATTTCCAGTGAAAGCTCTTCCATTTTGTGTGATGGGTCCCGTATGTTTGACCCACTAACACATTTCTGCTCTTCAGACTCAGTGACGTAAGGAGGGGGCGGAGTCAGGGACGTTCAAAACACTGACTGTTTCTACTGCTGCCCTCAATCCTCCTCATCTTAGCTTCCTGTCTCTTGTTTTTGCGCTTGTTTTGCTCTCTCTGAAGACTTGTAGACGATCACCCGCGGATTTGTGCCTTTTGTTGCTCTGCTTTATCGTATATAATGCGGCTGCTTTCCGCATATGTCTTCCTAACACCGTTTCTGCTCGGAGGTTGCATTATCTCATAGCATCTTGCTGTTGTTTGTTTGACTGATTTTCACAACTATGGACCAGTGACCGAAAAGAAACCTGTGCAAATGCACCTGCCGTCGAGAGGATACCCCGCTTATAAACTCGAAGAGGTAAGACTGCATGAGGAAAGAAGAAAAAAACAAACAATAGAAAGAGGAAGAGAAAAATGTTGCAACAGCTGCAACTGTGCAAGAGGCTGCAGCAGCTGCAGCGCATTATCCCGCCTGGATCCTGTGTGGAGTATTGAGAGAGATTGAAAGAGAGTCACATAGAAATCAAGATGTTTGCATTAATTCGAAGTCTTTAAATCCTAACCTGCCTGCATGAAAAGTCTTGAAATGGCGATGTTGTTGTGCTAAGAGAAACCCATTTCCTGCAGTTGACGGCCGTTTCTTCCATTAACTGTCGTCTGTGTTTCTGTTCCTGGCGCCCAAACCAGACAGATCTGCAGCTTTGGCTCGTTTACATTTGTCTGAGAATTAAAATAATCTGATCAAGTTGCGATTTTGAGACAAAAAAGTCTAAGTCTGGTCTCCTTTTTTAGATCATTTTGTTGTCTTCCCTTTGTTTTTGTTTTACTGCCAAAAAGAGGACCTCACCTCATCGTAGTTCATCTTGCGTCCTAATCAAACTTCTGTTTTTGTTTATTTACAAAATGGGGACTATATCTTCTGTGTCAAACCTTGTGGGGACCTATTCTTTCGTTTGGAAGAAAAAGCAGAATTTGCATGATAATTGTTTAATTTAGGGATAAAGTCGCCAGGTGATTTTTACCCGAAATAATATACCCAAGAAAAAGTACTTTCATCAAAATAGGACAAAACATGACAAATTAGTTTTCTTTTATTTTTAACTGTGCAATGTCCAAAGGCAGGAAAAGAGGATAAAAATATATAAAAATTAGAGATGCACCGATCCAATATTTGATATCAGTATGGGTCCCGATACTGAAGAAAATCCTAGATTGGGTATCGTGACAATGGGCCTGATGCATAGGGGCTGATCTATTTAGTCTAACTCTAACTCTACAAGTAAACACGCTGAGCAGATGCCCACAGAGTTTTCAAAATGGAGCGAACGAAGGGGTGTGCTATCTTGGACGTTATCACAAAAGGTACTATACAAAAGGTAATTCAGTGCGGCTTTTCTGTGACAGAATTGGATCAGTATCGGCCAATACTAAACTGTAAATATCTATATCGGTATCAGTGGTGAAAAAAGTGTATCGGTGCATCGATCGATTGTTCTGTGTTGACTTTTGAGGGACTTAAAGTTAGTCTTCACGGGGGGGAGGGTGTATTCTTATTCCCATTGTTGTTTCTTATCTGCTCCCTGTCCCTCCCCCCGCTCCATCAGGTGTGTGTGCCCTGGGTGCAGCCTGGCCTGTGCCGTGGTGCCAATGAAGAACCCAGGAGCTGTGGAGAGCCGCCGGCTGGTCACTCTCTTGGAGGCCGCGCTGGTGAGGGAGGCTCGCCTCTGGAAGGCACCTGTCTTCAAGAATGGATGCATCCAGGTGAGATGGGAGTTAATTTATACCTGTATGTATGTAAAACTTTTCTTGTACAAAAAAAAAGGTAGAAAATCTCTCTGATTGCTTAACGAATGGATCCATCCTTTGGCTGCTCAGGGTGCTGACATCTCTTCATCCAAACACCAAGAAATGATCGTTTGGCTCGGGGAGATGAACAGGCTGTTTCAGTTTTGTCCTGAGACCTTCGCACTGGCGGTCTGTATCCTCAACCGACTGCTGTCAACTGTCAAGGTACGCTTTGTCTAATAACGGTAGAGACTATCCAAGTTTCTTTCTCGAAATCCACCTGGTGTTAGTTAAAGGGATATTCCGGCGTAATATTAATTTAGGGTCAAACACACCGCAACACTGAGTTAGACACCTCCTCGAGAGATGAATGTTTCCGACCGCTTGCTTCTCTAGTTATACCAACTTTAGTAATGACCGCACGATAGCAATACTCAGCGGTCCCAGGAGCCATAAACAAACCTCAACCAAAACGCCACAGTCTTGAATTTAGTCGAGGATATTAGCGATTTACTCAAGCATTGTGGTCGTCCTTTTCTTTTGTCTTGTAGGCCCAAACTAAATACCTGAAATGCATCACTTTTACTTCTTTGGTGCTGGCTGCCAAAATCAACGAGGAAGATGAGGTGAGTTTTATCCTAATTAGAGGACACAAAGTCAAAATTAGAAGAAAAACAAACAAATCAGTGCTATTTCAAAACAATATGTTTATTTGCTTTTCTTTGTTCGTGTCTGTTCAAACAGGTAATAGGCTCTGTTAAAGACCTGGTTGTGCAGAGCGGATGCAACTTTTCAACAGCGGAGATTCTTCGCATGGAAAGGATCATTCTAGACAAGCTGCACTGGGACTTGTACACTGCAACACCAGTCGACTTCATTCACATAGTAAGTCAGAGTTTAGCAGATAGCAAACATGACATTTCTTTTTTTTTTCATCTTTTTTTTAGTTTTTACTGGACCTAAACCAGTCTACAGAGCATCTCAAAGTAAACAGGTTTGACTTGGACATGCTCTGTGTATTCAGGTCCTGGTCTTGCCTAAAGACACAGCAGTACAAAAGCACACATAAAAACTATCATGCTTGCATCAAGTTTGCCTGAAGATAAACCTTTACAACCCTCTTGCCCCACAGTAAAGACTTGGTCCTGGTAGAAATTGTGCATCTATCAAATTTGACTCATTGTGCCCTTTCTGTTTTTATTTTCTCCATTTATTCCGGCTTACAGTGTGTCCTCTCTCCTTTAAAAATAATCCCTGTTGCAAAGCAGGAACAGTGAAATCTTGCCACTACTCCAAAAGTAAACAAAAAAAAACAACAAATCAAATTCTCCGATTAGGTTCAGTTGGGTTTTCAATTTATCTCATCATGCTAACCTGAAAATAACTGCTTTGGCACTGCTTTTAAATGCTAAATGATGGTCTGTTTCAATTGGTTTCAGTCATCAGTGCGGAATTGGCATGTATACCTTAATTTGGACAAACTTTCAACTAGAATTGTGCATATTTGGACAAAAAGAAATCAAAGTATATACCAGCAAGAGGTCTGAATGGTGCTTAGCAATCTCTCAGACAGTGTGAGACTGAATTTGCAAGCTGCCAACAAAATAACGGACATGTTGCATATCAAGCCAAGGCACTTCTGACTAACTCTAACCTGCTGCTCTTCACTTCACACTCGAACCCTCCAGAAACCTTAACAATTTGGGGTTGTTGGCGTATCTGTGTCATGCTGTGAATTGTTGCAGCTGTTTTTTTTTCTATTGTCGTTTGCTGTGTTTCTTAGTTTATGGCACAATATCGTTTCAAAGGTCGAACCTATTTGCAGTGGTTCATTGTTAAACCCTCACAAATCATTGCCTAAAGCCTTAACCACTCAGTGAACTGTCAACAAACACGCACACATACGAAACATCATCAACACATCAGGTCCCTCATGCTGTTGGGACAAGGGCTGTACTCATAAAGCTCTTGGCGATAAAGTATATCAACAAGGAAATAATTTGGATGGACATGACTGGGCCTCAAAAAGAACTGGTTAGCAGGTAGCTAGCTAGCATATAGCACTTAAAGCTCCTTGGAGGAATTTTGTAATGTTTATTAAATAGACGGAAATTCACGTTGATGCATTTTTATGATATCCAAAAGCAAACAAGAGGATCAGAAATTCGTATAAAGTTATTTTTAATGCCTGAAAATGTCGTGAGTAGGTAGGTGTTAGCCAAGCAGCTGGAGAAACAGCTCTATTTTTACCATTTCTGCATCAATTACTCATAGGTCAGTACGTTTACATGACACTCGAGAAAACCGAATTATTGCCTTACTTTGATTAAGACCGGAAAACTGAAGTGCATGTAAACACCTTAGTCTGACTATATTTAGAGTTTGAGAGCTCCAGTTGTAGTCGGAGAACTCTGATTAGGACACCCAGATAATGCGATTGGAATTCGATTTTCTCTACCATGTAACCAGCGTAGTCGGAGTATGACAGGACAGCGCATTTGTGCATGCGCCACGTCCCTGTAAAGCCGGAACAAAGACCCCAGAGAAGAGGAGTGGCGTGCACCTCATCTGCAGAAAAAGTAGCGCGTACATCATGTATGACAAAGACAACGCTGTACGATGCTCAATCTACTTGCTCAAATAATTCGATTTCCGTAGCTGCACGTATATGCAGACAAGGAGAGATTCAACAAAAAAGAGAATTATGAGCTTAGTCTGATTAAACTGTGCATGTAAAGACACTGAAAAATAGATTTGTATGTCAAATTTGCCCGTCCTCCTGCTATGTCATATTTGTCCACAGGGGGCGCCAACGTTGAGACAAACAGAAAGTAACTCACAGGAGCTTTAATGCATAATGTGAAAGCATTCAGGAGTGATAATGAAGGGATAGCTGTTCACCCGTTTTCCTGTAATGCCACAAAAAGTGCTTAAAAAATCTGAATCTGTGAGATAAGAGGCAAATCAGGACACGGGCCAGCAGGTGGAGCCTTTATGAATACAGCCCTTAGTTTTCTTAATAGACAGCTGACACATTATATTGATCCATACTATCACAAGGACTTCCACTGAGACCACTTATTCAGTATTTGGGGATACCAAAACCCTCATGTGCATCCTGTAAAATAAACTCATCAGTGTTTTTTTAATAGTGAAGTCTTGTCATGCATTCTGTGAGTCCCTAATCACATCACGGACTAAAAGGACAGCTTACATTCCCTCAACAAATTAATACCAGCGTTTGATTATATGTGATATTGAAAGTACTGAAGCCACAATCCATAAACTGTCACAAAATCAAAACTGCTTGGCACATTTTGGACTGATTCGAGTGTCGTCTGCAAAAATCAAAAGTGGCAGTTTCCCCCACTGCTATGGCAAGTGGATCTGACTGGCGTTAGTGCGTTTGTGTTTACAGTGTGTGAATTAGTTGTAGTCGTGTTACAAAAATCCAAGACTTTTAAAATAAAGAGTCATAGTGTGTTAATAAAAACTATAATAAAATAAAGACTTTTCTCTTTTTTATACTATTCAAATAAATACTTTCTAGCTATTCTTTTAAGTTATCTCACAATACATTCCCCCAGCCCTAAAAAAAATCCTCTGGATTTCCATTCCTGAAGAGTTTGTTCACCATTGTCTAGAAAACAGCAACCAATATAATCTGATTATAATGTCACAGACTCTACACCATGACACTATGATATTTTTAAATAGAACATATATTACATATATGCCTCGTCTTTACCTGACAGTAAGTCTCGACACGTGAGTAAAAACTCTTGAATGGTGGAATTGGTGATGTGATGCTCCAATCTTTGACCGTCACTGTCAGCACGGTTGAATCATAATTTTGAAACGTCCTTTTGTTTGTTTGCTACATTACCCTGGATTCCCAAATGGAGTCAAGGATGAAAATGAACGCGATGATGGGGGAGACTCGGGAAAGGTTTTAGCTATTTCAGGGATTTCTCTTTTTCAACACATTATCTACTTTCCTTCAAATAATGAATGGCTTATTTTTGCTACAGCGATGAAGACAAAAGAAAGCAAATTATATATAAAAAAAATACAAAAAGGAGTTTGGGTGTAACAAACATGACAAAAGTTACGATATTTAGAAGTACGAGCCATGGTTCCACACAGACAAGTGTCGGGCTAGCTTATGCTGCGTTCGAGTTACCTCGGAAGTCAGATGTCGGAGCTGAAAATGACGTCACACCCGAGTCACCAGCGTTTCAGTTACCAAGTCAGAAAAAAGCAAAATTGGAGGAGGAAACAACTACATCTACAAAAGTTATTTTAGCGCTTGCCTTGTCTGAATATAAGGCAAGTGCTAAAGTAACTTTCGTAGATGTAGCCATCTTGTTTCAGGCCTCCGATTTTGCTTTTTTCTGACTTGGTAACTCGAATGTGACGTTATTTTAAGCTCGGACTTCTGACTTCCGAGGTAACTCAAATGCGGCATTAGTAGCTAGCCTAGGCAAGTGACAGATTAGCTACTTAGCTAGTCTGTCACTTGTCTGTGTGACACAAGTTAAAAAAACAAAACAAACAAACTAAAAGTCCTTTTTTAACATCAATCCTCGCTCAGGTTGTGATTAACAGTAAACAGGAACACAGAAAAGCACTGCACGTACCATACAATACGAACAAGATTACTATAATTCCTCAGGCAAATGGTCGGGTCTTCATTGATAAAACCTGGTGGTGAGATCCTCCGCCTGCCGCTCAAAGTGTCCGTCTGCACAGAGCTGCGAGCGTGGAATTCAGCAGCGGCCTTTTAATGCAAACAAGAAAACCACGGCGGAGCAGAAACTCAGACTGTAAAGTGACTAAATCGTCACCTTGTGCATTATAATGGAGGTTAGGTTGAAAAGTTAGAAATGGACTGGCCTATGTGTTGTTGAAAAAAAAAAAGGTAGTCGAGGTAAACGGGTTAATGGAGGGATGGCTAATGAGGAAAAATGACATCATTATGCTAACATTTGGTCTTGTTCCTCTTCTTTCTCGTCTCATCTCTGGTCCAGTTCCACGCCCTTCTCATCTCCGGCCACCCTCACCTCGTACCATCCATCGGGTTCTGCTCCAGCATCAGTCGGGACTCGACAACAGACCCCGCTTTGCTCCCCGCCAGGCTGAGGCATCAGAAGGTGCCGCCCGGCTTCCAGGCAGCGCTGTGGACCAGGCAGGTGCAGCATTGTATGGCTTGCCACCAACTTTGGCAGTTCAAGGGCTCCACGTTGGCTTTGGCCATCATCACTTTGGAACTGGAGGCGCTAACACCTGACTGGTTCTCTGTCCTCACCGATCTGCTGAAGAAAGCACAAGTAAGAGAAATGCACAGGCTCTCAAATCAGAGCTAGCATGACAGATTTACGGTATCACCTACTGATTTGGCTTCTTGTCTCGAATTTGAGGACAATTTGGATTAAGGCACGGCATTGAAAGGCACACTTTGGCAAACAAATGCTGCTCCTCACTGCCGAAAAATGGCAACAAAGCCGCCGTTGAATCATTCGCTGGCTTCAGATCCAACATTGAGATCATGTGTTGTATGTTTTGATAATCTAGCCAAAAAGAAATGCAGCTTAAAAGGGAAATTACCTCAAATCTGGGCCACACTCAAAGGACTAGTCTCACACATTCAAAGGACTAAATGATTAAAAGGGTTTTGGATATTCTCCAAGAGGTGGACTCAGCTTGATATCTGTGAAATGATTTGAAATGATTGCAATGTAATTGTCACAAGTCGTCTACATTTAAGGTAAAAGTTCGCATTTTGTATACTGTTGAAGATTCACCCTTGCTGCCATTCCAATCTGTTTTACATCCTCTACTCCCAGAACTTCAAGTTAAGATCCAAAATACAGAGTAGGACTGGGCGATAAACCAAAAATATACTGATACAGAAATTTATGGCAATAACCAACGTCATTTTGCCCATATTGGTATATTTGGTGTCAAAATAATGAATAAAAGTTGTTTTTGGATGTGTGTAGGTAGGCTATGGTCTCATTTTCGTTAAAGACGTAACAAAGAGGGAAAGACAGGTGAGAAGATGGAGGACGGTTCAAAAGTTGGAGCGGCGGTTGAAGTGGACTAAGTTAATGTGGGAGGGGCTGAGCAGCTTGTAGAGTAGGTATCGTCCATTTATTGTTGTCGAGGTGAACTGCTCAATACATCATATTGAGCCAGCCCTAATACAGAGGTTGTTTAAAAGCTGAATTTCTCTCTGAGATCAGGTTTGTCTTTTTAGCATTTTGCAAATAAACTACCTTGACTCGATTGAGGCTCTAGGACAGCTTTGAAAATTGCGACTGTCATTATGTTACAATGCTGACTTTCATATCCTTGGGTTGAAGCTTAAGGCCCCATTTACATTAACCGTCGTTTGCACCCTTCGTTTAGACGCAAACAGAAAATTCGCCCCTGAAAACTATGCTTTTTAAAAACTCTGGCCAACGTGGAGATTTTGGAAAACTCTGAACATTTGCATGTAAACGGAGAAAAACAGGAATGGGTAGCCAACGGCAGATTGTTCGCAGGAAAGGAGGAAGGGACGTTGTCGTCGTTGTTGCTATGCGGGAATCTGATTGACCAATGTGGGCTTGGGCTTCTCGCTACACTGCCACCTACAGGTTCGGCATGCTCTTGATGGTAAAGATACACGTGTTAGTTTAAACGAAAACTTCCTGAAAACGATGTGGTGTGCACGCAGTTTTTTTTTTTTTTGTGTAAACGGAGAGGGTGAAATGTCCGTTTATGAAAATAGCCAGGCACGTGTAAACGTAGTCTGAAAATGTGTCATGTATGTCGCATTAATCCGATCTGATGTCTGATACTCTCCCAGGTCGACAGTAGCGAGTTCATCCACTGCAAAGAAATGGTGGACGAGTACCTACACAGCCTGGAGTTCTCACTGCCGGCCAATGCCGTCTACATCTTCGACAGCGCCCTAATCCAGGATGAGGGGCAAGCCCGGGGTCCGACGCAGCGCCATAAGCAGGATCCGGGGGACCTGGACGAGTATTACGACGGTTTTCGGTGCTTGTATAAAGAGGAGGTAAATCCAGCGGAGGGGGAAGACGGCGTCAAGGTTTCATTCGATTCCAAGCAGAAAGACGTCTCACCGTGCCCGCCGCTGCACCCCGCTGTCAACTAGTCCTACATTTATCAGCACAGCCCACCTTGTAAAGTGCAGTGCTTCCATTTCACAGTGAGACTGTTATGACGCAGGTTCCCAAATCACTGCCTTGATCAAAAAGCTGGTTTTAGATGTAGCTCTTGTTTTTTTTTTTTTTTTTTGCAAATAGATCAGCAAGAAAAACCCCGAGACGTCTTCATGTTTGGGAGAAAATACCTGGCTGATGAGTCTGATGCACAATTATTAATGGTCCATTTACTTTTATTAACGCCATGTTTGTTTAGATTTTTTTTAACCTACCTGTTCCTAAAACTGCTCCGTATATTTTTTATTTCTACGAGTTGCAGGTGAAAGGTGAGGCGGTTGTTTGTATTTTTTACGAGTGCGTTTGTAGCCTATAGACGGGCTTTTTTTGTACGTTTGAGAGTCGACCCTGATTTTGTCCGTTGAGAGGTTTCTTGGTGCGCAGGTTCCTCCACAGAGCCACATAGCACTTTGAGATTAAGACGAGCTTTTTTTATGCAAATAATTATATATTTTCACAACTTATTTTGTATTATTTTAATCTCTTCACTTACTTGTACTAAACTTTTATTTTGTGTGGTTTAATTACCAGTTATTTTAAAAAGCCAATAATACAAAAAAAAGCTTTAATTTTCTTTATCTTTTTAACATTCGAGGCTTTGTTAGTTATGCTTCACACGACTGTTGTTACATAACAAACAAGGGCACCTTTGGGAGATGAGTCCAACACTAGAGAATGACAAAAAAACTGTTATTTGACTTTTTTTGGGACTTCTTTTTTTATTTTAATATATTTCCAGTATGAAAGCACCAACAGCTAACCCTAAATACTGTAATATGACTGTTAGTCTTTATGAATTAGGACAAATGTAGCCTTTTATTTTGAAAATCCCACCTGCTAGAGTCAGTTTCATAATCATGTTGATGTAAATTGCCAAAATACTGATTCTGTCTGAGCAGTTGAAGCTTATATGCAGTAAACAGACTTTTATTCTCATCCTGTAACTTAAAGGCTGCTGAAGTTGACCATTTAGAAATCTTCAATGTGAACAGGTTTCTGCTTTTTTTTTTTGTACTGTAAAGTCTGCTTCATTTTATACCGTTAAGATGGATGTTACACCCATACCTGATACTGAGCTTTCTTCTTTGTATCCCTTTATTTACTGAGGCAGCTATATCTTATCTTCTGGTCAACCACAGAAATAAAGCTATGACTTTAAAAGTCCAAGTGTGTTTCTCTTTGCAGAGGGCGTTGTTTTAAACATATCAGAGGACGAATCTGCACAATCACTTAATCTGTGGGCAACTTTTAGCAGCCCTTTATTATTAAAAAACCACTGGGTGTAAATCAGCAAGGCCAGCAAGTTGATAAATAAATTGCAACTAAAGGTTTTCCTCTCAACCTTCAGATACAGTAACTAGAAAGTCTAGACAGCAACAAAAGGAATGGCAAAGGAGATATCTGAACAACATGACACTCATGCCGGGTCAAAGTGTCCCATTGGCGCTGGTGTCAGGGTAACCCTGTGTCATCTCTGTGCTATACTGACCCATATTTGGTCAAATTTTACCAATTATGTTTATCAGACTGTGGTGAAGTTTGAGCACAGTATTCAATCCTTTAAATTAGATGGTTTCCACCATAAAGAAGCAGGTTTTAGTAGTATGAGCTTGGTAACTGAGGGTTCAAACCGTGAACTTTATGTTTAGGATGTAACTATGTCAGTCAGATGACAGTGGGGGAAAGTGAATGAGAGGAAGGTGGAATCTGATGCTGTGTTCGAGTTAACTCGGAAGTCAGATGTCGGAGCTGAAAATGCCGTCACACCCGAGTTCCCAGCGTTTCAGTTACCGAGTTGGAAAAAGTATAATCGGAGGCCTGAAACAAAATGGCTACATCTACAGAAGTTATTTTAGCGCTTGCCTTATATTCGGGCAGGGTAAGCGCTAAAATAACTTTCAGAGATGGAGATGAAACGCTGGTAACTTGGGTGCGACGTCATTTTCAGCTCGAACGTTTGACTTCCAAGGTAACTTGAACACAGCATGAGACTAATCTTTTAGGATTATGTTGCATTATGGGTAATGTACGCACCAGCAGGTTATGACAAAAAAAGTTCATACAATATCCTTGATTCTGAAACATGTTTAAAAACATGTCTTGAATTTATGATCCAGACACTGCCGAAAATTTAAATTGGAGTAATTTTAAGAGACAAAATCTAGAGGAAATTTTTTAGAGTGTATGAGTGCATATCAACGCTTTGAATTTGTCACTGTATTATTTTGAAAACTCAGCCTTTTCCTCAAAACTACCACACTAAGAAAAAAAACAACAACACTAATTAGTAGTGTTATGGGTGAACATTATCCAGATTGGGCCCCATGAATTAAAAGTTTGGACTTACCTTAATGTGAGATTTGGCCCAAATATAACTAGTCTAGCTGTGAACTAATTAGTTAAGTTTTTGATGTTAACAATATTGTAATTTGTCATATATCAACAATGGAAGTATAGTTTTTGGTGGTGCACTGAAGGACGGTGGGGGGAACAAGGAGCTTTGAACAGATTGTACTGCTGGACCAGATCCAGTGAGCCCTGCAGGTGGTGGACAGAATAATAATAGTGCTGCTGGAACCTTCCCAGTACACAGAAAAACCACGATGAGCAAATCTCAACACGACGCAGACTTCCTCTGTTTCAATTAGTCAAAAATGAGAATGGCATGAGGAAGACAAATCAATTCAAGAACTCAAAAAAACTAAAAAAAAAAACCCTTATTGATTTTTAAAATCAAACAGAAATAACAAAGAGTCAAGGAAATTGTGACGGGTATTTACCGTCATTTTCTGGCGGTAAGCCTTCCTCCCAATTTCAAGTGCCGTGTTTCCCCTACATTACCTGCGCCGCTAGTATCAATGCGCCACTAATGATTTTTACGTGCACTGTGTGAGCGCAACAACACACACAATGTTATTTTCGACTTGTTTTGAGTCATCAACGTGCGCATCAAATCCTACCGGACCCTCTGCCGTATTAATGTGAAAGGTAACGTTCAAGGTCTATATAGCGAGTAGCGCAGGTAACGTAACGTGAACGTTAACGTAACAGCGTAGCTCCTTGGGCGGCAAGAGAGTGGGGCTAACAGCGAAAATGTCAAATTGTCAAAATGTCTTCTGTCTGCTAAGAAAAATATTCTAGGGGAAACACTGAAGTGAATAAGCAGAAGATAAAATAACCTACTCTTTGGCAAAATACAAATCTAATAAAAGAATTAACAATTTTATAATTTTATATGTCCATATATCCAGAGGGATGCTGCCATTTATGTCATATCTCTGATAAATACACTGCTATCATATCCATACATTCTTAGAAGATGTAAAATATAAATATTAGTTTTTTATACTGACATATCAACAGAAATAATTTGTCCAATTTCAAATAGGTTTCATATTAAGTTAGTTCATGCATGTACACATGTACATATATTTATATATACACTTCCATCTATTGTATTTTTTGCACCAGGGAGCTGAAGAGAAACATTTTTTCTTTATTCCTTAAGATATTCTACGTACACACTAAAAAAGCTGGACTTGACACGTGTTTAAGGGATATTCTGGCGTAATATTAAGTTAGGGTCAAACACACTGTAACATCGAGTTAGACACCCCCTCAAGATATTAATGTTGCCGACCGCTTGCTGTATTTCTTCTAGCAATACGCAGCGGCCTACGTCTCCACTGTCTGATTGCATTTCCATGAAGTAAAAATCATAAATGCTCTTCCTTGAACTGGGAAACTCCGCAGCACTCAGTGATTACTCCCCCAAAAACAAGCGGCTGCTGGAGGAGAGTGGGTGAGTTGTGTTTGGTCTCTTTGCTAAAGAAATCAGGCAAAGTTAAAAAGATGTTTGGTGGCTAGTACTCTGGCTAGGACCCTATATGTACTGTTGATGAAGTTAGGTGCTGTTCTGAGCATTATTTGTGACTATAGAGTGGCGTTTTGGTTGAGGTTTGTACGTGGAGTGGTAGACCGCTGTGTATTGCTATTGCGTGGTCGTTACTAAAGTTGGTATAACTACAGAAGCAAGCAGTCGGCAACATTCATCTCTCAGGGAGGTTTCTAACTCTATGTTACGTGTGTTTGACCATAACTTAATTTTATGCTGGAATATCCCTTTAAACCATGTCAGAATATAAAAACTTCACAATAATCCTGGTTGTGTTTTTAAATGTATAAAATGTTGTACAATCACCCTGTCACCATGCAAAAATAGTCCAAGTAGAGATGTAGTGAGAAAGCGGTCACTGGTTTTTTGAAATAAGGTGAAGCCTGACTGCAACAGCACTTTAACGCATACTCACGAATCCTGCACAGACATTCAAGGTCAATGAAACTTCACATATTTTCCTCCAATCTCAGCGGCACACACACACACACAGAGCTGAGGTCAGCAGCAAAGTGGTGAAAGCAGGCCGCGGACTGAGCAAACATCTCTCAGCTCTTCTGCTCTGAACAGGAAACGGTGAATCTCAAGCTGACAGCTGTTTAGGTTACATTCAAGGCCGGCTGCATCTGCGAGTTGTCTCTTTTTGTGTGTGTGTATGAGACAAAATAAGAGTCTTCACCTGCCTGTGTTTTACCTTCATCTCCTTCCAGGATAAATATCCTCATACAGATCATTGCAGAGAGAGACACATCAAAGTCAGTATGGGGGTGTTGCATTTATTTCCACACTGACTGACAGTAAATACAGCTGCTGCTGCTCTTCTTCATCTCTGCGAGCCGAGGCTTGAACACTCTCCATGTCTGGTGTGAGTGTGTACTGGCTTCATGTTTGTGTATGTGCCCACTCTCACATCACAATAAATCAAAGTTTACAACATCACCGCCATATGTGCTTCTTTACAATAACATCATGTTGAAAATAACAAGTACATTGTGCATATTATGCTGAGTAAGCTCTTGAAAATATTCACATACATTTTACTGAGTTAATACAAAACAGCACCAAAATATTGCATAAGTTTTTATTAAGACTTAAGAGTAAGTTTGAGGTTGTCAGTACCAATGTATATGCACTTGTTTACACACTATACAGGTACTCAGTTTTATTGCTCGACACTACGCTATTTATTTGCATCTTTTGGGCTCATTTGATAAGGAGTTACTAAATCTAACGACAAAAAGGTTAACAGACAGGCGACTTTTAAACTGCTCAGCGTTGTAAAATGGGTAATCGAACAAACTCTTGATGTCTAAACGTACGTCGAACTGTTTAAAAGACTCGCCTGCTGTGTCACCCGGAGCTCTTTAGGGTTTAACCTCTCGTTTTTGTGTAAATAACTGATGGAAAAACACAAAAAGAACAACAAAAAAATCTGTCAATCACAACATAATAAAGCAAAAATTGCATATATATAAAAAAAGTGTCCAAAAAAAACAGAACATAGAATAAAAGATCCTGAATAAATGAGATGGCCACTGTTGGCAAATGATTTATCTTTAGTTTCCTTTTTATGTCGTCTCACCATCTGTCACCCTTCACTCCCCCTGTGGCTTCATCATCATCATCATCATCCTCAGTGTCTTTGGTCCATGTGCACAATGTCAAGATGGAATGTCAAAAACAACGAAAACAAAACAAAGAAAACAAAAAAAAACAGGTGTTGTCGGGGGGTCTATGGTGATGGAGGATAAATCCATGGTCGTGTGTGGGAGGGTTTACAGCGCCCATAAATTAACTGAAAAACAACGACAAACAATAAACAAAATGAATTTAAAAAAAACACCGCATGGAAATAATGAATGAGAAAAGAGAAAGTTTAGCAGACAATCAAAGATGCGTTTGTGTTAGTGAGTTAAAAAACGACAGTCAACATGGTGGATTTAAACGTCAGCCGGGGGAAATCTGTGGTTAGTAAGATTATGAGTCGATTTAGTGAGTTAGTGGATGAAAAGCAAACTGAGGACGTGTGGAAATGTCTTCACAAAAACCACAAAATGGAAGTTCAGTTTCCTCAGGCGGCACTGAGCGCAGACTCTGGTAGCAGCCACAAGGGGGAGCCGCTTGACTTTCAATGAATCCACAGACTTTAAACCTCTAGTATGAGGACACCAGTTTATGGTTCAGATCAGTTCATGTTACTGCAGGGCGTCGCTCACAGCTTTATTCTGAGTTTTAGATTATTTCGAACCCCTCTGGTTATCCTCACTCATGATTAAACTTGCGTTAAGACGGATTTAAGTCGTGCATATGCTGTTTGAACCTGAAAAAGTTCCTGTTCTCGTACACCATCTTCTTTTCATATTGTTTAAAATAACTCAGTGTGTTTATTTGGGATTAAGAGGAAATACGGGGTTAAACTAGGAGAAACGGATCAAGATTAAAGAGTATGGACGGGTCTTATCAGAAGAAGTGGTTTAAACTTCATTTTTAAATCTATTGCTGCTCATTAAACGCAGAGTTTGGACAAAACAAATCAAACAGATACAGAAATATAAAGGAAGAGCCTGACACTTAAATAGCCCATCTTGTTGTTATGAGTGGTTTATGAGTGGATGAACCCCGAACGAATGAGCTCTAGTCTCTATCGCCTATTTATAAGCTGTGTTCAGTCGTACTGGCGAATGCTTCTCTGTGAATATCCTGAATAATTAGAGCGCGGCAAAAAGGAAAGAGTGAAAGGACAGGAAATATTAAGCTCGGTCAGGACAAAAAAAGGGTGTAAGTTTCCTCAGCGCGTGCCAGGCGCTGATAATAGTGGATTTTGTGGACTAACACATTCAGTTTCAGGCTCACTGATTTGACACTTTGCCACAGAAGTGAGCGGAGTCTCCGGTTAAAAGATTTTTAAGAGTCCAAAGAAAAAGGGATGACACGCAGGAAAGGCTGGTTTACCAAAAAAGGAAATCATTCAGGATTTAAGGCACCCAATGAAAAGACAACAGGATTAGTTAAGAAAGCAGCAGGCTCTGGAAATGTAGTTTTTTCAGCTATAGAAAGAAGAAGTGGAGTGAGTGATAGAGAGGAGAATGAGCGGCTTACTTTTTCTTGTCCTTGTCTTTCTTAAGGGGCTGAGATAAGGAGAGCGTCTCTGCCGCCACCTTCTTCCTGTTGAAGGCGTTCATCTCCTCCTCTAGGTCTCTCCGCTTCTCCTCCACCTTCCTCTTCTCCTCCTGGTGCATCCGCTTCAGCTGCTCAAACTTGTCGTGCAGCTATGAGGGGAGGAGGAGAGGAGAAGCGATGAACAGATGGGACGGAGGACGACAGAGTGAAATATTAGAGCATGAAAACAGCCTTTAAATCTGTGATTTATCAATTTCTTTAAAAGTTTTTAGTCGTTTTTTTGTCATAATACATCGCATCACAGATCACATTAGATTGTAGTTATCTGGTAGTAGGGCTGGGCAATAAACCAAAAATTTACCGATACTGAAATTTTACAACAAAAACCATCATTTTGCCCACGTCAGTATATTCGGCTATTGAAATTCTCCAGTATCTCTTAATTGTGAAACAGGCGAAGGAAATGTTTTAACAGAATCTTGGAGCTGTAACCACGACAGATCTATTGTTGTTATTTCACGAATTTTTCAAACATCTGCTGGTTTCAGATTTTTGAACTATTGTTTTCGACTAAAAAAGTGTTGGAAAAAAAGTTGTTTCTGGTCAGGGAAAATCAAATTAGTGTTTTTCATTTTGGGATTTAATATACGGCAAGATTTTCACAATACCTAACTATCAAAGCGTTTCAGATATAGGGCTGGGCGATAAACCAAAAATTTACCGAGAACGAAATTTACAACAATAACTGACGTCATTTTTCCCGTATCAGTATACTCGGTGTCAAATAAATAAATAAATAAAAGTCGGTTTTTGATGTGTGTAGGTTGGCTATGGTCCCATGTACCTTTAAGACGCTGTCAGAGACATGACTCCACCCCATCCAGTCTGTAACAAAGAGGGAAAGACAGGTGAGGAGATGGAGGACGGGTCAAAAGTTGTAGCGGCGGCTGAAGTAGACGAAGTTAATGTGGGAGGGGGTGGGCAGCTTGTGGGGTTGTTATCTAGATTTACCGTTATCGAGGTGAACTGCTCAATATATTGTGATATCAATTTGAGGCTATATCGCCCAGCCCTAGGCTCACCAAGATGGCATTTCCAGTGCATCGACAAAGACGGCAAACAAGCTGGTCAGTGTTTTTCCATCTATGACCATATTTTCGGACTAACCTCCCTCTCCTTTTCTTTCAGCTCTGCTTCCGTCTCTTTGACTTTGTTCACAAACATCTGTCGCATCTCCTCTTCTTTACGCTGCAGGTCCCCCAAGAACTCTTTTCGTTTGGCCTCGTACGTTTCCTGGAGACTGGAGGAAAACAAAGACACGACAAAGACGACACATAATCATCCATAAGTGATTGTTGACGGTTACGTTTTGACTCTCCTTAAACTCGCTCTCTCTGCGTACCTGAATGGCTGGCTGTCTGGATCCGTATCCTTGAAGCCCATTTCTTCCAGCTTACAGCGTCGGTACAGCTCGTAGTGGCGGGCGTGGGTCTGCTCTCTCAGATCCTCCATGTTTACCCTGATCAGCATCTCTCTCAGCTTCACAAAGTCGCAGTGACTCTCATTTTCCACTACAGGGGAAAAACAAACACACACACACCCGGGATGAGGACAGCAGCTGGAGTTCAGGTGAACACTCTGCTATTTCAAATACATGAAAACACCGTGGATTTGAGTCGATAAGAGGGAAGCCATGTCCTGTCTGACATTCTGGATCTTTGTTTTTTGCTTTATTCTCTGCCTGCCTGGCATTTGTACCACATCTAACTTCTTTAAACGCCCCATCTGTCACCCTGCTACACTCGCTTCCTCTCTGTCTCTCTCTCAAGAGCAGGAAATCATACCACAGCTTTAGGAATGTGAAGGAGCGTGCACAAAATACTAAATAAATCACATTCATCCCCCATTAAATGCAATCTATCCTACTTTCTAAATAACAGAGCGAATTTGAGATTTTCTGCTAGTTAGCTGAAGCGACTTACACAACTTCTGTCAAAGTTACTCTCACAGTTAAATGGATTCATCGTGAGGAAAGGGCAGGAAGCATTTCCTGCCTAACAGACTGACAGCAGCTGAAAGGCAGTGTGCCCTGGGCGTCATTTCCATTCTGATGAAGCCGTTTTACTCATAGGTCACCTCATCTGCTCTATTCCGACAATATCCGCTGTGCTGGAGATGAAAATGTTGATTTTTTTCTGTTCTTTAAGAGGCCAGAAAAAAAGGTCAGTTAGTGGTCAGGGACAATCTCCAGTCGGGAGTGTATAGACCGGAGAGTGAGTTGAGTAATAGGCTGAAAATACAGACAGATATAACTTCAACCTTATTCAGTCCAGTTTCTCCACAGCTTTTCAGTGGATTTTATTTCTATACAGCACAATACAGACATGCATAATTAGTGCATCCAGCCTTGACTCTGATCGGTAACAGTAAAAGCAGCTACATTAACTAATGAAACGAATCAGTCTGTTCCATTTTCCCTAAAAACGGATGTTTTCCTGTTCTCACACTGTGATGTTCTTGTGTACTCGGGGTAACTAACAGTGCTGACAGAGCTTGCTACAGGTCCTACTTTGATACTGTTGACTGAAACCCCTTTTCTTTAATTAAATCTAACACTTAATAATACCTTCAAAGGCTCTTCATGGGAAAACTAAATTCCATGCCTTTTAAGACTTTTTTGGGGGCCTGTAGATACCCTGGAGCCAGCTTTTCTGCTCTACTTTCTGCACTCCTCCCTTTGAAAATCAACTTTTTCCTTCCAGACGGTAAGTTCGCTGCCATTTGCAAACCTCACAGTACCTTTATAGGCTATGTGGAAAGTTGGAAAAATAGCTTTTGATTAGATATGCATGATATCTTCCCGTCGTTAAATTCTAGCCAACTAAAGTGCCAAATGTCTGCAGAGTAATGAAATCCTTCAGCAAGGCTCAGATTAGTTGTGGCCTCGTGTATAACCTGAAACATAAGCCGGTAAATTCTGAAAAAACGAAGCGGGTACGTGTCTCTAGAAGAAATAACTTTCCATTTCAGGGGATGAATGTGATAAACCTGTTGGCAAACCTAAGGGCAGTGCTGTCGAGAGTTTTTCCAGCATCTTAAAACTGCTGTGTGTTGTGGCTGAGGGCACGTGCGGAGCAGAGGCTCATGGTCTTTCGGTGGTTGGAGCAGATGCCATGAACCTCAGGGTTACATTACCAGAGTATAGAGGATGTATGTTGTGTTTAAATACCACCGCAAGCTGTGAGCTCAGAGGATGTAAAGGCAGCAGTAATGACACTGGAAGCCCAATTAGCCTGCCATTTCGCTTCCCAGATGGAAAAAGCTGGGGGAGCAGTCTGCAGAGCGTGATTGCAAACTATAAATTCACATACAAAACGCAACAACGAGACACCCCACCAACCTTAATATATGGAACCTGCCTTTGACACATGAGAGGGAAAGTTAAATAAATGAAATAAAATAAACAAAAAAAATTTATAAATTAAAATTAATTATTAAATTAAATAAAAAAATAGATAAAAATAAATAAATAAAAAATAAATCAATTAATTTAAATAAAAATAAACAAATAAAAAGATAGAAAAAAATTGATAGATTTAAATAAAATACAAATAAAATAAAAAATAAATCAATTAATTTAAATAAAAAATAAATAAATAAAATAAAAAATAAATAAAATAAAAAAATAAATAAACAGATAGATAGATAGATAGATAGATAAAATAAAAATAAACAACTAAATAAATTAATTAATTAATAATAAATAAACTGATAAAATTAAAATAAATAAAAATAAATAAATAAATAAGTCAATACCTTTAAATTAAGTAAAATAATAAATAATAAATAAACAAATAAATAAATAAATAAAAAAGATAGCGCGAGAAAGAAAGAAAGAAAGAGAGAAAGAAAGAAAGAAAGAAATGCACAAACAAGCCTCATCTGCTTTCACACTTCCTGGCCCACAGCAATGTGGTGATGCAGCTGTCCAAATCACTCACTGTTACTTTAGACTTAAATTTGCAGGCTGACTGCACATCATTAGTGGAATATTTGAGTTAAAGACAGGAATGAGCTGTTCTCTGGGGCTGTATCCAAACTACTTAAAAATTGCTGTTCATTTGGCATCTAATAGTCTCTCTGTACTGGCCCCCCTGCTGGGGGGGCTGAATGAGGGCCAATCCTCGGACTGACTGCAGCACTGAGCCCTCCAGATATCTAAGCACAGGGCTCCGCAGCGTGGGAATAGAGTGAAAAACAAAAATCAAATTAAAAAAGAACAGAGACGTAAAAAATACCAGAGAATCTCTACATATAAAAGGACAAATGTGCAAATTAAAAATACCTAAAAACATCACAAGAACATCTAGAGAAGGAATATGAGGGATCTGCTTTATGTCAGAGATGTCTGGAGTTCACAGATAACAGAGCATCAAGATCCTGAGGGAAGATAAACACACACAAACACACTCGCACACACACACTTGAACCCCCTGCAATTAGCCTTTTGTCAGTAGACAATCTTTCCTCTGTTTCCTTTCGAGTCCCTGGAAACTTCCCATGGCTCTTTAAGAGGTTACCATAACCCGTCTATATGACATCTGGCATCTACAAACTGTTTCCACAGACACTAAAGGCCTTCCTTTCAGCCGGCCAAGAGGAGTAAAACACTGACGCCTCTGTCCTCTTCTGCCCCAGTGTCCAGATACTGTGACAAAGTGTGCCGTATGAATGGTGAGCCATCCAATAACAAGGAGGCCCGAACAAAAGCAACAGAGTGAGCTTGTATCCTATCCTATTAGTGTGTTAAAACAAGAAGGACATTTTTGTTGGCAGGCAGGCAGAGAGAAACACGGCTGATGAGGAAATTAGATGCAGGCGATGAGGAAGCCAAAGACTAATGGATCAAAATATGTATCGACAGTTGTTAACAGCTGCAGTGTTAGCTTTTTTTATACTTTTACAGCTGATATCCTTTCTCAATGATAAAATATGACTTTTAAAGATCATATAGTACCTTTTTTTTAACACTACAACCTGTAAATGACAAACTAAGGACTTCCTAATGCCAAATGAAAGAGCTCACAATGAAGCTGGGATAACTTTATGCAGACGACACTATTCTCTCCGTGACTGGTCTGAACTGCAGCTTCATGTAAATCTATGGGAGTCCAAAAAATCTGTCCTCAGGAGACACACAGCAGGCTTTATATATATCTACAGAGTCCACAGGGGGTTGGGGAATGAGGCGGTCAGTGGATAATGGAGAGAGGAAAAGGAGGAGAGGTTCAGGACACAGAGCAGTAAGCAGGGGGAAAAAAGGGAGTGTAAGAGAGAGGGGGAAGCTATTCTCACAGCATAACTGCTTGTGTGACATTATTAAATTAAAATGTTGGTTCTAATGCACCAGCGCAGAAAAATAAGTGTGGGAAACAACAGCACGCGGGCAGACCACACACGCAAAAGCAGAGAAAAGGAAGTAAAAAGAAAGATAGATAACACCCTACAGATCACAAACACACACGCACAGACACACACTGGCAATTTCCCAAAACAATCACCCTTCATTTCACAGTGTCACTCTGCATGAAGTCACACTTGCAGCTGTGGTGGGCACTCTGCGTTAACAGGGTGGGTATAAATAAACAGGCAAACTGTTGGATGTTCTCGCTACTCTGTAATAAGCAGGAAAACCTCCCTTCAAATCTATACCCAACATGCACTGTTTTGTCAGCTGTCGAGTGAAATCTGGACGTCAAAAGTCACAGATAAATATATATTTTTTTAAATCTACTATATCTTTATGGCTGGAGACAGGAAGACATATTCATGCAATAAGAACTACGCCTACGCATAATTATTGCTTAATAAAGGCTGCACCGCAGACACCATGCACGGATGTTTTAAGAAACACACCAATGATTGCAAAAGTCTCTGGACTTACACTTCTCAAACCACTTCTCACACACCGTCAAAACAAAGAAATAACTATTGAGCATAAAAAAAAATGACTAAGGCAGCTACTGTTCCAGGCTTTTCTGTTGTGTCGGTTGCAGGCTGAAATATGCAGATCTTTACTTTGTGAGTGAAAGGCAGGAAACGGTTTTGTTATTAAAATTCTGCACTTTGAGAACCAATTTAATGGGAAATCTAAAAAAGCTTTGTTTATGTGAATTCAGTATCTGTTATAAAACACAATGATAACCACTATTTGACCTCCGGATTAGCCCAAAGATGATTTCTGTGGCACACTGCAGAGAGGATTTAAACACACACTCACCCCTTCATGAACTGTTGGTGTGTGAAACTCAAACCTCACACCTCACACCCCACACTCTCACAAACGCTGTTACTCACTCGCTTGCGATTGTTCTCACCTTGCACGACACCCCAGGGGTACTGTCGGGCCCTGACGGTTTTGTTCCCTACTTTGACCTCTTCGACGCTCCCAACGACTGCGAACGGCAGATGAGCCTGGTGAGGAAGAAGAGATTAAAATGTGAAAAACCTTGAGAGGACGTACCAGATATAGCTGGAACAGTCACTGCAGGTCCCATCACAGCACTTTTTTCATGACTTTTTAGGTCAAGCTTCTTCACAGAATAGTAAAAAAAAAAATTGGACAAGACACAAACAAATAACAAAACCAGAAGAATAAACCAAGTGTTTCACATAAAATCTGGTTTCACTGTGGCTGCTGCCCGTCTTATCTTTCACAACCAGACCACACCAGAGTGAAGTGTAACCATGCTGACATACGAGCAGCATCACAGCTCTCGTTTTAAGTCGAACATGTGGCTCAGTCTGGTCTGAAACGCCTGTTTTGTTGAAGTGATTAAACACGCGTATACCTTCTCATTGCTCTCAGAGCTGCTACGCCTTGTTAGCATCAACAGTGAGGCATCATGGGGGAAAAAAACATGCCCCGATACGCAACCTCAAAAATTAGGCGGAGAGTTGAAACCAGCTGGCTGGTTGCAGCTTGGAGGAAGAAGCTGGTGAGTGTGGGCGCTGATGTAAGCGACTATGAATAGATGGGGATACTGTATGATGAGTGCATGGGAGAACTGACTGTTTGTGAATTATTACATATGTGGGCGGGTGTTTTGAGCTCCGTGTGATAATCACATTGAGTTATAAGCATGTGCACTTGCTACCTGAGCACAAAACTTACAGCTTTTCTCGTAGCTGTTCATTTTGAAGATGGAAAATGTGAAAAAAAAAAAAAAAAGGAATCTAGTTCTATTAGACCGTACTATAGATTTAATGTTTGTATATACATCAAGACCAAAGTTTTTTTCCGGTCACGCAGTCACAGATTTGTATGGAAGCGTATTGCATTCATCCAAAAAAAAAAAGTTCTGTTTTTCAGAGTAATTTTTTTCTTTGCTGTTCTTCGGACTATTTTTTTTTCTTTTCTGTTTTTCAGAATAATTTTTTTTTTCTTTTCTGTTTTGCAGAATTTTTTTTTCCCCTGATTTTCTTAGTGATATTTTCTGTTGTGTTCTTTGGACTATTTTTTTTTTTTTTTGCTTTGTTTTTCCAGACTAAATTTTCTGTTTTTCAGAGTGTTTTTTGTTTTGTTTTGTTTTGTTTTTCAGACTAATTTTTCTGTTTTTCATAATGTTTTTTTGTTTGACATTTTTTAAGACTAATTTCTCTGTTTTTTTAGACCTTTTTTTTGTTTTGTTTTTCAGACTAATTTTTCTTTTTTTCAGACTGTTTTTATTTTGTCCAAAAAACAGCAAAGAAAAAAAAATACTCAAAAAACTGTTTCCTTCTGTTTTTTGTAAGTGAATGCAATATGCTTCCGTAGATTTGTGGGCTCACAAAGTGTCTAGAAAAAGAAACAACCTTACTTTTCAGCGAGTCCTAAAAGCAATAAAACAGTGTTAACATATGCTGCCTTCATCTCCAGATGTGTAACACATGTGGTTACAACTTAGCAGGCAAACAGATACCTTGAAGACAAAAGTCTGAGGGTCAAAAGTCAACACTCTGAAGAATAAGCTGAGTACGCATGTTCACAAACACATCTGGCATTTTCTTGTCTGCATCCCAGCAGGTAAGGTTTCAGCGTATATACCATCTAAACTGAACACACATGGTGGAAAACATCAGAAAAGGTCAAAATCATAGACGGATTGATTGAGAGCGACAACATGACTCACATTCATGGAGGCGTTGATCTCGCTGACGGTTTCATCGTCTGTCGGGAACTGATATATCTGGACGCCGTTGCTCACCAGCTCACTCATAATCTTTATTTTGAATTTATGGAGTTCACTCTTGGAGATTGTATCCGCTTTGGCAATGATGGGTATTATGTTGACCTGAGGAGAGGATGAGAGAAAAAGAGATTTATAAATATGTAAAATTAAAAAACCTTTCATCGTAAAATTGGGCGCCATTCTCTTGACTTTCTGGCGCTCTGCTTCAGTCGGGGGGAAGCACTCCGTTCAGGTGAAAAGAAATGCGTGTGGCTGGTGATAAACTGAATCATCCATTCTGACTTTAGCGAGCTCGCTGATGCTGAAGCTGTTGCACAAATGTCGAAGCTGTCGCAAACCGCGAGCGGCAAAGAATTGCTGAACTGTCGCAAAGATGGCTAGTAGAGGAAGTGACATACGTTTCGCACATGCGCTGTACAAATCGGGTTTCCGGGACGGATCAGGTAGCAACAACCATAAACTGTAAATTGATTAGTGGTGGGGGAAAATATCGATTCTTAGATGCATCTCGATTCAGGCAAGGACGATTCTGAATCGATTCACAAACGTCCAAATTCCGATTATTTAGATGTTAAATAACGTGAAATAGGCGGAACGAAAAGGCGGAACTCGTGCAGCGCGTTGTCACCCGGCGGACACTTTAAGGGGAGCACATAACAAAGAAGCATGGCTGAGCGCGAGATCCACCCTGCCCCTTCCGGATTAAAAGCTAATGTATGGAAGAATTTTGGCTTCTACAGAGTTGAGGGTGGACTTGAACTGGACAAGAGCCACACTATATGTAAACTGTGTCACTCCAAGATAAAATACTTTGGTAACACCACGAACATGAGGAGCCACATCACTCGTTTTCACCCGAACGAGGAGGGAAGATGCCCGGCTGCTGTCGAGGCTACGGCTGCCTCCACCAAACAGAGAACAATCGAGCAAGCAATTACAAAGCTTCCCCCCTCATCGGAAAAGGCGAAACGAATCACGAAGTCCATCGCTACATTTATTGCCAAGGATTTACGTCCGTAAAAGCCAAGGATGCTGCTACCTTTTGTTCTTTACATGAAGTTGTATTTTTCCTGTTTACACATTTCCACAAGTATAATAAAAGATAGTGGAAATTAATTCATTTAATTGTTTCTCATTATTAATATTTTAAAAACACAAAGTGGTGAATGGTTACACAGTGAGACAAAAAGAAATGTGTAATAGCTGGGGGGGGATAATCGTTTCAGAATCGAATCGTAGCCCCTGAATCGTAATCGTAATCGAATCGTGATGTGCCTGAAGATTCCCACCCCTAAAATTGATGCGGAAGAAAATCGAGGTCAACTCAGCACATATTAACCAATAAGTTGACCAGTCTACTAGGACTTTACAGCCCTAGTTTATACATGTCTGACAAGCATCTTTATGATCATATAAACTACCTGTCACGTTCAACGTGATAAGGGAGAATCAGCTCCCATGTGTGTAGCGAATAACAATGTCTCTTTGTCTGTGGGCCATAAACAAACACAGTGGATAGAGCTTAATTAAACACACTGACGACCTAAGACCATAAACTAACCCAGGACATCAGTGAGTATGGCTGAGAAAGCACACAAGAGCATGCAGAGTAAAACTGCAGCATGAATCCCAGAAGATACATTAAACAAACAGTGATTAGGAAAACAAATAAGGCACCGTCTCCGATCAGTAGCAGCTGTGCTGAGATATCAACACAGTTTTTTAAAATTCATTTACATAGCAGCATGACCCAGAATCTCTAACCGAGAGCATGAGGAGGATCCCCACAGATCCACTCATCAATTCCATAGTGTGCCTCAGAGCAAGAGCCAGAGCTTGTTAGGAAGTCAAATTACAGCCTCATCATACTTTATCGGATCATTAATTTACAGCAGGGCAGCCAGTATCGTGTTTTAACCCTTATTTTACAAACAGAGCTCACTAATGGCCACTCAGTTCTGACAGCAGCCCCTGTGTGGCCCTGAAGCAGCGAAAAAAGGAGGGGACGGTGATATTTGTTCACTTCCCACAACTGGGTTTTCCCAGCTGGACGAGGAGTATTCCCACAGAGTTCTCAGTGTTTGTTTTGAACAAGCTACGAGCTCCAGATGGTGAGCTCTGACCACATTAAAGCAGTTCATATTAAGATTAGAAATTTTGGATAAAAGTCACGTAAGCCTGACATCTCTGAAACTTTTAACTTTATACGAAATAGAAAAGGACAGTTTCAGCTTTCAGAGTCGAAAAAAAACTTAATGGATGCACTATGATTACTGGTTATGTCAAAAAAAATAAGTGCTGGGTAAAATGAAGAAGGTTATATTAAGGTTTCATCATTTTAAGGGAATAATCAGCAACTGAGCTAAAGAGCTAAGACCGTTTGAGACGTGAACAAGACCTACAATTGTGTGTGCTACGACTGGAAGCCCATTTTCTTCTCTTACATTTGTTTACAGCGTTATACAGAACTGACGCCATGTAAAAGTTTGCAAACTAAGCAAATATAAGTTCCTGTTTGCATAGTAGTCATGGGTGCTAGGCGCTGTTTTGTTTTTCTTTCACTAGAGAGGGCTTTAAAAAGTGATGACACTGAGGGAATTTCTGCAGCTATATGTGCTTTTTCTCTTTGTTCAAGTTTAGTTTAGGGGCTTATTCTCCTTCACTCAGGAGGCCGCAGATAAAGACATTAATTGTGGAGGTGAGAGAGAGGAGTGAAAATGAAGCGTATACTCTGCCTGGGTATTTATTTTGATCAGTGTATTTATAGATAATAATTGGCCACCCACACCAATAATGATTGTCATGGTGTTCTTGGAAAATGTGAGTGTTTTTAAATAAGACCGATTTAATACCCAGGGAAAGGGTTTTGAAGCACGACAACAATAAGGATACTTACAGGAAGTGGTCTCTTTTAACATATATCTCTGCATACGATCCCTCCCTGTTGACTCCCTCATTCAAATTCAGATCCAATCTAAACAATCTATATTTCACCCTAGCCTGAGAAAGTTTGGAAACACAAGACATGACGAAAAAAGCAGCATTTGACTTTCATATCAGTCAAAATATGAGCCCCTTTAAAGGTTATCAGGAAATATCAGCCCTTGTTTTCTAATTGACCTCTACAAACTGAATTCTTGAATATAAGACACTGAACTGGTAATGATTTCCTCCCATTGAAAACAAAGAACCCCTCCTTCAGACTCTTATCTCTCTTCCTGCCTTCCTCCACCACAGGCCAAACACGCTCCTCTGTAGGGTAGGCTGAATTGCACCCCATTTAAAAGAAAAACACCATTGTGTTGCTTTGACCAAAATCTCTCCTCGCTCAAGGAATAGTCGGTTCTGCTCTGCTGTTCTCTAACACAGCTGTCAAAACCGTTCTGTCTCCTCTTTCTCCTGATTTATACGACCGATATGGATTTTTTTGGGGCATGATAGAGAGAAAAATCGATTTGACAATTTAAATTTTTGTAACATCATTATAATCAAATAATCTGATTATGATTAAAAATGGATTAATCGTGCAGCCCTACCTGATCGGACATTCAACATAATCCAGTAAATCTTTCAGGTTTCGGTGTGTTGGTGGTAAAGTTAATGGAGTACTTTGAGGAGCACAGATGGTTCGTTTTTCTTATTTTCTGACATTTCATATGAGTTTATTTCCGGACAAATAACCACTATGACAATTTAAAAAACAAACTGAGTTTGAATTACGAATAAAAACTGCAAAAACGTACTGGCTGCGTTTTGTTGAGAAGCTGCTACAAATCCTTCCAGCTACAGCAAAGAGACCACTGCATAAACAGCCTCATTAAACATGTAAAACAAAACACTGTCACATCCACACTGCGGTCACTCAGCACTGGCTTGCCTTCTCATAAAACAGTGGTCATTTTTTCACATAATGGAATATCTGCTCGGACAGAGCTGTTAAAGCCAGAGAAGTGTTCACAGTGGCCACCCACTCAGGGCTAAACCCCAGCCCTCTCTTGCTCTGACAATGCTATAAATAATTTCGAACCGAAGCACCAAAGCATGGCTGTTGTTTCACATTTCAATTACCTTTTAGCACAGGCAAGTGAGCAACAAGCATTGTAGAGTGGGGTCCACATGAATAGAAGGGGAGGTTCATGTGTGGTAAGCTGCTTTGCCTCCATTCATACCAAAAGTGTGAAACAGGTAAGCTGCCATAAAAGAGCAGACACACTCAGCTCATGTTAACCTCTTCAATGTGCGGATATATTTAGCTGAGGTAAGCTTGCTTCAAAGCACCGGGCGCAGAGAGCTGGCTGCGGGCGCTGTGGTGGTTTGGATGCGATCGGGACACAGTTGGTAATCGTGGCTGCCAGGTTCTGATCACTCTCATGGCGTATAAAAAGAGTAAAGAAGCTCAGTGGTAAGCTCGGTCAACTTGCGGGGTGAGAAGTGCTGAGAAGTTTGGATCTTGGCCCTTCGGAGGTGAACTCCTCTCTGTTATTTGTTTGGCTTCCTCTCAGAAGAGAACAGAGTGCTTACTTCCTCGCAGAAATAATGGAGACAAACACGAGCACTCCTCGGATTGGCCATGATGAGTTGGAAACAGTTATGAGTTATGAAACACATCTTAGATTTTTGCGCATTAACTCTCTCACCATTAGGCAAAACGTTCTCATGGGTCCCTTCACTTCTTCTATGATATCTGTACAGCAAATACAAATACATAATAAGATAAGGAGCTGTACTGAGAGGCGCTTCCCTTTTAGGCCTTCTGCCAGAAAGCTGCTCTATGCCTCTCCTGGGAGAAATCATACTAAATTAACACGAGTAACACAGTGCAATGAAAGGCTTTGAAAAAGGAGGAAATCTCCCTGTAACTAGTCAGTGAAGCATCTCAATGACTCTTAAACCTCTATCTGGGAATAAACTGTCGATTTTATGTTCCCTTACAGTTTTTGTCATCGAGTCGAAACAATGTCAGGAGCACAAAACTGCAGAAATCATTTTCCCCATGAGAGTACTGTCCGGCCCTTGGGAGCAACAGTTGGCCCAAGTGTCTGGTCATTGTTTTGAGTCGTATCAGGAGTCATCTGGCAGAGACGTGCAGCCGTGCGTCAATAGTTGGCAAGGGTATGTCCGGCAGGTTTCAGTCACAAGCTGACCATCTGCTCTGTTCTGGATTCATTATGATTGGATCGGCAGATACGAGCGGAGCCAAAGCTGTCACTTTGTCATTCCTACAGCAGGGCTTTCAGTCTAAGTCGTTGCATGTATACACAGTCTTTTACAGGGTTTTTGTTCTACTAATCAGCCTAAAAATTGATCAGGAAACCTTAAGATGTCATCAGGGGATATAAATAGGCATAGCTACACTCTGAGAATCGCACATGGAAGTTAACAACGCTTAAAAATGAAAAAGCTGGCAGCTTTCTCTCTGTGTAGCTGCCTTCTGGATGTCAGTATAATCCGTCCTCCTGCTAAGGTCATACAAGTTCATGCAGAGTTAAGGACACACAAGACTTGATAAATGCGTTCTGACCGCCTCTTTCTCTGACGCTCTTCTTCTTCTTCTTGGCTTTCTAAACACGCGCTTTGAAATGTTTTGGGGATCTTTTACCTTCCAGAAATTCCAAACTCCCCACACGTTGAAACTAAGAGCTACGATCAAAAACCGCAAAGTGGGTCAGCTGTGTTTGGTCATTTTTACAAAACTGTTCATCAAAATCTCATGTTGGGTTCATTTGATAGTATTGCTGAGCAGAAGGAACCACCTGTATACTTTGAGTAATATGTAAGGATCGACTGATACGGGTTTTTTTAAGGGCTGATACAGATTAATAGTAATCACGAAAACCGATAACAGATATTTAGAACTGATATTCATTTGCAGTACAAATATATATTTTAATGTCAATTTTTTTTCTTTAAATCTTTGTTTCTGTAGCCTAGCCTTCATCCACCAAACCCCTTGTAAATGCAGCCGTTTTTTGCCTTATTCCGAAACACATGCTTTTATTTTGAAATAAGAAAAGAACCAAAAGTTACACGTGCTAGCTCCACAAGCTTCACAGAGATCGAGGAGCACCTCTAGCAGTCTTGTTACCTGCTGGTTTGTTTCTTTTGTTTTATTTTGCCCTCTCTATCTAGCTGTGAAGCTGCACCTAGAGGCATGAGTGGTGATTGGCTGTCTGTGTAACCAATCAATAGGCGGGACACTTTTTACACGGCCAAGAGTGGTGACTTTGGGCAGAGAGAGGCGGCTATGCAAGAGCCAAATGAGCGTGGTTCAAAATAAACTTATTGGTTATCGATGCGAAAAAACAGCTGGTGCCGATTATTGTAAAAATGCTGAATATCAGCCGTGCTGATTACAAATCTGCATAAAAAGTTATTTGCAAAATATGAATGTCTGGGTTGATAAGAAATGGATATAGGCAGCAGCTATGGGAGCAACAGCCGACACTGAGAAGTCAATATTTTATGGAAGTACATGAGGGAAACTTTAACAATGCCACGTTATTATCCAGCAATTTATTCAAATAGAGATTTAACAGTGAAATCTTGAAAAGAAGAAAAACTTAAGTCCTCTCTTTTCTTGCTCTTCCTCAAATTCTCTCTCTCCAGGTGCTGTAGTAATATCTTTTTTTTTTCCACCATTTCTCTAAATGAGGCCAAGCCAATGCCTGCGTCTCCTCTGTGCTGCACTCGCCGGATGTATGACAAAACATGGATCCACTGACCAACAGGCTGTGGAGTAGTTCTCACACAAGAGCAATAATAAAAGCCACAAATCGATGTGGCTCTAAATGAGACTATTGACTGCTGTGCAGCTGACCTGCAATCATGTTCACTGCAAATATGTCAAACGGAAACTCTGAATTAGATGAATGCTCCTGCTATTTGCGGCGGGTTTACAGCTCTGTTAACCACTGCTTCTTGAAGAGCACATGTTCAGAGACATCTTAGACCTAGGATTATTTGATTATGACGATGTTGAAGAAAAATTTCCCCTTTCTGTGAGAGCACTCCCCAGTTCAAACACACACCAGTATAAAACAACGTGGCGTTTTTAAAAGTAGATAATTTCGTGGCTAAAAGGGGCAGGAGTAAATCAGTCGTGTTGAATTCGTACGGCGTCGCAGTTTTCGGATCAAGAGCAAACCACTCCCCGCTGAAGAGTCTGTCTGAAGGCGATATCAACCCCTCCACGCAGAAACGAATTTAGGAGTAAATGCAAATTTTTTTTTTTCGTATCTGCATTTCATCCACACAGACACGGCGTTTTGGGCGACTGTAAACTGTACCTTCTGAAAACTTTTTGATAAGAGAGTGCATAAATCAGTAAACGACTACCAAACAAACTTTACACACATGCTACGTACTCTTCTTCTGTCTTTTGTGTATATCCTGGGCAGCGATACAGTGCCACTTACTGGCGTGGCATATGCACTACATCATTTTCAGTGGTTTCGTTTTGAGAGATGATCGAAAAACTTTTTATTTTCAAAGTAAAGTTCGGTGAAGTTGTCACTAAATAAAAATTTAAAAAATCGGAATAAAAATTGTGATGCCCTTATAGGGTCATGCTGCTGTGGGAGGTGTGTCTGGTTGGCTTCTCTCTCTCTGCACCCTAATCAGAGCAACTATGCACACCTGGGCCCTGGGTGCTGGAAGTATTCAAGCTCCCACAGCTACTTGCAATGGCCTCTTTTGTTTCTCCTGACTGCCTTTACAGATACTTGGTTTGATTGGTTTAGTTTAGTTTGATTTGGTTTGACTTGATTTGGCTTGTCTTGACTTAGTTTGGTTCAGTTTGGCTTGGTTTAGTTGTAGTTTATGTTTGCTCTTTACAACACCCTTGCACACATACACCTACCTTCCACTCATGACAAAATCTAAAAATCGAGTTTCCAGAGAAAAAAATAGCGATTTTATTTTTGGCCAAAATCGTGCAGCCCCACTTAGACTATAGTAAAAACCATTTGCATGGTTTTGAATTCAACTGATAACTTGACTCCATTGTATGACATGTGAGCTTCAGTGAGATAAAAGAGCAACATTTTTCTTTTGGTTCACTCTTTTGGGACACCTCACAAAAAAAAAAAAGCTTGGGGATCTCCATGTCAGAATGAAATACACACCATTCACGGTGAAAGGGAGGTCCAATTTCAGCAGCACTGATAGTTAATCACAGACAAAGGCAGAGGGACTGGGACTGTGTGTTTCTGCCAAAGGGGAAAGAAAACAAAAGCATGTATGGGAATGTGTGTGTGTGTGTGTGTGTGCATGCCAGTTGTGTGTCACCTTGCTGTCCAATTTCTTCATCGTGACGAGGTCCAACGACTTGAGGGAATGTCCTGTCGGGGCGATGAAATAAAGGCATATGTGGATCCTGGTGTCATGGTAGTTGAACAGCGAGCGCTTAATCTTGAGCTCTTCTTGGAGATAGTTTTCAAACTGAGTGTCAATATAGTCCACGATTGGCTTATAACTGTGGAGACAACCAAAGAAGAGCTGTAAGGATTTATGACCGTGGGTTCAAGCATAAATATTTTCCCTCTTTGTCATACACTGGTGATGAATATAAAAGGAAATATGGATGTTCACAGGGGAAATGAACTGAGACAGTTATGTTTTCAGTAACTGTGTGATCTGATTCGGAGCCAAGATCTCAGATTAGAGCTGTACAGCTTAGTGCTGCACGATTTTTGTGCTCTGCTCATGGTAGTCTGGATACAACAAATCACAGACTGCAAAACATCCTGTCCTCTGTCGCAATGATCACCAGCATCATCAGTGAGTTAATGAAACAGGAATAACAACATGCATGTTTGGAGGATTTTTCTCATGAACATGAAGATACACAAAAGAGGGACCTTACATATTTCAACGAGGATGTCACTTAAACAGCCAGAACCAAAAATATGTTTTTAGATATGAAGTAGGGCTGGGTGATAAACTTTACATTTACATCGTATACAGATGCGAGTTTTTCAAATTAGTGCTTGGGTCAACCTAACGATGGCAGGATGAATCTGAATTACTGTGAAATGATCAGAAAGAAAGGAAGGAAAAGAAACACAAATGAGATTGAGATTATGATAAATGAGATTGTATAATTTATAAGTATATAAGTAGGGCTGGGTGATAAACTGTAAATTTACCGATACTGAAAGTGAAGACAATAACGACATCATTTGGCCCATGTCAATATATCCAGTGTCAAGAAAAAAAAAAGTTGGTTTTGGATGTGTGTGGGTAGGCTATCGTCTCATGTCCCTTTAAGATGCTGTCCTACATCAGAGACGTGACTCCACCCCATCCAGTCCGTAACAAAGTGGGAAAGACAGGTGAGGAGATGGAGGACGGTTTAAAAGTTGTAGTGGCTGAAGTAGACGAAGTTAATGTGGGAGGGGTGAACAGCTTGTGGAGTAGTTATCGTCCATTTATCGTTATCGAGGTGAACTGCTAAATATATCGTGATATTGATTTGAGGCTATACCGCCCAGCCCTAATATGAAGTTATAGTGGTTTAACCCAACATAGCTAAGACTTCTTCAAACAATCAAGACTCATTTGGTCATGAAGCAGTTAAAAGAAATTTTATGCCACATTCCCACAGAGCTCAATCCTATACTGCAGCTCTAATTCAATTTTCTAAGTTGATCTGGAGAGATGAGTTTGGTACCATTAGAGATCAGCCACATATTAAACAAGCTGCATCATGGCTGCCTGAAGTTCGAGTCAGAGTAAGGTCTCATGGTCGTTTCTCATGACTACACTTGGCATTCAGGAAAACATTTCTCTGCTTTGTTGTAGATAACTTGGTTGTGAAATCAATGAATGGGTCAACTTTCAATCATGTTGAACTTTAAGGGAAGAGCGGTCAGCTATTGTGTACAGCGCTGATGGTTAAAATAGTCAATGAGGCAGTAAATGCCCAAGCGTGAGGAACAGCAACCGGGGAAACTGATCTGCACTGCCAGCATGTACCCAGTTGCTCTGCGCTGGCACAGCCTGAGTCTTGGCTCTCTGGGTTTGTTTTTTTTTTGGGTCTCAGCTTTGCCTTGAATAAAATAACCTGTGTCACTGTAAAAAGAAGTCATAAATGTAGCTTGCTTGAGACTTTCTGAATCTGAATCCAATCTGAAGGCCGGTCATACAGACTGACAAATATACCAAATAAGGATGCTTAACTTGAAAAAAACTGAGCGTTTTTGATCGTGTTTGTGCGCTCTGAAACACAGGGACACTTGTGATTTCTATGGAGCTTACTCAGACAGAAAGAATCACTTAAATTGGCAGCAGAGTCTCTCTGAATCTCATATAGAAAGAGAGACAAGGAGAAAGAATCTATTTTGAATCCTTGGTGAGCTCAGTGTTTACAGTCATCTGTCCTCTCCATTCACATCTATCTTCAATCTTCCCTGTGGAATGCACAAACTCTGACCTTTGGAGGCTCCCAGTGAGCATTTACAGTCTGCTGCTGGGGTTGTCCTTCGCTATGTTGCTCTATACAGCCTGTAGAAAAAAAGCTGCTATCAAAGGGCGTGAGAGTGCAGCTCGCTAACTTGGTCGCAACTAGAGCACTTCATTCCACAGCTGAAAGTTAAAAAAAAAAAAAAAAGACCTTCAGTATCCCCGCTTTCCCACCTTCTGTCTTATTTCCAACCACAGGGAAAACAAAAAATGTGCAGAAACCTTCACTGATACTCCTTTGTGTCTGTTTCTCTCATTTGTATCCCTAGGCAACGTTGACCTAATTTCAGTACAACTATGCAGTTGACAAGATGCAAACACAAAGGAGGGTTTGGATGAGGGATTGACAGAAAAATATGTTGCTACAGCAGTCAGGATTCAAATGGAAAACACGCAAAACCACATCTGTGGCAGATGAACTGAATTTCACTCATAGTATTATAAACGGAGTCACTTTTATGAACTTCAAAAGAACTCCTTTTTTTTAAGATTATTTTGGGGGCTTTTTGCTTTATTAAATAGGACAGCTTAAGAGGAGAAGAAAGTACATGCACTAAACTATGTAGGAACCTGGTATCTATCCTACCTAACAACTCTGTTTTTAAACATTTTTTAAAAGTCTGGATGAATTCAGCAGGAATAGATATAAAAGGATAATAATAGAGGATTATCAATGCTGTGTGAATACTTAAGCTAACAATGGTTTGATGTAATTGACTGCATTAGTAGCCATTAACAGAAAACTTGTTTAAATGTGGATAAAAAGTCTCCTAGTTTTTAAAATGTTATTGTGGCTGATTACTGGGGGGCGATAAACCACAATAACAAATCAATGTGAGACACTTGGGTGTTTCCTTCTGATGTAAAAGTGTAGTAACTTGAGTTTTAACGTATTTTAAACAAATACTAAATGTTTCATCAGTGGCTTTTTTGGCAGACAAACTTTGACGTACTGAAGTTATTATCCCTGATCACGATCTATATACTTATTGATAGGGCTGGGGGATATGGCCTCAAATCAATATCACGATATATTGAGCAGCTCACCTTTATAATGATAAACAGACGATAACTACTCCACATGCTGCTCACCCCCTCCCACATTAACTTCGTCTACTTCAGCCGCTACAACTTTTGAACTGTCCTCCATCTCCTCAACTGTCTTTCCCTCTTTGTTACAGGGATAGAGCAGTCTGACAGATCTCAATTTCCTTCTCTTTAACACTGAAGCATGCTTGTAATAACAAGTTGGAAATATTTTCGATGATGCAGCAGCAGTGGAGATAAACACAGCGTCCCTCCTCCTCCTCCTCCTTACCTATCCTCCTTGTTTATCTGATCCCCGAAGCCAACAGTGTCAACAATAGTCAGTTTGAGGTGGACGTTGCTTTCCTGAAGGTCGTATGTTCGCGGCCGCAGGTAAACGCCGTTCTGATAATGGCTGGCCTCCTCGTTTTCAAACATGGTGTTGAAGAGTGTGTTCATTAACGTTGACTTGCCAATCCCAGTCTCCCCTGAGGGCAGTGGAAGTAGAGAGAGAGAGAGAGAGAGAGAGAGAGTGGAGGCAGAGAGTTAAATCACTTGATCAGTGGGGAGTAATTAATTAGCTTTCAGACAGGCAGGAGTTTTTTTTTATTGCAGCAACATAAGTCAGAGGCCTGTGCCTTCATTTCACATCAGGAAAACAACAGAACGTCACTGATTTGTGGTAGTTTAACATGCTGTTCAGGGGAAAATAAATCAAGAGTCAAGTAAAAAAAAAAAAGACTGTCGAGAAATGTTGAGCAGTTACAGCCTGGCATTTCCACAGACTGGATTCAATATTTCACACACCTGCTGTTGGTTTGGTACTCACCTACACAGAGAATATTAAAGCAAAATCCCTGTGTGACCGATTTACTGACCAGTTGGTCAGGGAGGCTGTCGAACCCGACATGTCCGCCCAAACTGAGGTTACGCTTCTCTTCATTCTGAGGGGGGACAGAAACAAAACAAAAACAAAGCATTTAAAAGGCTGAAAAACACACATGGGGAAAGCATTAGTCAGAGGTAGGAAGAGCTGAAGCCTTCACATTCCTACGCAAATCAATGTCAAACACCCTCCGCACACACACACACACACACACACTCTGCAGATGTAAAAGCCATTGTCTAACAATTATGACTTGGATAATCAGGATGAAATGCAACCACTGAATCAACGACTACAGAGAAGTTAGATTAACCACAGCTGGCAGGAGAAGATGGCAGATCTATGGATGTAATACAACAACATCATAAATATTTCAAAGCTACTTCTCACTGTTATGTCCGTGTGGATGAATCACTACAACACTGGGTACCATTATATGAACCCAACGCATTTTGATTTAAACCCTTTAATCATGTTTTCCAGGACAAACAAATTAACTGCGACAAGCGACAGCAAATTACAGTACGCTACAGTAAAATACTGCAGAGATGGAGCACAACCACCTTGAAATCCATTTGCACCGAGGAGAGAGCATCCAAAAAAGAACAAAGATTACAAGTATAGTCCAACAAACAAAAGAACAGACGGACGAAACTACTGGGCTGTAAGCTATTTCACCTTCGACCCCCCTTATCTAACACATCTTGTCTGGAGGAGAGGCTGTCGGTGAGAAGCGGGAGCGTGTTAGAGCTGGAGAGGAAGGGAAGAGACAGCACCTTGAGATGAATGAGGCCACCCGAGCTCGTCTGGCTCGGCCACGAAGGACTGCATACTTGAGGGCTGATGTCACTGAGCGCAGGCGGCCCGAGAACAGAGCAGAGCTCGGCTGAATGCTACACTGAACTGAGAGGTGGACGCAGGAGGCTTTGCATGCAGCTATAAACCTGAATGAACTTTAAATGAAGGATGAGCAATGTGTGTCTATGATGGTGTGAGATACGAGGGCCAATAAAATTCTCCTCCAATGTCTCTAAATGTGAAACATGCGAAGGAAATGTTTCAATGAAATCTTTGAGCTGGAACCACGACAGATCTATTGTTGTTATTTTTTACTCATTTTTCAAACTTTGCTGGTTTCAGATTTTCAGATAGAAAACTGCTGTTATTCTGGTCGTACCAATTAGCAATCACTTGAAGTTGAAGTAGACTCTGTTTTTGTCTTCTCGCTTCCACCCAGGATGCATCTTTTCCTCCCCCCTGGAAAGTCACAAAATCGCATTGTGCTAGATATGTATCGTCAGGTGCATCAATATTCGCCTCTGAATATTTCCTAATTTCACGTGGGATATTTACGTTGTTCCCGGTGTGAAAGGATCTGAACTGCTCAATATATCATGAATTGATTTGAGACCATATCGCCCAGCCCTATTCAGATATGTGTAAAATTCCCATTTTTGACAGCAGTTTTCTTAGTCATGTTAAAGAATATGAGTATTTCATTTTGTCTTTACATCAAACACTTTAAATTTCTCTGGTGTTTCCTTCTCCGAGATGCTCAAATGAGGATTAAAACTCTCTAGAAGAAATCAGGAAGGCCTCACTTCCCATTCTTGATGATGCATTTTCTCCCTTTGGAGGCTCTATTGTACCGTAAGTGACTGTCTCAAACAAAAGCATCTGCCAAATGACTACAATGTTTGTGCTGCTTAGTAGCAGGTTTCCAGTGAGGAAGAGGAAGTGTAATCACATCACACTCAGAGCTTGTCAGACAACATTAAAGCTTCCCTGTGGTATCAAGTCTGAATCGAGCTTGTGGAGATATTCAGATAGCCAGATGGGGGAGGGTGTGAGCGCTGGTATCGAGCCTGGAAGGAAACCTAGTACAATGACTGACTGGATTCCAGACATTGTGTTTAAAATAGAAGAAGTAGGGAAAGTCACATTAGCCTTTATTTATCCGGAGGAAGATAAATAAAGGTCTACGCACTCGTTTTCCATCAATGGCCCCCGCTGCTGTATCAAGTTTCCTTGAGCCACAAGTCTGGAAACTTACTGCGCCTCTTTTATATCTAAACTTCAACAAAAACAGTGTCAAACTTCAGCAGCATGCTTCTGTCGGTCATAAGAAGGTTTTTTTCAACATTTTCTTGTTGTGGAAATTGCTCCAAACTCAAAAAACCTCAGACTCGCAGAGATGACAAAGATCCCGACTCATGAGATAATTCTAGGTTGACCTCTTATGCCGAACCAGACTAAACTGACAGTAGCTCATAATCTCTGAGTGAGTGATGGGTCTGTGACTGAGGGCGTCCAAAAGCCCATGCAGACCTGACCGACAGTGTTATCTTTAAGGATCATACACAATAGAACTGCAGACGTGGACAAACACTGGCCAGGCTGTGACTTAACGGATGTGTGGTGGGGAGAGTGCGCCGAATCATGTGGTTAACAAAAGTCTTTTAGCTACGGTGTGAAAAAAGTGGCTTCAAATGTGCGAAAAGTTCACCATTGTTCAAAGAGTAACTGGCAAAGGACGTGAAAACAGTGATAATACTCACTCGACTACAGACTAGATTTCATTTGTAATGACTGTAAAAAGGAAATAATGGATTTAAACTCTTGTTGACGAATCTTTCAGTCTCTCCAAGCTTTCACATTTCATCTTTTTGTAGGGCCAAGTAGGGCTGGGCGATAAAACAATAACGATATACATCAAAAATTCATTTCCCTCGATATCAATATGAAACATGGTCAATATGCTTTTCGCTAGACATTCTGCCATGTTTTGGTAGAATATACTAACAGCCAATGAAAAGGGGAGTTGCGCCGGGTTGCGCTGCGCTGAACCAATCATGTGCTGAATTAGAACCAAGTAGCAAACAACTGCGTAGTAGCAGGCTGCAGCTACACGCAGCAATAGCACTTTAACAGGTGAAGCCGACAGCACTGTCAGTGAGAAACAAAGAAAATGAGTGCTACCCCTGACGACATCGTCGACAACACAATTTTTTTATCAGGAGCCCTCTATCAAAGTACAACTACAGACTTCAGATACCAAAAACTGCAGCTCAGTAAAACTGTAATCTTTGCCTTGAAATCATCAGAGAGCAGAAGTAAAAAGCAGAAGGAAATTGATATACTGGCCAGAACTAGCTGGAGTGTAAGTCTATGTACATTATTTATGTTTAAAATTAAAGTGAGTGTGAAAGCTACTGACTGGTATGACAGGAAACCAATTAAACATAATATTTTAGGCTGATATACGCCACAATTTTGAACTAAACTAAGACTTTCCCATCTTATGAAGCCCAGGAGATCCTGCTCAACATGAAAACTTCCATCAACCATCTTAAGATAAAGCTGATTTTAACAGTTTCTTACAACATTTCATGAAAACCCCCATCAGCTACGAATGTTCAACCAACAGACACGAGCAATTAGGGACACTCTGAAGAATCTGCCTGTTTGGCCATCCGAGCAGAAAAGAGAAGAGCAGCAGCGAAAAGTATGACAGGAATGACAAGCTTCTGGTTAAGTGTCCCCGGGTGAGGAAACAACACGGTTCCCAGGCCACCATATCACCACGCTGACAGGAAATGGCTGCACACAGGGGCCCCAGGTGGCTCAAAGTGAAATGAGGCACAACCCATGTAAGCTGGTTTGTTGTCGGCCAATGGGAACAGTGTTTTATGTCAGCAAATGGGCCTGTTTTACAGAGAGCATTGTCACATGTCAGAGAGAGAAGAGCTCATACTGATTTACAGACTTGATATCCACAAGATCGTTTACTTTCAGGATCTGGTGCTGTGCATTCAGGCTACTTGTGATGCGATTACAAAGCTGAAGCTCCACTAAATGTATATTTGATTTGAGACTTTATTCTGTTATGCCTCTGAGGAAAAAGTTGCTTCATTTCCTACGTCTCGGCCACTGTTACTGCTTCAACTGCCCACCATGCTGGGAGCTTAGCCAAATCAAACATGCCACTTTCACCTCACGCAGTCCTTTGCATCATATGTCCCTAAAAACCTCTCCTTCGAACCTTAGTTGATATCGTGACCTAGCGCAGCGACAGAGTTATTTAAAAAATCAGAAATCAGGCAGGGAGACTCATAAATCAAAAAAAAAAACATTAGGCCTGTGGAAAACTTTCCAGAAGTGAAATAAATCTATGGCTCAAATCCAACCTGACAAAAACTGAGGACAAAATCAAGATCTGTTTCAAGCCTTATTGCTCCAATGAAACACAAGTCGAATAGTCCTGATATGACCTGGAATTTCCCTCTCAGTCTTCCTCAGACTCCATCCAACTCCTCCTCCAGCTGCTGCTGCTGCCTGTCTTTCTACTCCTTCTCATCTCCTAGCCTCCCCTCCCACCTGACTTGTGTCTGACTTGTGTTTGCAGTTCTTGTCTGGCTCAGTGAGTCTCCACCTGACGGACTGAGACACACATCTCTGCAGCTGTGGCCTCCTGTGTGCCGAGTAAGAAACAGAAGGAGAGCCCTAGAAAAGGCTTCGAATGTTTACTCAAAGTGGAAGTGAACTTTGTGTCGAGGAGGTTTCCCCTGAAATGCTATGTTGTTTTTTTACATAAGATACAGAAAGGAATAAATCTATCAACGACTTTGAGTAAAAATAACTCACTCCAGTTGTTACATAAACATCCATCTTCTCAATTATCAGGTTTTCTTGCTATCCTTTATTTCCACGGTATAATCCTCTGTGTTTCAATCCTTCACCCTGACAGAAATTGCAACATGCTCACACCACAGCAGGTTTTGACACATCGCCAGCACCATCCTGGCTGTCCTCAGGCAAAGTTGAGGACTAAAAGGAGACAGAGCTGTTTCTGTCACAGCACCACCACAATAGAATAACCGGCTCGAAATACATTGGTTTAATTCAATGATTTTATTTTACTGCATTCAAACTTCAATATAATCATATGCATATTAGGGCTGGCACAATATCCAATTTTTAACTCAAAGTTATAAGGGGTGGGAATCACCAGTGGCCCCACCATACAATATCATCACAATACTTGGGCTACGATACAATATTATCATGATACTTTGGCCACAATATGATATTATCACGATAATTTGGCCACAATACGATATTATCACGATACTTGAAATGATGAAGTATTGCAATACCATATATCATGATTTATACTTTTTTTTAACTGTTTCGCTAATTTAGCATTTGTCTTTCCTTTATATTTGTCCTGTTTACACTGTATTTTATTTTCATGTAGCACTTCTTGCAAACCTTATATTTGTTGTACTAACTTTCTCTTTCCCTATGATGTCATTTCTGCAAACTTCACTGGACAAACAGTTGATTTTATTTTTCCATTATCATAGATTTGACTTCACATTAGCACTTAATTTGAAAAAAATCGATATTTGGTAAATGAGAAGATACCATATATCACCAGACGAAATATCGGGATACTATGCTGTATCGATTTTTTCTCCCACCCCAAAAAGTTATCATGGCCATTAGTTCGAACTGCAAGCTCCAGTGTTGCATTTGGATAAATTTACAAACAATCCTCAGATTTCAGCTTTTTTAAAAGTGCTTTATCATCTCAGCTTAAAGCTCGTTCACAAGCAGGCTGCTGCTTCTTCTCTGAAACCCGTACAGGACTTTTACACAGTGTCAGACCTTTGAGTTCTGGGCCACAGCACAAAAACCTACACAAAACCAACATGTGAAACTACAACAACTGGTGTATGACAAAATAAAAACATACTTGTATGACAAATAATCAGCTGATTTTAGAGGGATGAGTCATCATTAGCAACAAAGCCTCCTGTTGGTAGTTGTGTGTGTACGTGTGTGTATGGTCACGTGTGTGTGCTCACTGCAGGCAACATAAGCTTGGTGATGATAATGGACATCTGCTCTGGTGCTTCAGGAGACACTACGGGACTAATTTGATATTTCATCTGTGAGAGGAGGAGACCACATGATGATAACCTCCAAGTCGAATGCACACCACACATTGAGTCCTCGGATAAAGAGGGCGGCTGGTGCTTTGTGTCCAATGTTAGCCAGATTGAGGGATTTTACATATTTAATGGGATCAAATGCACTGATTTTGTCAGGATTTTTTCCAATATTGTAACCCCTTAAAACACCCACAGATTTGTGCTCTTGTGTACTGCTTCAGCTGTTCTTTGGCTGCCACTTGTGAAAGCGTTGGTGTTCAGAAGGTAAAAATGTTGACTATTGAGATCTGGATGACTCCTCTTTTTAAGTCTCGCAGTCATACACAAAAATTGGAGAGACACATCACTGCTGAGCTTCATCACTCATCTATGCCCAACAGGAAAGACAAAAAAAAACAGCGTAGGACAGACAGGAACCATTTTTACGAGGCAGATGTACCGCTCACTCATCACTACAGGGCTCTTTGAAAAATACAGTTTTCCCTGAGAAAGACAAAAATCTGTCCTGAAAAAATATTTTCTTGGGATCTGTCAGTATGTTTCAGGTCAGACGGTGGGAGTTTTTCTCTCTCACACGCATGCATGCAAAAGTTTTCACACGTGCTAATGAGGGCGATAAAAAGCATTCTTGTCCCAGCGTAAAGACAAGTTATTTATGTTATTTAAAGCTTACAGTAGAGACGACATCAAGGGGACATCACACTGGGAATAACAGAGGATTTTTCTCTTCCGCTTCTGCATTAACAGACACACCAACCTCGTGAATGTGCAAACTGTCTTTTATTCTCTTTCTCTACTCCAATGAAAACCATGTTTTTCTTGTCATATGGCATTTTTCTGACACTACAGGACTTATCAAGAGAAAAGTAAGAGCAAAAATTGCATTTCTGAATATTTCTGTATTCAAATCTCTGTGAATCTCTAGCAGACCCAAACAGCAGGTTCAGACACAATGAGATTTCCTACATCACAAATCCAAGCTCCACCCCCAGAGTTCCGCTATGCAGGCCAGACTTGGAGAAGTAGAGAGGACGATCGCGGAACATCATGTCCCCAAAGACATTAGTGTCCAAGGGCTGAATAGCTCCTATGTTAGCTGCTTCTGCTATAACACTGACAATGTTATGGAGCATTCACACCGAGCGCGAGTAAAATCATCTTCTCGCTTAATTTACACAAATCTAGATGCGTGAATGAACTGTATTGGCTCACTTCGTTGGCGCATTAACGGTAATCGCTGCCAATTCAACCATTGGGATCAAGTGATAGACCAAGTTTTTTTAACAATTTACCGGGTAATCCGACCTCCTCACTCACTTGCCTCCGGGTGAACTCCTTTTTATTCCGATTTAGGTAATTGAAAGAAAAGGTATCATATAATTCAGGGCACCCACACGATCAGTTTGTCCTCCATTTTAGATACCAGTGAACAACCATCTGTTTTCATACATCACCCAGCAACCTTCGTGCTGAGTAGTTATCGCAACGCGAATATCCACTCAGGTTGAGACATTCTCAGCTCACGCCCAATTCGCGTCATTCACACCGCCAGAGTAGTAGGAGTGTCTTATCCCGTCTTTGCATTGACTTAACATGTAATTCAAACTTGGTATGCGAAGACAGTTAGGCTGCAAGTTAGTGTGAAGAGGAGTGTGCAGAAAAGCATTGCGAATTGCTGATGCGCTACTGGAACTCAGCAGGAGAAAAGCTCTAGAAAATGACACAGGTAACGTGATTTTGGCTAAAAATGTCATAATCACAATTTAAAGACCACTAATAACACTTCAGGTAGAAAAAAAAACAATCAGAGTGGGACTTTAAAGTTGTCTGCTTTATTTTGGAGGATGCATGGAAAGAAAATCCCACATTTTCTCCTGTTTCTTCTGACAAAAGCAGCTCCATCACCTGTGCATCACATGTGTAGCCAGTAGAACATGAGGCATTGGGCACTTACAGCTGTGAAGACACATGACTGCTGATGGATGTTCTGTGTGCTGCAAATGTATTGAGGTTATGGATCACTCTCTAACCTACAGGCCATTTTGTCAAGTCTACTTTATACATTTAAGATTGATTTCCTTCCTCATATTTCAGTCAGAAAGGATCCTGAAAGTTATTCCAACATCAAAACAAACACGGCCACCTCTAAATCTTCATTCAGCTTTCGCCAACAGAGCTCGGAAAGCTATTTTAATCTCACAGAATCACGATCGAGGCTTTGAAACAAATCCTTGAGAAACTCTGACACATTCTATAGACGGATATTGACTCATCAGCAGTACAGAGGCTGCGGCTCAGCTGTCATTATTTATCTACAACACTGGATCTGACATGCTTCATGCCTCTGGGCAGCTCGGGCCTGTATGTTCTCTGCACAGCATATATCCCTGATGATGCACAACAGTCTGTACGCTTGACCTGAGATCTGACCTGAGCAACATACAGCTGAACTACATGGAAAAGGCAATGCAGACTGCAGCGGCTTGAAGGGAGATGGTCTTTACATGATCCTATGATATTAATGTTTAATAAAAACCATGAAACAAGCATTTTTTTTCTTCCTTTCTTTAACCGAAAGCAAAGACGAGGATTATTCATGCTGGCGACAGGAAGTCTACATGACTGATTATTTTTAGACTCTCCCCGAAGGTGGCTTACATCTTTTTCTGTTATCAAAGACTCAATAAAATTTTGAGTTACCATTGAAAACCTGTAGTCTACTTTTTTTTTAAATCAAAGAAAGGCATTGATAAGAGAATCATTAAAGAATTGAATTGATAAGCAGAATCTTTAATGGTAACGATGTCGATAAAATCGTATCAATTCCCATCCCTAGACAAAACTAACTTTTTTTTATTTTTCACTGCTAAATTGTCACCACAACAACTTGCATACAATAGGACACAGCATGTAACAAGTAGTGCATAAAACCTGCAGCATCCTATCATTGCAGCGGTTTGCGAGGGAACAGTGCATGTTCAGTGTAAACTCTTCTAAACGTTCAACACAGCCAAACACTCTTGTCCTCGTAGCTATGATCTGAACTGAATCCTGAACCGTTCAGCTGTGTATCGGTTCAGGAGGTCAGAATCACAGGCTTCTCCCACCAAGCACTGAATGATTCGGTGATTCAATGAATGAATCTATTGAACAAATCTTTTTACTGAACTGATTCTAGTGATTCAGTACAAGAACTGCCGTGCCCATCACTACTGAAGACTGACTGAATTTGTTTGAATGTTTTGAATGTGTTTAAAATTAAATTAAAAAGAAAATCTGTAACCAAAGCATTCAGAAAATATATTAACATAATACTTCACAAGAAAAAGGCAATAATTAAGTGCAGGCTACTTGCTTTGCCTTTTGCCTTGAAGCAGTTATGAAGCAACTCTAATGTTATGCATGCAGACCTCCCGGGAGGAACAATGCTGTGTAGGGTCAGTAAGCACTGTACATGCCTAATATGTCACAAGGCATTTCATTACATAACCATCTACATAAACAACATTGTTTTCATTTATAAGCTACACAGTCTAATACAATCAATGGCTGAAAACAATAGCTGGGGCAGTCAGCTCGATTGATCGCCCAGTGTGTCTCTCTGGCCTAGAAAGCTAACCCTAAGCAAAACTAGATTGACACGGGCCTACTTCACATCCCTATCGATAGCTGCGCATAATTAACAAGCATGCCCTCTACGCAAACTGCCAGGCGAGCGTGTCAGTTTGTTCAATATGGTCTCACTTTGTTCCCAAAGTTAGACAGGAAGTCAGCCAGTCAGGCAACTGTGCTGCTGCTCATTCCACCAGCCTGTTACACTGCAATCTCAGCATTTTTCTCATTAATCGATGCTCCACTTTTTGTATTCGGAGAGAGAGAGAGACACTTAGCCCCTCTGCAACCTGCACCCGAGTCTTGGACTCATTCCTAATTTAAGAAACGCCCGGTGTGCAATACACTGACTAACCCCCCTTTCCTTTCTTAGCAGACATGTGTTGCACCAGTAAGTGCTAGGAGTGGCCCGGAGTGTGTTCTTAATCTCTTTATCCCTGCAACTCTTTGCTGCTTACTGTCCAATTCATCAGAGTGAGAATCTCTTCAAGCATCTGCCAAAAAAAGTTAATCACCCTTTTGAAATCCTCTCTTGTGCATTCGCCTCCTCGCCGCAATATTGGAATTCGTGACATAAGAAGCTCACTATTCCTCTGCATATCATTGCCATTTCCTTAGAACCCGGTGTTGCATCAGCATACCTGAATGGCAGGGCTTGTCACTATGAAAATAAAGCAGGATACATTCCAGTTATCATGTGATATTATTACGCCCATCCTACTACTGATGTGATGTTGCAAAGGAGACACACAGGCCAGCAGCAATGCAGCTTGTCAGCAGCATCTGGATGGTAAACTGAGATATAAATGTCACTCATAGAGACAGAAAGTGAACAAAAAGACTCATTTTGCACCAATGAATATGAGATTCATATTAAAATAATTATATACCCACAGTGGGGTGTAGTAGTTTAATACAACAGAGACCTTTAGCACCAGAGGTAGGGTCTTAACGTGTGTCAATGAGCACAATAGTGACTCACAAGGAAACCCTACTTTTAAGTATTAAAATCTGCCACATTTTCACAATTTTTCTACACTTTAAAATGCAACATGCGATGAATTAAAACACCAACCGTTTTCATTTTTTAAACATGTTATCTGTTTTTGTTTAAACCACTTCTTTTTAACGGCAGCAGCAGCAAACGTTTGAATAATGCCAAACGTTACACCCCAACCGTCAGTGAGAGACGCGATTTTTAGAGTCACGACGTTCAAATAGTGAATAAAATAAGCGAATAGTTGTCTTTAATTTGTGTTAAACTGGGATTATAAACAGTCACCATGGCAGAAATCACTTCCACCATCTCGGTAAAAGCCTCACATTACCAAGGCTTCAAACGCGGGGGAGGCTTTTAGCTTCATACAAACACACGGCAGCTAACACACAAACACACTTAAAGTAATCCCAACCGAGTGTTTCCACCGAGCAGGAGGGAGAATGCGTTTTTTTTTTACTTACCGAAAAGACGTCAACGTCCGTGGCAGCCATGGTGAGGAATGTATGGTGTTTGGTTGTGCTGAGAGCAGACTGAGCCGAGGCGAAAGGGAGCAGCCCTCGTCTCTCCGTACTAGCCCAGTGCTAAACTAACTGAGCTGACAGAGAGAGGAAGAGACGAGAGGGACACAAGCTAGTAACTGGGCGAAGGGAGGGGAGGCTACTAAGCTAGGCGACAAGAGAACTCACTGCTGCGAGTCTTTTATTTCGCTCTAACGTTTGCTTTTCTACGTTTTGACTCAGGCTGAGTGTACAAATACGCAAAATAATCGTAAAAGATCTTGTTTGTTCGTTCGTTCGTTTTTATTTGTTCCGCTAATGGCCATTTTTAAGCATTGTATGGAAGTCAATCTGGGCCATCTGATTTTGAATCTCAATTTCAAAACCATCGAATTTCAAGCATGCATTTTTATTTCTTACACTTCTTTTTTTTCACAATGATGAAATAAATTCAGTGTAAAAAATAAAAACAAAACGGTCTCTCAACCTAAAAAAAAACTGTAAAAAAATTGTTAAATGCAATATGGCCTAACCAAATGACACATTGAAAAGTTTATGAAGCGAAATAGTACAATAACCTTTCTACCTACCTCTTTGCTCGTCTTTTGGACGTCGTTTTCTGTGCCTATATTGTAAAACAGGGGTGCTTCATCATTATTGGTCCCTGGCAGCTTACTTCCATTGTGGCTTTTTTTATTTGCATCCTTTTATTTTCGCAGGAGGTATTTTTGTTTTGTTTGTTTGTTTGTTTGTTTTGCGTCATTTACTTCTGTTGTGGTTTTCCTTTTTTTTTTCTATCTGCACTGTTTCTTTTTTCTTTTTTTTTTTTGCATCATTAACTTCCATTGTGGTTTCTTTTTTTTGCATTCTTTTTATTTTTCACAGTGGCTTATTTTTCTTATTATTATTTTTTTTTGCATTTTATTTTTTTTTTGCAGCAGTGGCGGTTCTCAGCCACTCTAAAAAATGACTTGCATGGAAGTAAACCTGTACCATCTGATTTTGAATTTGAATTTCTAAAGTTTAATTTTTGTTTTTGTTTTTTGCATTAAAATCAGACTTTGAATTTCGAAACTATTGAATTTCAAGCACGCATTTTTATTTCTTTTTTTGTTGATTTTTTTTACACAGTTTTTTAAGTTGAATTTTTACTAAACAAATCTTTTGAGAGGCTGATTTTTTTACACTGAATTTATTTCATCATTGTGAAAAAAAAATAAGTGCTTAAAATTCGAAGTCTGATTTTGATGCAAAAAAAAAATAGCTTTAGAAATTCAGATTCAAAAATCAGATGGCACAGATGTACTTCCATACATATCCATATATACAAAAGGCATTTAACAAATGTAGCACAGCACTTGAACGGAAGGGAGCGGGTAGAAGATAAAGCTTGTTTTACCTGCTCCTCACTCAAAACAGAAGTAAACAATTACATAAGATGGTCTGTCCACTTCAGGTTGTGCAGCCCATTAAATTATCCTGTAGGGAGTTTCACATTTTAACCCCATTTATTGCAGCAAAGGTCGGCAGCTCGAAATATTTGGTAAATAAGCTAAATAGAGCATGCTCATCTACATGTCTTGACTCTTGTTTTCTTCAGCAAGTCATAAACTTCTACAAAAAAACTTATTTTAAATGTTATACATATTTTAATTAATGAAAAATATCCCTCTACAAATATGTGTGTAATAATCAAAGCCAATAAATGGTCATGGTTGTGAAAATATCTGTGCAAACATTGAGGAGTGAACTATCTTGACATACAGGTTTCATCTTTGGAAGGGACACATACGTTCCAATATGGCCACTTCTCAGGAACTCCCATTCACTCAAGGAATGTCATGCTGCAAACATTGCAAGCCAGGACAGGAGAAAAGCTGCAACGGTGGGCGACAGGAGGAGGAGGGAGAGAGAAAAAAATGTGCGTGTCAGCCGTTGGGATAATAAAAATACCAAATAACCACTGCTGTGTGTTGTCAGCTGTGGACGTGTCTCCTCAGGATAATATTGAACTGTATCAATGAGGTCATGGATTTCACTAAAAAGTGTGTCAGCCAATTAGAACAGGCGGTCTAATTGTTAAACTATAGTGCAGTTTAATCCAATTGTAGATCCTGTGTTTACATGGACCTATAGGTCTGTTTGCCTTGGGGACCCCTCACAGTGTGTTACTGGTATGCAGTTCATGTAATTTTTTTGTGTTGTAATTATGGGGAATGCTGGAATTTTTGGATGATACTTTTCAATTAGGCTGCTGATTATTGTGCAAACAACCATTGTGTATGTGGATTGTCTGAATGTATTGCTAAGACTTGGACACTAATTGCAGCCAGAGTTTGATTTAGAGCTGTACATTTAAAAAAAAAGAAACTGTGTTGAGTTACGGTAAGAGTCTTTCTTTTAGCACCTCCATTTTTTGGCACAGACACAACGACATGAATAGACGAACCTCTTTTCTGTGTTCAGCCTGCTCCAACTTCTCTCCTGCAAGATAAGACAACAGTATACAAGGACCACATGAGTAACAATACATTAAAAATGTGGGGAAATTTAAGTGTCTGTTGATTATTATGCCCCCCAGTGAGCAAAACAGAACATCATCTAATAACATCATGCTCAATTAAGAGTAAGTAATACTTTCTGACAAAATAAATCTTGACTGTCTTTATTTGAAAAGTCAAATCTATTCCTCACCGTAGACTGTTGCTGTGGAAAATGTAATATTAATACTGACTTTCAGGGGTGGAATGTAGCTTGTTATATTCTCTTAGATTACTGTGAGTAGATATTTTTGCGTACTGTTTCTGTTGTTTTAAAGTGTCATTACAGTGCACTTCTGATTTTTAGCTTGTTATTAAGCCTATCTGAAGAGTTAGCCATGATTTAAATGCGCAAGGACCCATCTAAAAAGCCAAAGTTACCAAAGATGCTGCAAAAATATTCACAAACTTCATTCTGGAGAGGTGCAGAGTCAAAATCATTCATGCTGTCAAGTCCAACAATTTTATTTTTATTTCCTTTTTTTTTTTTTTTTTTTTTGGATAATACACTTTTACATATCAAGAAGAGAATCAGGGCCATGAAACTTTTTATTGTCTGTCTTTTTTCCAGAATTACTTTTTATCTCAAAATTTTGGGTAAAATTCAGGATTCTGAGTTTAGAGCCAGGAGTCTGACTTTTTCTCAGATTTTTAGGATTACAGTTATAATTTTGACTAAGGAAAAAAGTCATTTTTGAATCAAAGACCAAATCAAAGAGCTAAAAATTAGGATTCTATAGGTCAGGATTCTTAGGATTTGATAAGTCAGGATTCTATAAGTTAGGATTCTTTAAGTCAGGATTCTATAAGTCCAGATTCTGGAAGTCAAGATTCTATAAATCAGGATTCTGGAAGTCAGGATTTTTAGGATTCTATAAGTCAGGATTTTAAAAGTCAGGATTCTATAAATCCGGATTCTGGAAGTTAGGATTCTAGTGTTAGGATTCTATGAATCAGGATTCTAGAAGTTAGGATTCTGGAAGTCTGGATTCTAGAAGTTAGGATTCTATAAGTCAGGATTCTAAGGATTCTATAAATCAGGAATTTATAAATTGGGAGTCTATAAATTATGATTCTAGAAGTTATGATTCTACAAGGCTGGTTCCAGAAGTCAGTATTTTGACATTGAATTTTGAAGAGAAAAATAGTAAAAATTTTGATAATATTCCTCTAAATTCTGTCATAATTTCGTTTTTTTTATTCAGAAATAAGAGAAAAATAAACGGAATTGGGGAAAAAATTAACCTCAGGTGTTTAGAGGCTCTGATCCTGTTCCATATAGCCTACAGAAAATAAAATATTTTACTTTATCCAACACAGGTGCTTTGTCAGTGATCTGTCATTTGGGTCTGTATGTGGTCTTTAAATATCCAAGCTAGTCTTTATAGCCCACTGTGGTCTGGTATATTGAGACTTTGTATTCTTGGAGGTTCGAGGTAAGAAAGATTTATTATTATTACTTAATTAAAAACCACTTTTTACTGCCTAATGTTAGCCTTCAGTTGAAAGTTAGCCTACAAATTGAGAGTCATCCAGCACCTGCAGCCAGTTTGCCTGAGGGGACAGACTTCTGCATATTTTATTCAAATGTAAATCCACGTCCGCACTTTCCCGGAAAAAGAGACTCCTGCAGGTACGAAGGGAGGGAGGGGAGAAGCGCGCGGCCAGGTGAGGGCTCCCACTGTACCGTCACCGGTACAAAGGTGAAACAGGACGAAGCGGAGATCGTTGTCTCAACTTTGACATCTAAAAACAACAGTTTTCACGATGGCTTTGACGCAAGACTCTATCTTGTCCCTGCTGATAGCGGAAGGGGGCCGAGTGAAGAAATCCTACCTGGTGGGTAAGTTCAGAGAGTCAGTCAACTGCGACGATCCGGCGGAGAAAGAGCGAAACCGGGAGCTTTTCAAGACTTTAGTCAATAACGTCGCCTTTGTGAAAGAAATCGACGGTGTCCGGTACGTCGTGGTTCGAAAAATGTATCAGCATTTGTTGAACAGAGATAACCAGACGGCGGAAGAGACAGAAAACAAAGAGATCCAGCTGACAGGTGAGCAGCAGCGCCCACCTGTGAGGACTGAGGAGACACCAGCTGATACTGAAGCAGACCATCAACAGGCAAGTGAACTTGATGAAAACCCAACAGAGTTATTGTCTCCCATACAGTTGGCTCTGCGAAGAAGCAAAACAAAGGATATCAGGGTCAAAAAGGCGCTGAGTTTTGAGACTCAAAGCCAAACCCAGAACAAACCATACGCTTTACCTCTCCGAATGCCACCCAGCGCCACTAAAGTGGAGATCCACAAACTTAAAGTGGACTCGGATGACCCTCCTGAGAGTCCCAAACCGGATCCCTACAAAAACAAGAGAAGGCCTTCAGTGGAGTCCAGCTGCAGCAGCATCAGCTCCCCCCAACTGAGGAGGGCAGTAAAAGGCATCACCAAGGCGTCAGTGGAAACCAGGGTGCCCTCCTCAGTTCCCCTGGAGATGTCAGAGCATGAATGGCTGGTTAAATGTGCAGCCGGGCACTGGAGCCAGGTTTACGGCATGCTGCTGGGGGACAACCAGCTGGCCGAGAAGAGGGACTTCATGTCAGGGTTCACGGCTCTGCACTGGGCGGCCAAATGTGGGAACAGTGAAATGCTTGTGAAGATCATTGACCTGTCCAGACAAGGAGGGGTCGACATCGACATCAACGCAAAAACACACGGCGGGTACACTCCTCTGCACATCGCCGCCTTGCACGACCAGGAGTACATCCTGGTCATGTTGGTGGCCGAGTTCGGAGCCGACCCGACCATCAGGGACAACTGCGGAAAGAGGGCTTACCACTATCTACATAAAGGGATCTCCAAGACGGTTCGAGAGATGCTGGGCGAGCCCAAAGTCCAGGATAAGACTCCAGAAAAGGCCCCGCAAGAGAAAGAAGACGTGGACTTGTTCCCGGATATCTCCAAAAGTTTCCAGTCGATAAGCCGCCTCTTTCAGCCGCACATGACAGGCCAGAAGAAGAAGCACAAGCAGAGGCCGCTGATGTTCTCCTTGAGCGATGAGCCCAGTGAGGAGCGAGAGGACAGCAGCGGGTTCAGACACAGACTGGTGTCAGATGTTTTTATGTGAACGACAATGACAAAAACTTTAGAGAATATATTTCAGTTTAACTTGAATTTTCTGTCATACAGCATCAAAAAATCTATCAAAGAAGACAAATCAATCACTGTATCAGGAGAAGAGAAACCCTCTGTGGCTGTTTGAGTCACAAAAACTCTTTGTTTGAGACTTCACCTTTATTTATTGAATCTTAAGGTACAGGCGTGAACAGAAAAATGACTCTGACAATGTTCTGTGGTGTCCTGTGAGTCACCTTATCGCTCACTGTCTGCGGTATCTTAAAGACATCATCTCTTCAGTCTGAGAGTCTCAATCTCAGGGATTGATAGTTTGAAAATGTTAATTTTATGATGAATTTCCATTTTTGTTAAATCAACAATTATAAACGTGTTTTCTCCTGAATGAAATGTCTCTTTCAAGCACAAAAAATAAGATTCATCTGCATTAAAAGTTACTAATAATCTATGTCGAGCGTATTTAAGAGTCATTTTCTGGTTGATTGTGATATTAAATGTACAATTCGCTGTCTTTTCACAATGTTTGCAACCTTTACATGTCTGTTCTCTCAAAAACAAATGTACTTATTGATTAGTTTTGGTTAAAATTAGTGGACTGTTTTAAGTAACACATGCACAAATCATGAATCTTGGCATTCACAAAGCAAACAAATTAAAAAGGGTTTTCCAACTTAACGGTAAATCGATGCAACGATTAAATGAGTAAATTGAACCAAAAATAGAGAAATATTACAACCTTAAAAGTGGGTTAAGAAGACCTGCTTCCTCATCTGCTTATTTACAACAAAGTACACAGCCCTGCAGAAACTAAACTGTCTGAATTACAGTAGATTTTACAAGTCGAGGTGAAGGAATCTACGTTCATAAAGCTCCGTGCAGGTGTTTCATAAATCGTTAAAGTTGCTCTACATGCCAACATGTCTCTAAATCGTGGCTCTGAGCTGTCTCCTGACTTGTTGAGACAGCTGTGATTCAGCCGGTTGAGCAGCCGACTAGGAATGCTTTGTTTTCAGTCTGCCTTGGTTCATTTTCCCCCAGCAGATCGGACACACGTGAGCGTGTTATCAAAGTCAGAGTAAGATCTTAAAGGTTTGTGCAAAGAATCACGGGTGTTGAGAAACGTCCTCTCCTAAGATGACTAAGCTTCATCCAACCCCTGGAGTCATCTCTTACCATTTCTATCATGTCCTATAATGTCATCACTCCCCCAGCAGCAGCAGCAGCACGCATTGTCTTTACGTCAAGACGATGTTTCATCTCGAAAGCCCCGGGGGTTTTATTCAGCAAATGTTCCTCTCTGCTGTGAGGAGAGAGGCTGAGACGAGGTCAGGAGCAAGACCCAGAGTGGTGGAAGAAGTCAGATCCTTTAGATGAAGGGAACAGCTGTAGCATAATGTTAAAGTCAGATGAGTCAGGAAGGAAGCTTGTGCAAAGAAAATATGAAAGTGGGATTTGTTAGTAATTTAAGTTATAGAGATAAAGATCCTTGTGCTGAAATTTGTCTATTTCTGAGTGGAAATGCAGTAATGTTGTCACGGAGGCTGATCAGAGACTCAAAGCAGGACAAACGAAAAACTAAAAACCCTTAAAGAAAAACTACTGTCTGCATGGAAACTATAATAAAACGAGCTTATTCAAACAAAAATAATCTAAACAAACTGAATTCAGAGACTAAAGAGTCTAGCAGATAAAAAACAAAAACTCAGAAAACTGGGGCTGGTACGGTGGCCAAGGACCGCCACTGCTGCAAATAAAAAAGAATGCAAAAAAAAAGGGGTCCCAACAGAAGTTACCGATGCAAAAATAAAAGTAACCAAAGCCTGCTGAAAATAATTTAAAAAAAAGAAACAGTGATATAAACAAAAAAAGCCACAATGGAAGTTAACAACGCAAAAAAAAGTAGCGATGTGTGAAGTAAATCTGTTCTATCTGATTTTGAATTTGAATTTCTAGAGCTGAAATTTTTGCATCACATTCAGACTTTGAATTTCAGATTTTTGGTATTGAAAGCACTCATTTTTATTTCTGATACTTTTTGTTCACAATGATGAAATAAATTCAGTATAAAAAAACAGTCTCAAAATGTTTGTTTAGTAAAAATTCAACAACAAAAAAAAAAAATCAACATAAAAAAATTCAGTGTTAAATAATTCAGTGACAATGGAAGTTAATGACGCAAAAAAAGTGGCAATGTATGGAAGTAAATCTGTGCCAACTGATTTTGAATTTGAATTTCTAAAACTGATTTTTTTGCATCAAAATCAGACTTCAAAATTTTGGGATTTCAAGCACGCTTTTTTTATTTCTGACACTTGTTTTTTTTTCACAATGATGAAATAAATTCAGTGTAAAAAAAATCAGCCTCTTAAAAGATTTGTTTTGTAAAAATTCGACTTAAAAAAATGTAAAAAAATTAACATAAAAAAATTAATTAATTAATTAATTAAAGAGCATTTTTATAATATAGTCAATTGAATTATTTTTTATTTTAATTTTGTTGAAATAGAGGTTCCTGACAAAGTCAAAAAGTCTTGATGCAAAAAAGCTAATTTAAGTGGATCTTTTAAGCATTTGAAAACAAAAACAGGTCGGTGCAGACCCTAACACAGGAGGAGGGTTAAATCAATCGTTAAAAAAAAAATAATTTTTATCTGAAGACGTGTCCTCTCTTGTTGAGAAGAACAGTTTTAATCTGCCATCTGGTGTTTAAATTGAACACACACAATCTCAATGAGTCCACATGAAAGTGGGTCAAGACTAGTTTTGGTCATAATAACTCTTAGTCCTGTAACGAGCAGGAGACAGTAAAGGAATATAACTAGGAAGGCCTGGAATGCGCGTTTATGACGAGCTATTATCCCACAAGTGTGTCAGATAGTTATGGACAGACCAAAAACATCTCCATCATGGTAATAAACCAGGACAGCTTTATGGTCTGTGAGAGCGATGTTTGTTTGTCACATAACTGAGCTGTGTAATGACTAGTAGAGGTAAGAGGAGAAGGAGGAGGACAAAGGTGTGCTGACATTCCTGCGAGCCAAGAGTTCAGAGTTCATGTTGAAAAGTCGGCTCTGAAGAAACTTATCTGTCTGCGTAATCACAGAGTCATCGACATGATCAACGGCCTTCCTCATGACGTGTTGTTGCAGCCACTGCTTATTATGGTCAGTTTGTAATCGACCACTTTTGCGGTCTCGGTGTTGCCTCTGTCTTTTTGTTATATTCACATTTTTCTGTTCCCTTGTGGTAATAATCAGCAGTAAAACACTGAGAGAGGCCTGCTGCTGCTGCTGCTGTTGTCATGTTCAGGCCATCCTGTTCCCTCCTCTCACCACCTCAATGCCTTGTCACTTACGCTGCCTCGTACTGTCGCTGAAACTAATTAGTATGCAATTAGTGTCAGACAAAGATTGTGCTTGTTCTATGACTCCCTAAGTTTGGTTTTACATTTCTGCAGAGTGAAAGGGGGCTTTTATTTTGTAAAGTACACCAAGTGCTTTCCAGTGTCTCTCACTGTCCTCCTGGGGTTTCCTCACACTTTGCTACACACTGTTTTTTTTTTTTCACTTGGTCCTTTTTTCTGTGGCTTTTAATAAGCATTTGTTTTGACTGACAAACAAACTGGACAACATTCCTCCGTCAGGCTGAGCAAACAGGAGCAGAGATGCATGAAGGAGACGAGACAAGAGGAAGAAAGAGTCATTTAGTTCTGTTTTTAAGCAGATAAAATCTGATGTTCATCTTCAAGTCATATTTTGATATTTTTGGTAATACAGTTGCTGAAAAAACTCTACAGGTGAACATAAAAGGTGATGATTAGCTAAATTGCAAATATTTTTGGCTAATGAGAGTAATTTCTGAAAATCCCTGCTAAAGCATCTTAAAGCTCCTGTGAGGAATTTTCTGTTCGTGTTGATTTTGGCGCCCCCACTGGACAAAGTGATACTTTTCACATTTTAGCTTATCTTAATCTTTTTATGTGTAAATTGGGTTTTCTACCTTTGTTTACGAATTATTCATCTCCTCAGCGTCTCTGACACCTACCCCCCACTACACAATTTTAGGCGTCAAAAAATTTCAATAAAAAGTTCTCAATCTTCTTGTAGATGGGTTCACTTGTTTTTGTAGCTCATATAAATACGGCATTATCAATTTTAGTCTTGTCCATCACCAGTCAAAAACTCCTCACTGGAGCTTTATAATCTTTTTTTACTGAATTTCTTAGGATTATATTTGGGTCCATCTACATCTGTGAATGTAATACTCTTCATATAAGCTTGATTGATTTTAAATATTCTTTTTTTTTACAGGTCATTCTCTCTTTTTGTCATAAAATTCATATATCCCTTCTTTATTTTGAACAGATTAGCCGGTCGCTGGTCTAAATGTAAGTTTATGAAAAAAAAAAATCTAAGTTCTTAAAATTTTTGATTAAAGTTCCAAATTTTCATTCAAAATTTTTAAATTCAAAGCCTCAAAAATGTTTTGACAATGGGGATTTTTTTTCTTTTGATTTGAGGACATTGCTTTTATCATTTCTTGAAGTTTTTGTTTCATTCACTGTTTAAAAAATAAATAAATAAAAATAAAGTTCTTAAAATTTTTGATTGAAGTTCCAGACTTCCTTTAAAATTTTTCAAATTAAGAGCCCCAAAAATGTTTTGACAGTGGGAATTTTTTTGTTCTTGTTTTGGTCTGAGGACATTTCTTGCTTTTTTTTATTACTCCTTTTTAAAAAAAAAAAAATCTAATCCCACATGATAATTTATCACACATCTCTCACTCTAAATACAAAGTGTGTTGGGTTATGGTTGTGGTTATTATGCAAACACGCAATTTTTGAGTTAACAAGTTTAACAAAGTTTTTTTCAAGAGTTTCCAGCTGATTCCTTCCACAGGTAACACATATTTTTCTCCTACCATCTCCTTTTAAACCATCTTCTTCACAAATTATGATTCTTGTTCCCGGTTCATCTGCTGCTAATTATCACACTTTCAGATGCAGTGTGTGAATATGCCTGCAGAGGGCAGGGTCGATCTCTGATAAGACCTGATCAATTCTCTGACTGCCTCGGACACCTCAGACCTCACAGAGGAAAGTTAAAGTTCTGTGAGTTAGAGGAAAGACTGTGTCAGAACTTCAAACATTTCCTCTTCTCACAGTTTAAATATTGCAACAGAAGCATAAAGCATAAGTCGCTTTACATAAATACTGCATGTAACCTATATTTGCAGCTATAGTGTGCAGTATCTTTCATGTGCTGCTTGTTACTGCTCACTGTCAGGTTAAATGAAACAGGGAGGAGAGGGAAAGCTTAATTTATTCACAATATTACAAACATCATGGAATTTACAACTCCAAACAGGCACAAAAAACATCTCAAACATCTCAAAAGAAAAGAAGAATATAGCAGAAAAATGTGGCTTCAGAAATGTCTGCTGTCATAACCACCAGCTAGGACTGAAATACGTCGCTCTGCTCATAATAATGATGCAAACCTCCCAAACTAGGTCCCCTTCTCTCTCTGCGACCTCAACAAAACACTGCTTTGAAAGACAGAAACAAGAAATGACTCAGGAGTTAGTATGCACACAAAGCAAGAACTCAAAACGGATTATTATTCCTCCGTGTGTTGCTCCCCGGTAGGAGCTTCTCCCTCGCTTCTGTTCCTTCGTACTCCAAAAACGCTGGTCTTTTTGAGGAATTCCAAGAGGCTGCAGGAAACAACACGAGAGTCTTTTCGAACTCCTCGGCTCCTGCGTCAGCACAAAGGCCAAAACAAACATACATTTGTTTAGCAAACTAAAACGGGCCGGACGTAAATCTCCGGAGAAATGCTGCAGGGGGTGAAGTGAAGACGTGGAGGAGTTTATATCGACCTATGACACTCGTCTTTCTGATTAACATGATATAGACACGATAAAAACGACAAACGCTTAAAAGAGTTTAGCTGACAGGTGTGTTTCCTGAGGGATGAAAACGTTTTGATCATTTTAAGACTTAATAGGGGTTATTTTGTGTACACAGCAAACACCAAGAGGAGTTCTGTCTTCTCGTTCGACGACTAATCTCTACGCACACAAAGGTTACGACATTCATGATTCCGAGCTGTCTGCACATGTGGAGCAAACAGCTCACGTGACTCCGAAAACAACGCTAATAATCAGGAAATAGGGATTAATATCATAAGAGCTTTTCCTCTAAAGACAGCCGTGTCGATTTAAATAAAACTACAGGGTTATATGCGTCTAAAAGGGGCTAAACAGTGGAGGTAGAGAAGAGAGAAATGAGTTTAAGACACCTGAAAGTGAAGATTGTGGACTTGCTCGTTCAAACAAAGTATTTCAAGTATCACGTGTCACTCCTGCGACAAAAGGGACATTGGGAGAAATAATTGTTGCTTACTTATAATCTGCTTTAAAAGAGGTTTACTGCCTCTGTATGAGGAACCGTTCCAGCATGAAATCATCGAGACTTAATAACATTAAGCATGAAATAAGCCGGAGAAGAATTTGTACACATTCCTGAATGTTGCTGGGGTGTGTGTGTGTGCGTGCTCGTGTACCTTTTCAGAACATGATTTCAACATTCCTATTCAAAGATTTCAAAGCGGAGATATTGAAGTGAGGCTTTCCTTTGACTTTTGAAGAAATGTGCATTTACGTATCATTACAAAGTGCTTTTTTTTTCATTCACCCTTTTTGGTTTTTAGTGCCTTAATTTGAAACATTTATTTTTTTTAAAAAAGGACATAAAAAAAAAGATTAAATCTACATCTATTGTACATTTTTTTTCTTTTACTAACATGATACAGTACACCGCCCCCCTCTCAGGCTACTCTCTTTAACTGAAGCCTCTTCTCACTGGTCAAAATACAATCTTAAAGCTTATTAAAGGTTTCCACTGGTGCAGGTACGGGGCCGTGAGCGACTATCGTCTAGGAAGGGGGGATAGCAGCTGGATTGCAAGGGACGCAAAGTTTCCAACCAGCAGCTCTGATGGATAAAGGCACACGGAAAAAAAACAGTCTGAAGTCAACGGAAACGGTGAAGAAGTCCTGATTTACGTTTCAGAGTGTGAGCGAAAGACAAGGAGCATCAGTTTTTATCGTCTTAAACGCTCGTATCTTGTTCAGCCTTTAGTTAAAAGAAGGATGTGGATTGTGTGTGTTGTTTTTTTTGCCCTCTCAATCTCAAAAGGCCGGGTGCAAAGGGTCGGAAATATCCACATCCACATCTTTAAAAAGTACCTCAAGTTAAAAAGTGAAAACCCCTCTGCGTGTCCTTTTGAACATCCTATCAAGAAGAAGAAATCAGTGCTCTCGTTCCTCCTCCTCTCTCTCTCTCTCAAACATTCAGGCTGCAGGAAAGCGCCTCCAGCTGCTCCTCTCCCAGCCTCTGCTTCTCCTCCAGGTCCTTCTGCCGGATGAGCAGCGACGCCTTGGTTTGGACGAAGCGCCGGTAGTCCTGCAGCTGCTCGGTGGACAGCTGGCGGGACAGAAAGGTGGAGACCAGATTCTCTCTCCGGTCCAGGTTATCCTTGAGATCTTTGGCGTCCTCCCTCTGTTTGCACAGCAGGCGATGGCGACTGTCCAGAGATTGCTGAGTGCAAAGGAAAAGAAAAGGAAAGAGTTTGTATTCAGCTGTAATAATGCTCATCTAACTCTACACCTGGACTCCTGTAGACAAAAGGTTTTGACTCTTATTTGTGTTTGAATACGAATGTAAACACTGATGTGATAACCGGTAGTGAAAGTCGTCCGATCATGTGTCAAACAGCCACAGGAAAAGGAGGTGCAGTGTTTCCTTGTGTCAACAGAGGGCAGGGTAGATACAAATGTCATCGAAACCGGGCTGGAGTTTCGGTGAGTCAGTGTAAATACCAGTGTTGCTGATAACAGCAAGAAAACAAATGAGCCTCTAACAAGCCCTGAGCATGCAGCACGTTCAGCCGGGGTGGAAAAAGAACGAACAAGGAGCTCTTTCAGGGATCAATCTAGGAATCTAATGCATCCATGCAAACGTAAAATGATGATGAAATGAAACGAGGCACAAAACAGCTCCAACCAAATCTACAGCCAGTTTGGAGAGACTCAAATCAAGTCATAAGAGAGTTTAAAGTGATTAATGATAAGCAATAACATCGTCTGTAGTTATTAAAAGTCGTCGTTAAATAAATCATTTGGCCCAGACGCAGATAAGCTCTGAACGGGCGATTAAACAGATAAAGCCGAGCGCATTTTTTGAATTCCGCAGAGCGAGAAACCTTGACTCCGTTCAAGTCGCCCTTCAACTTTCCCCAAATGGCATGTTTGTTATTCTAGAGCAAACAGAATGAGAGTATAGCTGAGGGCATGGGAGCAGCCCAACACCTCTTCTTACTCTCCTGCTGCCAGAGGCTCTGAATGAGCGGCGGTGAATCATGTGAACTACAGGGTTTAAATGATATAATAATAACCCGCCTCAGGAGCGTTCTGACTGTACAGCATGCTTTAGCTCACAAGCATTAGTGTTGATGTGTGTAAACAACCACAGGGAGAGAGATGAGCGTGCACATAGACTGTAATAGACAGAGAGTTTGACCGTGTTTTAACGGTGTATCTGAGTTTTTATTAAACGGATTCAGATGCGCTTTAAATCAGATTCTGCTGAGAGAATAACAGAGAAATGAGAGTAAGCAGAGATGCATTTATTCTACTCTACTGCAGAAACCTCTGATTTCAAAGTCGCTGAATGCACCATAAAGGAGAGTTTTCATAACAGTTCTGTCTGACAATTATGCAACTGAGAAAAAACTGAGAAAATAACCCAATATAAACTGCAATTTCACACTCATTCAAGACAATTTCACAGGTTTGCAAACTAAACTGTGGAGAAATAAATGAAAAACAAATACTGTCTGGAAGATAAGAGGTCTAAATGAAGGGATTTTTACCTCTCCACAGATCTCTGATATTCTTAAAGGGATATTCCAGAGTAGACACCCCTTTGAGAGATGAATGTTGCAGACTGCTTGCTTCTCTAGTTATACCAACTTCAGTAACAACCTCACAATAGCAATACACAGCAGTCTACGTCTCCACGCACAAACCTCAACCAAAACGCCACTCTATAGACACAAATAATGCTCAGAACAGCACCTACCTTCAGCACCCAACTAAACATCTTTTTAGCTTTGCCTGATTTCTTTAGCAAAGAGACTAAACACAACTCACCCACTCTCCTCCAGCAGCCGCTTGTTTGTTGGGGAGCGCAGCGGATCATTTCCATAAAGTAATAATCATCATATTAATCATTTTCCAATCAGACGTGGTCGTTCTTCTGCCTTAGTGTCTGATTGATTGCATTTCCATTAAGTAATAATCATAAATGTTCTTCCTTGAGCTGCGAAACCCCGCTGCACTGCGGGTTTGGTCTCAAAGCTAAAAAGATGTTTGGTGGCTAGTACTTGTACTAATAATCATAAATTTTCCTCTGCACTCTGTGATGGACTCGTGAGGGCTCCCCCACAAACAAGCGGCTGCTGGAGGAGAGTGGGTGAGTTGTTTAGTCTTTTTGCTAAGGAAATCAGGCAAAGCTAAAAAGATGTTTGATGGCTAGTACTATGACTGGGACCCTATATGTACTGTTGATGAAGTTACGTGCTGTTCTGAGCATTATTTGTGGCTATAAAGTAGCTTTTTGGTTAAGGTTTGCACGTGGAGACATAGACCACTGTGTATTGCTATTGTGTGGTCGTTACTGACGTAGGTATAGCTACAGAAGCAAGCAGTCGGCAACATTCATTTCTCAAGGGGATGTCTAACTTAAATTTTTGCCGGAATATCCCTTTAATTCACAAAGGCTCTATGTCCTCACCTTCTCCTCTGCGTCCGTGTGTTGATCCACGGTGCTCAGTGCATTCTGCACCCTGGCCAGCCGAGCGGAGAGGCACAGCAGCAGGTTGACCACCCTCTCCAGGTCTCCTATGAACAGGGTGTACCTCTCCAGCTCCACAGGCAGACAGCGCTCACGGACCAGTACCTCCAGGGTCTCACCGTGGGCCACGTTCTCCTGAATCTCTGTCTGGAGGGCGCTGCGCATCTCTTCCAGCGATTTCAGTCGTTCCTCAATGTGGGACACTAACAGTCGCTGAGGAGACAGTGTGGAAACAAGTTGACCTAGATTTACGACAACTTCTATATTTTCAAATTCAGATATAGTTTCATAGAAAAATGGACAAAAGTTAAGACTGTTAACATGAATCAGGAGGAGGAAGAGGCTATTTGCAGAGCCAAACATTAGCCAAATGTAGGACACTGATAAGAGTCAGACAGCGCATCTTGTGATAAGATACATATAACTAACTCAGTCTGATTCAGGTCCACTTAAGGCCAAATAGCAACCAGATTGTATCAGAGTGACGTCAGTATTTCTGCTCTTAAAATAAAAAGAGAGCAAAGTTTGAAGTCCTGTTTGTTCAGCTGCTACGTCTGCTTTCCTGCCATTCTTAATGACCCTTTCAGTCACATATAACCTTATTATTCGTCCAGGCTACACATTCCTGGGCTCGTTTTGCAGCCGGTTGCAACATCTTTTTTTTTCTGTTTTCTCTGCAGAAAAACCTAAAACATCCGCTGTGGTGCATAAATTAATAATTACCTTCTTCTCAGTGATGTCAGCTTTGCTCTGCAGATCCGCACACTGAGATACGAGGCTGTTAGAAGCAGGAAGACACAGAGGTGGTGCAGCCCCTTCCTCTTTTTCCACTCTAGAAAAGAAACAGGTGTACAGGTGAAGCTCACTTCTCACACTCTGCTGATCTGTCTGTACAATAGGGGCCAATAAATTTTGATGTTTTATGTGCAGTTCAACCCTGAGTGTTGGTTACATATTACATAGATGTGAACTGCAAGTGCACATTCTTGATGTATCTGCAGTGAGCTTACACTAGCAGAAACCGGAGTGCAGGCGCAGCAATAAGTAGACAGTCAACTGAGTCTCTGCAATGTGATGCAACAAAGTGTAACAGTGCTGGTGGAGCAGATCTCTGGCAATTAGAAACCAGGATCAAGTTTCACAGAGGAGTCCAACACCGAGAGAGTTGGGACTTGAGCTGGAGGGATCATTTTTTCCATCTCTGCAGCCGCTCGCTCACGGCTTGCTGGCAAATCTTCCATTTGTATGTCAACTCTAGAAAAAACTCCAGAGCTCAGTACGCCCCGGGTTTGAACATTTACCTTTCAGCAGCTCCTTTCTGCTCCTGCTTCTTCTTATAGTGCTCTTCCATCAGGAGAGTGTCCTCCGACAGCAGCTGCTCCATCAGCATCAGCGCCGTCTTGCGATTCGCCAGCGGGTAGAGCACTCTGGCCAGCGACTGGTCAGCCTTCACCATCGCTTCCACGAGCTCCTCCCACTTGGGGGTCTCGGCGGGCCTCTCTTGGCTCTCCGTCTCTCCCTCTGGTGTCCCCCTCTCCTCCATCGCCGGGGTTTCTTTCGACTTCTCATCTTCCGCTTCTGGACTTTTCTTCTCTTCTGCGTGCTGACTGATGTCGGTGTCAGAGACGGAGGCGCATGGAGACACAGAGGTCTTGCTTGTCTGTGCTGGAGGGGCCGGGCTGGTGGACTCGTCGTCAAAAACGTTGTCTGTCAGCGACGAAGGCTGGATGTCCGTTTTGATCTCATCTTCAGGGGGGACGATCCACAGGGATGGATCCGTGGTGACGCCGCAGCTCAGAGATACCTGGTTGTTTGACTCAGCTGGAGGGGCTTCTGCGGTCGGTACGTCCACTGACGGCTCTTTCTCTGATCCAGCCAGAGAGGGAGAAGTTCGGACTCTGCAGGAAGTGGAACAAAACATGGTCAAACACACGAGCAGAAGAAAAAAACTGCTGCAGGGGTCTAAGGGTTGAATCTTACCTGGAGCTAGGCCTGCTTTCAAAGGGGAGCTTTGTCTGAGTGGGGGTAGATGACGTTGATTTGATCTCCCCCTCGCTGGTATCTAGACCTCTGGGGGAAGGCGGGTGAGATGCAGTCTCACTGGGCGGCCCGCTGGATTTGAACTCATCTGTGACAAGGCTGTGAGAACCAGGAGATCCAGACTGAGCCCTGGCCCGGGAGGAGGAGCGCGAGGCTGGAGAGGTGGATCTACTGGAGCTCCTTGTTCCTGAGGCATCCTGCTCTGGATCCGAGTTCTGCTTCAACAGAGACCTCCTCTGGGTTTGGTTCGGTGCCTGTCCCTGAGTTTTCCTCGGACTGAAAATCTCTCTCGCCTGCTCGATGATAAACTGTTTTTTCCTCCCCCTGTCCTGTCCCTGGATGTCTCTGACTTCGGCGAAGAACGTGACGCCCCTCTTCTCTCGGTCCAGTCCTCCCGGTCCGCATGAATATCTGGACATTTGATCCAGCTGCTCGGAGCTTTTACTCAAGGCTGACAGTCTCGTTAACTTGGATGCCCCGAGCTCTTCCATTGACTTTCCTCTTTGAGCGACGACACGGACGCGCTGCTGGACTTCAGGGGATGGCTCGAAGGAGTCCTCGATGTCACTCTTCTGGGGACTGAGAGAGATTCAGTTATCATCACAGACAGTCCAAAGATAGTCCTACAGATAAACATGTTCAAGAAGAAACAGGGCATTTTTATTCTTCTTGATGTACGACCCATGAATAAATCTTTTTAAAGGGAATGTTGGTATGCAGGAGCAGGTGGGTGTTAACTCTCCATTGCTACAATAACTCACATGGAGATTTACGGTCGGTGCCACAGCACACACATCTCTGACCTAATACTCTACTGACCTAAAACCGATAAAACATGTCCCAATTTTTCTGTTATGCTGGTACATACCTCCAGGTTTCCGTGGTGATGACTGGTGATGGATCCTTCTCAAGTGCCTGCAGACCCAGAAGAAGAAGCAACACATAAAGTACACTTTAAGAGGTGCACTTTTAAATCGAGCCAGAAAAAAAAGGGACTTTAAAGGGATATTGTGGTGTAAAACGAAGTTAGTGTCAAACACACAGTAACACCGAGTTAGACACCCACTCAGGAGATGAATGTTGCCGACCGCTTGCTTCTCTAGTTATACCAACTTTAGTAACAACCGCACGATAGCAATATACATTGGTCTATGTCTCCACGCGCAAACCTCAACCAAAGAGCCACTCTATAGCCACAAATAATGCTCAGAACAGCACCTAACTTCATCAACAGTACATATAGGGTCCCATATAGAACAACCCATCAAACAACTTTTTAACTTCGCCTAATTTCTTTAGCAAAGAGACCCAAAACAACTCACCCATGCTCCTCTAGAAGCTGCTTGTTTGTGGGGGAGCCCTGATGACTCAATTACCGATTGCAGCGGAGTTTCGCAGCTCAAGGAAGAACATTTATGATCATTACTTCATGGAAATGCACTTAGACTGAGACACAAAGGCAGAAGAACTACCACGTCTGCAGTGCAAAATGATTATTACTTCATTGAAATCATCCGCTGCACTCTGTGATCAACTCGTCAGAATGACCCCTCAAACAAGCAGCTGCTGGAGGAGAGTGGGTGAGTTGTGTTTAGTCTCTTTGCTAAAGAAATCAGGCAAAGTTAAAAAGATGTTTGGTGGCTAGTACTATGGCTGGGACCCTATATGTACTGTTGATGAAGTTAGGTGCTGTTCTGAACATTATTTGTGGCTATAGAGTGGCATTTTGGTTGTGGTTTGTGCGTGGAGACGTAGACCGCTGTGTATTGCTATCGTGTGTTCATTGCTAAAGTTGGTATAACTAGAGAAGCAAGCGGTCAGCAACATTCATTTCTCGAGGGGATGTCTGACTCAGTGTTATGGTGTGTTTGACCATAATTTAAATTTACGCCGGAATATCCCTTTAAGGTTAAAAACATCTAAATATTCCACACAAAACATTTGGTCACTGAGCAGCAGATGTCAGATCGTTGAGGCGTGTTTCTGCAGGTAATTTATGGTATCTGATTTCATTAGACTTACTTGAAATGCATGTGGTGTGGATTTGGATCTGTTCCTGGTGAAACTAGGCTCCTCTCGCTGGTCCAAAAGACTCTCCACTGAAGCAGACTTCACCTGAGACGGAGCATGGCTCTCCCTAAATCTGGACTGATTCGACTGGCCGCCATATTGGCCTGAACATGACTGAGCTGAGAAGAACTGAGCATACCTGTACGATAAAAATCAAAAAAAGGTTAATCTAAAATACCAAACAACAAACAAGTTCACGCTCGATTTCTGGATTCTGTTCTCGTCTGTTTTACCTGATAGAGCTAGTGGAGGAGTCCAGGATTCGCCCAGCAGAGTGGGGTCTGAGGAGTTTCTTCTTGGTGTTATTGCTGTCTTGGTTTGCTGATAGAGGTCTGGGCCCCCAGTCAAATGGTTTCTCCCCTAGAGAATGCCTCTGTCTAGACGGAGGTGGTACCTGGGGTGCTGGTTTCTGTGGTTCCGCCACTTTCTGACCCGTCTTGCGCTCCATGTACTCCACTAGAGCCTTGTGTTGGAGATGTTTCAGGTTTGTCTTCGAAGCATTGGAGGCTGAAAGAGCTCGACCTCTTGACTCAAAGATCTTCCTTCGAGCCGCGACCAGTCCCAGCTCTCCTTGATGCACTTGATCCTCTTCCTCACATTCAGCTGAAAACACGTTTTCACTCTCATTACCGAAGGAACGGCAAGCAGAGTGGACAGGGGCACCACCAAGCTGGTTGAGCTTCTCCGGTTCGGAGTAGCACATCTTTTTCTGCTCGGGAGTCAGTCGCCTCCTTCCCCCGACACGCCCTACCTGAGGCTGGGCCACATTCGCTGGTTTTCCGTTTTCTTTCTCAGTCTCATTGTCCACTTCCTTCACACTCTCGCTGACTTCCTCTTTAATGCTGCCTCTCTCTGTCTCCTCGGAGGTCAAAGAAGGAGTGATCGTGTCTGTGGAGGTCTCAGAGTCCTGCGATGAGGAGAAAACATGAATCACCGCAGGCCTCAGCTCGGGTTTTTGCTTCATGCGGTGCGGCCATGAGAGTTGCAGGTCCCTTCTTTTGAACGATGTCTCCCTCAGGACTTTTGACTGGGCGTCCTTCAGCTTCTCTTTGTAGTACTTTTTAAAGGAGTCATCCAGGGTATTACAGGCAGAGGCAATATCGTCTTTGTCATTGGTGCTTGTATCACTCTTAAGAGGTCTCTCGTTGTTAACTGGGATAACTTCCTTGCCTTTTGAGCCGAAATCAGATGTCCTTTTCGGTTGTAATGCTGCCCTGTTGGCTCCAGTGAGGTGGTAGAGAAGTGGGGTCGTTTCTTTATTGATCCTCTCGCTGGCTACATCTGCCAAAGGCTGCCGTTTCCCCCTCTTTGCCTGGTCCTCTTTCTTGGCATGGACGGTCTGCTCATTGCTTGTCAATGAGGTAACCTCTTTTGTTTTCGTCACTGAGTGGGGCAGGCAGTTTCTTTCTGGTCCACAGTAGAAGATAGGGTTGTTGGCAGTGTGACGGCCAATATCTCGGTTTTGCACCATGTCGATTTCTTCCAAGGTGTCAAAACTTCTAGATGAGCGCACTGAGGAGAGGGATAACCTGCGATTCTCCTGATCCTGGCTCCTAGAGGAAAACTCTTTCTCCTGGAAAGCCTCTTTGTCCTCTGAGAATATACTACTGGAGGAACGAGAGCTTGCCTGGAGAGGTCTAAACAAACTGTCCATTGTGCTGTGGCATCTTTCTTTTTCTCTAAGGCGAAACACAGCAGAGCTCTCGCTCCCACTCTCAGACCCACACACGGATGCGGAGTGAGTCCTCATACCAGATTCAGGCGGCTTACACACTCCTGTGACGAAGTAGAACTGACCCTTATGCTGGATGCTGCTGTTGATAAAACTCTGGCTGGCGTTCCAGGGGCTGGCTGCTCGGGTCGACTCTGAACTAATCCAATCGTCAGCCGAGTGCGCCCTTTTGCGCTGACTTTGAAAGTGGATGCTGCTACTACTGGACTTCTCTTGATGGTTTCCGTTACATCCAGCGTTGCTTGAAGGCTGTGTGGGATTCAGGTGGTCGGGTGGACTCGTGGTTCGAGGGGGCGATCGGCTTAAGATGTTTGTTGATTTTTGCTGTTCAGAGGCGGACTTGTTGTCGGTGATAGAAAGGTATTCTGGGTTAAACTGTAGATGGGGGCGGTAAACCGGCAGCTGCTGCTGGGTTTGTGTTTGCTGCTGCTGTTGAGAGCCCTTCCAAACTGAGAAAACCGGGTCGGAATTCAAGCTTGAGTTCCCTGTATCTGGGTTAGCCGACTCAAGTCTTTGCGTCGTCAGACCATGGGGATGTAGGTGAATACGATTGCTGGTTCTGGGCTGTTGTTTCGCCTGTGGCTGCTGGGGTCGACACTCGGTATCTTGTTGGGGGCTTCTGCTGTTCTCCAAGTTTTTTGTAGCTATAAAGCTATCCAGGCGTGCCGGGACTGGAGGGGGACGAGCCAGAGGCCCATCTTTCTTGGACAATGCTTTGTTGTTGATATGAAAACCATTATTCTGGTTGTGGTGGTTGTCGTTGTTGTTGGTATTGTTGCGATACTGCTGTGAGATCGCTTCAACTGAGCGATAAAGCTGGTCCATGGTTTTCGAGTCGGACTGCAGAACCTGGGTTGGATTGTAAATGGACTTCACATACTTAAGATCAGCATAGTGGCTGAAGTGGCTGGACTGTAGATCTTCTGGGAGAAAGGGGGAAGGGTAGTCCGGGGCATTGGATCCACCAGAGAAGGAGCTGTAGGCGGAGTCTCCTTTGCCGTGCTGGTGATGGGCGAGTTGATCCGCAATGCTGCTGTTGGACTTGGCTGGGGAGAGCCGGCTGACTGGCAGGCTCAGAGGATGCAGGTCCACGTTGCTCATTCTCTCAAAATGGAAGCTGTAGGAATCCATGGAGGACTGGGACGGATGGCAGGAAGGGAAGGGCAGAGTTTGGACTTGCCTGGGACGTGGATGTGCGCTGATGCATGTGTCTCTCTTGCGGATGAAAACCGGGAAATTACCACCAGCACTCTTGCACCGGGTTGCCAGTCACGCTTGTTGCTAATTAGGTCATTTTCCTGCTTTTTTTGGTGTGTTTATTCGAAGCCTCTTGAAGTGTTCTGCTCAGTCGCTCCTGGGGGAGAAAGCATAAACACACCACAGACTTGTTATCAAGACTGAAATCTTGTGTTTCAGTCATACTTCTGTGCCAAACGGGCGGCTGCACAAGAGTGAATAGCTAGACAAAAAGTGTGTACATTTCCTGACAGATACTCACTGCCTGTCACAGCATGACAGTATAAACACACATGTTTGTATTCAATTGTCAACTTGGCATGTCCACCAGGCTGATGGCACACACAGCTCATTCCCGCAAATGAAGTAAAATATGTTCACTTTCTAGCTGTAGGGTTTCTGTAGGTTTCAACAAGTCAAGTTTAGGACTTTTTTTAAGACCATAATAATTACAATTTAAGATCCATTTTACATCCATACCGGCAAAAAGCACAAAAGACATGAACATTTTAAACTAAGTTCAAATCAATCTTATTTGTAAGTAACATCAATACATTTTTAAGATCTTTCACATTTGTATTTAAGACATTTTATGAGGTTTTAAGAGAATTTTAGACATTTTAGGCCTTGAATTCAAATAGTTGGATTTTAGATATTTCAAGACTTTTTAAGACCCAGTAGAAACCCTGATAAAGGGAAATCTCCAATGCGCTGTTTTAAGGGAAAATGTCTCTGGCAGAAAAGCCTGCTATTTTCAACTCAAAGTAAGTGTTGAAAAACTTTGCCTGGCATTTTTAGGTCAAATTCCTCGAGTGAATTGTTGCACCATCTGCTATAAGTTGTAAAGACAAATTATGCTGCACTTGACTCAAAAATGTTCACCAGACCCTCTGAAAAAGGGGTCTGGTGCTCTTCTGCACTGAAGGGTGAATAATCCAGCTGTCCTAGTTTTGACTCTAAAATGATTCATGAAGCTTTTACACTTGTTAACCGTTTAACAGAGAAATCCTGAGTTGAATCAAGATGAGTGTTCATATCCAAATAAGGGGAAACAAATATGGTGACTCTGCGAACTGAAGCTTGATTTGTGTAGGTTGGTACAGCTTGCCACCTGTTGAGGGAGTCTGTCTGCATCAGTGAGGTCTCTCAATTAAAGCTCGAGGTTCGCAGTGCACGTTGCAGCGCATGCATAAGAAATGTCAGGAATTCCATATGAAACTGCAGAAATCTGTGAGGATTAGTCATGTGAACCATGTAGAAAGCCTTATAGGCAACATGACCCCTGTAGGACTTATCTACCTTACCTGTGTTATTTAGGGGATATTAAAGAAAATCATGAGGGGATGTTAAACAGTCCTGTTTTAAAGATCCCACGGAGACATGGCAAAGACAGTTCAAACCATGAAAACCGGAGATGAATAGAGGTTCATTTGCTTCCTTTTTGGCCTCAGTCTTTGCTTGGTTTCCCTAAACCTGCTGTCATCATCAGCTATCCAAAAAAAGAAAAAAAAGTCCTTGTTGTCACAGAAACTAGCCCCTGCAGGTTAATGATAGGTTTCAGTTTTACAGTGGACTATAATGAAAGAGTAAAAGTAGGCTGTCTTGTGACCTGCATACCTTTCCATGGCATACCTGTCATGCACACACAGGTTAATAATACCCGAGTAATAATGACAAACCATACCTGTTAATCAACTCTAATAAAGAAGTTGACAACTTTGGCCTCATTTTTGATGGGAGGGAGTTGCATCCTGTATGAATCAGCTGTTTTTCCTCCGTAAGTTATTTTAACCGGCAAGCATAAACTCCAGCTTATCAACTCGGACTGATGACCAAAAACTCCTGAATAATCAATAAAAACAAGTAAAATCTTCCTCAGTTTTTTTGGCCCAGGCGAAAAAAGCTGAATCAAAGCTGATCCTAGGTGGTCGTTTTGCATACACACAAAACACACCTCCCAAAAGCCTTTCAAACTACAGTATTAAGGGGGATTCCATGTGTTTATGAAGGGCCTTCTGATCTGTGATTGTGTGTGTGTGAGTGTGTGTGTGTGTGTGTGTGTGTGTGGCTTCCAGCCCTCCTCTTCCCTCTGCGAGACACACAGAGAGAGAGAGAGAGAGTCTCCCAAACAGGGGAGCACTCAAGTGGAAGTGATGGAGGGGACAGGCAGTGACAAAATGTACAGAGAGGGGAGAAGGAGGGGAGGGGAGGGTGAAGCAGAGGGTGACCAGCCCAGACAAATACCCTCACACGCAAACTACAACAACAAGAGACAAGAGAAGTGAACAATGACAGCGGGGCAGGAAAGCTGAACACGAGTTAGGAGTCTGGAGCAACAGTCACAAGGAAGAGTAGGAAACGCTGAGAGGCTGGTGATTTGGAGAAAATACTCAAATGGAAGTTTGTAGACTTAAGAGAGAAGACAAAAGTGGAAAAACTCACCCAAACTTTGAGGATAAGTTCCCCACGTTCCTGAATTCCATCTGAAAAAGAAAAAGTCCCTTTAGCTTTAGACTGAAACAAGACTTGTAGAGAGCTCTCTGTCCTTGTTTCTTTTCAGAACATCTTTCTTCCTCTATAGAGGGACCAGACCGAGTAACCAGGAGAGCTACATATTAGAGGGAAGACTTCCACCAAGTCCTTTCTCCCCCCACTGAGAGCCGAGGCTGCCCAGTGGGAGCCACTGATTGGCCAGCCGATGACGTCCGGCTCTGAGATGCACAATGAGCGCAGCGGAGGGAATATTTCACTGCTGCAGATAGCTGCTAGTGCTGCCGGCCGCCCGAACAACAGGGAGAGAGAGAGAGAGAGAGAGAGAGAGAGAGAGAGAGAGAGAGAGAGAGAGAAGGCTACAGAAAAAAGGAGGCCTCGCATTCCTGGCTGGCTTCAAAGACGGAGCAGAGCCGGGGCGCCATTCATTCCCAAGGCCCTGAGCCCTGCACATGGAGACAAGCCAAAGCAGGAGGGGGTAGTAGCGGTGGTGGTGGAGTGGGTGGGTGTATGGGTGACCTTCCAGCCTCAACCTTCTAGTCCAACATACTAACTAGCCCCTTCTCTCATCCTCATCTCCTGACTGGACTCCACCTGTTGGATGACATCATGGCTTTTCATTCTTTGTTGGGTCAGTAAGACAGAAAACTCAGCACACAGGAACTCAAGCAGAGACCAAGACACAGATCTGGTCTCATGTCCGGGTCTCAGGGTTACGGTGTGTTTGACCATAACTTAAATTTACACTGGAATATCCCTTCAACATCAGTGGTCAAAACTGAATTAAAGATGTAGTGTTCAGTATTTATCGGTGCCTAGTAGAACAGATAGAATGTACTTAAATCCACTTTCCAGACATGTTTGCAAGAGACCTCCATGACAGGGGTCAACACGCAGGAAAGACGGGGGGGGATCAAGGATCAGCTCATGACAACTTTCTGCCTCGCAACTGAGCTAAGCACTATTCTTACGCGTCTTAAGTTTTTCCTTAAGACTTGTAAGAATTTAAACACCACGTGTGAAAAAAACATCCAGCGTGGTCCGGCGAGGGAGTCAGGGTGGCACACATGTCGGAATTCATAAGATTGGATTTACAAAACCGATGAATGAGAGCAAGAGGGCGACGGCTGATGGAGAGAGGCAAAAATGAAGGATGGGAGGGGGGTGCTAAATTCCTTCAGATTCTGTTTTTTTTTTTAACTTGCGTGGTGATTATGTGTTCCAGCGTGACCTTCACTATGGAGCCACGAGACAGGACCACCAGACGCCACAAAACCATAGTCAGAATTTCGATGGAGAAATAGAGAATAAGAGAAAAGGGTGATGAGAAGATTGATGGTGATATAAGAAAAAGAGAAAGCTCAAATGTAAGACCGAGAAAGAAAGAGTCAAACACGAGGAATAAAGCTGTACAGCAGAGGCCGTGTGAAACCAGCGGCCAGCCAATAAACGAACGTGCCAAAACCAATAAGCTTGTTAGACCTTCTGGCTCGGCTAAGTCTGTTGAGGAAGATGGTTACACATGGACAGACCTGCAGACCTCTGACTGAGGAGCTTAATGGACTTGATTGTGTCCTCGAAGAAACATGGAAAATGCATTTAAAGCTATCAAACACAGCGTAGACACGTGTTCTTGACTGTGTTAAAGCCATGTTAAATTTTAAACTAAGTTAGACAGTTTATAAAAATCTATCTTGGAGTCAAGGCGAGCTCTGAACCAGGAAGAGCGGTGATATTAACACCTGCTGACGAGTGGTGCTGCATGACAAACAGTAATAAAATTTGGCTCATAGTTCAAAGTCAATAACATTTTGGACGAGTCATAAAAGGCAGCGAGCGGTAAAGTAAAAAGATAAATAGCACCTGAGTGAACTCAGAGCTTTCCACTGAAAGTTTAACTCCTATTACTTATTTCTTTTCCTGTTTTTTTCCCCTTTTCATTGTCGATTTAACTCATTAAATCTTTCTTTGTAAAACAGTAAAACACTTTGTCACCTACCAGTGTAATTTGCTTGTAAAACTGCAACACGACAAGATGATCTCACTCTGAAAAAGCTTTATTTTGGCATTGTAATCCTGGTTAAATATATTTGATGGTTTAATCAATGTTTCCACTTGCGTCAAACTTTCTGATGTATAATGTGACCTTTTTTTAACTTGTGGTACAATATAATAAATTCCTGTCTTTATTAATCAGCATTTCACAGAACAGACTTGGTAGAAGTGAAATAAATATTTTTAAGTATGTTTAAATTTGTGTATAATAGGTGTTTTTGAACATAAAAACAGAATCATACTTAAAATGCAGCCACTGCTTGGCTTGGGGTGAGCAAGGGAGCATTCCAACTTAAGGCGAAGACCACTTTTTACCTCTAAATATCCCCATTTCTACACATTATTGTCGGGCTGGGCGATATGGCCTCAAATCAATATCATGATATATTGAGCAGTTCACCTTGATAACGATAAATGGACGATAACTACTCCACAAGCTGCTCACCCCCTCCCACATTAACTTCATCTACTTCAGCCGCCGCTCCAGTCACTACAACTTTCGAACCGTCCTCCATCTCCTCACCTGTCTTTCCCTCTTTGTTACGGACTGGATGGGGTGGAGTCACGTCTCTGACGTAGGACAGAGTCTTAAAAGGATATGAGACCATAGCCTACCTACACACATCCAAAACCAACTTTTATTTATTTATTTTTCTGACACCGAATATATATTGATATAGGATCAATGTTGTTGGTTGTCGACGTAAATTTCGGTATCGGTAAATTTTCGGTTTATCGCCCAGCCCTAATTTCATCCTAGGCGAAGACTACTTGTTACCCCTAAATATCCCTGCTTCTACACGTTATTGCACCATGTGCAAAGCTCTTGGCAGTATTAAGAAGTTCACATTAGCCAACAGAAACAGGCAGAATCAGCCAACCTGGTTGCAGGAATAGAAATGATAATCTATAAGCATAAGCTCTGCCTCATAATAGACCTTTTTAGTGTGAGTAAACAGTATGAGGTTTATTGTCAGGAGACGTTTTGGGTCTCTTTGAGTATGTGAGGTCACTTTAATGCCCAGGACTGGTGGTTTTGCTTGTTTCCCTTTTTAAAGTGGAACAGATTGGCTGCTTTAACCCAGTAGATTAAAGAGGAAAACAGAATACTTAGTAATGCACACAATGTGGATGTCACTCACAAGGCATCACTCATGTTCACATACGGATGATTTAAGCTCCTTGCAGTATGGGATTAAAATCGTTCCAGTAACCTCTTGGTCCACAAAGGCTTTCATGGAAATGTAAACCACTTTTTTCTTGACTTTGAGAGAGCGTTAAAAACTCCAAACTTAAGGGACACAACAACTTAACTTAGCAGCTTCACATGAGAAATGTACTCTGAACGTCTGGAGTCCCACAGGACCTTAAAGACATCACTCCTATTGTCCTCGATCAAACAGAAACAGACAGGAAGCTGTATCTGAAAAGGTGGAAGTGGCCGGTTGTTGAGCACTGACAGAGTAAAGCATCCAGTAATGGGAAAAGGAAAGCCGTGTTGCCACACAGTCAGCGTCAACAACAGCGCCCACGGTTCCTCTTGCATGCGCGTGCGTTAAGCTCAGCCTGTCTGTGAGACCGAAACTGTGTCTTTGTGTTGCTGGGCAGTGCTCACATCAGGGTCTAACACCTATAGCTGACCAAGACAAGCTGTCACACTCTAATAAGCTCTACATTCCTGTCCTCAGGACTTCCTGGATGTTATTAGCATTCAGCTCACCTACATTAACGCTGATCTTGAAGTGATATTTTTAAAGGATGTGTTCATGCTCAATTTAAACTATTACTCTGTTTCTGCTGCTGTGCTATCCATCTGGGGCACTTAGCTGAACGGTTTCATGTTACATAACCGCTCACCTACATGCACAAAATGCCTCATAGTCTACACAAAGAGTCTACACCACTGTCTATCCTCCGTGTTTAACGATTAACCAGGAAGTACATCACACCCAGAGGCATCGAGCTTAAAAAAAGGGACACTGGCCTCTGCGAATGATAAACTTCTTATTACTTCCAAGTGGCTACTGAGAAGAAGACAATTACTTTTGCATTAAGGACCCCCCTGAGGGGCTGCAATATGATCGAGTCACGGTGAGTTACACTGGATACTGTAGGAATGTCTCTGCACTAGAATAGTACAAGGCTGCAGGTGATGGAGGTTTGTTCGTGTCGATTTGTTTGGTCTAAAAATGGACCGTGCAGAATTATAATTCTTGCAGCGTATGCAAGTCTGAGACCGCACTGATCTGTTTCAAATTTAGATCTGAAGTGATGATAAAAGCATTATGGGGCAATAAAGAACCTCACACTGTCATCTCACACACTTTTTTATACCTGAAATAAAAGGTCATGAAGCAAACCATGTGCTCCGTTAGCAAAAAATGACGTCCAACTGAGCAGGAGCCAACAAACTCATCCCAAACTTCTGATGTAGGTGAAGGTCAGAGGCTCGAGGATCACATGTTTCAGTGGCTAAATAGCATCTTACAACACCTCAGGGATGTAACGGTAACTGGTGTAAGGGTAAATCGTGATAAACATGTTGATGATAACCATTACCAAAAAAAACGGTGTGTGTGTGTGTGTGTGTGTGTTGGTGTAATGAATCAGCTGTGAGATCACCGACGATAACTCGCTAGTTAATCAGCTCTGTGATTACCGTCAATAACTTGCTAATGCTAACCCCCAATTTCCACCGCATCCGGAACGGCTACGAAAAGGCCGTATCTGTCAATCGCAGCTGATCGTTTCCATTAAAGATAATGTGTCAATTTCCACCGGCTTCTTTCCGTTCCGCTGCGGATCGTCGGACTCCGAAGCCGATCGTAAGATTTCTATTTTTTTCATAATACTCGGCATAGCGTGCTCTGCGGTGCGCCGCATGTATGTATACTGATACATATGAGTCTGAGGTCGAGCCACATAAGAAAAAAACTATTTTTTAAGTTGTGGCTGCTTTAATTTAGCTGTGACACTGTGCCACGATCAACTGCATGTAGAGGAAACCCTGTGTTAATCATCCCAGCTTCATCTGAGTCTCCTGAAGTAGCTGTGCAGGCGCACTGTGTAGCCTACAGTATTAATGCTGCGTTCGAGTTACCTCGGAAGTCAGCTGGGAATGACGTCACACCCAAGTCACCAGCGTTTCAGTTACCAAGTCGTAAAATAAAGTTATTTTGGCGCTTGCCTTGTCCTTGCTTATATTCGGACAAGACAAGCGCCAAAATAAATTTCGTAGATGTAGCCATCTTTATTCCGTCTCCAATATTCCTTTTTCCGACTCGGTAACTGAAACGCTGGTAACTCTGTCTTCTGACTTCCGAGGTAACTGGGACGCAGCATTAAACCTTCTATTAAGTTTGAAATGGAATCATGGTGGAAGGAGCTGATGATGGCGCCGAAGACATCCACCAGCCCTCTAAGAGGACCAAGTCGGTATTATGGGCATATTTTGGGTTTCATAGGAATGTCGAGGGAAAACTTAGTTGAAGACAGTAATCCTGTCTCGGTATGATGAAATGTGAAAACAAGGCAAAATGCCTTTGAATACATTTTTAAAAATACCACGATAATACCGAAAACCATGATTATTTTGGTTGCAATAACCATGAGGAAGAATTTTCACAGTTACATCCCAACTCCACAAGCAGGAGATTACTTTATTCTGAGCAAATGTGTGACACCACGAGCAAGAAGGGAGCCACAGGGACAAAAGAGGACCAGTCTGGTGAGGAATGTATGAAAAGAGAGAGGAGGGGGGAAAAGAAACCCAGAAAGTGAGAAAGAAGAGACAGCCCTCCAGGAAGCTACGGACAAACAAGAGAGGGGAAAAACACAATAACAAATGACCCACTTCCTGTTCAAAGGTGGGGAAAGTCTCATAACACCATCAGAACGGGAAAATTCTTACCCTTCTCGAAAAAAACACCAATTGTTCTGGAGTCCCCAGAGTCTCCTCAACCTCAGACCTCGTATCTCAAAGATCCTTAAAGATGCACGGTCTCAAACAAACAGATAAGGAGATAAGTGGGCTTCAGGGCAACACTTGTGCAACACCTGCCAATATCCCCGCTCTTCCTGTGCACATCTTTTGCATCTTTACTCATTGATTTTCAGCCTTTTCAACCTTTTCTTCCACATTGGCTGCAAAAATCGACATGAAACTGAAGTGTATTTTTCATAACAAAAACATAACAACCTCATTTCGATTGATTTGATCATGTTTTGGATGTATAAGTAGAATAGTTCGAACAGCGAAATTTGTCTTCAGGTATTATAAAACACAGTGATTCTACAAACAGGCTGTACCAACAAAAGAATTATGCATCATGTAACCAAGATATCTGGCACAAGTTGTGTGGAGGATTTGCCGAGCACACAAATGTCATAATAAAATCGGTCAACCAGCAAAGTACACCGAACCGCCCTAAAGTTTTATTAGATAACTGAAGTATCATCTCATAAACCAGATATGATTCAGAAACTTCAAAAAGATCTTGTACCAGAGGGCACCAGGGCAGTTTACCATGTAGGTCAGCCTGTGTCATCTCATGCCTGCAGCTGCCCCCCTCGCCTGATCGCCCTGCCAGGCTGCAGGAACCATCTCTGCCTTGTTATATAATGAGCTGTAGTCCCACCAGCTGACCACAGACACAGAACAGACGCAGGAATTCACCCATGGTGGCCCCCCGAGCTGGTACTGCATCAGTCGTGACACTGCATGACTTCACCCTGGAGCACATGAGATTTAGCGCAGTGAGCCAGACTCCCCAGGGAGACACCGGTCCTACAGTACACGTATTGTTCTTGTATTACAACTAAAAATCGTCCAGTGATTCATATCTCATGATTAAGGCTCTATAGAAGCTCGCACTTTTCTTGTAATTCTGTATTGTTTTATCCAAAGAACAAAGAAAACACAAAAGTATGCACATTTTGAATTTTATACTCGTCATATAAGGAACCCCATGAGACTGAAGTCGACATGACTACACTTAAAGAAGCTGAGACGATGATGAGCCCACAAGTTTGTGCTAATCAATATTGGTATCGTATCAGGGGTAAAAAAGTTGTATCCGGACACTCCTAACTGCTTTGCATCACTGCGGCAGCAGCGCTAGAGACCAAAATTGAAAAAAAATGACAAGGCCCAAACCAAACTCCATACAGTTGACTTCTGACCCTCAAGGAAGAAAAGAGGAGACAGTGTTAAATTCAAGGACTTATCTAAAGAGAAGCAACCGAGCCTATAAAAGGGTTCAATAAAAACACTTTCCATCGGCACAGTGCGGGACGCACATGGTGGAAATATGAATCACCTGACTCTTTATAGCACTCTGACCCTTGCCGCCTTATCGCTGTATGTTTGTCTGGTTTGGCTATTTAGACGGAGCACACGGAGAGAGGAATGTGTCTGATAAGCAGTTAGGGCAGGTAAAACAAACAGGTTTGTTTTATACAGCACACACACACACACACACACACACACACACACACACACACACACACACACACACACACACACACACACACACACAGCCATCCAGTTTGTTTATTCAAACTAAATATGCAAATCAAATTCAAAGGATAACATTTTCACATTCTGACTTTCACTTCTCAGGCGACAGATGGTTTAATTACCTCTTATGTAAGAAGCCGAATGCTAAGAACGGACGAGGCTTGTTCAAACACTATATGAAGGCCGGCTGTTCTCACATTCAGTAAACCATCTCTGCAGTTGAGGGTCTGCCAGTCAAAACTATTATATAAGACAGAGCTTATGCATCAAATCGTGCAAGTTAAACAAGCGCTAATGTGGATAAAACTGTATATGACTTACTCAGGAATAGGGCTTGGCGATAAAACCTCAAATCAATATCACGATATATTGAGCAGTTCACCTCGATAACGATAAATGGATGACTCCACAAGCTGCTTAAACCGTCCTCCATCTCCTCACCTGTCTTTCCCTCTTTGTTACAGAATAGATGGGGTGGAGTCACGCTTCCGGCGTGGGACAGCATCTTAAAGGGACATGAGACCATAACCTACCTACACACATCCAAAACCAACTTTTATTTATTTATTTATTTTTCTGACACTGAATATACTGATATGGGCAAAATGACGTCGGTTATTGTCGTAAATTTCAGTATCAGCAAATTTTTGGTTTATCGCCCAGCCCTAACTGATACAGTAAGAGCTAGGTTTCAATAACTAATTTGTAAACTGTAAAAAAGCATTTCTCAAAGAGACCCAGTCCATGATATCCTGACCAACAAAATCCAAAAACGAAAACAAAAAGCAGCAAACAAACTGAAGTTCTTTTTCATCATTTAAAAGAACAACATCTTTTAAGCTTAATAGTAAATATAACATTTTTATCAATATTGTCCCTTCTGACATACTATTACACTATACCGAAACAGGACACCATCGTAAATTCCCGTATTGGTAAATTTTCAGTTTATCGCCCAGCCCTACTCAAGAAGTGGACCCCAGCATCTTTTAACATCTCCACATTGGCTCCACTGTACTCAAGACTGGATGTTACCATTTGGGTCATTGTGTGGTCGAATGTACACGTGCGATGTAAAGTGAAGAAAAAAACATTACTGAAAGTCAAATTCAGTCAGGCGTCCTGATTACTACATTCGCAAAGCTTTATTTTGCCACAAGGACAAAGTTTTAATACTCATTACATAATAACATTAGATAATTAATCCTGTTTTATGTGGGGTTGCAGGATCAATACCGCCTCGAGTAGGATTTGCAGAAATGTTTGAATAGATAAATGCATGAATTGCCAATAAGTTCTGAGCTGTATCCCTATCTCTCGGTTCTGGTCTTCTTCGTGCATCTTTTGAAGCTACATCTAAGCTCGTCAAGACTGTAACCAACATCTTTCACGGGGGAACACACAAAACTTCCTAATCCCGAACCGTCTGCAGCTGCAGGAAAATCCTAAATCTCTACATCAACACAGTATCCTATTCAGTTTAAACACTAAGACTGCGTAATTAGGACTGGGTGTGTCCCCTCGTCTGTAATCGCTCGACCTCCTGGAGCGGCCAAAGTCAGGTTACAGAACTGAGCGACCTGCTGAGCTACATGACAACACTTTCAGCATTCCTCTTCTGGCTCGTTTCCTCCCTGGACCCATCTAATAAGAAGCAATTACAGCCAATGAATGGACAATTCAATCACACTGGGTAAAAACTAGCCATCCAGGGCCACTTTACACCACCATTTTTACTCCAGTATGGGCCATACAGGTGTTTCGAGTTACTTTCACTTACGAGGTCGGATACTGGAACTATATGAGGTCTAACAGTGGAGTCATTAGTGGTTATTAGTAACACCTGTGCTTCTTCTACTTAATTCAATACCCTTTGGTTACACTGCCAGCACAATTCAGGATTCCTGTGCTCAGACTGAATCCAGATGGAGTCTTTGAAAGTCTGGACGTCAAGAAAGTTGCGTGAAATGTGGTTTTGTAATTGTAATAGTGTAAATTTTTCTGATCTGTCTCAGTCAGAATATCCAGGCGGCTAAAATCAGGTTTCAAATGTCTTCATGAGAAAAGGACAACGACCTCAACAACACCAGAAGCATGGAAGTGCATCAGATACCCCAACTACTGTGACTACAGCTATGAGTTTCTCATGAAGGTGAACAAAAAGAACAACAGTCTTTCGAAACGCTGTTTTGATTATAGATTATAGATCACTGATTATACATCTGCAGGGAGAATAATTATACACACGCTTGCTCGTGATTAGTGCGAGTTGTTGGTTAGTTATGTAACTTGTTTGATAATCGTTGTTTGATTTCCAAGTTCCTCAACTGCCAACTCCTTCAGTTTGAGCTGGAAACGTTTCCCTGATACTTCATGTCTTAACGGTGTTTTGCCACATCATGCAGTTCACAGACCCCCTTTCACAGCAGACATTATGACCCATCAGGCAAGAAGCAGAGGTGGAATTAATCACTCATTCAACGGCTGCAGGTATGTCGATAACAGGGCCGTGTTACTACCGAATCTCTCTCGCTTAAATGGGTGCTTGCTAGGTCGATAACTTTTGATAACTTCAGTTTTTATCTTCCTTTGTCTGCCATCAGAGGAGTCTATTTCAGAGGGTGAAGTTTCACCTGAAGGTGTTATTTTTCTCACATTTACTGATGCAAAAAAGCTGTCAAGTAAATCAGATTACAGTCTAATCCAAATCAAATCACCTCTGGGGGGTCCAGCATGAGTGTGCAAGGCCATCAAAGAAACAGTTTGACATTGTGGGAAATTCAATTATTTCCATTTGATTGGATTATTACCATTCCTATATGTGCCTATAGCTTGCATATGATTAGTTTAGGTTTGCTTAGCTCAACTGAGCCGCGCACAAAGACTGAAAACCCTCGGGAATAATTTGCCTCGCTCAGTCCAAAGGTTAAAAACACTCTGCCTACCCTCCAAAACCTCAAAATCTTACTATTACATTTAATCTTTTTTCCTACTATGCTTAAAAATAATTATGACAATTCTGGGAAGGGCAGCAAATATTAATAATTAATTAATAATATCTTTAGAGAAGAGTTGTTGAAGCACGTCATATCTATTCTGCCACCCTGACAAGTGTTGTCCCCCCTTTATAGTCGCCCACAGACCCTTGCTCTGTTTGCTTTAAAGTCACACATTGTGCTCGAATGACTTCTCCTCTGTTGCTCCTCTATCTCACTGATTGGTACGTTTGTTTACCAAATGTGACCGTTGAAAAACTAGAAAAACAGTCTCATGGATCAGAAACTATATCATCGTTTACCGGAACGCTGTCAACTCGAGAGTAACGTCCTTTCCAGCTCCGGCATCTGACTTCCAAGGTAACTGGAACGCAAAATTAAGCATCTCTCCCAACCCCGAAAACTGCGCTGGCTCTTCTCCCGCCACCCCGTATGATGGATGACGTAATGCTGCGTTGGAGTTACCTCAGAAGTAAGATGTCCGAGCTGGGAATGACGACACACTTGAGTTACCAGCGCCAAGTTGGAAAAATCAAAATCGGAGGCAGAAATGAGATGGCTACATCTAGCGCTTGCCTGGTCCTTGCTTATATTCGGACAAAGCAAGCGCTAAAATAACTTTCATAGACGTAACCATCTTGTTTCAGTCTCCGATTTTGCTTTCTCCCAACTTGGTAACTGAAACGCTGGTAACTCAGGCGTGACGTCATTCCCAGCTTGTACTTCTGACCTCTGAGGTAACTCGGACGCGGCATATGTCTACGTCATAAGCCCCCCGCCCCGCCAAAGTGAAAAGCTAGAGGAAACAGATGAGCAGATGAAAGAGGAAAAAAAGCTCTTCTCAGTTTGCACACAGAGAGGGGAAAAAGGCTCACTTGCTGAATGAGTCATCCACGCATTCATCTGTTGACGTTACATGTGGTTGTCAGTGACATCATGTCTGGTGAAGAAGTAGAAAGAGCAGAAAACAAAGAAAAAGTGAGGGTAAAAAGGATAAGGTGTGAGAAAATGGGTCACTGGCCACTATCTAATACAGCGTGATGAAAGTGAACAGTCATGCCTCTAATCTCTCCTTTCATACCTGCCAGGATGCTTTAAGGGGCATGAAAAGGATGGTCCAGATACACGATACGCTGCCCTGCAGAGCAACTGCAGCAAAAACAACAAGGAAAACATTCGCTGCTCGGTGTTGGATTTGAATTGCAAAATATCCCCGGCAGGCAGGCAGGCAGACAGAGACACTGTGTGAGGGCAAATGGTTAAAATTCAACTTCCCCCACTGACCCCAACATGGCGGCGGCCGCCGAAACAAACAGAAGACCCAAGCCAAGACGGATTCTTGAGAAAGTGTGTTATTAATAATTTCGAGGAGAGAGCGGGCGCTCTCTCGCTGTGACCCGCCTGTCCGGTCGGTTTCACAGATTCCGAGTGTCAGCAGAAATTAAGCAAATGAAAAAGTAAAGGACATTCTCCACATTTTTCTGGTCACACATTGATGGTGGAAATTATAAAAGCTGCCAATCCTGACAGACGGAGCGGATGAATTCAAGTGGAAAAGATGAAAACCTTATTAAGTAGAGGAAGAATAGAGGATAACAGGTGTCACTGCATGCATGAACATTCTTTCCCAAACTACAAGTCAGAAGGCCATTTGACTTTAGTTGGTTTACCCTGATTTTCTGTCTCGCCTATCACTGTTAAACAAACTGAGATTGGGGCGAATGAACAAACTGCTGTCACATCATCACAGTTACTGGTCAAGGATCACTTCATGCCCGACTTAGGGACTGTATTTGTTATGTGGTATCCGGGTGAAACATCCTCTCTGAAGTGAACCTTGTTGGATCAAACTAAGGCCTCGTCCACATGTAGCCGGGTATTTGCTAAAATGAATATATTTTTATACATTTTGCAAACGAAAAAGCAGGATTACGTCATTAAAAACAGTGCTTCTGGAAAACTCTGGTTTTGCGTTTGTGTGTGGACATACATAACCAGTTTATATGTGTTTATATCCGCAGTAGACCTCGGATCGAAACGATTTCTGCCGACTTTGCAAAGTCAACTGCAGAATTAACAGCGTTCTGAATGAACGGCGCTTTGATAAGTCCCGCAGCATGTGTTAGACGTCACCATCTACACATGGACCAATCAGGGGCTGCCTTTCCCTGTTGTCCGGGGAACAGCGGAAACACAGTCACTGATCGCCAATACACGCTCCCAATGGGCCGAAGTCCAGACTGTTGTGGGAAGGAACGGCAAGTGATTCACGCAACAGGATGGCCCAGCCAGGCTATGTAAAAGTACCCATAAAACCAAAGGGAAAGTTTCAGTGAGTCTGTAACCTTTGTGCCAAACATCTAACTTAAGAAAAGTTCCCTTCCTCTGTCACAACCTCAATCTTTACATTCAGTCTACAGGCGAGTTTTTCTTTGTAATTCAGAGCAGAGCTGAGAGCAGGAAAATTAAAGCTCCACTTCTGAGTTTTCATGTGCAGAGACCCCAGCTTTCAAACTTGCTTTTCTACACCTGAGAGTTACCAAACTCTTTAAAATCACCCGGCTGTATCGTTATAACTCGAGCAACTGTTGGCATTAAAGCCGCAACACCTGTTGACATTCAATTCATCTGTTCCAGGGGTAACATTTAGCTACTTATTGAGCAGATGTTCAGTGAAACACAGCCAACCTTTTCTCCAAGAACAGCCTGATAAGTCTCACAAATTGAGTAATCCTCCTTTTGTAAGCGCTTTTCTCTAAGAAGTTTGATTTATGCTGCAGAAATCTATAGAATGAAATAACGTGAGGGTTCAAAGTAAACTGCGTTTTTAAGTGGCTCTCCGTTGGCTCACAGCACTGCTAACGTGTCGGTTGAGATTTTGTCATACCAAAAGTCTCTGAGAACATCAGAGGTGAGAACATACGAGTTCGTAATGTGCTGATAATTACAGTCCCACCTACACCTCAGGCTTCAGACAGCAGATGATCTCTTCTTGTATGAGCTCCCCCGCCAGAAAGAAACTAAGTGTTAACTTTTAATTGTCCTGCTTTTGAAACACATACAGTAACCTAATAGCTCTGATCATCCTGCTCAGGAGTCAAGTGATTTCTAATCTCTATTGTGCTTCCCGGCACAGAGTCTGCCTCTGTGGCGAATTTTTGGGGAGCGGATCACAATGGGCTTCTTTTTACTGCTGGCAGGCGTAGGTTTCCTACCTAAGAGGGGGGGATTACAGGAGGAAGGGTGGTTTTAAGGATGGAGGGCGGGGGAGTGTGTGTGTGTGTGTGTGGGGGGGGGGGGGGGCTGTTACGGCTGTAAAATAAATCACACAGAGATTAAACTTCACCGAGAAAAAGCGCAACAAAGTCTGGACTTTGTAACCTGCGGGAGAGAAGGAGTGTGGCGGTCAGACATTGCCTGAAGACACATAGTCCAGACTCAAAAAATGGAAAAATTCCACCATCATTTCCATTTTTCTTTCTGCTCTCAGACAAATTCTCATTTTACTTTATTTACTGTTATTTTTGCTCAATCAGGCAGACATGTATTCGTCTCAAAACTTGTAATAAGAGAAGAAAAACTCCCTGTTTTTAACGCAGGGAGACAAAGTTTTAAATCATACTTAGATCATGATTTGTCAACAGATTCCTTTTGAGATTTTGAGCTTGAAATGATTCGACAAAGTTGTCTCCTGTGACAGAGGTTGTATTGAAATGTTCCAGAAAGCAAATGTCTTGATTGGTTTAGTAAAACATCCAGCTCAGACAACATGGAAAGGTGTAGAGCCTTTCATTTTAAAATCTGGAATTCAAAATCTTTCACTTTTCACCCTTCAAGCAACCTGCATTTAATTGGGAAAATGTACCAAAAGCTACCAAAGCTCAGCCAAAGAGTCAAGAAGGCCAGTCAAATTCGAAAAGAAAAATAAGTTCAGCTTCTGTTTCTACTTTCAGACATGTCTGACAGCTGTTAAAACCTCTTTTATTAGTCGATATCACAGCCGTATTCCTGCATCAGCAGCTGGCTTGAGTCTCAGTGACAACCCCTCACCCACACCTTTTCATCAGGGGCTATGAAACTTGAGAGTCCCCCTACACAGACCTGTTAGCAGTACGGTCCATTCCGGTGGTGCAGTGCAAGCACGGACCCGAAAGTGTGTGTGCGTTTTTTATTTCATCTTCTCCATACTCAGCAGTCTTTCTGGATGCAGACATGACCTCTTGAAATTAACTCAAAATCTGCAACCAGTGCAGCCAGTGTGTCTTAGATTTGTATCTTATTATTGCTGCTACTCATGCAAACTTGCATCTTGGCTGACTGCATCAGTGCTACATGGACTCGAAGATGGTTGAAGGACATCCTGTAAATGCTATGTGAACAAGTAAGGTGTTTTTCCTCACGAGTCTTTTGGCTTCATGCATCGCTGAGCATTTTTCACGTGAATGACCGCGGCCTCATCTTTGGCTCTGTATCTTGTTCACGCACGAGATACGAATTCTCGTCAATGGTATTAATTATCAAGGTGCTGGTGATTCGCCAAAATACACAGGGATCTCCTGGAAGAATACAGCTGATCGTAACTAGAACTGGATGCAAACAATGAAATATGATTACATGTTTTACTGGATATCAAACATGTAGAATCCAGGGATGCAAACTAAAAAAAAAGATAATCAGCTCCATCACATTTAGTTGTTTTTGTCTGAAGTTGGGAAAAAGAGCAGAGGACATATTCAAGAGCCTCCCATACAGACAGCAGGTCCCTCACACACATCCTCCGATGACATACGACACTGTCAAGTCCAACAGAGAGCCCTATAGGGCCTCACAATAGTTTAGGTGTGGTCCTGTCAGATAACCAGAATAGGCGGACGGACACACATAACCATAGACACTTCCCAGCCTGCCCTCAGGGGGTCTCATATTAGCCAGAGATAACCTCTGTGAGCTCCTTTCTGTCCATGTATGAGACCTGAAGAGGCCTCTGTGTTCACCCAGACAAAAGAAGGAGGGTCCGGCTATAAATTACAACCACAGACCCATGAGTGGTCAAGAAAAACGCCCGACCCCGCCGCCTGTGGAAATGAGTTGTGAAATAACAACAAGCCAAAGGTGGCGGAAGGATAGAACTGAGGAAAACGCTGGATGCTTATGCTTATTGATGATTCGTGTACCTTTTTGAAATAATGAAAGTTTATCCTGCAAATATAAAAAGTCTAGCAATCTTCTGAAGGTGTTTCTGGATATGTGGGGGTTTAATTTTCTTTCTTTTATGTTTAGGTCTATACAAGTTGCTCTCTAATACATCTGACACCTCAGTCACTTATTGCTTATTGTTTCTTTCTAAATAAAAAGTCAGAAAACACAAAAAACATGAGGGAAACCTCAGTGGTGCCAGCCGCTTTGAGTATCATCATTCACTCCTACAGACTGAAATTGCTCTCCATGTAAGAGCTGATTAACCTGATGATTTTAGGTTTAGAGAATATGTTAACAAAACTTTAAATCTGAGTGCAGTAGGGCTGGGCGATAAACCAAAAATTTACAGACGTCATTTTGCCCATGTCTATATATTCGGTGTCAAATAAATAAATAAATAAAAGTTGGTTTTGGATGTGTGTAGGTAGGCTATGGTCTCATGAAAGACAGGTGAGAAAATGGAGGACAGTTTAAAAGTTGTAGCAGCTGAAGCGTAGATGAAGTACATGAAGTTAATGTGGGAGGGGGTGAGCTGCTTGTGGAGTAGTTGTCGTCCATTTATTGTTATCGAGGTGAACTGCTCAATATATCGTGATATTGATTTGAGGTCATGTGAATCACAACAGCCAGTTTCTTCATAATCATTATCAGACTTTTAAACACCATAAACTCAGCATGTCTTCAGTAACTTTTGAAGTCTTTATTATCAAATAGCCAGTATCTACTGATAATAATGAAAGGTGTTGTTGAGATTTTTAAGACTGCTTTCATCCTGAACGTCATTAAAAGCAACACTGGGGTATTCCCCTTTAAACAACAGCCTGCTCTCGACAACATCAGCAAGATATTTTTCCAATAACTTATTAACCTCATGGGGAATTTTCTGTCATCTCAAGCAGGCCTCTTACTTCCTCCTTTGTGCTTCTTCATCATTCACCCTGACCTTCCTATCAGCTGTAAAGAGACCTCACTGGTTATTATTGGGATGATGTCACACTCCTGATTGTACCTGAATACCTTTGCGTTGCGATCATAAAGTCGAAAACGTGTGGCCGTCTTCTTATCAGCTCTTTCCAAGGTAAAACGTTACATCATGATAAGTTTCACAAACAAGATTATCGCTCATTGTCAAAGCTATACCCTCAGTGCCAACTGCAGTTTATTTATTACACTGTGATGTTAAATACACTGCGCGCTTTAGCGTTATGTAATGTCATGTGCTTGTCTTTAATATTTCAATAATAATAACAATCCTGATAGATTTTTTTCACATAAGGGGGCTTGTTCATTTTTTTCTGAAGATACTAATGCCAGTAAAAGACTCACTTCTTATGTAGTGAAACTGGAAGATGTGGAATTGCAGAAAGATCACACCTCCATATGTAAACACCAGCAGTAAGACTAACAGAAACCAACAAGCTGTTAACTGATTTATCACTCTGACACCTTCCTGCTACATCCTTATTCATTATCTAAGAGGCACCCTCACCTCAGCTCAAAATGACACTTGAGTGAAAAACCACAAGAACATTTATTAAGATTTTTAGGACCCGACCGATCGGCGAGCCCATAAAATCGGCCAATTTTAGCCCATTTGAGACTAATTGGTAATCGGCTAAAACTCTCATGACAATCTTCATCCGCTAACTACCTCACAGCACAGCAGAGTGACGGATCTCAACCCACTTCACGATGTTCCCCGCTGTGCTGGTCTCGGTCACGCCGAGTTAACGGTGACGCACCATATAATATGCAAGCTAAAGTTAGAGTTAGCCACCTGCTATTAGCCTTGCTGCACTGGTCAATGCTAGCCGTGCCAGTAACGGTAGAATAAACAACAGTACACATTACGTGATCGAGCTACTTCTCTTACTGAGGTAACTTGACCAGAAATGTGTAACGTGAGTTAAGACGTGGAGGCACCGATTGGCGATTCGGTAATTGAATCCCCCCCCCCAATAATCGGTATCGGCATTGGCCCCAAAAAATCCATATCGGTCGGGCCCGAATCAGAATGTCCTTTATTGTCTTCATACTAAAGGTATGAGATTGGAGAGCTTCTCCTTTTCCAGTGCAATAGACAAGTAAAAATAAGGTAGTAAAAGTACAAATATTTGTAAGAAAGAAGGTACTATATATACAAGACAAGAACTCTACAGAACAGTAAAATAAAACATACGTATAAGAATAAAATAGAAAGATAAATACTAAAGAGAATTATCAAAAATAAATATATATATGTGTGTGTCTGAATATATGTATATATGTACATTTTTTTAAATGTATATGGACATGTATGGCACAGGTTAAGGATATAATAATCAACACAGCAGCAGTAACGTTGGTAATATTGCACTTGTTACCTCATCTAGGGCAGGGCTGGACCTGGTTTAGGGGAGTTTAAGATGGTGAAGAAGCTGTTTTTTGAGTCTGTTAGACCTTGCTTTGATGCACCTGTAGCACCTCTACTATGTAATCCAACAAACACATTCAGGATCAAGTTTTTCGTTGTGATTATTTGGGGTTTTACGTGAGGTTTCTTACAGCTGCAGAATTGCTCTCAACCCATCTAAACTCTCTTACAGTACAACCAGTCGGTTCATCCTTAAGAGCAGACATGCTCTGTGCAAAAGGTCACAGAAAGAATGTAAACAACCAAGTCCAAACCCCACATTCAAACACAACACCAGCCGTCATTCCCTTTGGAAATTAAGCAACCCGACTCACATGAAACAACAACACATCTTATGTATTCCCAAGCCTGTAATTAGTTTCTATTTTATCTCTGTGCATGCCGCGTGTTTGTGCAGGGTGTGAGAATTGGGACTGTGATCGCAGTGTGACCTATAAACGCCCTAAAATGCATGTCAAGAGCAAACTGGTTTAATGTTTTTATTTTGACGTTTTTCTGGCGCCGGTGCTGGACAAACAATCTTATTATGAGGAGAGGAAAAAGCAGAGACGGAGATCAGGTTTCAACACTCCGGGTCGGTTTACATGTGTGAGCCACAGCTTTGTGACCCTTCTCTTATTTTATAGCCTTGCCCCTCTGTTTGCTTCCATCTTTTGTTTCCTGCTTCCTTTCTTTTTTAATCTTCCTGCAAACACACACCCACACACCACCCAGCCATGCTATCATTCATACATGCCTTGATTGCCAAATGCGAGTCTTTCCACACCGCATGTTTGGTTACGTGTCGAATTATGAAGTGGAACTTTATCAATGACTTCAACCATCTATCAATCTATCTAGCACGGCTTTTTTCCATCTGTATGCTTCCATATCAGTATGCATTACACCTACACACACCTCAACTCACATTTCTCTGCAGCCTCCAGGTCAATCTCTGTGGGCACAGTGGAGTCCAGAAGGGGTCAGCTGTCTCAACAAGGCCATCCAGCAGCACCACCACACACACACAGAGAGACCACTGTGCTCCTCCTGCTCCCACCGTCCGACTAACGCACTTCATGAGCGCTTCGGTTTCAGCCGCAGCACAAAACACCAGTGTCTGGTTTCCCCACAAAGCAACCCTGCCGCAGCCCGGGTGCCTTTTGTTCCCACTTTAAATAAAACATAGTCCAGTCATTAGGTAGAAAGGCCATCCTGTGCATAATTCAGAGCCAGGTATCAATTGAAAATAGGGAGATAAGGTTAGAGAAGGAAAATAGCCTGTTGTTCTTACAGTACAGGCAAACAACAGGCGTTTCATGAGTTAATTACAAGGCACAAGGCAACAGCAATTAAATGTGGTGATGACAGTAGTTTGGGTTGCTGTTTTTCTCCACTCCACACCATCCATTACAGGGCTGCAACTGACCACCATTACCATTACTATTGTTTTTATGGACTTGAGGTGATGGTTTAAAAACACTTATCTCTAAAGTAGTACCATAAAACCCTTCTAAGTTTTATAGATTGAAATGATTGTTTGTAGGGGTGGGAGAAAAAAACGATTCACATAGGTATTGCAAATTTTTGTTTTACAATTTTTAAATCGATTTTTATGTTAAAAAAACTGACTTATATGTGATGTGTATTTTTTGGGGAAATATGCTTCCTGGAATAGTCAGGAGACAATCATTATCATTAAACTGTTTCACTGGTGTAAAAAATCCAGATTTAAGGTCCTTACACACCAGGAATGATGGAAATGTAGGACGCAAAATTAAGAAATATTTGGAGGCCAGTTTTGACATGCCTGACGTAAACAATCAGCTGGTCGACCATGTTGGATATGCCGGTGAATCTGACGTCGCAACAAAACGAAATCTGATTGGTCAGAAGTGGACACAGAGTATGCCAAACTTAAGAAAATTCGACCGTGATACGAAAAAATTAATTCCGCAATATTGCAGGACGGGAAAACATTGCTGATGTAAACACTTGTATTGACAGGATACGAGTTCGGAAAACAATACTGACATCTAAAATGATTGCACGAAAAAAACGCTCCCAGTATGTAAGGACCTTAAAGATCGAGAAAATCGTCAATATCAAAGAATCGCAATTTAAATTGAATCGGCATCCAAAAAATCGTAGAAGAATCGAATCAGGAGAAAAGCATATCGTCCCAGCCCTAGTCTCTAAAGTAGCAACATAAAACCCAATTAAGATATTGATTGAAATGATTGTTTGTAGAAATTGGGTTACTTTAACTATTTAAAGACAATCTACCTACAGATTTGAACAGTTATTATTAAAACAAAAAACACCAATGCAAAATACTAAAAAGGCTATATCTTCTGGGATAAAACACCAATTAAATAACGTCAATATAACATAAAATAGTGTCTACAACACACTATTGAGGGCTGTGACCCTGCAGAGCTGACCTGAGAACAGTTGTAGCTTATAAAAGAACAGAATTCATTTCAACCAAAACGGTGTACAAACTTTTAAAAACCTATGACTTCCCCGAGAGATGAAGTTTGCTCTCCTACAGCTAATATATGATATATTTTAGAAGAAAATAGACAAACATCCTCCAGGTTGACAGTTGGTAACCGAAACTCAACGGTCACAGCGATACCAAAATGCACCTGCTGCTGCTTCACGTACCTGTTGATTCCCAACTCTCTCGTTTCTGCTGGATGTCGTCCCTCTTCTTAGACGAATAACGGTTTAAAATTAAGATAGAAACTGACAACTAAAATTCACTTTCACAGGCAGGCTGGCGTGCCTCTTCCTACCCCCTGGTAATAAGCTTTTCCTCTTCCTTCGCTCGCTGTTAGCTTACCTTATTCCCTGGGGCGCGGAGCGGATGAAAGGTAATAGAGGAGCGAGTGAGCCAATCAGAAGCTGCAGGAGGCGGGATTTCTGATAGAACACGATATCCTATTGGTCGATGGGTGTTAATGGCGGAGTAGTGAAAACAGGGAATTTCTCTCCAATGTTCTTCATCATTTGGAAGAGGCAGGAAACTCGAAACAGTGACTTTCTCTGTGTTAAAGGACCAGTTTGAGGCTAAATGTACGCATCCTTTAAAAGTATTCTTTCACTTAAGATAACAAAAAAGTCCAATAAAGAGTTTAAAGACTATCTGACTGTTAAGAAAGAGTTAAAATTCCAGGGGAGGCGCAACGTGGATTGAAAAGGGCTAATCATTTCTAAGAGGCTCTGCAATGCAAAGCTACATAAACTACTTTGAATGCCTTTGTTTCAGGCACACAAAGATTAACTATGAACATCTTTATCTAACAGAATTTGACAATAAGCTGGCATTAATTGTTGCTCCATAATTTATGAGACCTACAGCATGATTTAATGTCAAAAACACATTTCTAATAATAATGACATGTCAAAGGCAATATATTATGTGATTACTAAAAAGTCCCTTAGACAAAATAACTTAATTTAGATGGTTAAATTAGTGCTATAGTTAAAAAATGGTTCAATGGTATGTTTTAAGACACCAATATGCCTTTATTTTACATAATACCCAAGCCCTTCTTCACTCATTAACCCCTTTTAAGTCAAATGAAGCTTTTTATGTTGTTTTTGTGAGACGTGAGGAGTAGATTCTGTCTTATTTTTTAAGATTACACTTAAAAAAGTTTCCAAAATATTCCCAAATAATCATATTTTAGAAAAAAATCTGTTTTCAAACTCTCAATCTTGACCATTTCAATTGTTTCACAAGTACTACATTTGTGTCATACCTATCAACATAATAAAAAGCACCGACTCTATTCTCAGGAATATAAAGGCTCAAAATGAGCGAGGATCACAACAGCAATGGCAGTAACAACTCGTGTCCACTTGGTGGCAATTTCTCCATTGGGAACTGAAGCACAGGACAAGTGTACAGGATGTCAGTCTCCTTCTGTATGAGCTTATCTATATCACTGTGAGGGATACAGATATGCAAAATAATATAATCAATGTGAGAAGGGACTTAAATGACAAGTACAGGTGAATGTCAAACACTAGAACATTGGTCACTAACTTTCAGTCAACTGTGGTAAAGTTGTTTTTACATTTACATAAGATAACATTTTCTAGTACCTTTTATTCATTTGCAATGTAGAAGTGGAGAAAGACGGGTCTGGAGTTAAACATTTGTCTGAATTTGTTGGCTTGAAACATAGTGACACAGTGCTACTCCTGTGGAAGTAGTGTAGGCTCATGGATTAATCCATAAATGGTTCTTGGCAGTAGAGGTTAGCACTGTCGTCTCACAGCAAGAAGGTCCTGGGTTCGAATCCGGCTCAGGTATGTTCTCCCTGTGTCTGCTTAAATTTTACTCCGGGTACTCCGGTTTCCTCCCACATCCCAAAAAACATGCCTAAGTAGGGTTAGGTTAATTGGCCACTTTCAAATTGCCCGTAGGTGTGAATGTGAGCGTGGACGCCCAAAGATGCTGGGATAGGCTCCAGCCCCGCAGCGACCCCTAATGGGAATAAGCGGTAGAAAATGGATGGATGGATGGATGGATGGTTTTTGGCGTTGTCTCTTTTGTCTGGAGACATCATGTTGGTAACCTCTTGCAAATTAACTTTGTGGGGAGTTGTTCCTCGCAGGAGTGCGTTTTTCTCCCACAACATAACTTTTCCCCTCTCCCAAATTCCGTTTTCACATTTGACTATGTCCCAGTTTTGTTGGATTTGAGGTTGTAAACTCAAGCTGTGACTAACAATTTTCATTTTAGATAAATTTTTTCTATTTTTATTTCAGTCCAGATGTTTTGTTCTGATTTTTCAGAGAAGGATCAAAAACAATCTTACCATGCTTTTCCTTGAGCCAAACCAACAGATATCCAGTTTATTTTAACAAAGGAGTAACGGAAAATAAACTGAAAAGAAAAGAAATATGAATATCTTAAGGTGTCAGCCTCACGATCGAGTATTTTCTCCTGGAAATAAAAAAAGTGACGCTCCTTTAAACATATCCATATATATTTTATTCTCAATACAGCAAAATACAAAGAATATTCAGGACAGACTCTCATTAGTCACAATTAATACTCACTTCACAAGAATGCTTTTAAATTACATAACCTAAGTTTGAAGATCAAACTCAATGAGTACCTTTTATCATATTGCATCCATCATATATAGTATCTCTATCATCAGTTCTCTTAAAACTAATCCAATTTAGTCCATTGTACATAGTGTATGCTGCTGGTCTCACTCAAGAGACGAATTTTAGAAAAAAAAAGATGTTATACAACATACTGTATAAACTGCTACAACTGTTTTGACCTGTAGAGAAATACCTCTGTTTCAAAAGACGTGTTGGACCAATTGTTCAAAAGGGACAAATAGTAAATACATCTCTCTCATGAGGACAAAACAGACAGGGTTTTACACAACAGACTGTATACACAATCCATCCATCCCATGAGATCAACAATATACATTTCATGAAAAGTACATACCTCCATATCAAATACAGAGAAGACAAAATATTTGCACTTGGATCTAAAGACAATTATGATTATGTGGCAACCATGATACTGAAAGACGGTGAAGCAGAAGACAAAGTTTACGAGCACAGGAAGAAAGAGACCGAGAAAACAATCTGATATACAGTGTTAAGAGACGAGGATGTCATCTCTAACAGCTTGGAAGAAGAAGAAGAAGAAGAAGAAGAAGAAGAGAAGAAGAAGAAGGGGAGGAGGAAGTAAACACAAAAGCCCACAGAGAGAAAAAAATGTGCATTAAGTATCTCACGAAATGTATTTACATTTTTAAATTTCAATAAAAATGTCAACCTGTAGTAGAAATTCACCCTTAAAGAAAAGTTATATTTACAATTTATACATTTGTATTTAAATAGAAACATGCAAGTGTTAACATCTTCCTACTGAATGTCCAAAAAAAGGAGAAAAAAAGCTCATCTTACCCTGGATTCGTTCAAGTTAGAATTAATATTAATTACTACTTACAATGAAATCTCATCATGAACAACCCCAATACATTTACATCTTTCTATTTCATAAAATTGTACTCCTTAAAATGGCAAAAATAGAAAAAAAATATTAAGCAAAGGGGCAGAAAAATAAATAAGTGTGAGTAGCAAACTATTAAAAATTATTCTAATGCTAAATTTTATACACTTTACTACAAGATAGTGTAGGGAACACAAGGCGCGGACCTGTACTTACAAAGTGTACCAGTGTATGAAGACAGAGACTGGGCCAGCAAAACCCAAAGAGGAACTCCAATGAGAAAAGTGGCCTCCAGCTTTCAGTACAAAATGGCTCAAGCCATCTGCGTTTGGTTATAAAAAACAGATCTATATACATATATATATGTATATATTTATACTCAACCGGTACACAAAAATTGCAAGAGCTAAAGGCATTGGACACTTGAGTTAAACAGGTTTCTCACTGAGGTGGGAAAAAAAAACAGGAGAGGGGAAAAAATCCCTAGCCTAAAATTATTCTCTTACCCCACAGAGATGATCTTTGTCCTTCTTTTTGTTTAGTAAAAATCCTGCATAGATTAAATTAATACCTCCTCTGACTTTTTTTTGTTTTCAAGTGCAAGAGAAAATAACAGTATCCCCTCCTGCAATAAAGGCCAGGGAGCCGGTGAAGGAACAAAAAAAAAACACACACAAATCAAACTTAAACCTCGGCCAAAGAGTAACTCTTTAAGGTTTGTTGTTTTTGTCGTAAATAAAGGTGCATAATGGGGTTAAAGTTCAAAGATTACGCCAAATTTGTGTACAAAAATGTAGGAAAAGCGCTTTCACTGTCGAGCACTTAACTCCAACCGAATTGCTTCTTTGGATACTGTTTGGCCCAGGCTTAAATTAGTCCAGCATGTTTCATAAGGAAGAGTGAAAAAAACAAAAACACAATAGGACAGTCCTTCATGTTACAAACCAACGACCCAATCGTCTACTTAGATATGGAGTAATTCGAACATCTCTATTCAAACCAAGTCATTTCCCTCAATGACGACTTAAAATTCATGATATCTGACAGAAATGTTTATATCTGGAAATCCAACTTTACTCGGTTACTTTTAATCTTGCCTGCAGTACCACGTTTACAATTAGCTAAGACATGTCTGATCTACCATCACGCCATGAAAGCATGATTAAGATTTAAATAGGAACAATTACATAGACAAATACTTTCCATCTTAAGACCCATGTTTGACCCTGTCTTCAGATTATGAAAGGTTATACTTCCGCTTGGACAGAGGACAAAAAAACTGCTCGGTATATAAATAAAATCTGTATCGACCGTTATACTTTTTTAGCTTTCAAATATATAATCATAGATTTAAAACTCTTTCTTCTCTAAATGCAACACTGCTAATCTGCTTTACTAAACTCCTTTCCTGTCAGGCTAATTTCGCTGCCAAATTAGTTACCCCCCCCACTCAGGCCCGATTTATTTTAGAAACTGCATCATAAATAACTGCATTGCATTTGTGGAAAAGGACTTGAATACTTCAGACACGCCCTACTGATCCTTAGAAAAATACACTCTGAGCAAGCAAGGGGTTAAAAAAAGAATAACACTGTCTGAAAGTGACGCGGGAAATGTCGCGACTAGCATAAAACATTTAATCGGAGGAGGCTTGAAATCTGGTGAAACCTCTTATCGAGAACATGGATGTGATCGTTTAAGTCTGAGCTTCTATGAGCTTCTATGACGGCCCCTGGAGGCCACTATATTGCATTTTATAGGGCAGTTCATGATCTTGGAAAATTACTGTATTTTTCGCATGATAAGGCGCACCTGATTATAAAGCGCTTAAGCCAAACAAAACAGATAAGTCAAACTTTATTTAACTCGTTCAATAACTCTGCGAGGCTACGGTAGCTGCAGCGCTCCGACAAGCCGAAAGGATTTTAAGCGCGCCTTATAGTGCGAAAAATACGGTACTGTTAAAATACTATTATACTGATCAATACGTTTATAAATAAGTGTGTGAACATGGTTTTTATCTGCTGTGCTCAGTAGCCCTTTCCTTCAGCGTTCAAATCTTGAGGCCGCGCTCCATAAATAAGTCTACGTACCAGGAGACTCGAAAGAAAAAAGGTAAAATCAGGATGGAAGTTTCATTCGCTGTCAACGCCGTTTCTACCCCTGAATGTCAGATGCTTGGACAGGACCTGATTTCAAACCAAAGGACCTCGATAAAAATCATGATTGATGCCAACCTCCATTCACCCCTGACTGTTAGAAGAACATATCAAATGAGTTACAGCGGGGGAAAACAAAAAAAACAAAAAACAAAAAAAAAGGTGTTTATTTGAATATAAGGGGTGGCTGTTGGTTTTCCTGTAGCTCTCATACAAGGCACAAAAATGATAAAGAGAAACCTTCATTTTAAAGCACCTTTGGTGTTCATGGGAGGTACTTTGGTGAAAAAAAAAAAATAAATCAAACAAAAAAAGTTAAAAACCAAAGTAGCCTTAAAACCGCCCCTCCCCACCCCCCCTTTTTAAAAACATTTTCATAAATAAGTCAGCCAGCGCTTCCATGCCGAGTAGATAAAAACAACGGCCTTCAGAGATTTCATCAGAACGCCGATATATGAAGCATGGCGGTAAGCGTTTTTGTTCCTGTGCTGCAGTTCGGATGCGTTTCCCTGTGTGATGCTGTTGGCGCTGTGAGATGCTTTAAGTTGCTCAGTGTTTTTGGCAAGCTGGTGTCGGAAATGGACACAGTGTTGGAGATATGTCTGAGGTCCATCACATGTGTGTTTCTGTGTGTATGGATGGAGGACCAGAGGTGGACTCTGTGTATGAGTGCACACAGTACAGAAGAGTGTGTGTGTGTGTGTATGTGTGTGAGCATGCTTGTGTGTCTTTGAGCATGAGAGGCTGAGGTGTGTGGGTGTGGAAGCAGCGCGCACGGGGAGCGGGTCCTTTACTAGGGAATGAGCTTAGCATCCATACGCAGCCAGTGGAGGCCCTGCCGTGTGTAACGAACCAGATCTGTCATGCTGCTGGTGTTGAAGATCAGAGGACCCATCACCTTGTCCAGCTCCAAGAAGAACTCTGGGAACACAAAGGAAAAACAGTCAGTTTACAGGGATATTTTTATCATAAAAGATAATCAATGAGTCAATAATTAATGGTCAATAATGGTTCCCAAGGCCAATGTCTTAGGACGATGTCAAAGTCCCAGTTGAAAATGAACTATTTCCTTTTTTTCAAGGCAGTAAAATAGTAAAACTTCACATTTTCACAATCCGCATTTTATTTAATGAGGCCAAGATTTTTTTTCTCAAAAACACTCAAAATTTGGATCAGCTGCTTGTTCATTTACTCATGCTTTTAGCTGTAAGTGGATCTACTTTTCAGTCCAACCTGGAACTGTGAAAAGCTTTAGGTCATGTTCACACTACAAAGTAGGTTTATTGATACGAACCAAATCGAGGATGATACGTTGATGATATATTGTTGCAATTTCTCAACTGGTCCAGTTCACGTTCACAAAGGCCAAACTCAAACAGTCCAAAAATTGTCACGTGGCAGTAAAAGCCGTTCAGTGATTGCTTATACAGTTTAGGGTAGACGACAAATGCCGTGCAATTTTTACTGTACATCATGGAGCATCGTCCGCTCATTTTTATGGTGCTGATCTGGACTGAACGAACAGCGCACACGAACAGCTGGGAAGACTGCGGCAATGAAATAATGTATTAATACACGGACGTTGCAGAAGATGCTTTGGATGGTCATATCACAGAAGACGACAGGCAATAATGAGAGCCTACTTCGATGTTTTTTCAAGGCACGCTTCCTGTAATTGTTGCTGATGGGGTTCACACCGAAAGTAAAGCGCTCTAGAGTTCACTTGATAGCGGTCCCAGGCGGACCAGAGAGCGGTTGACTGGTCCGCACCATAGTTCGAGGCCAGGCCTCTTTTGTATGTGGATATAAATCGAATATAGATCCGATGTGACTGCAGTGTGGATCCACAGGTCGCGTTCATCCGACCCATACGTCATCAATATGCGACAAACGTCAGGTGCGGAAAGCAATTTGTGCTTTGTGCGCATGCTGGTCACTTCACGGACGCATTCCGTTCACATTAGATGCCGCATTCGTTGTTGTAATGTGAACGACCGCACAAAAAGATCGGATTGAACAAAGAATCCGAATTGTGCATCAAAACCTGCAGTGTGAACGTAGCCTTAGTTACAGCCATAAGTCCTCTTTTTTGATTTTGTCTTTTTCAACCGTGTAATTTAGACTGATGTTTGCTGTAGGTTAGCTGTGGTAGAACTTGAATGTTCAGCTCTAGATTTAAAGAGTAAGACCGTCTTTTAGTTGGTGTCCATTTTTTACCAGGATGATTCATCTCTGCTGATTTATTCCTGACAGTTTTGTTTTTTTTTAACATAAAATTTCATCCTCATTTTTCAAAACAGCCAAATTTATCACTCGCCAAGAATCTGTCTGGACGACGTCAAAGTCTGTTTCTGCGCCCGCTTAGTCACACACCTATCCTCGCTACTAAATCCATCATCAAAACAGCTCCTCTTCACCACGACGTCTGTCTTGTTTATTTCAGCTCCTCAAAAAAAATCACTATTAAGTTCACTTACGAGCCAAAAACCCCCCCGCACAAGAGCTCAGAGCGCAGTCATTTTAGGAAACCGCCTCGCTGTGCCCATTAGGGATGGTACTAGGAACAGTATTTATCACACAGACCAGAACAAAAAAACACTCAGGACGTATTGATTCAGCTCAACTCCCACCAGGGGGGGAACCCTGACGGAGATAATGTTGGTATACTCTGAGGACTAATTAAAGAGTGATCTGGCTCTCTAACAGAAAGTCCTGTATTGATTCATTTAATGATGTAATGACTAATTCTTTATCTATGCGAAGGGAATTTGAGGTTCATGATGACCTAATACACCGTCATATTTCCACCTCGAGTATTTTCCCTCCAACTGCCAAATAATCAGTGTTTTCTACAGCAGGGAACAGATAATATATCAGTATTGAAATAATTATCCTGAAAGTATTTATTGAATGCTGTACCCTAAATCAAAACAGCAGCAAAGAATGAAGCCTGCATTAAGGACATAATAAAGGACGGACAGGAAGGACATAATACCAAGAAGACTGTAACAGCTTATGCATGGGTTACAGTAAGAGGAGATTGTCCCCTAATTGACTGCAGATGTTGTTGTTCTCTCGGACGTATAACGAAATAAAAATGTAATCAAATTCCCTCCAGGTGTTCCTGAGATATCCCGATCACGATGAGACCAGAGCGGATGTGGATGATGAGGAGATTTCGGCTCAGGTGAATGATAGCGCAAAATTTAAGAATACCCTCCGGGCTTTCCTGAGATATTACGCTCAAGAGACTGAGACGAGATGTAAACAGAAGCGTTTTTACGGGGTAATATAAAGTCACAGCACAGCTGACCTTTGACGGCTCAGAAGCTTGCACCTGTGTTTATTAGTTGTGTTTTTTCAGAATCACATAAAGGTTGGAGGAATATTTTTCTGTGTGGTAATAAAAATAAAAATAATAACAATAATAAAGCAATGCTAGGTTACCTTTCTGCTCCTTTGAAAGCTGCTCCGCCTGGTCCCAGACCTCAGTGGCGTACAGGAAGTTAGAGGTGACCTGGACGTAGCTGGCGGCCATCTGATGAATACGCTGAGGTATAGTCACAGACGAGCTGGCGCTGCTAGTGCTGCTGACCGACGAGTAACCACCGGCTGTGCCTGGTGACAGCTTGGGAGACACGGGAGAGGGCATACCTGCTGCCTTGCTGCATTGGGAAACAGACGCAAAACATAAAACAGTGAGTCGTTTTCAGAGATTTTGACCTCTCACTAAATTGAGGCTAACTTACAACTGAAAGTATCGACTGTTTCCCTTTGACGTTCTGATCTTAAAATTGGAAATAAACATGCTTTTATGCTGCTTCAAACTTTATAAATCTGACAAATTATTATCATTTCATAGGTTTTAGGTCACTTTCACACCTGACCAAGTGGACTCAGTTCGATTGTGGATGAATGAATGAATAACTAAAAAAGACAACAAACGGTAAAAATCTACATGGACTTTGGGCCATTTTGAAAGACAAAACAAGACGTTAAAACACGGAAGTGCTCACAGCAGCTAGAGTTAGCATTGGAACACTGTAAACAAGCATTCTCATCTCTACTAGCCGGATAACTTGAGCCTCTTACAGGGATCCTATGCAAGTATGGAAAGTATGGAAAAGTACGAAAGTAGTTTGATAAATTTCCAGTTCTTAAAAAGTGTGGTAAATGAGAAATAAAGTATGGAAAAATATCTATGCTGTCAGACAAATCTAAAAACTGTTTTCTAAAATAGAAAGTAGGTATTTCTAAAGATAATTCTAAAAAGTAAGGTATGGAAAAGTATGGAAATACACAACTGTGTAAGAACCCTGCTCATATATCATATCCTACAACATTATATACTTAATGTATCAAGTAGAAATCTTAGTATTACTCCTTAACTGTTGGTTATTAGGTACAAACTGGTACATTATTTTAGAATCACATGAATAAAGCAAGAGAGCCGCCATTTGAATGTGGTCAACTGTGATTTGTTTGCTTTAAAGTAAGACTTTATAGATTCAGACTTTATAGATCCAGACTGCGCTTCACAACAAGACGGAGAAACTGCTTCTAAAAATCTGCATTTAAAGAATATTTTAAGCGACGCATAAATGTCAAACTTTTGTGAAACACAGATGTTTAATTTCCAGTTACTTCTAGAAGTAGAAGGAGGAGACCGTGACTTACTTTCCCATTCCAGGAGAGGGAGCCTGGGTGTTACTCAGGGAATTCTTGTGGAGCAAAAACAGAGGAAAGACATTATGTACACGGACAGGAAGCAGGTTATGCATCCACAGAAAAACAGCATACATGGAATGTGGTTTTTGATAGTTTGCCAAGCGAGACCTCGTGTTTAGATTCAAGGAAACAGGAGTACCTTTAAGTGTTCAGTGAGTGTTTTGGAGTATTTAAGTGCGCTGTCTTTCCTCAGCTTGAATACCCGCAGGTAGAGAAGGGACTGGCATCGTAGGCTGCGAAGACAAATGGATTAATATAGATGTGAGACTTGCCAAGAAAGCAATACCCACAAGTATGCGGACTGCTTAAATACATAAGGTTCCTTAATCTAACAGGCCTGAATCTGAGAGCTTTGAGTTGAAGGCTAAAGACAGAACTGTGCCTCCTGACTATAAGAAAAAAGAAAAAAATCCATCACAAGATGTCAATCAGCTGACTTACCAGAGCACAGCTAGCCTCTTGTCTGCTGGCGTCGCATCTGGGGCCATGTAGCTTTTTAATTTCATAGTGTATCTAAACACAGACGGACAGAATGTTTAAAGAGGAGTCAAAGGATTTAACTTTTAATTTTAAAATCTGTGAGGCTGATCCAGATTCAGATATTCGTCCTTACTTGATGAGTTCCACCGTTTCTGCATACATGGGAAAGGGAGACTTGGACTCTTGGGCGCTCTTTTCCAGAGCGTTCCCACATTCAATAAAAGACACCACAGCGTCCAGATAATAAACAGCCTTATCAAAGCGGTCCAACTGTGAAAGAGAGAGCGGACAGGGACAGAGCAAAATTAAAACCACTGTCAGTCGTACGCAGCCAATCAGCAGCTGAGGCATGGACTCATTGTTTGGCTGGAAATGCTTGAATTTTGATGCGTCCTCAAGGACAAACGAACTCGAAACTGGTTTTACTCTGAGGTCCATGTTTTGTTGTTTCACAAGCCTCTCCTCTCACTGCTTTGCATGCAGCAACTGATACCATAGCATCGCAAATCCATATGCAAATAGTCCGAGGCTTGTTCTTACCAGTGCATCTGCATTGTGTTTCAGCTTCTTGGCCTCTTGTAAGTAGTGATCTGCTGAGTGGACTCTAGAAGAAAAACAGAAGAGGGAAAAATGGGATCGTTTTCCTGAAATGTTTCTGAAAAACTTCAAGAAACACAAATATCTTTATCTCTTTTGTACAGTGGCTAGAAAGTGCAAATCAAAACGACAAAATCTGAAACATTTTTACAAACTTTTAATAAATGTATTTTTTAAAATAAATAAATTTTTTAAAAAAGATAAAAATTTTATATTATAGTATGATAAAAATTTCAAGTTTTACTTTGAAAAAATTTCATGTATGTTAACATTTTATCCTATTGTACTATGACATTTTAATCATACTATACTATGACATTTTTTCATACTTTAACATTTTTATCATATTGTACTATGATATTTTTATCATACCATACTATGACATTTATCATAGTCAATATATCAAAATATCATAGTAGTGTATGATTGAAATGTCATAGTACAATACGATAAAATGTTATAGTAAAATATGATAAAAAATGTCAGTATAGTATGATTAAAAGGCCATAGTATGAATGATAAAAATATCATAGTACAATATGATAAAAATGTTATAGTAAAGTATGATAAAAATTTCAAATATTACACTAAAAAAAATATGCCATGGTATAATATGTTAAAAAATGACATAGATTAGTGTCATAATAAAAAAAAAATATTTCGGTATAAAAAAACATTGTATAGTATGATAAAAAATTATCATAGTATGGTATGCTAAAATGTAAGGATAGTAGAAAAAAAAATTCAAATTTTGGTATGAAAAAAAAGTCATAGTTTAGTATGATAAAAAATGTCAGTAGAGTATGATAAAAAATTCCAATATTTTTTTAATGAAAAAAATCATACTATAGTATGTAAATTTTTTTTACAAATTGTAAAAGTGTTTCAGATTTTTTTGTGATTTTGATTTGCACTTCCCAGCCACCGTACTTTAGGCACAAACTGCTAATTAAAAGGCATGAAAAAATAAATAAATCAAGACCATGTTGTTTCTTAACTGCTGCACGTAATTACAGTCTCCCAACTGGGAGCCCTTTAACATGGAAATTTACGTCATCCCTCCTGCATGCAGGCACATCTATTCATGACCTCCTCAACCTCCTACGGCTTTATGCATCAAAGGCAACCCTAGATCCTCACAGCAGTTCTTTCTGCTCTACCCTGCTGAGGGGGTTATCCGCAGTGGAAAGAGCTCCTCTTACCTGTCCTCAAACACCAGCTTGGATCTCTGAGACTTGGAGCCGTCAGTGGAGAGCGGCGGCACAGCCAGCTGGTTATCACAGCCCTTTGAGGATTTCTCCTGCAGAGACAGGGAATAAAGTTTCAGGGGAGGAAAAAGTAGGGGCCTGCTGTTTGAAGTGGAGGATGATACGGAGGAAAAGGTGAGACTGAGGGTACGTGGAGGTAGAAATGTTCTCTGCTGTATAGATATTGGGCTCGCTCAAGTCAGTGATTAGCTGCTTGGATGTTCTCACGCACAGTCAGAGCATGCAGAGGCGGTTAAAGTCCTCAGGGAGAACAGTGCACAGTTGGTAAACATGATGAAAGCTCGCATGCACAGTCCCCAAAAGCTTTCCAGGTATTCAGACACGCAGCGAATGCTCAGTGAGAAGGTCACTCGCACTGACCTTACTGTCCCGTGTACTGCGTCCCTTGTCCTCTCCTTTTCTGTGCTTGGAGGTGGAGCTGCCCTTGGTGCTGTGGCTTCCTTCCTTTCCACTTCCAGTCCCGCTGGACAATGAGGTGGAGGACTGGCTGACTGTTCTCTTTCGGCTCGGATGCTCCGCTTTGGGCGTCCGCTGAAGACCTGACATGGAGGGAGAGGGGACCGGCTCTTCTTTTTTCTCCAGAGACCTCTTGGACCTGGCAGGAGTAAAACCATGTTTAAGCTTCTTAGATATAAAAACTATTCAAATGGACCAACAGGGCTTGACACTAACTTTTTGCACAAGGAGAACCTGTGCTCCTAAGTTAAACAGCAAGGAGCACACAAAGAACTTTAGGGGCACAATGAAAATTGATCAAATAATGAGTGTCTTATTGGTCGACATAAGTGCTTCAATTTGAAATCTATTTTAGGTCTTTTGGTCACATGACATAGAAGCTTTTGAAGCAAATGGTCAAAAATTTGTCTCTTTAGAGGACAAGTTAGGGAAATAAAGAGGTGTGTCTTATTGTCCAACCTTAGTACTATTATTTAAAATCAATTTTGGATCAATTGGTCACATGACATGGAAGCTATTGAAGGAAAACAGCCTTTTTTGAGAACATCAACTGGTAATTTATTGATGGTCCCTTTTTCAACACCCGAGGAGATTTAACAGTACAGTGGGGGAAAGTCCCGCCTCCTTCACCTCTGATTGGCTAGAAAAGCAGGAAACGTCATCACACGCTCAAGCCAAACGCGGGCTGTCGGCTCTGTACATCCAACAGAACATTACAGAACATTATTGCACTTCTGAATCTCCTAACCCTCATCCTAACCCTAACCCTAACCCGACAGACCATGACGTTTCACAGCCATTAGGAATAACCAATCAGAGCCCAGCACTTCAAGTCAATAAGAGGCAAAGGAGGGCGGGACCTTCCCCTACCATCCAACAAAAAAAAATTTGCGTCCGGGTTTGTTCGGCTTTGTCTGAGCAAGTTTATAAAATCCTTCAAATGTCTGCGGTTGCGATCGTAAATTTCGATTCTGTGTCATGTGGACTTACTGAGTTAGAAGCACATAAAAAACACTTGATCCAACCCGAAAAACTCTCAAAATTAACTTCGTGTGAGTCCATGACCTCGGCCCTGTGTAGTCGTGTCCTCTTTTTTGGAAAGTCAAAATATGGTCACCCTACTCTAAATACATTTTACAATTCACATACATCTATTTTTAGTCGCACATGTGAGTAAAACGGTCGCACTGTTGGCTAATTTTGTAGCAGTGACTCAAAAATCAAGTATTGACAGACGGGGTGGGGGCATCACTCGGGTAAAAGGTTAACAGGTGCAGCTTGGAGAAGCTATAAGGTAATAATCAAGCTGAGTCACTGAGCTCTTAAAGTGCCCATTAGAGTTTACAGGCTGTCTTTTGTGAATTGTACAAATAGAGAAACAGACATCTGGCGAGCGTTATTTTGCCTGTAACCAAATTAAGTACTACTGTTGCAGGGAGGGTGCCAAGTGTCCCCAATGTGCAGATGGGTTACTGCGAGTGACAATCAGGAGGGAGGAAAGGAAGAGTACATACTCTTTACTGCTGTTTTTGTGATGAGAGAGCGACTTCTCCTCCAGCTTGCACCGCTTGCTCTCTGGTTTGGTTCCTTCTTCGTCATTCTGGAGGACAAAAAAAAGAAAAAACATCAAGACTGATTAAAAGCAGAGACACATTAAAGGATTTATATATTCCTGTTGATGTAGCGTTGATTGGGAGACGAGCTAAAAAATCTTCTGAGCTGCGGCACAAAACGGACGCACAACTCTGTTACATCATAACATCACAAACTCTTTCTAGTAGTTTCCCGGCTAAACAAAACAGAAGTTCTAAATCTGGATCTCCACCAAAACTGAATCCATTGTTCCTCTAACTCAAAGGTGTTTCTGTCTGCTTTAATGGAAATCTGTCCGGAGGTTATTCTAAGAGTTACAGGATCCTGGAAAGGCAAATAAGTGAGAACATTTATAGCTTCCATGAAGGGACAACAAACAAATAAACGCTTGTTCGGTGTGCATAATCCTTTTCGAACACTTGTGTGTTTAAGAGTAAGACAAACTTTTTTAACTTTCTTTTTAAACTAGTGACAGATTTAAAGAAAGTGGGCTTAAGTTAAGGTCCAAGTCTCATACCTTGTGTTTTCTCTTGGCCTTACTCGAGCTCTTCTCAGAGCTCTGCTTGCTGAAGTCTTTACTGTCTCTGTCAAGAGAGTCGTCTCTCTCCACTTTTATCTCCACAGGTTCCTTGTAGGGCCGCCCTGGGATCCGAGACAGCAAGCTGAGATCTATAGGAAGAAGGGAGGAAAGGGAAAGGTAGGGGAGCTTTAACTTGGTCTGCTTAAGGAGCGTGTCCTCCGGCTAGATGAGTCAAACAAAGTTACAGAAACATCAGACTTCTTCTTCTTTCCTTTGAAAAGTTTCTACTCACCTATCTTCACCAGTAGAACCTGCTGCTGAGGCGGCCTGAGAGGATACCGCTCCTCTGGGTCACTGAGAGGAGACAGCAGCTCTTTCTCTTCCATAGGAGAGAACACGCAGACCGGGGTCCTGATGCTCTCCGTGTACTTGGGCGTCTGCGATGAAGATGGGATGCTGTCATTTCCCTCAGAGTCTGATGATGAAGAGTCCGTTTCCACAAACTCCCGAGACTTCTGGGATGTCTTGGTGGGCGCCTTGGCCTTGCGTTTGTCCGCGGTGGTGGTGACGGCAGGTGCAGTCGGCCTCGGGGAGGATTTGGGTTCTTTTTTGATGCTCGGTTTCCGGGAACCTTTCGTAGCAGCTTTGGGCCGGTGAGGAGGGATCTCAGGCGCCGGCTCGCTCTCCACCCTTAGACCTCCTTTGGGTTCTTCAACCACTGGAGGCTTCTCCGACTTTTTCGGCTGTTTCTTACCAATACTCCTTCGCGGATTTGTACCACCCTCGCTCTGGGCGGGGGATTTTTGCCTACCTCGGCCACCCTCGGCACCCTTTTGCGCCGCCCGAAGGTCCCTGCTTGGGGTGGGTGTTGCTGAGTCTTTTGAGCTCCCTCCCTGGCTGCTGTAGCCACGTCCCGAACTGTTATCCCTGCCTTCTTTCTTGCACTTTGTTGGGACGTTATTGTCTACCGGAGACGCTGGGGAGAACTGCTTTGCTTTCTTGAACCAGTTGTCCAGCTGCCACTTGTTGGCCATGGGTTGTTCAGGCTGGGGAGGGAACAGGAGGACACAAAAATATTAGAAACTAAGCTGACAGCTCGTCAATCAAAACTGAAAATATCAAAATGTGATTTTCTTTTCAGTGGTATCAGCGTCTCCTCACAATCCCATCCCAGGATCAGCCGGCGCTGTTGGAATTACTAGTTAATAGAGTACAAAATCATCACTAAGTAGCACTACAGATTTGAACCAAGTTACTGCTGAGTCATTACTTCAGGAGAGGCGGGCCGTGGGTGCTCGTTGGCTTCGCTGTCGGTCGTGCTGCTTTCGCTCTCACTGTCTGAGCCTGAGCTGCTCTCTGAGCCGCTGTGGCTGCTCGAGTCGTCCCTGGATTGCTCCGCTCCTTCGCTGTTATTGCTGTAGTAATGAAAAAGAGTCAAACTGTATTATACTGTGAGTAAAAGCTATACAGTCCACACTTGATTGTTCTTTTTTCACACATTGAATAATGCATTAAGCGAGTGCATCTTGTCCTGAGATACAAACCCTGTGTCCAACGTATGACTAACATTATAGTTCGAAACTTACAAAGCCGTGTCTGTGCTGTATGTTATCTATCAGCTGTTCAAAACGCTGACACTTAAGTAGCTGAAGGAAGGGATGCACCAGTCCACATTTTTTCACATCCGATCCAATCTCAATTCCTGGATTTGGATATCTGCCGATACCGATGCAAAATTATGTTGGTTTTTGTTGTAAATTTCAGTATCAGTAAATATTTGATGTATCGCCCAGCCCTAACTGATACCGATTCGGCTCGGCTAAGGTTCAATAACTGATTTTTTAAGGCAAAACTTTCAAAAGAGCGTTTCTCAAAGAGACCCAGTCCATGATATCCTGACTAGGGGGGGGCGATATAGGCTACAAAATTTATCACGATTAGTTTTGCCATTCTACCGATAATGATAAAAGTCCTGATAAAATATATAATAATTCCAATCTATATTTTTGACTCATTCTGTCTTGAGGACACCGGTTGGTGAAGTCAAATAAGATTCTTAACCACAAGTTTGAGTGGTAGGTTGTAGAGATAAGAGATATATGTTGCTCGCGCTTACGTCATCAACTTGCATTTATCACAAGATGGCAAATATTTATCGTGGAGGAATTTTCTGACGATAAACCGTGAACGATAATTTATCACCCATCCCCAATCCTGACCAACAAAATACCAAAAAAAAAAAAAAAAGCAGCCAACAATTTAAGCTCTTTTTCATCATTTAAAAGAACGACATCTTCCAAGCTTAAGTAAATAGAAAATATAACATTTTTATCATTTTGTCGCTTAAGAAATACTATTACACTGTACTAAAACCGGACACCATGGCTAGATCTGAGTATATTTTCTTGTGACTGAATCACAAACAATCCTGTTTAGTCTGAAGTGAGACTTAAACTACAGCAATAACCATAAAGTTATCTAACTTGTGCACCATAAGATAAGGAAACGTGACAGGAAATACGCCTGTGCTCATAATCAAGCCAACACTAAACTATTGTTGCCTCAAACTTTATCTGGAGTCAACATCGCCCAGTCACAGAACCCAACATTCACGTTTCAAAATCGTTTAAATCCTCTTTTTTTACCTCGCTGATGTGTTCCTTGAGGCATTCTTGGCGGAGTCCTGTTCTCCGTCACTGTCCTCGCTGCTGCTCAGCTTCAGGTCATCTTCAAGCATACTGCGATACAGGAAGGACACAAACTCAAGTCTTTGGTTTTTATTGCTTCTCTTTACCTTTTCTGCATGACTTAGGGAGGCCATACATGTACGCCTGGTTACTGACCGAGCTCATCATGAATATTTGTATCAGTATCCTGATCTCTGTTGTCAGGACTCAATTCTTGGAAAACTACACACACAGACTTAAGATTGAGAGGAAAGGATGAAGCACTCACGTGGGCTGGTCATCGCAAGCTTTGGGCTGGTGGCTGCTTGAGCTTTTGGAAGAACTGCCTCGCTCTGAAAAACACACGGCCAAAACTAAGAACTGACATATGACACAATTTATATATGAATCCTTTTTCAGATGAGCTTTGGGGTGTTGAGGTGTCAATCAGAAATGTGCAAAACTTACTGTGTCCACTTGGAAAAGCGTGAGAGTCCTGCGGTGAAAAAAAAGAGAGATTCTGAATTATTTCATGAACGCATTTATAATTGATCCTCTGACTTGAAATGATGAAGTGAATAAATCAGTTAAAGAGGATTTCTTCATGTTTGAGTTTGTGGCTAAAATCACCCAAAACGACTAGGAAGAAAACCTTTCTCTAAAGTTAAATATTTGCTCATAAGTAAGTCTCACTACTTAATATAACCCGAGTTCCATCATAGCTGGGTTACTGTGTGAAATGTTGAAATGAATTTCACAGTTTGCAAACCATTGATGGGCTGAATTTGATTGAAAGTAGTTCAAGCCAACAAATTAGATGTTGTAACTGGAAAATGTTTGAATATGAAGCCAGACGCACATTTCAAAACACTCAGGAAATGGGCAAGAAAGATGACAACAGTTGTGTAATGCCAAAAAAAAAAAAAGTTTAGAGTAGTTAACACATCCAGGAAGTCACCGATAGGACTAGATAACAAACAGGTTCTGGGGCAACAAATGCTGCCATCCAGAAAAGACCTGACACAACACAGCAAGACGATGCCGAACTATATTTGCATGTATCACAACAGCGTGATTTCATAGGAGAAGAGTTCAAGTGCCGGTCTGCAAACCTCCAAACATGTCATCCGCTGAAAACATCTTCACAAGCCATGTTTACGTGAGCAAAATTCCTTGATCTGATTAAAAATTTGAGGGATTGGAAAGTCTGAATCCACTATTTATATGGACGCAAAATCCAATAACGCGATCATGACAAATTTTATTCAGATTAGAAACTTTTGGACATGCGCAGATTTGTCTGATTTCACTAAAACAAACGCAGAAGAAGAGCTGTATTCACACCTTTGCTGTCAACATACCAACAATAGTGGCTCGCTTCAGCCAATTCAGGATTTTACCCTCTTTTAAATGTCATCACTAGATGGCGCCCTTGCTTACTTATTTGACTGTTCTGTCAAAGGTTGCACCGTGCGTGCAGATGTGACATCATAAGCTGTATGTACGCCTTGTTATGTTATCAGAGGAGCAGACATGGCACCTGAGTGTTAAACCTCCTGTACTGACCTCAATTAATACAAAGACTGAAGAGTGAAGAATGAGTCAGGTTAGAAAGTCACGATCGGAATAAGTGTTTACATGGACGTGTTTCGGAATAACTATCGGCATAAACCACCCCTCTCCATCGGAACACAATTTCTGTCCGATTGAGCTTAATTGGATTGCAATTTTCCGATCGACATGTTTACATGACGCATTTTTATTCTGATTGTTTGTGCCCATGTAAACGCAGCTAGTGTGATATCAACAAAAAAACAGGATAAAACCAAGCTAGAGTTCTGGAGTTGAGCTGGAGCTCTTTATCAAGCAAGAACGGGACAAGATTTAACTTTTAAAAACCCAGAAACGAGTCTCCTGGGTTCCCAACATTTACAGAAAAAAGAACTAATACTTTACAATTAAAAAACACAATTTTAGTTTCACGTTCAACTTGTTGTCTTTGCACTGTTTCCAATTAATTATCAGCCTTTAAGGATTTGCAAACCATCAAACCTTATGGAAGTGTAGTTGTAGTTACTTGTTGTAGGAGTGTTTACACAAAAACTAATATCACAGCTTTATTATTTGATCATGCCACATAATCATTTCACACAGGAATCGGTGCAAAGCTGACCTTGGTAGGGAAAGGAAACTTGGAGGGCTCTGTTTTACAGGGGGTGTGGATGGCTGTCAGCGGAGGAGGCCACGACTGAGTCATTTCCTGAAAGAAAAGAGAAAAAAAAAAAAAAACGCACACAGACACAGGGAAAAAATGTGCAAATTAGTTGAGGGTGAGTAATGTGAAATGCCCTTTCATTCACTTTTTCCTCTGAGCGCCCATACCAGAGAATTTTCTACACATACCTTTAGAATTTCATCGACACAGTTGGCATCCCCGGATCCCTAAAGACAGACACATTAAGTTCAGCATGTGTTCATAAACGGCACGGTGTTGTGCAGCAGGTGAGCATCCATTTTAAGGAGCATGAGTCACCCTTTAGACATTTTATGAGGGTTCAGCTAACCCAAGTATAACATGCTGTTGGGAACATGGGTCTGGTTATCCTATATGGAGGCTTTAAGCTCTCAACATAAACACCGTTTCTCTTATATCTGCAGTTCTGCATGAGAACCCACTTGTTTAAATAAGCTGCAGATTGTAGATTAATTCAATATGAAGTATGCGTGAGCAAACTGTACCTCTACAGGCTGTGAGGGGATCTTGAGTTTGGACAGTGAGGCCTTGCTGTTGGACTTCATCTCTCCCATGGTGCTGCTGTGCGACTGGCCGCTGTAGCTTTCTGGCTGTGAGCTCTTGGGTTCTGCAGTTTCCTGGCCGTCCATAGGCCGAACGTATGCTGTGGGCTTTTGCAGCATGGAGCCGGGTTTGGACATTAAAGACGGGGGAAATGCCTGACTTGAGTGTTGACCGCTGGGGAAGGAGGTGTGAACCCGCGAGGGGGAGTCCCAGTTGGCCTCTCTGTCTCGTGGGGATTTGGAGCGATATCGCTCTTTGCTGTGGTGCTGCTCGGCAGACAAGGAGCTCCGCAAGTGGCTGTTGCTGCTCGAGGAGCTGAGGGAGCCTTTGGCTGGACTCGATGTGTGTGACTTTGAGTGCTCTGACCCTCCGCTGTGTTTACTTGACTTCTTTTCCCGCACCTCCCCTCCGTGTCTTTGGCTACTGCTGCTGCTGCCGCTACTGCCTCCGTTTCCCCTCTGGCTGCTTAGTCCTGAGCGTTTCTGGGACTGGGATGAAGACGCACCCCCGGCAGGGCCTACTGGAGTCCACTTACTGCTCTGGCTGCTGCCACTGCTACCAACGCCACGCTGGTCCCCGCTGAATAAAGGCGGGCCTGATTTCTCCTCGGAGGAAGACGAGCTGTTAGAAGGTTTACAGCTGAGCTTTGGAAGTGTGTCACCAATCGGTTCTTTCATCTCGTCGTAATTGCCCAGCATGCTCTGAATACGGCTGGACAGTTTATCTTCCTTACTAGACTGAAGAGAGAAGCAGAGAATGGGAGGAGAGGAGAGAGTGAGGAGGAGAAAAAAATAAAAAGACAGTCAAAGAGGAAGAAGAGAGAATAAGTGAGAGGGGAGGGGGGCAGAGAAAACAGTCATTATGGGCACAAGTTCAACACTCGGGTTAATTGCTTTCCATGAAAAACATTTAAAAATGGAGGAAAAGATGTATCACTCCGACAAAGACACATTCAATGAAACATGCAGAGTGAGTTTAACTGAATGCAGATTTTCATCTTTAAAAGAGGGACAAATTATATCTCAATCCCATGTGTTGCCTGTTGTACTCTCAAGATTATTGACCAAACGCTGAGAAAATAATCGATTGAATAGAGAGGGCCTTATCTGCCTATCACACAGTCAGCTTGTTCAAACTCTGCCCACACCCATCTGCGAGGACAGATAAGCGTCTACTCATAGTTCCAACACAGTGGTTAATCAATCACTTTGAGGCTGCCAGTTCCAGCTGACATGCTCGCAATCAGCCCATGACAGAAGTCTGTACAGAATATCCCGTTTCACAGGCGACCTCAGACCTCTATTTTGTTTGACGGATTCATTTAGAGGGTGTGGAAACTCGGGGCCGTTATCTGCAGCAGGAAATGTAACGAGCTTTGGTCATAACATGATCCCTCCACTACCTCCTGCCGGGCTGACCCAGCTCCTGCTGAAAATTTGTACAATCTGATTTCCATATGAGGAGTTTGACTTTTTAGTGGGCAGATCAAAAAGGCGTTTCTAAAGAACTTTGGATTTATGTTGACATTTGACAGAATAGAAGTAACCCTCTGTCTTTTCAAAGGTTGATGCTGCTCATATCAGTTGATATCAATATATATCACGATATAAAAATTAAATTTAACAGTGTTCATACAATACAATAAGCTTCTGTATCTGTGAGGTCTTTGTGTCTTTTCTACGTTTTGTCGTAAGGCGTTGCGCTAGAGAGAGCGGACTGAATGGTCGCCTGTTTAGGCTGCACAGGAGCCACGGGCTCCATGCTCCGCTCGGGGTTTGTAACTTTTTGCATTGCGCGTGCTCTGCCGCATGGCACTGCTTCAGGTCGTGAAAAAGATCTGAGGTATTCCCCGACTTTCTGCGAACATGTACTCAACATAATTTGAAGTGCACATTACTCTGCTTCATGTCCGATCTCAAAAAAACAAAATACCACAGACGTTTCCGTGCCAGTGTTGTCGATTGATTAAATTAAATTTTTAGCCCGTTTGAGACTAATCGGTAATCAGCCAAAACTCGCCAATTTTCACTGATATTATCAGAAATAAAGTGTGGAGAATAAGATTCTCTTCGAAAATGTTCCGCCATTTGCAAAGTTCCCCGACTTATCCTGTAGATGGCGCAGTGACATCATGACAATCCTCATCCACTAACTACCTCACAGCACAGCAGAGCGACGGATCTGAAGCAGAAATGCTTTTCTGGTCCGAGTTTGATCAGTCGGTCTTCCTGTCCGAGTGGTATATCTACAGTATATAGTATAATGTAGATATCTACAATATATATATATATATATATATATATATAATGTATAACTTTTTAAAAGTTAAAAAAATTACTAAAAATTTAAAAATCGTCCGATTAAGGGCCCTACTAAGTACCCTCTAACTTTTCAAAGGTTGATGCTGCTTTCATCCTCACTAAAACAATCTTGATACTCGATTCTGATCGAGCAACAATCACAATCTAGCAAATTTTTCATTGGTATGATCTATCAACCTATCGCAGAGCAGAAAGAAAACAACAGCAGACCATCGTCTTAGTAAATGGATGTCTGGAAGCTGAGAGAAAAACGAGCAGCAGATCAGCTTGCAGTAGTCAGAGCCCTAACAAAGAGCACTAGAGAGAAACACAGATTTTTTTAAATACAGGGCTGCTCTATTCTGTGTTTGAAGTTTGATGAAAGACTCCTACCAGGACACTTGTCAAACAGACGGAGTTATCATAATATGAAAAAAAAACACCAACTCTGAAACATTTATGAAAAGAACATTATTGCACTTTTTTTGTTATCTCATGAGACACAAAGACTATATTAGAAAGTGCTTGAGTTGATTTAGGAACAGCTGAATCATTGCACCATTTGTCGGACTTACTCACTGTTGACAGACTGAGCAATTGCAACACTCTCTAGTGTGTTGGCAGAGTCAAAACAGGTGATGTACATGCTGTACTGCACGTTCAGGGAGAAAAGAAAAAAAAGAAAACATCCTTTCAAAAATGTGATGATACAGCCTGTTCCTTCCCCATAAATTTCTGTTTAGGATCTCACAAACTGTAGTTTGACCAGAGGTACTTACACTGAGTTTTTACAGCCCTTAGGCAGTACTTTCCTGCAAGATAGGGGCTATCCTTTCCAATATCACTCAAAACAATGATTTTCAGACAGCTAAAGCGAAAAAGGAAAATATACTGTTTTCATCCCTCCTGGAAAAGTTATTGTTTAAAAATTAAACTTTTTTGTCATCCTCCCAACGATCTGTCTGAACAAGGATGCACAGCTGACAAACGAAGCCTTTAGTTTTACACCGAACACCCATCATGAGTCTTTGTGATTCTAAATCTGCAGTCCAAACATAAACATGTAGATCGCTTAGTTTCCAGGGAAAGGTATATTTTTCCTTCCTTCATGATTTCTTTATTTCTTTTAAAGTAACCCCTGATTTGATTTGATCTGATGTATTTCCTAGAGTTAGTTTAACTTTTGCATTAACAACAAGGTGGGTGCAATTCATCTCTGGGTTCGATGCATCGTGATGCTTCACGTGACGAGTCAGTACAAAAAAACACCTAACCGGAACCTTAAATGCGCGTGCTGCCCAGACTGTTTAGTGGGTGGGACCACAACAAACGGAGCACGTTTGTTTCTTTGCAAAATGGCAACAGCTTCAGCAGACTCCAAAGAGCGGCTGATTCTCTCGCGACCACGGTTGACTGCAACCGTGTGGAAGTACTTTAGATTTTATACGGGAGCAAACGTGACAACTGACAAGACCTACGCGATTTGCAAAAAATAAAGACCCTCAGCAACACCACAAACATGAGGTAGCACCTTGTGCGCTTTCATCCAGAAACAGACAAGGCTCTACGGGTCGCGCCCGCCACACAGAGGACCATCCTGGAGGCTGTCTCCAAACTTCCCAGTTTAAGTTAAGTAGGCCAAAGTGCAAATGTTACATAACAGTCAGAGTCATAAAATAAAATATTTTGTGTCAAATGTTACTTATTGAATCTAGTTTTAGAGGAACTGAGTTAATTGATAGTATATTTATTTACAAATGCAACCACAGATGAAGAAAAAATTAATCTAGTATGGAAAAAAGCATTAAAAATGGCAATAATCAAAGAATCGTGGCATCAATAATCGAATCAACAATCATTATAACCGAAGAATCGAAGTTCCTATAATCAAATCATGAGGTACCCTAGTTGGAACACCCCGAGCAGATCACTTAGTTTCCAGGGTAACGTATATTTTCCCCTGCTTCATGATTTCTTTTAATGTAACCTTGATTTGAATATATATGTATTCCTAGTTTAAGAGTTAAGTGTTGCATTAACAACCCGAACCAGTCTTGCAGAGGCTTTACTTCCACACAGATACTGTTTGCTCTTCATATTTTGAAGCTGAGGTACAAGTGCGTGAACTGTGCACCATAAAAAAATGTTACTGCTCTGCTAGTCTACATCTGGGAGGCCGCAGCTGCAGCTGTGCGCACACATGGTCTTTAATGCAGAACACAGTAAACTTCCACTTAGTGAAGCATGGCAGAGGGAGGGGGGAAAAGGCAACCGAAGCTTATATAAGACCGAGACAAGCAGGAGAAGAGATATGACGTGTAGTGTAGCGTAGTGAAGCCAGTGACTTGAGCAGTTCGTGTTGTCTGCATTTGTCTGCAAACTTAATTCTCTAAAAAGTGGTTTCTGAAGACGAATGTTTGTGTCTCCCCTGAAAGGAAAAAAAGAACTACTTGCTGCAAAAAGGTCAAGGACTTCTCAAAAGTCAGTGTTTACTTTGTTGTGGTCCAAAACACACAGGCCCTGCACGCATCGCTCACCTCTGGTACCCTTTCTATTCCCAACCTGTCAGGACACATTCCTCGCTGCTTCTTTGATGGCTTGCTCCGGCTAAGAAGAGGAGCCACTTACCTCTGCTCAAATCTGGTTAGCGACAAAGATTAGACCAGTACAGAGAGCTCAAATCCTCTTTACAATTACACCGGCTGGGTGAAAGCTGGCTGGCCTACATTTGTATGTGTGTCTGTGAACACGGGGAGGAAAGAGGGGAGAGGCTGGTGCGCTCTTTTGTTTGTCTTCTTCGGTTGCAAAAACAAAATGGTTAACAAAAGACAGGTGTTGCCTATTCCACTGACTTTTCCTGTGTTTTGTGCGGTTTTCTAATGTCTTACAGCTTCGTCGTGTTCTTCGAAGCCAAAAAACCGTTTGGAAAAGCATTGGTTATTCTTTCTAATGCCTATAATCAACCCAGCGACATATTGTGCTTGAAGTGTGCATGAGATCATCTTGATTAAAAGAAGGACTGTCAGAGCAGTACAACTTGTTCAGACATGTCACATAAAACAACTCCGGCTGAGGTTGTAAAAGTGGCATAATCTGAAATTACCCTCTTTAATTTTTTATAGCTCATAACAGGCATTGTCAGGAAGGGTTCTGGAAAGTTATTGAGGTAAAAAATCAAATCACAAAGCCTTGCATCTCATCTATGAAGTCGAAAGCAAAAACTAGATTAAATAAAAGATTTTTTTTTAGTCAATCCAGCTTTTTTGAGAGAAAATTTTCAGAATCAGAACCAGAATACTTTATTTATCCTAGGGAAAAACTGTCAATTTTTAAGAACTGTCAAAATAATTTACAGAAATATTTCCACAATTTCAAGACTCAATCTGAATACCAGGTTTGGACTTGTACTTTACGTTTGAAGGCCTTAAGTGCATTAAAAACGTGATCTTTTGCAGATTTCAGAGAGACTGTGCGGCTGTGCGGTAGCTTCGCTAACAGGCTGCTAACTCACTAACAGGCTTTTTCCTTCAATTCGATTCTGTGTCGTTCTGTGAGTTTGTTTGAACAAAGATAACTTGTTTATCCAGCTTAACCACATTGTGGGTCTGAGTAACATTATTCTGCAAAAATATAGCCCTACATTACAGTCAAGACTGTCTGTCAAGTTTAATATAAAATACGATCGAACTCACCAGAATCAGACAGCAGCATTATCTCACCCATGTCTAAATAAGGTTTCAAAGTTTTCTACTCGGTCGTAAAAGGCTGGATGTATCATCTGTCTATTTACAGATCTATGGACACCACCAGCTTGAACTGTTCCTTTAAATTTCAGGGCTTGACACTAACTTTTTTCACAAGGAGCACAATGAAAATTGATCAAATTATGTGTTTTCCATCATAAAATGGAAAATTTGAAATCAATTTTAGATCATTTGGTCACATGACATGAAAGCTATTGAGGAAAAGGGTCAAAATTTGCCTTTAAATTAAAACACAAACATTTTTAGAGGACAAATCAGGGGAAAAAAAGTGTGTCTTATTGGTTCGACATAAGTACTATTATTTGAAATCAATTTTAGGTCTTTCGGTCACATGACATGGAAGCTATTGAAAAAAACAGCCTTTTTTGAGAACGTCAACTGGTAATTTATTGATGGTCCCTTATTCAACACCCGACGTTGACAGCGAGGAGTAGAGAGAGTGAGAATACACCAGTAAATCTGCAGTGAATGTCTGTAAAATATCCAACCTAAAACTAACTTCACTGCAGTTTGGATTTAACCACGCTGCTCTCAGAGTCGTTGACATCTCAAATTTTGATTTGAGAGGTCAAGAAATTTATTTAGACACATTTTACTATGATCTCTGTGCTTTTGCTTTTGCTTTGCTTTGGCAGATTGTCATCACTTTCTAATCCTTCATGATCTAACATCGTCAGATCACACGCCCCTAGATCACACCTTCCGCTTAAGCACACTCAGCATTATTTCCTGTATAACTGAAACATGGCAAGGATACAAGAGAAGACTCAAACACAGTAGTTAAACAAATGACTTAAACTGTAAAAGTAAGGAGCATGCAATGCACTTTAGGGGCACAAGGAAAACTGATCAAATAATGTTTGTCTTATTGGTCGACATAAGTACTATTATTTGAAATCAATTTTAGGTCAATTGGTGACATGAGATGAAAGCTATTGAAGGAAAACAGCCTTTTTTGAGAACGTCAACCGGTAATTTATTGATGGTCCCTTATTCAGCAAGGGTGTCGAGTAGATTTAACCGCGCTGCTGTTGGCATTCCCGGTTATGGAGAGTGAGAAGACACCGGCAGATCCGCAGTGAATGTCTGCAAATATCCAACCTAAAACTAACATTTGATGCCTTGGCTGATTTTTTTTTTTATGCGCACGTGCCCCTAAATACATTTTACAATTCACACACATCTAATGCAAGTGAAACGTTCGCACTGTCGAGCCCTGAATATATTGCAAAGGAAAAGCTGAAAAGATATCTTTTATACCAAGAAATACTTTGTAAATTACATGTACCGTATTTTTCACACTATAAGATGCACCATCAATGAACGCGTCTATTCGTGTCTATTTTCATACATAAGGAGCACCGCATTATAAAGCGCATTAAGCCAAACAAAACAGTCAGGGCCACAAGGATTTTAAGTGCGCCTTATAGTGCAAAAAATACGGTCGTTTATTTTACCAGCCTGAAGCAGCGGTTGTATTAATGTTTAAAAAGAATCATACTTCAAAGAATATATCTAAATTCAGCATTTATACTTGTTAAGATAAAGAGTTTCCCAAACTTTCAGCGCTCGGTATGATCCCTGTTCTTGAAAAAGATTTAGGATGAAACTGATTCATGTGGCGCAGAAAAGTTTCTAGTCTGAGGTGATGTGGGAATGAAGCCAAATAACACATGGTGCACATATGGTGTCCTCATACACTTCTACAAAAGCATGCAGGACAGATAAAGTTGAAAGAGTTAAACCTGCAGCTTCATGTTTCCCAAGAAATGTGATGACGAGACTGTATCAACGTGAGCACCTCTTGTTACGTGCGCACTTCTCACTTCCTGTGGTGTTGCGAATTCTTCAAAATTGACTCATGAATCGTATGTTGGGGATGAACATGAGGTAAACAAACTTACCACTTTGTAGGGCTCAGGAAAGAGAGGGGAATTTGCTGGAAAGGCCTCTCCTCCTCCCTGCTGGATTTCTTGATTTCTCCTTTCTCGTTCTTTCATTCGGAGCACATTCCGGTCCTCACGGTTCATGTTGCTGTAACACGAAAAGAAACAAAGCCGGGTCAGTATCAGAAACATGCGTACACGAAACGAAGACGATAGAGACCCAGAGTAGTAAATTTGTGACACTGGAGAGGTTTGTGAAATTTACCGTAGACTTAAAAGTCAAGTGGCATGAAACATCAGTCGTGCTTTCTTGGTTCTTAAATGAATAACAACTAGTTTCCAACTCTTCCACACAGTCAGGCTGCTATCATGTACTCTCTACTTTGAGTCAGTTTTTTGGGTAAACCACAGATTGGACTATCATTAGCAAGCACCCGCACATAATAACAGAGTGGAAGCAGCCTAAGATGAGATGGCCGGTGGAGAAAGTAGGCCCTAATAGGCTTAGGCTAGTCTAGACAACATGAAGTAGTCGACATCTACAGCAGAATAAATCTCTGTATGAGCTTGCGGGACAAATTTGGACCTGAAATGACAAGATTCAGTGTTAGCATACGCTGACGAGTTTATTTTCAATCATTACTGAGGTTTACAGCTCGCCAAATCTGTACTTCAAACATGCCGCCAGCTCTTAAAGTACAGTGGACGTCACAAGAAGAGACATGAATTCTCCTGATGAACTGGATAGAAGGTAAAACACTGATAGGCTTTAATAATAACAACCTTCTGCTGCTAAACGGTGGCTCAACGCCCAAACTGCTCCCTGAACACACCTCTCTGAGCTTACTGTCTTTCTTAGCAGTGTTTGTTGTGCAAACATTAAAACAGGAGGGCTATTCGAGGTCAAAGAACTTGCTCGAGAACGTAAGGGGGTTCATATCGCAGGCTGCAGTGAAACTGGACCGCGCTTTAAGACGTCAAGTCAGAGGGGACCTCATTTCATCCTGCTTGCTTTGTGTCCTGCCTCACACTCCATGTTAAAAGCATAAATAGAAACAAATCATGTGTCTTATATGAATCCTTCACATCAGGGTGTCTTTCTTTTTTGACCTTATGCCAAACATCGATGACCTGTGTTTATTGGCTCGACAAATATACACCAAGACTTTTGTTTTTTTTGCTTGGTGTATTTTTTTTGCAAGACTTTTACTTGGTGGTTAGTAAATTCTCAAACTGATCATCATCATGTCACACTAAAAACACAACATAACGCTGCTTAAATACTCTTTATCCATATCTTTAATTCCTACAACAAAAAAGACACAAGATATAATTATAGTAATCTACAGGTAATTACTGTAGCCCAGCCCTTCATTGTTTCCTGGAGCTAACCAAGTTCTTACTGGAACCATTTTCCTGCTGTTTCACAGATGGGCCAGATTTGGCAGAGAAGCCGAGATGATATGACTCTGTTTGGACTATGAGAGTACACTGACACTGTGTTTTGGTTTAACAGGACAGACAGCAGTGTCCCGAGTCAAAGAAAAACATCAGAGCATGAACTAGAGATCTCAAAAGAGCTCACATTCATGTAACCAAGCCCACCCTGGTGAGATAGCAGCCTCTTTAATTAAAAGGTGGGGTAGGCAGGAATCCGTTAAAGAAGCATCTTTTTTTTGTGGTGTTTATACAAAAAGGCTTTTCATATCAGTCAATAGCTGTTAGTTATTGATGACATTTGGTAATATCACGATATCGCTGTGTTTTGTTATGTCTGTGTAGTCAACATTTAAAATTTTCAGAGCGCTCTGCTCTTTCTGACTGTAAATAAAGCCGTTCCCCGCCTCCACCATCCTGATGATTGGTTGTGAGGCACACGCTGCTCTCCCCCGGTGTGGTTCACGAGTTCAAACAAAGTTAGCGTGCTACAATATCGGACAGTAGAAACCAACCAGAAAGTACAGAAAAATTGTCTGAATCCTCCTTTGGCCACAACTGCCAACACAAGCAAGAAAACAGACTAAATACTGGAGACTCTGGTGGAATGACGGGCGCTTAAAACAGAGGTAGACCAGACAAGAGCTAAGAAGCCGGGTCAATATAAACGATGGGGGACGCGTCAGGATCTTGGTGACCCTGTAACCTTTCTGCTGGACAGGTAAACCACTTTAACAAAGTAAGCCAAGAGTCTGTAACAGAAGTGTTTTTTGTCAAACCGCTACACCGTTGACCTCAGGTCCTGGACTATGTCACTTTATCCTCGTTGTAGAAGTCCTGCAAACATTTTGTTTGCTGGTAGTCTGTTGGCATCTACCGTAGCACCAATGCTATTTACTTTCACATTGACTGGGCCCCATTTGTAATTATCTGAAGTATTTATCTGCATTATATCTGAATTTAGTTGAAACGATACGAGCGAGCAGGAGCGTCTGTTTGTGGGCGGGGCTTGCTGGAGCAGAGAGGGAGGGGAGAGGAGGAGCTGAGGGGAAAACTGGTTGGGATGGGTAGAGTTTACATTCAAGATTTCTACTCAAAACTGTCACTTCCTCAGATCCTGCCTACCCCACCTTTTAATTCAGTCCCTTATGTTTGGTTTTTCGGTCATATAGCCAGCAGTCATGTCACTTAAACTTGAGTCTCAGTCAATTCTTGAATCTTCAGTGTTCAAGCCCAAGTGACCTGAGAAGAATCTAAGTCGAGTCTCTGTTACCCCAAGAAGGGCTGGGCGATAAACCAAAAATTTACCAAAACCAAAATTTAATAACCGACGTCATTTTGCCAATATCGGTATATTTGATGTCAAAAAAAATAAATAAATAAAATTGGTTTTTGGATGTGTGTGGATAGGCTATGGTCTCATGTCTGTAACAAAGAGGGAAAGACAGGTGAGGAGATGGAGCACGGTTCAAAAGTTGTAGCGGCTGAAGAAGACGTAGTTAATGTGGGAGGGGGTGAGCAGCTTGTGGAGTAGTTATCATCCATTTATCGTTATCAAGGTGAACTGCTCAACAAAGGATTACCTCACCACAGGTTTGGAGTCTCCTTTTGCAGCTCATGCTGGCTTAAATAATGTCATTCAAAGGCATTTTACTGTTTACACTCAAGTGACAAAAACCTGTCTTCAGAAATAGATTACAAGAAATACTCTACCCAATGCCACTTGTGCCATTTGAAAAGAGTGTTTGTCACTACCAGATTGACTAAATGGGACTCTGGTCTTTTGTGCGCCTTGGTTCAAAGAAAACCTTCCAGGTTTCTAAACTGGAAACATGTAGGTGGTCAGCCAGGCATGTTTCCTCTTGATTTAGGTTTGACAGCTTCGGCTTTGACAATAACAACAATGACTTCAAGGGTGTTGACTGAGAGGGCTTGTGTAGCAGCCTCCTCCTGGATCACAAACAAAGCGTTCAAGGGTGTTTAAATCTTACTATGAATGAAAGAGAGTATGAAAGGAAACAGGTGACTGATTGAAGAAGAGGGACGAGAGCTGCACGAGAGGAAGTCAAGCAATGTGTAAGAGGTAGAAAGTAGAGGGTTTACCCCTGAGAGTTTCGAGGAAGACTTCTGTATTTACTGACAACTGACCAGGACGGTCATTTCCCCGGTCATTTGGTCGACTAAATCTTGGCAGCGGTTGACTAAAACAGTTCCAAGATTATATTATTGCATGACTTCAGACTGATTCTGCATAAGCTTATCAGCAAGTCGAGTAATAAATTCCCAACCAACCTCCCCACAATCCCTCTGTCTGCTTTACATCATCAACAACAACCCCAACTATGAGTCATCGCTCGTAACTCAGTGGAGTGATTTACACACTATGTACTCGGCTACATCACAGCAAAAGCTCAGGAGGGCCATTACTGCCGTGAGCTGTCTGATACACACCGTTAACACCACTTTTATCAGTGGAGGTGTAAAGAAAGAAACCGTTTGGACTATCGATGATCCAAACATCTCCATCATCCCCCTGCTGTTATCACCTCTTCACTTCATTTTACTTGTAGACACAGGATCAAAGCAAACAAACAACACATAAAAATGCACAATATCAAACAACTGAACCGAGAGAGAAGATTTACTCTAGCCGCAGCAGAGTAAATTCTGCTCCATGTTGGTCATTTTGCAGTTGCCAACTACCATTTGAAGGTCTATCGTGGAGTCCCAGATTTCTGCTCTGGGAATACAGACGACCACATTTTAGCTGGTTGGACAAACAATCAAAGAAAAAGGATGTATTTAGAGTCCTAGTGCTCCTTCAAGTGTCAATAATCCTGTCGAGTAAGTGAGCCTGAGTGTGTGAACAGAGAAACAGTTAGCAGAGTGCCAAATGATCAAATACCCCCAAGCACAAAACCCGTTGTAAACACTGCTCCTTGTCTATTCGGCACAACTAATTGGCCTGATCTGTTGGCTTTTATTGGTTGAACAGGGGGTCACACCCTGCCATACTGTAACACAGCAATAAAGACAACCTAGCAGGCAGGAGGGTATCAGTTTCAATGAAACTGGAGCTCATACTAAAGTCTGTGCAACCCAGTTTGACTTTAGTGAACTTGTTCACAAGTTCACAAATGTCTCCCATTAATCTGCTGTAGTTGTTAAAAAAAAAAAGATCAAAACTTTGGCTCCACCTTGTACGTTTTTTTAAGATCTCAGCAGTGCCCTTGATAAACAATCTTAAGAGTGCCATTGGTTTGTATTAAAAAAAAAACCCACATCAAGTAAGTCTGGTCTGGTGGGGTTTGAACTGTCCAAAGTTATGACTGCCAAATGCATGGTCCCATTAATCCATCAATAAATATTTACGACAACCCAAAAGCCAACATACCGTTTTTTTCATACATAAGGCGCACCGGATTATAAAGCGCCAAACAAGCCAAACAAAGTGCTCCGACAAGCTATCAGGCTGTGCAGCTTTGTAGCTTACTTAAGTCTTAATAAAACACTTTGACAGATTTTTGAGCGCTGTGTACCACATAAAATCGGTTCGAGGCCAGTACGCACAACCAGAATTCATACATAAGGCGCACCTGATTATAAGGCGCACTGAGGATTTTTGAGAAAATGAAAGGATTTTAAGTGCGCCTTAGAGTGCGAAAAATACGGTAGTTGCATTCAGGCCTGCAGGATATGAGAAAAACATGCAATGTTAGGGCTGGGCGATATGGCCTCAAATCAATATCACGATATATTGAGCAGCTGTTGATAAATGAACGATAACTACTCCACAAGCTGCTCACCCTCTTCCACATGAAATTCGTCTACTTCAGCCGCCACTCCAGCTGCTACAACTGTTGAACCGTCCTCCATCTCCTCACCTGTCTTTCCCTCTTTGTTACGGACTATATGGGGTGGAGTCACGTCTCTGACGTAGGACAGCGTCTTAAAAGGCGTCTTGAAAGCCTACCTACATACATCCAAAACTAACTTTTATTTATTGATTTATTTTGACACTAAATATATTGACATGGGCAAAATGACGTCGGTACATTTTGGTATCAGTAAATTTTCGGTTTATCGCCCAGCCCTATGCAATGTGCAGTAACAGTTCTATGTTGAGATTATGTAAGCGAGACGAACAGACCGAAGCAAAATTTAGATCAGACTTTACATCAACCACCTGTTCCTTGTTTTACACGATACCTGATTTGGAACTGCAACGCTTGCTCATCACAACTTAATCGTCCCCGGTTGATCTGAGGGCAGCTGATTGCTAACTTCGGCTTTTGATGCCATCAGAAGAGTGTCTAAGCACGGCCATTAAACCCAGACTTATATCTAGTAGGTAAAATGTAAAGTAACAAAGAATCGCATGTGCACATAAAATGATAACTCTTACATGTTGTTATGAATTCAGACTCTAGCAATGTCCCGATTACAATCAAACTGCAATCAATGGCTTAGCCCCACTTAGATTCAGACAGATCTATGCACACTAACTACTGTCAGCATGGGTCAAACAGTCTGTAAAAGTATTTGTTTACAACAGTTCAGAGGAGGTAAGACTTCTTCTTGAGAGAGGAAGCTTTGATACACATCTTATTGTAAAATCTGTTCCAGGGGACAAAAACAAAGAGCTGGTTATGCTCAATGGTTTTATGGGTCTGCTGGCTTCACCAAGTTTTACAGCCCTGCTCTTGTTGAGTTAGATATTACATTTGCAGCCTACTGTCAGCTCAAATCCATGCTCATACCAAGGTTTCTAATAGTGAGATAGCAATATTGAGAAACTTACATGGCCCTAAAACCAGGTACCTGAACAAAATAATAACAACATACCTTCCATGTTGAGTAAAGGACTCTTAAAAATGTCAAATCAGCTGCACTGTCTAAATCACAAGCGCTGTGTGCAACAAGTACGTTAGCATAACAACTGGAAAAGAAAACTGTAAAAATAATCCTGAGGCAATGAAGAAACAAGGCCCAACATGACACAGAAACAAGTTTACAATCCAAAAACAACTAACAGCCTCTTACTTTCAAGCTGAATTATCTAATTTCTAAAACAGACTTGTGGGGATTCCCTCCCTTGTTATGGGGATGTTTGTTATTTCAATCTAGGAGCGGTGACAAAGATTCCTGGCAGCACGAAAAACTATCAGTCTAAATGACAGCTGCTTTTTATTGAATGGAAAATCGTACATCACACTAGAACCCAAGACAAGCAAGCCTTAATTTCTGTTTTCCTTGTTATAGCAGCAAATGTTAAAGGCACAGATCACATCTGAAACCAGGATCCATTGAGGACTGGATTTCACACTTTTTCTTCACTGAAAATCGGTTACATTTAAAGCTTATCGATAACGCTAATAGGTCTTCTAAGTCCCATGATATAACATTTCATCTTGAGTTGATCCATGTTTGTTAAATCCAATCGGTGTTGTTTTTGTTGACTTTTCACGACAAAGACGTGACGTTGACGAGCTAAACATAAGTATAAGTCTTGGATGACTAAAATGGGACGAGACGAATGTGCGTTTATGTCGACACGAAAACGTTAGTGATGGATGACGAACAGAGTTGCGAACTTCATGAGCATTTCATCAGTCAAACGCTAAACATTTATTCTGCAGTGTTGTTTTCGTTGACGATGACGTTGACAAAATATTTTCGTCGTCATCGTCAACGGGAACGACACTGAATCCAATCACTCATCCAAGGAAAATAGATGACTTAAAAACATTTTAAAATAAAAATCATTCACTTGAAAAATTCATCTTTTCCTTCTACCATGTAATAGAGACTAAGGGGTCTAAATAATAGCATCAATAACAATCCCCACATGTTGGCGTTGGTTTGAATATTTGCTCAACCTGTAGCTAAGGGTCAAATCCTTATCAAGCTCTCCGTTTGCCAACAAAGCGAAGTGGGGAGACTGTTTCAAAACAAAAGGAAAGCCATGTTTAAGCACGTTTTTAAATCACAGTTATTACAATTAAAGTGAGGTGGTCTGCTGCCTTGAGTGTAATCATTGTACAGTGTGCCGCACTGAAAAGGTCAAAGTCTGCAGAGTTGAAAAAGGCAGTTCACTATGTACCAAAATAAAGAGTTAATCTGCCAGGTCTACTCTTCAACTCCATATTTTACAGAAACTGCTGGTCACCTTAAAACCAGGAGTTTAACATTAGACCTCTCAGACACAGTCATTATGTAAAGCTATCCAAAAACATGAAGTATGGCTTGTATAACACAGCTGAAATAAAGTTACGTGTTTAAGTCTGCCAAAGAAGAAATAAGTAAAGCAGCCAACTTGCTGTGCATTTCTTACCCTGACTGAGAGGCCATGGCCCCAACCACTGAAACATTGGAAGGAGGAGGGAGGAGGGTTCAGGAGATCTCCCAGGGATTCAGAAGTGTTCTCCTCATGACTTGTCAGCTTAGATTTCTAACTCAAACCTCCTCAAGTGAAGAAAACCTGTCCTCTTTTTCTCTAACTTTCTCTCTGGATGTCAAGCGTGGAGAGAAAAAAAAAAAAGTGTAACTGGAGTTCCTTTACTCGACTCGAAAGGTAACAGTGTTATTTCCTTGGAGTGGAGACAAATCTGACTCAGGGAGGGGAGGTGACTGCTCGTGCTCGGGAGATACCATGTCGGCAAACGACGGGGTTGGTCACATGCAGGGAGAAGTCTGGGAAAGCCACAGAGTTTGATGCGTTTGTGTTGTGCTGTGTTTTGAGCATGTGTGGACATCAAAGTGAGCAATAAGACAAAAGAGAGGGATTTAATTTGTGTTTTTTTAATCTAAAAGTGCCATGTTGTCTTTTTTTAGATGCCAACAGCACTTAAATTTAACTTTGTAGAAAAAAACTACTCAGGGAGAAGCTGAGGTATCTATAAAAGCAGACAAAATGCTCAAAATGAAGAGGGATATGTTCAAGAAGAAATCCCTGTCTAGAGAAATATCTAAACTATTACATCTTGACGCTTTTTTTCTGCATAAGGAAAGTCACAACCAGAAAAGAGAGAATAAATCTGTCCTACAGCGGTTTGTCATGCTTATAAACTTTGAGTCAAAGTGACATTAATTAGATTACTCAAACGCCGCCTCACAGCGACATTAAATTTACATAACACTATCAAAAAGGGCAATTAGGCCGAACATCTTCCACAGAGACACACACATCACTGTGGAAGCACCGAGCAGGGAATCAAATCTCACCCTCCTCTGAGAAATGGAACGGCCCACCTCCTCCCATAAAAGGACATGTTATTTTACACCATAGGACCTCTCCTCCGTGTGATGTCACGGCTCTCAGTAAGAACCAACCAATCGGAGCGCCTTATTCCATCAACAACCGCCCCTCCCTCCCCCCAACTCTGCCCCAAGCACAGGGCACAGCAGCCGAGCAGTCCTCTTAAAGGGACGGCGCGCAGTTTTCAGGCAGGTTGTGGTGTTGTTACAGGAGAGGTTTTTTTACATCAGGCAGATGATGATGACACATGCTGACAAATGTGTTATCACTGCATGCTGCAAGTTTTACAAAACTGACGACATCTTCACGCCATCTCGCCTCTGGGTGCTCGTAAAAGTTTCCTGATATGTTTGGAGCGGATTTCAACATTTGACCACCATCACTGACAGTTCAGAGGAGCAAAATTTCTTTAATTTACAGCTTAGTGCCTTAGTTTTGGGTCTCTCTGAACAACTCCTTTCTCCTGTTTTCCTCTATAAGTTTTTTTGTGGGATTTTTAAGGTGTTGTAATTTCTTGTTAAAGCCATTAAAGTTGTATTTTTATAAATTAAACCACTCTATTTATGCTATCAAGCTTTGAAAACTTTTCTTAAAAACCTCTCTTGACTAAAACCCTCTCCTTTAAGGTCCTTTCATACCAGGAACATTTTTTTTCGTGCGATTATTTTGGACATCAATATTTTATTTCAAACCCGTATCCTGTCAATACAAGTGTTCACATCAGCAACGTTTTCCCGTCCTGTGATATTTTGGCATTCATTTGTTCGTTTCACAGTTGATTTTTCTAAAGTTTCACATACTGTGTGTCCACTTCTGATCAATCAGATTTCGTGTTGTTGTGACGCCTCTCAAACATTTTAAAAACTTGCTTCTTATAGAAATTAATTTAACAAAAACACTGTACTGGACATCAGCATACATATGCTACAACTCTTGGCAACACACATGACTCTTAAGGAGACAATGGAAAACGCTCTTTTGAAAGGGGATTTAAGTCCAAGTTGGGAAACTCCCTGTGACTCAGTTCAGAGTCATCTTTAGAGACATTTCAACACATAATTTGTCAATGGAAACTTGAATAAAGTACACAATTTTTAAAGGTTTCCAGAATCAGTATTTTAATAGCAGCAGCACCTGTACAAGGTCCTCCTCCTCCCTGCGACTACTCACTCAACCAGTCCTGTGACACTACTGCAGTTCATGAAGAGTTGCTCTTTGCGGTTGCTTCACATCCATTTTCTTTCAATTGGTCATCTTTGACTCAGCTCCTTGTGAGTTTAAACATCCCTATTTCATGCCAGCACTGTTTTCTTATCTTCTTTTCTCTGCTGGGGAAAGGTCAACCATTAACTACATTTCTTAAGTTTTGTGCTCTCAGAGGAATATAAAATCGTGTCAACACAACCTTTCGCTGAACCTCTTTCTTCTGTATGGCGAAGTCAGTTATTTTCAGCCCACTTATTTTATATTTAGAAACAGGCAATTTCCCGGCACTGATTTAATATCACAGAGCGTCGCTGCTTCTGTCTTTAAAAACGTTTTTACTGCCTTGAATACAAACGTAGACACAAAAGGTATTTTATGATGTTTCCGAACAACAAGCTCAAAGTAATGGGTACAGATGGACGGTCAGGGCGCCTCCCCGGGTGCTTTTGAAGGAAACGTGCTGACAGCAGGAATTCCAGAGGGAGTGTCTATTCAAATGGTGCAAACCTCTCTCATATAAGCAGCTGTTTTGGGGACCATCAAAACCACATGTATCTATAAGGAGGAAGTCCTCTTTGCACATTAAACTTCTTACAGTAAATACTCTTAATTTAAAACAATATTTATCCATTACTGTGTGAAAAAACTGCAACATTTTGTAAAACAGAGTTAAACAAATCCAACATTCGCTGAGTCCAGACTCTTACTAGTGAGAAATTACAACTTTGTTATTTCTGAAGGTTGATCAAGAGTCCTTAGGCTTTTAATTAAAGGTTGGAAAAAAGGAAGAGACCCTGAATAATGGAGACGAGCATTTTGCCAGGCAGTGAGTTAATTATGAAATCAACCACATTGATTGAGATAAGAAAATTGTGAATTTGCAAAAAAGGATCCACACCTTTAAAATAGAAACACAATCTCATAGATCTCAACCTTAATTTCCTTCATGTTTTATTCATCAACGACAAAAGAATAAAGACAATATTTAACTATGGATTAGGTCTGGGTATTGCCGTATTTGTAATTTCCATTTCCTTGGATGTTTCCACACGGGGTTCAGATTAACTCCAATTAACATATCAAAATAAGCGGCTAAATCTTGATTGGCATGCTCTCTCCACAACAGCTCACATCCTTTCATTCATGCAGGTTTGAAGCATTTACACTGACTCACTGCCTGGAATGCCTCCACTCAGCAGGAGAGCATTATGTGAAGCAGAGGAGGGGGGGGCTGAAAGCATTTACCAATCAGAGCGCGGTGCTGTGGCTGTTCTGCATTTAAGAACTAATTAATGATAAATTACAGCAACTACAGGGAGCTTCGACTGGTTATGAAACAGCTGCAATCTAATACAGATGCCTCTCTTTGGTTTACATAAGAACATGAGACCATTAGGTTAAAAAAAAAACGGCCATACTCATGACGACTGTTGGCAAGTCTGACTTTCTGCTCAATCAGAAGATATTATTTTTGGCATGTGGACTGTAAAAGCATGTTTTTTACATTTTCTTTCTCAAGCGTCCCATTAGGGCTGGGCAATATGGCCTCAAATCAATAGCACGATATTTTGAGCAGTTCACCTCAATAACGATAAATGGACGATAACTACTCGACAAGCTGCTCACCCCAACCCCCATGAATCCATCAATAAATATTTAGTACAACTCAAAAGCCAAGGTAGGTTGTATTCAGGCCTGCACAATATGAGGGAAATATGCAATGTTAGGGCTGGGCGATACGGCCTCAAATCAATATCACGATATATTGAGCAGTTATTGATAAATAGACGATAACTACTCTACAAGCTGCTCACCCACTCCCACATTAACTTCATCTACTTCAGCCACTGCTCCAGCCGCTACAACTGTTGAACCATCCTCCATCTCCTCACCTGTCTCTGATGTAGGACAGCGTCATAAAGGGACATGAGACCATAGCCTACCTACACACAGATAAAACCAACTTTCATTTATTTATTTTTTTGACACAGAATATACTGATATGGGCAAAATGACTTCAGTTAATGTCGTAAATTTCGGTATCGGTAATTTTTTAGTTTATCACCCAGCCCTAAGCGATACTGTTGCGGTTTGGCGCCATCCCTAGCTGAAGATTGCCTTTTATCACTGCATAATACATAATAGTAAAAGCTAAGGTTTGATGAGTGATTTGTAAAGGCAAAACTTTTGAAGAGCATTTCTTAAAGAGACCCAGTCCAGACCAAATTTACCGATACTGGCAAAATGACGTCGGTTGTTGTCATAGATTTTGGTATCTGTAAATTTTCAGTTTATTGTCCAGCCCTACATCTCATTTTACTCTTCAATGGGTAGCAAATTAATCAAAAATTTTACATTTGTCTCACCATTTATCTACTTTCAGGGCAATTTTATCCCCACCGAATGTTTTTACAAACAACTATACCTGGCTTTCGAGCTGACATAAACTGAGAGGAGAGAACAATTACTATCAGAAAACTCAAAAGTACCACTCTTGCGTCCAAACTCTTGGCAGGCTCTTTGTGTTTATGACACTTTGAAGCAACACTGACTTTTACCTTAGGATTCAATCTGCTTCAAATTGAATATAACCTTGTTCTTTTTCCACAGGATAATGTAATAATCCTCAACAAACACTTGTAAACTTAAGAATGAGAAAAAAAAATGATGAGCTCTCGCAGCAAACTGCTCTAACTTGTAGCTTTGACACAAAAACACAATGTTCAGAGTAATTGTTTCAGTCTTACTGTTGGTGGAACATGACACACAACACCCTCATTATCTTGGCACAGCCTCCAAAGGAACCTGCGTCATTCAAGCTCCTGAATGTGCACTCCAAGCTTGTCGAGCGGTGTTTACTTTCTTTTTGCAAGACTCTCTTCACCCGTATCTGAACCACAGTGAGACTTTTAACAAACTCACAATCGCACACACTCGGCTTTCAGTCAATACTGAATCAATGTAACAGAGTAGAGCTTAGACTCGGCATCTTTTAACCTGTTTAAAAAGATCAAGTGGGCTACAAGTTAGACACTTCAAGACGGACAAATACGAGAATCAAAGTGTTGTTAGAATACTTGAGGGAAACACACCCAAACAAAAACATTAACTGCAGATTTATGGTGCAAAAGGCACTGCACTCCGAATAAAACACGCTGTTGGTACAGTAAAGCCTTTAAGCCTGATTGGGAAATGAGCACCGAGCAACAAAACGCTACACAGAAAGTGGCAGGTTGTTTTAAGTACAAAATGATTGTTTACGCTGAGGTTATTGCCGATCTGTTCATTCATTCTGGCAAAGGGAGGTTCATGGTCGTATTCTGCCGAAGTAAGTTTCTCACGCTGCTGCTTTGAGCAAATAATCATTATTTTGGCTTGAGGTTCGTTTAATACCATCGAAGTACTAAAAGCAGGAAAAACGGCTGTTTGAACCGTCTAAATTAATTTTTTAATCATCCTTGAGATAATGAGTGGTTATTCATTCACTCGAGGACGAAAATGCAGAGAATACACATCTCTAACCTTAAAGGGATATTACAGCATTAAATTAATTTATCATAAATCAAATAATTTATTAATCATAAATGTTCTTCCTTGAGCTGCGTAACCCCGCTGTAGTCCATAATGGACTGGCCTGAGATCTTGATACAAACAAGCGATGCTGGAAGAGAGTAGGTAAATTGTGTTTAGTCTCTTTGCTAAAGAAATCAGGCAAAGTTAAAAAGGTGTTTGGTGGCTAGTACTATGGTTGGGACCCTATATGTACTCTTGATGAAGTTAGGTGCTGTTCTGAGCATTATTTGTGGCTATAGAGTGGTATTTTGGTTAAGGTTTATATTGCTCCTTAGACCGCTGTGTATTGCTATCGTGCGGTCGTTACTAAAGTTGGTATGACTAGAGAAGCAAGCAGACGGTAACATTCATCCCTCGAGGGGGTGTCTAACTCAGTGTTGCAGTGTGTTTGACCCTAAATTAATTTTATGCCAGAATATGCCTTTTGAGCCTGTTTTGGCTGTGTCATCATCATACAGAGCCTAAAATCAATTACGTGTTTTTCAGACTCAAATGCTCGACTGCATGAATCACTCCTCCGAGAAGCCCTAATGCTCCTCCGAGAAGCCCTAATGCTGAAAACTAACACAAACTAACCGTTTCTTTGAGACAGTGATTTCTTTCTTGAGAAACATCTGTTGTCTCTAGCGCCCTCTATATAGGGCCAGAACTCTTATATTATTAAATTGTTGCTCATTTATCTCTTCTTTGTGAAGCAAAAAAAATGACTAATTGTCTTTTTAAGATTAAATTTATCACTCACAACGAATATCTGCTGTGGGAAAAGAAGCTACAGTGGTTGCCCTTTCTCATTTTGTACATCATAGTGACGCACCACTGCTTATTTTGGTCTGTCACAGGAGTTTTCATTAAGAGATGTAATAATAACCACAATAAAAAAAATTCTCTAACCTAGATGACGTGATATCTTAATATAGATCTCCTCACAGAGAGTAGTCTAGGTTTAATATGTCACTGGAGTATCTCACTGTCTACAAATAGAAGCAAGCTAACCTGTAGCTCACTACTCTGAGCCTTTAAATAAACCTTTGCTCTCCTTTTGAAGAGGCTATTTGATACAAGCTGCTTGAATTGACACAAGGTACCAGTTCCTGAAGATCCTTTTTTATGACTCATATTTATATTCATATTGCCATGCTGATTGCAATTACAATTTTTATCAGCTAGTCAAAAACTCCTTACAGAAGTTTGAATCAAAGCTGATAACTCTCATTTGACCCCTCTAAATCCATGTGACTGTGCAGAATTTCTGCTGTTTTTATGAAAAACAAAACAGCTTCAATGCTATTTATTGGAGATTTTACTGCTATGAGTGATGCCCAAACCTCCAGGCCAACATTATCGAGCAGCCTCTCTCTGCACGGATGTATGCTAGATCTGTGAAATGAAATGGCATTAATAAGTTCACCTCCACTCCACTACACTACATGAGAGCTTAGCTCACATCCTTGAGAACAAAAGCATGAGAGGAACCAATACACCGGGTCAGGACGAAGTGAGAAGCATGTTTTTCTGCTGTGTGAGCAACAGCACAGAAGTAACAGGGAAAAAAAGGAGCTGCTGATGTCTGATTAGATCGGCGCTAATTAAACTGGCAGACTCTGAAAGAGGCTTCAAACAACTTACTTTCTACGAGCCGCTCTTTCCCAGAAAATGAGATTCGACTGTAAACTTACAGGCTTCAACTGAGGACATGATTAGCTCTTACAGTGGGATTAAGAAAATAACTACTTTGATCCCTTCTTGGATATTCATCTATGGATATGTTATGACTGCTATCAGATTAATGGAGTACATTATAGAATTCTGACAATATTTTAGTAATCCGAAGGGACTGATTTCCATCATGGTTAACCACTTTACTGTATGTTTTAAAAGAGTTTTCATAATCCTGCATTTAAAGTTTAAAAAACACACTTAGCAATATAGAAGGGTGAAGGAACAATGTCAAAATCTCACAGTACAATAATATTGCAATATTTCACTAAATAAATAAAGACTTGGATAAAAATACTCTTGATACAGCTGTGAGCAGCTCATAGAGTCAACCTCTCCGTGGTCAGAGGGGTGCACTCTTCTTTGGGTTCTTTGTAACTTCGGCTGTTGTCTCAACAGTAGGGAAGTTTGATAGGTTGTTATGTCACAATTTAAATCTATTTCATTTTCAGCTGGTAGAACCTGAAGTATAAAGGCAAACTTCAGACTCCTTCATGTATTCAACCATGTTTTTCTTTATTTGGTTCAATACCCACTGGCTGGGAGTTAAATATTTAAAACTTTATGAGATATGGGATTAATGTTTTTGCACCACTGAGATTTTTCCTACACTGTTAAGTTGTAAAAGCAGCCCTAGGAGTGTTAGGCAAAAATAAAAGCTTGTGTTTTGAAAGGACAGCCTTACAACTTCATATGATCACTTGTTTTTGTTGCACAGCCTAAATGTAGGTAATGTTTATAACAAACCATCCAGCCAGTAAAACCAAAGTGTCCAACCGCTGAAATCTACAATAGCCGTGTCCAAGCCAAAGAAAACATGCACCCACTCCTCTGTCCAGAACGGACAAACAAGTGACCATAACAACGTCTCAGCAGAACATGTGCATGTGCCTTTTGCCCGGCCTCAGCGGAAACAGTTACACTGAAGCCGCACTCAAAACCTAAACAGGAAGTGAGGAGGATTTCACACTGAGCTGCATCTCAAAACTTGACAACAGACCTTTATCTGCCATAACACATTGACCACATCTATGCAAACTGCATTAGTTTTTAGAAGAGGCAAAAAGGAAGTATTTTAATTAGATAACAAACTTGAAAAAACTTAAATCGTCCTGCACAACTTTGTTTGAGTTGAAGTTTCATATGTCCGCTGAAAAGCTTCTCATGTGCTGTTATTTGTAAGCAACAACATCAAACCATTCTGCGATCACATGCTTCTACCTCCTCTGTACATTAACCTCCACTTTTCTTCTACCAGAGAGCAACATTGCGAGCTTGTGCTTTGACAAGTCACAATCATCTGCTGTATCCTCGCTCCTCATTAATTACTCAAAACACAAGGTCAATATCAGCGAATTGTAAAATCATTAAGATACTGACCTTAGCTCTAACTTTTCTCAGCACTTTTGTATCACATTGTCTTAATCAGTCTTTCTGTCTTATTTTGTTTGAGCTTACAGCAGGCGTCATGCTTTATTTGTCTCATTCTAATTTTGTACATGGGACTAAATTCAAATTTTCCATTTTCTTTAGTTAGATCGCCTCCAAAATTACAAAAAGAGCTAAAAAGAGTCCAACTGAGAGGCTTTTATAAGTATGGATGAAACCATCTGACCCAGACTTTGAATTGCTGAGTGAATGCAGTTAGAATAGGGCCGATTTTAAGGTAGCGTTTCATGTACTGTATGTTTGCATCAGTATGCACAACATTTTTTCCCCTAACCGCTTCTATGATTCTTCTTTCTGCCGTTTCTTTGCTGATTTTAAAAGCAGGACTGTGAAAAGGAAAAGTCATTCCTGTTACAGACTGCTCCCAGCCTCTTCAACACAGCGAGATATTCAATTTTTCAATTTTACACTTGCGCTGAATCTGTCCGAGGCTGATACCCAAAGTCTAGGCAAGGGTGTGATGATGATTCTCTTCAACATGGATACACGTCCCGGGAGAAGTTTCACACCGAATATAAAGAACAACAAGTCTGTACTGATAACTCTGTACAACCTACAAAAGAAGACTATAAGACCAAAGACTGATTGTTATCAATTATGTAACTGTGTTTTCTTTTTGCTTTGGTCTGTCATCTCTGTCCTCAGGTCATTGTCAAACAATGTGATTTACAACATGCAGGGCAGAAGTGCCATTGTTTACAATCATACAGAAACAGGATGAGGGTTCCCATCAGAGAGCCTGACTTATACACGTACAGCACAAGATCAGCGTAAGATGTGACGTTCTGCTTTGTCCTCTGGGGACGTCAAAATAGAAACAAACTAAGTTCCCAAAAGCGGCTTTAGCTTCTGATTCAAGAGGGAGAACTCTGCATGTTAAAAAGACATTACTGTGTAAATAGGCATTGCTTAAGACCATTTTTTGTGAAATGCACTTCTGACTGGGTAATCAAGTTTAATTTCCTTGTCAGGTGTCAAATTCACGCGTAATGACTAGGGATGTAACGATAACGGGTAAAATAATAATATGTGGTAAAATGTCTGATGGTAAGTACTACTATTTCAAACTTTAATTGCCGTTAAAACCGTGTTTGATTGCCGCACTCTGGAAAGCTCACAGTGATACTGCTCAGTATCACTGCTCAGTACTGTGATAAGCAGCCGCACGCAGCAGTCCTTTCGGACACAGGTGCACCGTGTACATGCGCAGTATACAACTTGTAAACATGGCGGAGGGCAGTTTTGCTGACCATGTTGGAGAGATTTTTCTGGTGTCAAAGAAAACAAAGTCCGAAGTCTGGGCGTATTTCGGCTTCTACAAAGGGTTGCAAGGAAGCTTTTGTGCATCCCAGCAACCAGCGTGCCATCCAAGAGGCTATTCAGTGCCAGCGAGCGAATCGTTTCCCCTCGCAGATCACGACTCAAACCAGGAAAGTATATATGCTGACATTTTTTCATTTCAATGTCAAGTGGTAAACAAAGTCGGCAGCAGCACCTTATGGTGGAGAAAACGGACAATTGGTGTGGTTCATTTAATTTGTTTACATATTTGATGTTATTTTAAACACCTGCACTACACATTTGTTTACATGTGGTTGTATTGTTTCATATAGAAGTGTTGCTGTTTTATGAGTAGATTTTTTGAGCACTTAAGATTCTTAAAATTTGCACAATAAGGAATGTCATTTTATTTAAATATTATTCATTTGTTATTATGTTAATGTTTACGCCACTGGCACATTACACTGTACTTTGTTATTACTCGTACTAGTGTTGATTACCTCTGGCTCTTTTAAAGCCCCATCTTTAATTTTTTAAGCTTATACTTCCTCTGTTATTTAAGGTTAAGGAAAAGTTAATTCTGCCTGTTATTTTAATTGTTTTTTCAAAATAAAACTTGCGTGTATAAGTACTTTTTAAACATTTGAACATATTTCAACAATACCGTGATAATACTGATAATCGCAAAATAACTGTGATGTCAAATTTTCATATTGTTACATCCCTTATGACAACAATATCCTCATTCCTGCATGTCCACATGAAGACAGAACCCTCCCTGACCAACAAATCCATGCTCTATGTACTACATAAACTACACCCACAAACCAAATAGCCTAAAACCTCCATCTTTCAACTGCCTACATGTGTTGGGCCACTTCACACTGCTACCTGTCATAAAACGGGTTCATGACCCTCAGCTACCCCCACCATATTGTGTCACCCAAAACAAACAAGTTGATAGCTCTGTCATTGCCTCAATATGTCAGTGGAATACCGCTTTACTGTATGTGTGCACGTCTAATTGAGATAATCCCGACTGTTGAAAATAACTCTGGACTTATGATGCATTTTCTGGCCCTTCCCCCTCAACTGTGGCACGTAAAATGGCTTCCCAGAAAAGCAAATCAGCTGTCTCTTTTTCTCTAGAACTAAACTAGACTTATGACCTATTCTGCTGTCTTAAAGTGAGTTTAAGTTAGTGGGGATACTGGTAATGCAGGGTAAACCGTACAAAGGCTGCCGGACAACAAACCCCTAAAGTTTTCCCCAGTCACCGTGACCAAACTGATCCCTGCAAAAAGCCAATCATATGTTTAAATGCCTCGTTTTAACAATAATACTGCTCATCTGCGACTTTTGCAGCTTGAGATGTAGTCGAATGTGGTATAAACAAACAGTGCACAACTTCGGTTAATCGATTGCCCTTGTTCGAAAGTCGATTATCTCTTACTTGATTGCACGCGTTATTAATAGTTTGCAAACTTCGTCGAGTAAAGAGTTTTAACTGGTAACACAGAAGAATACAACCATTAGACGTCATGACCTCTTAGTCAACATATCACGATAACTATCACCAACGATGTTTGCTTTACTTTTCATTCACTACTCGAACAAATCTCACATTTAACATCGACTTTATATATTCGAACCCTGAACCTAAAGTCGAATTGAGTGCAAAGTCTACCTTGTTTAGCAGAAGGCTAACAGCGAGGCTACCTATAGGGATACCTGCATCTGTACATTAGCATTATGTTAGCTAGCCGAATCTGCTGATAACGTTAAGAGGCTAGGCTAGCGGCTAGCATGCTATGAAACCATGAAAATTTCTGTCGAATTTTAATTTAACATTCTCTAGAAATGTCACATAACAACTGCGCACAGCTTCATTATTAAATGAGACATTTTGTGAGAAAAGCCAACCTTACCTCTTGTCTTCTTTTTAGGCCCAAACCATTCTAGCTATTGGAAAGCTCTTTTCTCTTTGTCTTTTCCACTTCCAGTTACACGCAAAATGGACTCAGCAAAACGCAATAACAACTAAAATATTAAAACCAAACTGGCGCTCTCCATCTTTCCTCAAGGCGCAACTGCACGTCGAGTGGCAAACGACAGGAAATCATTTTGTCTCTCGTTCATTTTGATATTCCTGAACTGAAGTGACTGATAGGTAAAGGCTGCTAGCTAAGTTAAGTAGCCAGCAGGTACCACAGACAGGACTGGATGCATGTATGGCAGCAAAGCGGTGCTGCATTCACTTGCAATCGGATATGTCTCAAATGAACGACCTATCCGAGTAAACACCATAGGAATGTTTATGTTTTGTAAACTTGATAGAGAGCGTAGATGGCTTTTAGGGCACAAAAGACGATGGATCTGATTGAAAACATAAAAGTCTATCGCTTTTATTATTATTGCTTGAGGTTTACAGACAATGAGTTACACGGTGCGAACCGTCTACAAACAGAGAGTCTAATGTCAATGACAATTCCGATATTTATTGAATGCAACATTTCGGTGACGCACAGGTTGCTCAGACCTGACGTTGAGGACGGATGTCACCGTGAGCGTTTTATTGTTTCCTTCTGTTAGTTTATATCTATATTTAAAATTGAATTGTACAACTAAATCCAACATCAGATGTCTTTTGATTTATAAATGACTGAATAAAAACAATCTAAATTCAATAACATGTAGTATTTAGACATTTACCCATGTTTTTATTGCTAGTTTAGAACAAACAATCAATCAATCAAAGTTTATTTATGTAGTACTATTCATACAAATGAAATTACATCAGGACAAGAAAAATAAAGGTTATTAAAACAGACTAAAACAGACAATAAACTATAAACTTGAATTTATTAATAAGATAAGGCAAAAAGTGATACTAAAAATAAATTAAGAACCTTATTGATCCCCGAAGGGAAATTCAATTGCCTGTTGTCTCACGTAATATGTCTATAAAAGTTATCTATTATTTACACAAGAGTTATAAAGTCTGTTGGTACAAAAGTTCCTCTAAATCTTTCTGTCCTGCAGCGAAGAGAGAGGCGCCGTCCACCACCATTTGCCCTTTGGTCCATCGAGGTGTTGTGAAGTGGGTGATCCATGTTCTTGAGAATAGTCTCCACCTTCCTCAGTGTAGATCACTCCACATCGTCAAAGACCACCCCGAGATGGGAGCCAAAGAGGCGCTTCATTCTTGCTATACATCTTCAGACCTTTCGTGTTAATTGATGTGAAATAGTCAGTATTCTGAATTGCCGAATGATTTCTCTGGATATATGTATGGGACCACAAACCTGCTCATTGAAAACCTTCAGGCATCACCTGACACCAAGACTTAAATGGGTTTAAAGATATTTTGGGCATCATGACATCGGTCAGCTGAGGTTTGTTCATTTAAGTCACAGCCAACTAAATTATTTCAGGAAAGTAATCACAAGCATAACAACACTTGGAACAAAAAATAAAATAATAAACACACTGAAAAATAAAAATAACTGCACTTTTAGTCTACGAGGTTGTTGCATTTGAGATGATAAGAAATATGCAGGAGACTTAGAAACAAAAGAAAGTTTATTTTACAGTACAACAATTTAAAGTAACAATACCCTCTAGTTTTAAACGTATGTAAAATTTTACAAAGAGAACATTTATTTGGTAATCTTTAACAATTTCTCATCTCAGTGTTTTTCATTGCTAGTAATGGTTCTGCTTTGTTAAGACTGTGGGCTGTACAGGTCAAGTTCGACTCAAAAATATACTTTAGTACAAAGTCACTGTTTTAACATGAATATGGACATTAGTTTTTTCACACCCTTAAAATGTTTATGCTCAGTAGATCTATAAACTTGAGAAAATATCACATTACTAGGAGCAAAAGGGAAATTACATGTTGAAAAGAGTTCATAAGACTAAAATAAAAGCCTCCTTTCTGATCTCTAATTCTGTAAAAGCTGTACAAACATTAGGCAACTTAAAGATGAAGATATCCTGTCCCTTCAGATCCGAACAAGTGGGAAGAAATCAAGGGATTAACTTGGACAGGTAAAAATGACTTTTGGAAACAAACAAGAAAACAAAAACAAAATAACATGTTTATTTCTTCTTTTTCTTCTTCTTTGGAGGTCCTTGATCTGAATCGCTGCTGCTTCCTGAGTCTGAGCTGTTGGAAGATGAAGAGGAGGAGGAGGAAGAGGAAGATGAGGAAGAGCTGTCATCTTCGCTGTCACTGCTGCTGTTGCTGTCATCCGAAGAGGAGCTGGAGGAGTCGCTGCTGTCTGATGATGAGTCACTGGAAGAGCTGTCTGAATCACTGCTGCTGTCGCCGGGGTCTTTAGCCCTGAGAGCAAGTGTCAGGGAGAAAAAAACAACACTGTCAGAAAACAACACAGTGTGTTATCTTATAAACCTCTCATGCTGTAAATGTCACTGTAACGCCTTTACTGTTTGGAGTTTTCTCACTGAGGAAAGAAAGGGATCAACTCAGGAAAACACCAACACATGTACTCTTTCTCATCAGATATAAATTAGGCTAGAGTGGTTTGACAAAATTCAAAAGAATAAGTGTATAATAAGCATTTAAGTTTTAATCCATTCATTTTATATATATTTTAAAAACTTCTTTATTGTAAGCCACTGACCAGCAGAAAATGAAGCCTGAAATTAAGTTCATCAGAAAATTGTGTCTAGACATCACAGGTGTGAGATTATCAAGTGTTGCATCGCACAAACATTATACAGACATGTTATGAAGATTATATGTTCATTTGCTGTTTTCGTTTAATTCAAACTGTCGGAAAAAAAGCCTGCATGATAAATAGAAATTGTAAAGACTGGGCATTTAAGTGTGTGTAAGGCGGTACCTTTGCATAATTATCAACAGGACTTTAACTTTAGAGGAAAACACCAACAATTTTTGGGAAAAATGAAAAGAAACATGAATACTAAAAACAATCACCTGTTGAAACCTGTTTGGCAGAATTATGGTCATAAGGATAAAAAATAATAGATAAGCATATAAGCTCTGCAATTTGATGAAAAAGGATAATTCTGTCATCCATATTACAACTCTCCAAGCAGTTATCCAATACATTACACGATCCATCATCCACTAGAGGGAGCTATAACATCACTTCTTTGTACACTTTTCTCTCAGATGGTTCCCTAAAGTCAGGGATTTGAAGTAAAAATAGGATCATAGAGCTCAGATGAGGTCATTTATCATCACCAAAGAGGAAAAAACCACACTTGTTTCTCACAGTGCCACTCTGACATCCCTCCCCAGGGAGATTTTCACGCATTTCAAATGTTAATTTTCACCCTCACGGGACTTTCATGTGACTCCAACAGCTCACATGCAATGAATGAGCCGGTGGGTCTGTGAGGATTGTCAGTCATCCGGATCACTGTTGTTCAAAGTTAAAACAAACGTCAACAAGAAAAGACATTTTTCCTCTCATCCTGGTGTCTTCTTTAGCTCGAAACTTACAAATGGATGGAGCTGGTTTTAGAAATCTTTGTATTTCTTTAATGGTTAGTCACAAAAGAAATGTCAGAGGCTTCATGTGTGTTTGATTTTAAATATATTTGTGCAAAATTACAACTGAAACTCATTCACAAAAACAATACAACATACTCACTTCTTTTTAACTTTCTTCTCATTGGAACTTTCACTTCCTGGTCTGTAAAGAGAAGGAAAAAATACATTAGTGCCAAGAAACTGAGTTTGTTCAAAAGGGTGCTGCCCTTTAGGCTTTAAGAAAAGCTGCCAGCCGTGCCATGTGTAAACATTACTGTTGATATTTACTGGTATTGCTGGGGCAGATATATCAGTCATTTTAAAACATGTATTAGGGCCAGACCGATATGGATTTTTGGGGCCGATACCAATACCAATATTTGGGGGGGGGGGGGGTCCGATTACTGATTAATCGGCCACTTTTTAAAATTTTTTATGAAGTTATAAAAAATATATCTATACTTTAGATATACTGTAGGCTACTGCTCTTCATGCTGACAGGAAGACCGACTGATCATCTCAGTAGTATTCCGACCAGAAAAGCGTTTCCTATTTATCCAAACAAACCCCTAAAACACATTTCCTAACTATGAGCTGTTTGTGAAATGTTCATACAGAACAGACAACCATAAACATGCAGGATGCTGTATTTTTCACTCTGACCTCTAGATGGGGATAAAAGGCAAAGCACTGTCCTCTGATCAGATTTTGCCCACTGACAGTGTCACAATAAAGACTAACTTGTGTGCTCTTTTCTGTGGCAAAACTCAACTTAATGCCCTCAATGTACATGTTTCTAACTAAAATTGACTTCTTTGAAATGCAGTCATGTTGCACCTTTTGTTTGAGACCTATACGTGGAGCAGATGAGTGTTAGTGAGAAGAACACTGGCTTTTGTCTGTATTCAGAGGCTTCAGAGATGTTAACCTTGAAGAGCAAAGCAGTCATGGATGAAATTTAACTAGATGTCGTTGTTAAAGAAATGGGAAATGTGTGGCTTTGAAAATTAACCACTTCAACAGCGAGAAAAGCCTGGAACAGGACACATAAAAAATTATATGTCTTACTGAATCATTTTTAGCAGCTTTTCAAACACCCTCCACACTAACTTGATGATAGCGCTTAAAATCTGGGCTTTAGTCCTATAATTGTGTTGGCACCAAAGCAGCTTTAACACAGATGAACAGATCTCATTTTAACATCTTACCCAGTGATGCCCAGAGGAGCATTTTCAACCTCTTTAAGTTTCTTTTTCATCTCAGTCGTTCTTGTGGGTCTGTGCACATATTTCCGCTTCCCTGTGCATTCATACGTCCAGTGTCCCATCTCCAAACATTTCTGGCACCGCACATGTTGTTTGTTCGCCTCCCTGTGAGCAAAAACACAGAAAAAGGTATGAGGGAAAGATAAACTATCACCGCAGTCACAGCTAAAATTCCCTCATCAGTTTACAGTAAATCAACTGTGGGATGTTTTGTAGCATTTGCAACTTTAAAAACTTCATTAATTAAGTGGCTTGCTGAGAATTTGAATTGGAAATCTGCAATTTCACCCCTTGAGTCTTCTCCATATTGAACCAAACTGTGACAATTGAACCAAACTTGTAATGTAATGACGCCTGGGGAAACCTGTGCAGGTGCTTTGAGTTTAGTAGATGATTAATGTGTGACACTCGGTTTTTAACATTCATGACCTGCAAAATTTGGGCTGGTTTCTTCACAGTATTCTATTTTTTTGAATTCTGGTTTTTGTGGGTTTTATGAGCTGGATGCCTAAATTATGCAAAAATAAACAAATAAATACAAAAAAATCTAAAATAAATGGAATTATGTAAATAAATAAACTTTTCAGTGATATTCTAATTCTTTGGAAAGGGTCTGTATCACAACCAGACTTTATTTTTCCTAATGATAATAATAAAAAAAAAATAATCTGTTCAGCTCTTTAAGCAGAGTGTTTCATCAGTCTTGTTGATGACACATATAGTGGGCTATAGGATTGGGCGATTATATGATCTTGATTAATGATCTTGATAAATTTCAGTTTGATTACAGTGATCAGCTGTGAACATATTCAATCAAATATGGCGAAAATGTGCATCACAACAGCCAATCAGAGTCGAGCTTTTCCTGCTCACTTCTGTAAGTTGCAGGACAAGTAAACAGGGTAACTGAACGTGGAGCTAAACGTAGAGCTGAGGGCAGTAAAATAGATGTCAGCCATGACTTTGAGTCATCCTCCAAAGATGTTATTGTTAAGAAGAAAAGTTATTTCACGTCTTATTTTGTATTTATCTACTTTTGTCATTCTGTTGAGTTAAAATAGTTTTTATATTTTTCTGTTTATCTAATTCTGTTTACTTTGTTATTTACTTTGTATGTTCATAAAATGTTGAACTAAACTCTAGTTTGTTTGTTTTTTGTTTTAAGTACAGATGCTTTAAAAGTGGCAGTTTAAAAAAAATCGGGATAAAAATCGAGAGCGGACAATATGACAAAGTATATCGGGATCCTCTTTTTGGCCAAATCGCCGAGTCCTAGTGTGCTATATGATTTATCTATGTGTTGGTACTCTGTTGTGACTGATGAAATGTCTCAGTGGAGGCATGTTTATTCTGATTATATGACCTCAAATAGGCTACATTGTTAACGCAGACTATAAAATATACATTCAACCGTTAATGATGTTACTCTATATTATTGTATTATTGTAGACGTTTAACATGTAGATTATGTTAACGAAAAGATCACTTGATCGTTAAAACACAAAACCAACGATCTTAATGAGTGTTTTGAAGGTAAAATAGTCTCATAGTTAAATAAGACTTACTCATTATTCAGCAAACATCGCGGAGCATAAAGCCATGTAGGCTTCGTAATTTAAGTCCTCTATCTATCACTAAAATCTTGTAGTCTCGACATCCTTTGTTTTTAAACCTGTCTTTTATCCCAAAGATATTTAAAAAATATAAATATATAACAAGTTTTATTGATAATACTCACGCTTGCCTCCTTGCTATTATTCTATGCATGGGAGTCGCCATGTTGCAGTTTACTTTTTCTTCTTCGTTAGAGTTTAGCTGGTAGAAATTTCCGGCAATTTCAACGCAATTATCGCCCCCTTTGGTCAATGGTAGTTACTGCATCTATATTTTAAGCTTTGATATTTGTTCAGTTACCGTAAGTAATTACCTTATCCGAACAATTGATTTTAATTGTTCTCAGATAATGAAATAACTGACTTAACCCTTTAATGCCTGAAGCCACAAATTATGGCCAGAAAATTCCAATCTTTTTTGGAGCTGAAATGTTTATCTCTCTTACTACTGAAAACCAAAAAAATCAAAATGTCCTTAAAATTTAACAAATATATTTATTTATCTTGTTTGATACATTAGATGTTTTTGGCAACTGATAAACCACAAGAGAACATATTAAGGTGTTTTTTTTAGTCATTTGTTAATCATATTGATTTGATAGACCTATCATAAAAGTAAGTATCAAATATGATACAAAAGGCAATAAAGGGCTACAATGACAATGAGCATTGGGACTATGCTGATGGTGCATACAGATGCTGATATGAACATCTGTCTTTCTGTGGCTATCTGTGTTACCTCTGCAGTGCACCCTTCCCTCACTCAACGGTCACTACACCCACTTTTGCCACAGAGAGATACAGTCAAATGTAGTTTCAATTTGAAATTCTTCTACCATTTCATCTTAAAATGTATCTCAAATAATAAAAAAACACATTGTTAGAAATTTTAATAGCATCCTTTGACTTTTAGTGAATCAGAATCAGAATTAGAAATATTTTAATAATCCCCAGGAGGAAATTGCTTTTGTCACCAGAGCAAATACAGTAAAAAGAGGAGATAAATAATAGATAAAACAAGTAAAAATAAAGAGATAATATACAAGTATTTGCACTTTATACAACACATATAGTAACATTGTATCATTGTATGCATGAACTTTTAGAATATCTCAGTATAAACTGTTTGTACAGAGGATTAGATAAAGACCTTTACTATCCTAAATTAAAGTAAAACCCACATATATTACCAACAGCCTGGCCATCTTTACTTTTTGACATGCTTCTTTCAATTTTGAATTAGATTATTAAAACAAAAGTATTTTTCAGCGACATAAAACACTTTTAAAGTTCACTTTGATAGGTGATATTTCAGTAGCCTTATTATTCCTGTTCATTTACTCACGAGTTTAACCTGTGTGGTTGACTGGTGAAATGACTTCATACATTCAACACCCTCTTACAGCAGAGTCTATTTTTACTCTCCCACTTTGAATCAAACCCAGGCTTTAAAAAACAAAACAAAAAAACTTAACGATTTATTAGTTTAATTATACTTCTCAGGACACTCTAAACCCCGAAACTATCTCAGAAAATTCTGGATTTTTCCCCATAAGCCTCGACAACTGCTCACATGGTTTTAGAAAGGTCCAGAGATATCTAGAACACTGTACGTCTCGCGATACTTCCCGGTGAGCCAGCGAGAAGTGAAGTCAAACCACCTTGCTGCTCCTCCAGCCTGCCAGAGCAGATCAGAGGCACCGGTAATAATCAGCGGTGTGAGGATTATGACTACAAGTAACCCCACCGAAAACAGCGCGCTATAACTGTCACACCCGACTTTTCTAACAAGCTAAAACCGTAGCTGTGCGTTTTGTTATTTTTCTACGTCAAGCTGAAGATAACTGTATTGCTATATAAAGCGTTTGTATATCGGGGAAGATGTCAGTGGTGGGGTTTGACTTGGGATTTCAAAGCTGCTATGTAGCTGTAGCCCGAGCCGGAGGAATCGAGACAGTCGCTAATGAATACAGCGACAGATGCACACCGTAAGTATCTTGATCTATACATTTTAACTTTTAAAGAAAAGACTAAATGTGTGGTCGTTTTTTTGCCTCACCGGTGTCAGTGCAGTGCACGTGAATGCCGCTTCAATGCCCAGCTAACCTGTAGTTAGCCTTATGTCTACCACTCTGACGGTTTATGATAATTAAAATCCTCTTCTCTAAGTTAAATATGTGGAAATTTTCTTTACGTTTACATGCTTAACGTATAACAAATAGGAACCACCCTTAACTTGACAGCTCGCTCTAACGGAGCTAACTAGCTAAGCTCCCGTTTTTTTTTCTCTTAACGGCACTCTGCTATGTTTGGCGTTTGTTTTTGGTTGCCAGTCGTACACAAGCGGGCGGTAACGACTACAACTCATTTGAATTCGATAGCCCCGACTCAACCGGCGTGCCCCGGGTGTCAAACCGAGCGCCTTACACTATGTCCTATACGATGACGACATCAGCCAATCGCCCGTTGGAATATTCTAGCAATTTTAACGCTTCAGAAAGAGTTTAACGAGTTACACTCAATGTGTTTATTATTTATTTATTCGAAAACATACATATGTATACGAAAGTTTTTATGACGAGCTATATTTTCTTTGTTTTTATGGCCTGAAGCGGCACACTTTGTACCTGCAGTGGATGCATTTACTGTAGATCCTGTTACTGAATGTATACCATAGACCAGTGGTTCTCAACTGGTCTCACTCTGGGACCCACATTTTTCCATGGTCCTTAAGTTGCAACCCACTTTTATAACATGCAAACCAAGAATTTATTTATTTTTATTAAAAAAGAAAATCAAAGACTTAAAGGTGGGGTAGGCGGGATTCCGTTAAAGAAGCATCTTTTTTGTACAAAATTTACAAAAAAGCTTTTAATATCAGTCAGTAGCTATTAGTTATTGATAACATTTGGCAATATAACAATATCGCTGTGTTTTGTTATGTCTGTGTAGTCAACATTTTAATTCTTTTGAGGGGCCACTCTCTGTGACTGTAAACAAAGCCGTTCTCCACCTTCCCAAACCAAACGATGATTTCGTCATCGTCAACGAAAACAACACTGTACTGGAGACTCTGGCAGAATAACGGGCGCTTAAAAAGACGGGCAAGAGCTAAGACTCTGGGTCAACATCAGCATAAACATTGGGGAACGCTTCGAGATCTTTGTGACCCTGTAACCTTTCTGCTGGACAGGCAAACCGCTCTAACAAAGTAAGCCAAGTGTCTGTTACAGGGTTGGGAGGGGTAGTGTTTACATTCAAGATTTTTTCCCAAAAACTGGCACTTCCTCAGATCCTGCCTACCCCACCTTTAAATCTTCAACATAAATACACTGATTTTATTGAGTACAGTGCTTTTCAGAGAACATTAACTGCGGACGACAGCTACTAAAGTTGCATATACAGAAAATATCAAAATGCACAAAATGGAGACCAGCAAAATGAAAAATTTGACTTACATGCATCTCTGCATTCAGAGCATATTCAGAAGCACCCGAGGAGGACATGCAACAGCATGGACAAAGGTGAATAAATATCAAATAAAGACCAATAAAAAAAATCATGTATTTTTACTGCATTCAGGCCACATTAATAAGAAACCGAGGAGGACTATAGCATAACACTTGCCTTTTAAAATAAGGTACTTTTCAAAATAAAAGACATGTCAAACATTAGATGTGCATTAAATATTTACTTTTTTGACCAGCTGTTCACGGCCCATCTAGAACGTGTCCATGACCCACTTTTGGGTCAGGCAACACCAGTTGACAACCACTGCCATGGACTGTATGTATTATACCTATGAGTTAGAGGAAATTTCACTGGGACTTTTGCCATCATTCATGAATTGCTGACATGTGTGCACGTACTTATACAGATATTGTTACAGAACTAAAAGGTAGGACTGCGTACAACAAAGTAGTAGACTATATATTTATCTTTATTCAACTTATAGAGATGATTTGGGATCCAACCAAATGAATTGTTCATGAAGGAATCTACAATCATGGTTTAAGTGACAACAACCAATTCGTCTTGTCTTCTTGTTGTAGGAAGTCAAAGAGAATACGTTTAGTAAACTTACAATCAATGAAAGACGATTTTTTTTTAAACAATTACCTCAAGTTGCTTTATTATAAACATACATTTCTTTTATAGGTCTTACGTTTTCTTTAACTTGGAGATATGTATTGTTAAATGGAAACAAAGGATTACGCGAGATTCATTAGCTGACCGGAGACAAACTAATTAAGGCATAGTATAGGCAGATCTGGTGTGAATTCTAACTTTAAAACCCATATATTTACTCAAATATCACAATTATATAAGTACTTACATTTTCTGATTACTGTTACTGAATACTGAAGATAGGCCTCCTACTCTTCTTCCACAACAGTGTTCCTTTACAGTTTGAGACTGGTCAATTAAAATGCAGAGTCCTTTCTACTATATTGTGTTGTGGGTGTATTATAAATACAGAATTTAAATATCTTTGAAACCAGTCTTTACAATCAAAAAGTGTTGAATATGCATTCAAGAAGTGCTACTGAAAGCTCGCCTACAGCTGCCTTTGAGTAACTCTGAGGATGTTCCCAGCTTTCTCTTGTGTATTTTCTTCCTTTAGATCATTTTAGTGCTTTGCTAGATGTCCCTGTTTTTTTCTGCACATCTCATCACTAAAAATAAGCTTAAGAACATCACAGCTTTCAGCTTACCAATTCTCTCTCCGGAGTCATAATGTGGCTGAGTGCATGTTAAGCCAATGTTCATCAAAAGCCAGCTGCGTTGACCCCTCTTTGACATCTCTAACTGCGTGAAGATTGTAGCGCTGACATTTGTGTGTGAAGTGATGATGGCTTACTGTGGTACAAGTTTACTGGCTACCTCGCATTGGGTTCATACTGTGGTTGTAAACTGTCAAAGATGGGTCTATTTCTGCATTTGGAGATATAGAAAAGGATAATAACCTCTGTTTGGAACAAATTATTACAATAGCTGAGACCAGTTTTACACCACCCTAAACAAGCAGTCGGATTTCACTGGGAAACAGTCTCAGCTTCATGTGGGTTGGGCTCTGAATTGTTGTGTGATGCGTAGACACAAGACCATGTAATCCCTTAATTGGTATTTAAGAGGCATCTGACAAGATTTGGGGTGTATTCACCAAAGGGAGAATGATACAGCATGTCCTCAGAGAACAACTAGTGTACCCTTGCTTAGGAAGTGAGGCATGTATTTATTTGATCAATTTTTTACAGTTCACTTTTCTACCATAAGTGTCGAATCACAAACAGTGTGATTAACTCTAGGGCCCGATCATCTGGATTTGGTGGCCGATGCCGATACCAACTACCAATTAATCGGCAAATTTTTTAATATTTTTATGAAATTATAAAAAAAATATTTACTGTTGGTATCTTCAGTTTAGTATATAATGTAATGTGACCGAGACCAGCACAGCGGGGAACATCGTGAAGTGGGTTGAACTGAAGCTTGTTGACTTATTGTGTATTTCACAAACTGGTTAATTTACCGTTGAGGTGGACCACTCTCCTCCGTGCGTCCCTGAGCTGCCTGCTTTAGATCCGTCACTCTGCTGTGCTGTGAGGTAGTTAGTGGATGAAGATTGTCATGAGGTCGCTGCGCCAACTACAGGATAAGTCGGGGAAATTAGCATTTCATTTCTGAAAATATCAGCGAAAATCTGCGAGTTTTTGCCGATTACCGATCAGTCTCAAACGGTCTAAAACGGGCCCTAATTAACTCGTCTTGCTCTGGTGAGTTGACTTTTCCTCCTGGTGTCTTTCAGGTCATTTGTATCATTTGGACCAAGAAATCGGGCCATAGGAGCAGCTGCAAAGAGCCAGGTAAGACCAGTCCAGTAACCCAGCTGATACATTACAAAAAATAATAGTAATAAGATAAATGCCAAGTTTTATTACCATTATGTCAACTCAAAGTTCTTTTATGTTTCTTACATTTTGACCAGGTGGTGACCAACTGTCAGAACACAGTGCAGGGTTTCAAGCGGTTCCATGGCAGGGCATTTTCAGACCCGTACATCCAGTCAGCCAAAACTAACTTGGTGTATGACTTGGCGCAGATGTCCTCTGGATCCACCGGAATCAAAGTAAGATTTTTTTTTAAAAATAAAAGTTTCCTTCTGCTGTTTTGGTACTGACATAACCTAGGGTGGTGGCAGAGAGAGAAAACATTCCCAAAGTTCTTTGAAAGTACACAAATGACACAACTTGGCTGGCACACAAACCCAGCCTGGCGTGTTTGTGTCCCAGTGGAGATAATTAAAGTAAGTCCTGAAGACAAAATCGAGCAGAAGACACAACAAATTGAGAGAAATTAAATCAAACTGCTGGTGGCTGCATATTCCGTCCCTGCTCTCAAGAGTTTTCTAATTTCATTTTGACTCAGTACATATTTACGGTGGTTATATGATGTTGGGACCTGTGATTTTAGTTTTATGTATACTTAACTCATTTAAACACATCACAATATCCCTTTTCCCAATTATAATAACGAAAGAATAGTTTGTATTCTCTGTAAAGTTTGTATTTTAATCTGTAAACTTAAACAACTGTCTTTTTGTTTTTGTCAACACCAGGTGATGTATATGGAAGAGGAGAAAGTGTTCAGCATTGAGCAGGTCACTGGCATGCTGCTGACCAAGCTGAAGGAGACTGCTGAAAGTGCACTGAAAAAACCCGTGGCAGACTGCGTCATTTCGGTAAGCAGTTGTGCAGACAAGCGCGGCTTTCACAGCTTTAGTTGTGTGTTCAAGAATCCGTGCAACTACTTGAATAGATTTGTCACTGCATGAGTTTTATTGTAAAAGATGAACACTTACATAGGTTGGGAAAAGCAGAGAGCCAGTGGGTATTTGAAATCCTCACTACATCAGATTTACATACTTAGTATTCAGAGTGGCAGGATTTGCAGAGCTAGTTTTGCATTTTGGGGTAAAAAACAAAAAAAGAAAGCCTTGTTCAGTCTGCCTCGGAGGTGTTAATGTATCACCACCTGTTCATGTGACATTTTTAACTCTGTGCACTTCACCAGATGTCTTGTCTGAAAGCCTTATTTCCTCTCTTGCACCTTGTGGGTCTCAGAGTGGGATGTGTGTATGTGTGTGTGACAGTGGAGCCTTTCTTGCTGTGCTCAGTATATGCATTCAGCATCTGTTATGTAACGTCACAGATTTCACACACACAAAGGCTTTTGCTTTCACTGGGCTTAAATCTACAGTTTACATCAGCCCGAGAGACAGATAACATGTTATTATTACTGTGGCCAATGGCTAAATTTAGCCCCTGAGCTTTTCCACAAGGAGATGTTTTGTTTTGGCACCCGGAGTAACTAACATGGTAACATTACCCAGAGATCTTGTGATGCAGGGGATTTATTTTGGACGTCTTCAGCGATGTCTTAGTCTTAAAGGGATATTCCAGCGTAAATTTAAGTTATGATCAAACACACCGCAACACCAAGTTAGACACCCCCCCACGAGAGATGAATGTTGCCGACTGCTCGCTTTTCTAGTTATACCAACTTCAGCAACTACCGCACAATAGCAATACACAGCGATCTATGTCTCCACGTGCAAACCTCAACCAAAACGCCACTCTATAGCCCTAAATAATGCTCAGAACAGCACCTAACTTCATCAACAGAACATATAGGGTCCTAGCCATAGTACTAGCCATCAAACATCTTTTTTCATTTCAATGAAGTAATAATCATAAATGTTCTTCCTTAAGCTGTGAAACTCCGGTGTTTTTCCCGGCTATTTCACGTCTTAGCCCACCACATCTAAAAATACCTCAAATTAGGGGATTGAGGATGTGACATTGCCTGCGTCTGAGCAGAAAACAATAACAACGCAACTAAGCGATTTCGTCTCGTCTCATTTTAGTGAACGAAAATGAAAAGACATTTAAGCAGGGTTTTTATTTGGTGAATCACATTTAGTCTCGATTATTCATCAACAATCTTGTATTATATATTAAGTTATAGTTATTGTCACAAGACCGCCATCTATGTTTCGTCCCGTCTTGTTTTGATAAAGGTTCGTTGACGCCGATATTTCGTTGTAATTCTCATTGATGAAAGCAACATTACTGCTGTGTATTGCTATCGTGCGGTCGATGTTGGTATAACTAGAGAACAACATTCATCTCTCGAGGGGGTGGGTGTTATGGTGTTTGACCATGACTTAAATTTACGCTAGAATATCCCTTTAATGTCAGGTTTTTGTTTGTGAATGTATAATATGCTGATTATTGGTTCTAGTGAGGCTATCCATTTTATTACTTAAAATACATCAATGTTAAGACTGCGATGTTTTCACTTCCAAGGTCCCCACCTATTTCACCGACGCTGAGAGAAGGTCTGTCATGGATGCAGCTCAGATCGCAGGCCTCAACTGTCTACGGCTAATGAATGAGACCACAGCAGGTACATTTTGACACAGCTCACTCTCAACACAATCCCCCAAAACGTGTCCTGTAAGAGACGTTTGATAAAGGCAGCTTTAAGCTATCTTGTATGAGACATGTTTTCTTTTTTTTTGTCTTGGAGCAGTTTCTCCTGTCAAATGAGCTCTGAGAAAGTGTTTAGCTGTCCACGTCTAGCCAAGCATATGACCAAATGTAGCCTGTGAGTCATGGCTGAGCAGAATTACCCAGGGTTGAGACATGCCAGAGCTATAAATCTATGAAAACATGATACAGCAGAGCGACAGTATATTTTCAGAAACATGCTGCAGCTTGCAAATCATGATTTAGTCATTTTCATGAGATACAGTGTAGACATGTACAACAGGGCCTGTGTTTAGTTTCTATGCATTCACAGCATGTTAGATAACATACATGTTAATAACCTTTTCTGACAGTTCACACCCGTACACACGTTTTTGTTGCAGTGACCCTCGCATATGGCATCTACAAACAGGACTTACCAGCACCCGAAGAGAAGCCCAGGATAGTGGTGTTTGTCGACGTGGGCCACTCAGGTTACCAGGTGTCAGTTTGTGCCTTCAACAAGGGAAAGCTCAAGGTGAGTGATGAATAATTTGTGCTCGTTTTGAAAAGAGACTCTGAAAAGAGAAATATATGAAGACGTGCATGAACTGACCTTCAAGCTGGTGAAGAAGATACCAAGGTTTTCTTAAAGCACTCTTCATGCTAACTGTCTTTCTTTACAGCGTTTTCTTAAAAATCAAGAATAAAACATATAAACTGAAATCTTATGATTGTACTTAATATTTTGCTGCTTATAGATCAAGGATTTTGTTTCTTGATATCGAGTGAAGACAAGAAAGTTAACTCATTCAGTGCCATTGATGAATTTGGACAGATTTTTCAGTTTTTTTGTTTTCCCCCAGAGGTCGCTTCTTCCAAACATGTGGCTAAGTTTGGGGTCGTTCTGAACGCAGAAAAGCCGACAAATACATCATAATCATGTTACAACAACAAAAATAAGTACTCGCCAGTGAGAAGTGTGCCAGTTAGCCCAGTTGTGGAGTGTTTTTTTCTCTATGAGGAGAGTATGAAAACGCCAAGAGAAATTAGCCAAGAGTTAACGGTCTCCGTGCATCGGCTCCCGTGGGCGCAGTGCTACCGTCTCTGGATCCAGTGGAGATCCTGGTACCTTCAAATCGTCAGCTAACAATTAACGAAACAATTTTCCGGCGTGTCATTGTGCCGTCAGTGCTGGTACTGGTGAGCGAGACTGAGCAGTCAATGGTGTAAAATTGCATAAATAAACCTGGCACTGAATGAGTTAATTTATTCAAAAAACGTCTTTAAAAGTAGACGTGTGTATCTTTTATTTGCCACCTCTCTTCATATCTTCCTTCTTCTCCTCCACCATCAGGTCCTCGCCACAGCCTTTGATTCAGAGCTCGGCGGGAAGGACTTTGATGACATCCTGGTCAGTCACTTCTGTGAGGAGTTTGGGAAGAAGTACAAGCTGGACGTCAAGTCCAAACCCAGAGCCCTCGTCCGACTCTACCAGGAGTGCGAGAAGCTGAAGAAGCTGATGAGCGCAAACTCCTCAGACCTGCCTCTCAACATCGAATGTTTCATGAATGACATTGATGTTTCAAGTAAACTCAACAGGTGGGTTTGAAGTTGAAGATAAGTCCCGCGATTACCTAGTTTTTTGTGTGGAAATTTATGAATAATCTTTGACCGCGTGTCCCCAGAGGCCAGTTTGAGGAGATGTGCGCGGGGCTGCTGGCTAAGGTCGAGGCTCCTCTTCGCAGTGTCATGGAACAAACCAGTGAGTAGAGCTGACTTCAAAAGCAGCTGGACTGTCCCACATCTGCATGTGTGAAGTTACGTGAGCTTCCCTCAGGCTGCACAGCTGCTCTCCTACCTCACCTCAACCTCTTCTTTTCTTTCCCTCTCTGCATTCAACTAAATAAACCGTAGTGCCTGTGTTGGTCGTTGGTAATGCCCGTGCAAACACCCATGTGGCTTTACTTAACACAGCTGTACTGTTTGCTGTCTTATTTCCGTAATATCAGTGTTTATGACCAGATCTGTAAACTCCTAATATGCCTGTTTTGTATCATCCTTGTCTTCTGTACCCAGAGCTGAAAAAGGAGGATATCTATGCAGTGGAGATCGTCGGAGGTGCATCCAGAATCCCTGCCATCAAAGAGAGAATCAGTAAATACTTTGGCAAAGAGCTGAGCACCACCCTGAATGCAGATGAGGCTGTGGCCAGAGGCTGCGCTCTGCAGGTACAGCTCACCTGGCACGACCAACAGTTTCAGTCCTGTTAATGACTCACGCAGCAGACTCACTCGCTGGCAGCTGTGGTGATAAAGTGGGAGGAGATGTTGAAGGATAAGTGTTAAAACATGGGCATGTGCTTTTGTTAAAAGCTGCTTTTCTTCTCTTTTAATGGATATGAAAAATGCCAAAACCTTTCTTTGATTTCCTTTTCAGAAAATAATAACTTTCTTTCTAAATGTTCGGAAATGTAATATTGTGTTTGAGTCATAATTTCTTTCTGTTTTGCCGAAAAGAAAGGAACTTTAGGATGAAGCTTTAAACTGTAATAACTTGTGTAATGTTTTCTCCTCCTCAGTGTGCGATCCTGTCACCAGCATTTAAAGTCAGAGAGTTCTCCATCACAGATGTTGTCCCCTACCCCATCTCCCTAAAGTGGAACTCAGCCGCAGAGGAGGGACTGAGGTAAGATTTTGTTTTTGCACAGGAACATCTTAATCGGAGTTTAGATGGCTCTTTGCTGGCTGTCTGTGTCACACTGAAAGAATAGGAGGAATCATTGCATATTGGAACTTTGTACAAATGGTAAAGAGACTGTATTGACGCCTCAGTATGGAGACACCAGGACCTGAAATTGAAGGATACCGCCACATAATTTTATCAGGTGTCAGCATGAAGTTGTTCCTTGTGGACTGAGGTTTTAGGAGGAAAGCCTTGTTGTATTAATTAACATGTCTGGGGTCCTGTTACCGTACCAGTATTGTTTGTACCTCTATATCCTATATTTTAATTAGTCTGTTATGAAATAGTTCCCAACAGTATTAGTTAGAATTGTTTTGATTGGCTCTCATTAGGGCTGGGCGATATGGCCTCAGATCAATGTCACGATATATTGAGCAGTTCACCTCGATAACGATAAATAGACGATAACTACTCCACAAGCTGCTCACCCCCTCCCACATTAACTTTGTCTACTTCAGCCGCAACAACTTTTGAACCGTCCTCCATCTCCTCACCTGTCTTTCCCTCTTTGTTACGGACTGGATGGGGTGGAGTCAGGTCTGAGACATGAGACCATAGCCTACCTACACACATCCAAAACCAACTTTCATTTATTTATTGTTTTGACACCGATTATATTGACATGGGCAAAATGACGTTGTTGGGTTATTGTCGTAAATTTTCAGTAATTTTCAGTTTATCGCCCAGCCCTATGTAGCTCTCATTAAAATAACCTCCTCAAAACCTGCATTGAAGACAGGGTTAGAAGTCTAAATGTTTTTTTTCTTTTTTTCTTATACCTCTGCTGCCACCGTCTCTTCAGATACATATATATACTTATAGATTTTCTTACTTTGTGCATCATTTACCAAACTCTGCATCAGTAAAAAAACCCTGATCTTCATCTTTGGGATTAAACTTCATCAACTCCTCCTCCTACTGTGTTTTGTTTTTCAGTGATTGCGAGGTTTTCTCCAAAAACCATGCAGCTCCCTTCTCCAAAGTCTTGACTTTCTTCAGGAAAGAGCCCTTCACCCTTGAAGCCTACTACAACAACCCAAAGGAGCTCCCCTACCCCAGCAGCACTATAGGTACTGCCAGTTCAACATCAGGGATTACCCGCAAAAGAAAAGAGTTTGGATATGAAGTGTGGAACAGTCATTTTATTTCCCTGAAGAAGAAGAAAGTTAAAAACTAATGGTGTTTTATGTAAAAGATTGTTTATGGAATATTACTGATTAACTTATTAATTTAACATTTAACTTTTATTACTCTTTAAGGTCCAAAAGGTCATTTATAACTTGGTGTGCTCCTGCTCTGTATTGTATTTGCCACCTGATTTTAATGGGTGCTGCTATAAATCATTCTCACCTTTAGTCTGTATAGTTTCATATAGCTGTGAATTATTAAGAGTTATAAAGATTAAAAGTAGTTTTTTATTTTCTTTATAGGTAGTCTCAGCCGAGCCTCCTGAGTGCATATGATGACATTAGTTTTCGACCCTATAAGGCCATGAAGTGCAAACTTTGACCCTCTTCTCTCACCCTAAAGGTCAGTTCTTGGTCCAGAATGTGGTTCCTCAGGCATCCGGTGAGAGCGCGAAGGTGAAGGTAAAAGTGCGAGTCAACGTTCATGGCGTTTTCAGCGTGTCCAGCGCCTCACTGGTTGAGGTTTTGAAAACAGGAGAGGGGGAAGAACCAATGGAGACGGACCAGACAGGGAAGGAGGAGGAGGTGCGTACGGTTTGTGTTGACTTTGTGTGTGAGAGAAACGTGACAGGGTGTGTGCGAGTGGGTGTGAGACGGAGATTGGTACGAAAACGGACAGAGGAACCCCTGGGTTTATTCTACGCTTTGTTTGCTTTGTATTTCACTAAAGGTCTTTTTTTCCCAGAGACAGCCAGGCCACACCTTTTGTTTTAAATGGGTAGTTATGTCATCATTATGGAATTTAGAGATCTTGCCTTAACAGGCTACAGACGGCTTCAAATCCCTGCTGCTTTCTCTCCCTTATGCTTCATTATCTGCTCTCAAAAGCCAATTTTGCTTGGCACCAAGACCAGCCTCTTTCTCCCAAATTAACGTGTTATAACTGTCCTTCGAGAGGTTGGACGCGCCGTCAGAAACACCTGTGTGGTTAATACTGAACTCCCATCCTTGAATGTGGAGAAAAACAGTCCCAGTTTTTATCTTACACAGTCTGTACTGTGTCTTTTTCTTGTGTTATTGTGTGTCAGAACAAAATGCAGGTGGACCAGGAGGATCAGAAACTTCAGACTGGAGACAACGGAGACAAGAAATCAGAGACGGAGGAGATGGAGGTAACCTTGTGCTGGGGGATAAGGCGCTCGCCTTTGTGTCCATACGCTGCACACGGAAGGAGTACACTCTTTCCTTCGAGCGCTTGGTAGATGGCAGGAGGAAAAACCGTAACTTGTCAAAATCCTCCTGTCCCATGTTAACGAGAAGGCAGTGTTCGAGTTTAGGATGTCTTTTCAATACAATTTTTTTTTAAATTACCCACAAGTACAAAAACATTTTCAGCTCCTTTACACAGAAAACAATGTACTAAAGATATAAATCAAGCCCGTGCTAGTAGAGGTGCAATGGATCAAATAGTTTGGTTCATAAATTGACAGAAAAAGAGATACCAGTATTTGTAAAATGTTCCTCTTCCTTGCTAAGCCTTTATCAAAACTGCATTTCAAAGCTAAAATAGTTTTAGGATGACAATTTCAATGTTGCTTTTACTTTAGATTATTCAAAATAAATCTTAAACTTCCTGTAAGGAACTTTTAACTGGATTTGAAAAAAATCTGGTTTCTGCTGATGTCTCCCTGTCGGCTGCAACAACGAATGAACCCGTCATTGAGCACTCAGACCAGAGACGACACGTGCATTTTTTCTCTTTATTTTGCACGGAAAACACACATATGACCGTCACTACACAAACGGTGACTACGTCTTGCAGCAGGAAACTCCTGCAGACGCTGTGTCATGCTACAGCTGCAGCCGCGGAGTAAGAAGCTCCTCCACACCGGAGACAGACAGGCAGAGCAGCTCTGTGTCACTAACCTGAGTAGTTCTGCTGCTCCACGTCTGTCTCACACTCCACGGCGGGCTGACCCAGACCCGCCTCCCATTTTAAATACATCTACAAAGTTAGAGTGCCTCAAACTGCTCACAAAAAAGTTAGTTTCTGGAGCCAGATAAGTGTCTTTACGACGATTTGCGCTAAAACACTACCGCTTTTGTCCATAGTGGCCGCCAAAATCAACAGAAAATGAAAACTCTTTCCAGCTGCTTTAACTAAACTTGTAGATCACTCGACTCGATTAACTTCTAGCCCTGTGCTCCAGGGGTCATTTTAGTCGTTCCAGTCCAGGTCAACGACATACTCTCTTATTCTCACTCTGCACATGTTTTAGGACTTTTACTTTGGGTAATAACTGCGTCCACTCTCGCTGCAACCACAGTGTTTTCAGGACTGGAGTGATGTTTGGTCTCTGAAGAAAGAAAGAACCCTCTTAGTGAATACATGTCCCCTTGTTGTATCCATGAACATGTGTGTCCGGCTTTTGGGTTAAACTGGCATCATCATATCACTGCCAGAATTTTTCGGTTAATCCTAAAGGAGACTAATTATTGTCACCCTACTAGTGCAGTAAAAAGCAGTGATTTGTCTGTTCTTTTTAATTGTTTTGAACTCTGAATTCTTCACACTCACTCACACAGTCCAAATATAGGCAGGGCTAAAACACACACACACGCACACATCTTTCTCATACTTATCGGTACTTATAACGTATCGGTTTCAGAAGTCGTTAAAGCTCATCATAACTTTTATTGTACAGATTATTTAGAAACATAATCACTCCAGCAGATCCATTGCACCACTACTCATTTATTCTCTTTCACATTTATTATTTTATTGAACATTGATAAAACACTAATAATCTTTCTGAGACTGAATTTTTAAACTACTGTTATTGATAGCTAATTTTCGCCATATCACCCAGCACAAAGGTAACCACAGTTAACTGTCCTTTGGAGCTACATTTTTTTTTTGCACTAGATGATTCATATTCGCCAAAGGACTCTGTCGTCATTTTCACACATGATAATAACATTAACAGAGGATTTAGAGTTTCATCATTTTTCATCATGTGGTCACTTTTTTTTCTCATTAGCTAAGAGCTTTCAAAGGAAGAAGTTCAATATAACCCGGCTAAAAACATTTCTGAAGAGTGAAATAACTATTTAAAATTCTGACACACAACCACTACATGTAAAATAACTCCCTGTGTATGTATACATGACAAAGTTGTTCAGCCACTACAGTGATTTGAATGTATCTGATAGAAAAAAAAGGCTTCAAACCAGTTTGATTTACTCAGAGCAGGTGTTCATGTGTGTACGTTCATCATTCTAAACGCACAACAGCAGCTGTGTTTGCAGAGACTGATTTTTATCCCCTCTCTTTCCAGACGACGACAGACGACACCAACAAAGAGAAGAAGACCGACCAGCCCCCTCAAGCGAAGAAGCCCAAAGTGAAAACGAAGACGATCGAGCTGCCCATAGAGAACAATTTGCACTGGCAGCTGTCCAGTGACGTACTAAATATGTTTGTAGAGAATGAGGTAATGCTCTAAAAATCAACAGGAATGTCCGGCATGCACAAACTCAAACAGTGTGTTAGTGGAACCTGCTGGTCCGGATCCCATTTGGACTTTTATTGGGAGATTAAAAAGAAGAGTGTAAAGCAAGATATTTAAATTTTAAAAACTGTACTTTATCAGATGACTGCAGTAACTGAAAATGAAAGATTTCCCATCTTTATTTAATTTAACTTTAGTATTAGTATTAATATAAGAGGCTATAATTACTTCCCTTAGAGTAAAATAATCATACATAAGGCGCACTGTCAATTTTTGAGAAAATTAAAGGACTTTAAGTGCGCCTTATAGTCCAAAAAATACGGGATGTGATGTAAAGAATTGAAAGATATAGAATTATGGGATAAGGTTGGCTTACCTCTCATCTTAAATCCATCTTTTTGTGCACTGCTTCACTTCTTTTACCCTGATTGTTACTCCCACAGGGTAAGATGATCATGCAAGATAAACTGGAGAAGGAGCGAAACGACGCGAAGAACAATGTAGAAGAATACGTGTACGAGATGAGAGATAAACTTCACGGCGTCCTGGAGAAGTTTGTGAATGAGGCTGTGAGTATAGATGAGACAAAACTTTCTTTTCTGATTCTTAGCTGATCTTTTTACTTTCATTCAGTTCAAACAACAGCTTGAGTTCTGCTTTTCTGATGTTCATATAAACTGTGTATTTTCACCTGTTTGCAGGATCGTGATGCATTCTCACTAAAACTGGAGGACACAGAGAACTGGCTCTACGAAGACGGAGAGGACCAACAGAAACAAGTTTACATCGACAAACTGGCTGAACTGAAGGTAACTCGACATGAAGCCGTTTGTGTTATTTAGCGTTAGTGAGAATTATCGGTACAGCTTTTGTCATAAATGTCTCATAATTTAACATTCTTTATTACAGAAAGTGGGCCAGCCCATTCATGAGAGGTACACCGAATCTGTGGAGAGGCCCAAAGCGTTTGAGGAGCTTGGCAGACAAATCCAGATGTACATGAAGATTATTGAAGCTTACAAAGCAAAGGTAACACCTAGAAGTGGTTTCTCAGTAGGGACGGGCGATAAGTTATCGTTCACGACATATCGTCAGAAAAATCCTCCATGATAAATATTTGCCATCTCATGACAAATACGATAATGCAAGTTGATGGCACGAGTGACGGACTCGCAGCCGTAGCCCACACAGAGCAGAATAACAAACAAACATGGCCGAAGGAGAAGGCGTTTCTGAGCAGCTTGTAACTGAACGAGGCTCCACATCCGGGATTTCCACTCAAACTTGTGGTTAATTATCTTATTAGACTACTCCAACTGGTGTTCTCAAGACAAAATGAGTCAAAAATACAGGTTGGAGTTATAATTTTTTTTATCGGGACTTTGATTGTAATCGCGAGGATGGCAAATCTTATTGTGATAAATTTTTTAGCCCATATCGCCCATCCCTATTTCTCAGTTCGATTTCACACCTAGCGTTTTGTAATTGGTCGCTAAATGTGTCATGCATCTGATCTTATTAATAACGCACCTCAAATCTTGTTTTTCAAGTGTAAATAAACTGTAAAGCAAGTGCAGTCGGACATTTTTATCAGTTAGTTTAGCAGCATAGTTAAACTGGGCTTCTCCTCTAACAGGAAGAGCAGTACAATCACCTGGATGAGCTGGAGGTGACTCGGGTCGACAAGCAGGTGAACGACGCGATGGTGTGGATGAATGGCAAGATGAACCAGCAGAACAATCAGGATCTGACTGTGGACCCGGTGGTCAAAGTGTCAGAGATCAAGGCCAAGACTAAGGTACCGAGGGGACGTCTAACACCCACAACATGATGAAGAAAAAAAGGAGTGTATGAAGAATAAAAAAGAGGAGAAAGAGGAAACTAAATGTTCTTTTTTTAATGCATGATTTTTTACACAAGTACAGCATGTCATTTTCTTTTCAGAGGTTTACATAAGATTCAGTGAGCAGTAGAATTTTTTAAACTTTACAGCCAGCAGTAAAAACAATTTTCAGCTTACAAAACAACTGCTGTCTCCAAAAACAGCTGCACTTTCAGCAGAAAAATAAGTGTGAAATAGTCAAACAAGCCGTCATTGTGCAAGTTGGTGAGATTTCTCTTTATTAAAATAAAATCTGCTTTTTCTCTCAAACAATCCTTGATGTTTCCCTTTCAGGAGCTTTATTCAGCCTGCAACCTGGTGGTGTCCAAACCTAAGCCTAAGGTGGAGCCACCCAAAGAGGAGAAGACCGAGAACGGGCCAGTCAACGGGCAGGAGGGAACGGAGAACCAGCCATGTAATCCAGACAAAGCCACACCAGCAGGCGGGGAACAGGGAACAGCGGAGAACAAGCTCCCTGAAATGGACATCGACTAAATGTTGCAGCCTCCCTCCACTGCTGAGTCCCACCTCTGTTTTTCCTGCTACCCACTCCCAAATCTGTGGTTCTTCTGGGATAGTTATTGACGTCAGAGTAGCCGCTCTCTTGAAGACACAGACCGCAGCATCCCTTATCAATAGGATTCATCACTCAGCCTCTTGGGCATGTCATATCTCATTTTCTCTGATGAATACAAAAATATCGCTTAATATTGATAATAAACGGACGACTTCATGACCTAAAAGTTGTGAGTGTGGGATGGGAAACTCTCTCTCTGTGTTGCTTCGATGGCCGTTGTGTTAAAGATTGTTTTGTTCAGCACCCTCTGAGCATATTTAATCCAAGAATGTCAGATTTGTTGAATTGTAGGCAAAGTGGCTGTGCAGAGGAAAGCTAGTAATACAGAATTTATATAATGTAAAATATTGCAGTATGTCAAAATGAGATAGAAGCAGTTAAAAATGTAAACCATGAAATATAGTGCAGTTTTTCCACTACAAATAATTGTATCTGATGAATTACAATGTTTTAGGTTTTAAAAAGACAGGCCGTTTATGTTGAGTTTACTTGTACTGTATGTTTAAACTAGATACTGCAAGTTAAAGTCATGCAGGATGTCATTGTCTGGCTTTTTCTCATTAAGAAGCAGTGTTCTGTTGGTTGTTCTCTGGTAGCCTTGTATTGCTTTTTTTTCTACTTGACGGTGTGGATGCTGGTCCAGCAAATTGCCTTCTGGGTGCTGCTGTTGTTGCCACATCACCATAAAAAAGCAAAATAAATCTTGTCCAAAAAAAAGCATATTATTGTGAGAATTTGATCATTAATAAGCAGCCGTGATTACTGTGGATTTCTTGCCTCAGTGTGAGCTTTGACTTCTTATTTTTCAACGTTAAGCATTTACGACGGCGCCTTTAATGACACAGGATCTTTGGTCTAACAGATGTCTAAATGTAGCCTAGACCACTGGTCCAAAATCAGGCTATCACGGGTCTAAAAATGAAAGCTCTTTAGCTGTCGAAATTAAGACTAAATCTAAATCTGGGCTATATCTATACTACGCTGTATGTTGCGCAACGGCTATCGTAATTATTTAGGTTAAAGGGATATTCTGGAGTAAGATTAAGTTATGGTCAAACACACCGTAACACAGAGTAAGACACCCTCTCGAGAGATGAATGTTGCCTACTGCTTGTTTCTCTAGTTATACCAACTTGAGTAACGACCACACGATAGCAATACACAGCGGTGGTCTACTACTCCACACACAAACCTCAACCAAAACGCCACTCTATAGCAACAAATAATGCTCAGAACAGCACCTAACTTCATCAACAGTACATGTGGGGTCCCAGCCAAAGTACTAGCCACCAAACGTCTTTTTAGCTTTACCTAATTTCTTTAGCAAAGAGACCAAACACAACTCACCCACTCTCCTCCAGCAGCTGCTTGTTTGTGGTGGAGCCCTGACGATTTGACCACCGAGTGCAGCAGAGTTTCGCAGCTCAAGGAAGAACATTTATGATTATTACTTCATGAAAATGCAATCAGATCGAAAGGCAGAAGAACTACCGCGTCTGCAGTGCAAAATGATTACTATGGCGATCATTTCTTCAAAGAAAAGATAAAGAAATGATAAAAAATGTTCTTCCTTGAGCTGCAACACCCCACTGTAGTCCGTTATGGACTGGTCTGAGGTCTTGCTACAAACAAGCGGCTGCTGGTAGAGAGTAGGTAAGTTGTGTTTAGTCTCATTGATAAAGAAATCAAGCAAAGATAAAAAGATGTTTGGTAGCTAGTACTATGGCTGGGACCCTATATGTACTGTTGATGAAGTTAGGTGCTGTTCTGAGCATTACTCGTGGCTATGGTGTGGCGTTTTGGTTGAGGTTTGTGCGTGGAGTGGTAGACCGCTGTGTATTGCTATTGTGCGGTCGTTGCTAAAGTTGGTGTAACTAGAGAAGCAAGCAGATGCCTCTAAATTAAAAAGACGAGTTATAAAGGGAAACATAAGCTTGAGAAATCTTTTACAATTGTTTAAGAAAACAAAAGCATTTCTACCCCACTGAGCATTTTTTTTTTGTCTATAAAAAGGTCTAATAGCCCTCTAATGAAACTTTTTTAGACGTCTTAATTTAGATCAAGTTTAGACTAAATCTAAATCTGGGCTATATCTATACTACACTGTATATTGCTCGACGGCCATTATAAAGTACTTGGAGATCAGTTATGCAATTCACAGTTGCTTTTTGAAATTAATAGTTATCTAATAATGTGCAACATCTAAATTCTGTTTGAAAATACAGAATCTGGACAGTTGAAATTAGCTCTAAAAACAATAACTAGATGTCGAATAGCCGTCTATTGCTCAGTGGGGAGGTATTATTGCTCATTGATTATAGGTTCTTGCCTAAATCAACCTGTAGTACCGTGACCATCCTGCAGGCATCGCTGCCACAACATCACTGCCCTCAGTCATGAACTAGTCAGAGTCCAGGAGTCACTAAACGGGTCATATAAGGTAAGAAAAAACGTGTATCTACCTCGCTGATAGTGTTGCCTCGTGTTTTTTGCTTGTAGCATCTTTGATAGAAGCTGTATTAAAGAATGACGCTACAGAGAAAAAGTTAAGTCAAGCAAAACTCTGAGTGTTGTCTCTGTTTACACTAGCTAGCTCTCCCAGCTAGCTAGCTTAAGTACTTCATGAGCTTCGGAGTTCTTCAGCTTACCTTTTTTAAGACGTAAACTTTAGTTATAACCTCACCCTGGTTACACTGTTATTCAGGAGACGGTTAAGTCGCTCTGTGACAACAAACACGTCTACTCTGAGTCAAGTTTCTTCTTAAGAGCTAGCGTTAGCATGCTAACCATTGAGCCAGCATTGCGCCGGTGTTAGCTCAGAAGAGCTGATGTTATGTCACGTTAGAAGTAAATAAAGATCCTGTGTATCACTGATAAAATATCCACTTATTATGTATAAGAGTATAACATTAAATCTGGGCATGTGCTGGTGTGGTTGATTTTGTTTTGAATGTGTCTATAGTTAAAATTGAGTTATGGGCAAATATAAGAAATCTAGTGAAAATGTCAAAGCACGTGTTGGCAAGAATGTTGAACACTTATCGATCATATGAATCATTCACTTTTTCCAAAACATATTCTCATTTACTATCATACATTTTACACCTTGATGCACTTGTGGTGGGCAATGATAACACAGGTGACACTACCACTAATGATGTGATGAGACCAGTTAAAGGGATATTCCGTAAATTAAGTTATGGTCAAACACACCGTAACACTGAGTTAGACACCCAACTCTAGAGATGAATGTTTGCGACTGCTTGCTTCTCTAGTTATACCAACTTCAGCAATGACCGCACGATAGCAATACACAGTGGTCTGAGGAGCCATAAACAAACCTTAACCAAAACGCCACTCTATAGCCACAAATAATGCTCAGAACAGCACCTAACTTCATCAACAGTACATATAGAGTCCCAGTCATAGTACTAGCCTTCAAACATCTTTTAGCTTTGCCCAATTTCTTAAGCAAAGAGACTAAACACAACTGACCTACTCTCTTCCAGCAGCCACTTGTTTGTAGTGAGACCTCAGGCCAGTCTATTACAGAGTGTGGAGAGTGGGGAAAAAAGTGTTAATTCTGCATTCCCTTGTCGCTACCCCTGTTGAACTTTTTTTTTTCAGGTTTCTTAATAAATGTCTGAGGACAAGGAAGCCCAGGAAGATGAGCTGCTTGCTTTAGCAAGTATTTATGATGAAGAGGAATTCCACCGGGCAGACTCGGCACAGGGGGGAGAGATCCAACTCCTCCTGGAGCTCCCTCCTGATTTCAGAGTTGTTGTCAAAGGTACAGCTCTTTGTAGAGAAACAAGTTCAGGGTGTTAATATGGTTGGTGCTTTCTTATATTGACTTTGGTCTGTTCAGTATAGTTTTCATGATATTTGCTAACTTTTGGTAACTTTTCCTTTGAGATGATCTCTATTCTCATATTTTGTCCCAGGAGAGAAGGAGATGGAATATAACATCTGCTTCTTGCCTCCTTTGGTGCTCAACTTTGAGCTCCCTCCAGACTATCCATCCACGTCCTCTCCAGTTTTCACCCTAAGCTCCAAATGGATGACCAGAGCGCAGGTAAGACTGAAATTAAACTGAGGTTTTATCTTTTTTAATCGGCCAGCAAATGTTGAAAAGGTTTCAAATTGAAATGAGACTCTGTATCTGATTCTGTTCTACTTCATCTCTTCAGATTAGTGCTCTATGCAGACGCTTGGATGAGCTGTGGGAGGAGAACCAAGGCTGTGTGATCCTTTTCACATGGATCCAGCTCCTCAAAGAGGAGGCCCTGGACTACCTTGGTATCCAGTCTCCTCTTGAAATAATAAGAGGAGGAAGCAGAGCGGGTGGTGAGCGTAAGAAAACCGACTCTGCAGCTACAGGTACGGTCGTCTCCTTGAATTTTTTATTAACATGCTTAACTGCATCTGCGCTCTCTTTCTCAGTAAAGCTCGGAGGCAGAATTCAATAAAGAAAATATTCTCTTTCATGATAAGTTGAGACAGCAGTACTAACTCCACAATTTTTATTTAAAAAAACAAAACAAAACCTGGTTTCATCTTCCTGTGGTTGTTTTGGTGTCCAGCCTTGGTGCAGTGCGAGAGTCTCGCTGAAAACGCGGAGCACAAAAGGGAAATGAAGAAAAAGAAGCCTGACCCTTCAGCCTCTCAATTGGACCCACGGGCCGTTCTGTTGATGGACCCACGTGCAGACCTCCTACCTCAGCTCCTGGACTTTGATGAGGCGCAGCGCCAGAGGGTTTTTGACAGTAAAGTGTTCTGTTGTGGGATCTGCTTCATGGAGAAGCTGGGCGCTAACTGCCTCTGCTTTAAGGAGTGCCAGCACGTCTACTGCAAGGCCTGCATGACGGAGTACTTCCAGATCCAAATACGGGACGGCAATGTTCAGTGCCTTAACTGCCCTGAACCCAAATGTACCTCTGTAGCGACACCACTGCAGGTATGAACATCTTTTAGTCAGTGTATGTTTCAGTGTTTTCGTTGGGTTTTTTTTAACCCTTGGATCCATTGTGTGACCTCTCAGGTGAAGCAGCTGGTGGATGAGGAGCTTTTCGCCCGCTATGACCGTTTGCTGCTTCAGTTCAGTCTGGACCTAATGGCCGATGTGGTCTACTGTCCTCGCCAGTCCTGCGGCACCGCTGTGATGGTGGAGCCGGACACAACCATGGGCATTTGTTCAGCCTGCCAGTATGCTTTTTGCACACTGTGCAAGCTGGGCTATCATGGTCTCTCTGCGTGTAAAATTAATGCAGGTAACATGACTGTGGTGACAAAGTTGACTGAAATAACATAACCCTGAAATTTAATATGAAAACTGACTGTTGTTGCCATTTCTGATCTGGATCCAACACCAACAATTAGACATCAACTCAGTGTTACTTGGCTCCTATCTCCTCTTGTCTTCAAGTGTATGTAAACCCCTCTTCTTAACTCTCCATACTGTGACTTGTGCCATAGATGAATTGCGTAAACTCAGAGACGAGTACCTGTCCGCCTCAATAGAGGAGCAAAAGTTCATGGAGCAACGCTTTGGGAAGAGGGTGATCCAGAAAGCAGTGGAAGAGTCCTATAGTAGGGAGTGGCTCGATGAGAACTGCAAAGCCTGCCCTCGCTGTGGAACTAATATACAGGTAAGGCTCCCCCTGCTGGTGAGAGTGCGTCAGAACAGACCAGAACTAGATAAAAATGGCTTGTAAAGTCCTCAGTCGTTCTGGTTTGAATGTGTAATCTGTGATGTTTGACTCACCTCCTGAGGCGTGTTCTACTAAAGCCTCTTTCTCTGTGTGTCTACAGAAAGCAGACGGCTGTAACAAGATGACCTGTACCTCCTGTAGACAATACTTCTGTTGGCTGTGTCTGGGCCTGCTCAGTAAAGTCAACCCATACAGTCACTACAACAACCCAGGTTCACCGTGTTACAGCCAGTGAGTGATTCATCTCTCATCTTTTGTCCCCAACTTCCACTTGAAGGTGGGGTAGGCAGGATCTGAGGAAGTGCCAGTTTTTGGGAGAAATCTTGAATGTAAACTCTACCCCTCCCAACCAGTTTTCCCCTCAGCTCCTCCTCTCTCGTCCCTCTCTGCTCCAGCAAGCCCCGCCCACAAACAGACGCTCCTGCTCGCTTGTATCGTTTCAATTAAATTCAGATATAATGCAGATAAATACTTAAGATAATTACAAATGGGGTCCAGTCAACGTGAAAGTAAAAAGCATTGGTGCTACTGTAGATGCCAACAGACTACCAGCAAACACAATGTTTGTAGGACTTCTACAACTAGGATAAAGTGACATAGTCCAGGACCCGAGGTCAACAGTTTAGCAGCGCTACAACACGCAGCAGGTCCGTTTGACATGAAACACTTCTGTTACAGACACTTGGCTTACTTTGTTGAAGCGGTTTACCTGTCCAGCAGAAAGGTTACAGGGTCTGTAAGATAAGGTGACCAGACGTCCCCGATTTCAGGGTGACCTGTCCCCGGCAAAAGCTGTCCCCGAAAATGTCCCCGATTTAAGCATTTCATGAATGAGAACAAAAATGTTGCGTGTATGCTAGAACAACGGTTATTACAGTTGCCGAATGGGTAGGAAGCACAAGTAAGCAGTCCTGAACAACAGTTTTTACGGGGGTTATTACAAGGGGCGTGCGCTGCTACTAAATAGTACAGAGATGTTGTCTCTGATCACGCAGCCCATGCACCAAATGTCCCCGGATTTCATTACAGAAATCTGGTCACCTTACTGTAAGATCCCGAAGCGTCCCCCATCATTTATGCTGATGTTGACCCGGCTTTTTAGCTCTTGTCCGGTCTACGCATTATTCCGCCAGAGTCTCTGGTATTTACTTCATTTTCTTGCTTGTGTTTGCAGTCATGGCTAAAGGAGGATTGAGACAATTTTCCGTACTTTCTGGTTGGTTTCTACTGTCCGATATTGTAGCACACTAACTTTGTTTGGGCTCCTGAATGATACAGGGAAGCAGCGTCCGCCTCACAACCAATCAGTTTGGGGGAGGTGGCGGACACAGACATAACAAAACACAGTGGTATCGTTATATTCCCAAATGTCATCAATAACTAATAGCTATTGACTGATATTAAAAGCTTTTTTGTATATACACCACAAAAAAAGATACTTCTTTAACAGATTCCTGCCTACCCCACCTTTAATTGCTGACAGATATTACGTGTCTATAAACACGCTGGTTTATAACCTCTCCCCTCGCTCGTTGTAGGCTCTTTCAGGGTGTGGATATGGACGAAGAAGAGGCCTTCTGGAGCGACGAGGAGGACTGACACCGGCGCAGTGCCTCACAGCTGTATGCTCCATTTGAATGCACTTTATCTCACATCACTATCACAAGGAGAACTCGAAGACGTCTGCGTTTACACATCTGTGCCACAACGTCCGTGTACCATCGTTTATGTTTGGAATACTTTCAGAAATCATCAGTCAGTCAGACATGCTCAGAGAGAAATGGAAAAAGATGATTTTGATAAAAAGGAGATGCTCTTTTGGCCACTCCAGAGCAGATATTTAGTTATCTTACGCATGGTTTTATCTTTGGATATGGCCTCAAATTTTCACTATCTGTAGTCGTTTTAGTTGCTGAGCATCTAATAGAAATGAGCATGATTTGAAAGATTGCTCTTTGTTTTACTGAAGCCCATTACTCTAAATGTGAAGTCGTAGAAACAAAATAAGTTTGCGATGAGTTCGGAGAGAAATTAAAACCACTGATGGAGCTGTGATTGGTCGATTCAAGGTCAGGGCTCATAATTACCTAGCAGCTATCATCAGGACTCGACCCTGTTGTGAACACCTAATTATATGTCAGAAATGGTGTTCGGGTTCATTTCACTTTCAGAAACCTAAATGCAAATAACAGAGTTTGTTTTGGTGAACAAGGAGTTCATAGACTCATACCAGTGATACGAGACTGAACAAAGGATAGGATTCATTACCAGCTCTCATTTGTTTTGTTGTTTGTTTCAGCTAGTTCAGTTAACAACCAGAATATCCAAACCTCAGACAGACTGTACTCAGGAGTGAGTTTCTAATTGAGTTCATCCAAAGTAATGAGGAAAAATACGCCTGGATTATTTCACATCCAGGTTTATGTGTTTCTTTTAATGTTGCCAAACACTGGTGTCAAAGAGGGCAGATAATCGTAGTCATTAATCGAGATACAAACGTTATTTTCTATGACGTGTATTAGTTTTTTTCTCTTCTAGTTCTTTCTACGTTTTATCACAAATTAGGTGATTTGATGCAAGCAGTTCTGTCGGTGATTGCTTCAAAACTGTTTGATAATGGCAGGTTTCTTTCAGATATGATTCCAGTTTGGAGTGGTTAATAAAAAGAAACAGACAATCATAGTTAAGCTCACACATGGGTTCACTGTTCCATTAATACTATGTCTCCAAAAAACAATCTATAAGGATAGGACCTGTAGAATCCTGATCAACAAACTGTTCCTCTGAATAAAAGTCAAAACCTCAAATTTGGTCTGTTTCTGTTTCACAGATTTGTGATCTTACTAGTTTAAAACTTGATTTCGCTGGTACTTTTTGCGCAAATACACAGCGAACTGAACACACTTAGATAATCAGCAAGTGGTACAAGACTTACACATGTCCTTTTATTAATGGTAATTTAATTTCAGACATGGAAAATGTCACCTGTTCTCAAAAGTCCTTTTTTTTTCTTTTAAAAAGCAGAGAAAAAAATTTACATCACAAGCCATGGACATGCAAAAAGTATCTAAAATGTACGCTTATTTTTTTTTTGTTTGCTTGTTTGTTTTTTGCTTGAAAAATAGAGGAAAAGAAACATCACAAGCCATGAACATGGAAAAAGTATTTAAAAAGCTTTTATTTTTGTTGCTTAAAAAAATAGCGAAAAAAATCACAAGCTGTGGACATGGAGAAGTATCTAAAATTTCTGCATATTGTTTTTCTTTTCTTTTATTTATTTATTTTTATGGCTTTAAAAAATAAATTTAAAAAAAAACATCACAAGCCATGGACATAGAAAAAGTATCTACAATTTTTTTTCTTTTTTTTTGCTTTTAAAAAATAAAGAAAAAAAAACATCACAAGCCATGGACATGGAAAAAGTATCTTAAATTTATGCTCATAGTTTTTATTTTTTGTTGTTATTTTTGTTTTGGTTTTTGCTTTTAAAATAGAGGGGAAAAAATTACACCACAAGCCACAGACATGGGAAAAGTATCTAAAATTTAGGCTCATTGTTTTTTTTTTTTGTTTTTTTTTTTACATTTTTGGGGGGTTTCAGTGAAGTGCCCAGATTGATAATGTGCCAAATATACAAATATGATCTCAGTGAGGTTTCTTTCTTTTTTTCATTACAATCCTTGGACATAGGAAAAGTATCTAAAATTTAGGCTCATTGTTTTTTTTTTGTTTTTTGTTTTTTTACATTTTTGGGTGGTTAGTAAATGAAGTGTCCAGATTGGTATTTTCCAAATATCAAATATGATCTCAGTGAGGTGTGTGTTTTTCTTTTTTTTTTTTTGAACTTAAAAAAAATCCACTCTAAAATGATTTAAGAAGCCTTTGCAGCATCTTACCTGAAAAGTGACCCATATTTACCCTGTAATCCAGAGGTTATGCTGTGACAGGGAGGGAAACAATGAAGAACTAAAGAAACAAAGAGCCCTCGTTGTAGCCTGAGACTGAAAAGGAACGACAACATGGTGTAATCCCTTTGGCTAGAGTTGCTGACAGGGGATAACCCTTTAAAATGGCCCCTCTCTCCCCCCTGCAGCCCCTGTCTGTCTTTCTCCACACACTGACTGACCGACTGCCTGAACTGTTACTATGCCTGTAAAGACACCTGCTCTCACAACACAGGAAAACCATTCCTGCCACCAGCAGCACCTGACCAACACGGAGGAGCTTCACTAGCCCTTAAAATCGCCCGTCAAGGTCTCCTCGCTGAACCGTAAGAGCAGGAGAAGTCTCAGGAAAAAAAGGTTAGTGGTTTTTGGTGTGGTGGCTGATGGGATACGGCCTGTTGGCGCTCAATTTGTGATGACGGGAGTTCACAGCGAAGAGACGTGTATGTGAGATCTGCAGTCAGCCATGTTTATGGAGAGTTCAGTGCTGCTCAACATAATGCTGTAGACTGTTAACATGCTGTCATTTGTGAATCAGTGAAAAAAGTTGTTATAATGTTATAAGGCAGCTTAAATGACTAGAATAAAGACAATACCACCTAAAAACAAAAAAAAGGTATCCTACAGCACCAAAATATAATCTAATAAAATAAAACAAATTATATAAGACAGTATGTGAGTCTGTAAAACAGGTTAAATCCTAAACAATATGTAAATAAATAGAGTTTTATGAGACGATATAGAATAAAACTCTGTTAAAAGTGAGACTAAATAGGTAGGTCTTATATATTTAAAAAAAAAATATGGATTCTCTGCGTGGCTCTGAGGTCTTCAGGTCGGCTGTCCCACAGACACGGGCCGTAATAATAGAAAGCTGCCTCACTGTGGGTCTTTGTTCTTACTTGAGGCACAATTAAAAGGACGCTACGTGAGTTAACTCATGGGCTTATGTGATAAAAACAAGTCTGATAAGTTTGAACAAATCCATGAAGATTCGCTGCATCTGAGTTTTGGAGCAGATGAAACTGTAAGATGTTTTATTTTAGGGGGACTAGATAGGCGGGCATAACAATAGTTAGTTCTACATGTGGATAAAACATGAATTAGTGTCTCTTCATGGTTTGATAGAGAAACTGTTACACTCTGGCGATGTTTTTCAGGTGATAAAATCCTCTTTTTTCCTGATATTTCTGATATGTGGCCCAAAACGGAGATCTAAACTTCTTACATGGTTTAGATATTTATTATTATAAAAAACAGCACCTCATCATTGATTATTATGTGGGACATGCTGAAGGAGACTGAAAGAATCTGTTCCTCTTTCCCTCAAGATTCTGTTTCCCAAGACCCAACCTCAACTTTTCCTCCACTGTGGGACCAAAGACTCGGGTCAGGTCACATTATGATCGAAAGTGACAGAGAGCTGTCGTCCATGGTGCAGGAGCTGTGGGACAATGACGTCAACAGACTCAAACCTGGGAAGGATTACAAGATCTCTCTGAAGGTGCAGCTTTTTCACATCATGTAACGTCACCGAATACTGAACCGAGTCTGACTTTGAATTGAGAATGGTTTTCTTCCTGCTGTAGGGCAAAGCTGGAGACACCATGGCCAGCAACGACAACAACGATGGAGCAGGATATCCTCTATTTACGTTTGTCGACGAGAACATTTTCAAGAAGGAGACTTTTTTTGGTAACAAAGTTGGATATTTGTGTGTGTTTATCTGCTTTGGGGTAAGGCCTAAATCTCTGTATCTCACACAGAAGTGTTTGATTCGTCATGGTCTCCTCTCAGACTCCACGTCACTGATAGTCAGTTTGATAGGATCCTCCAGTCAGAGTTTTCATCTACTGATAATCTCCTTATGACGAGCAGTGGGATGTTGCATAAGCACAGAGCATGACAGGTTCGCTGCGCTGTGTACAGAATGATGCTCCACCGACCAGTCACTGACTTCTTCTTTATTTCTCCCTTAGATCTAGTTACGTCTTTACAGAACCGGTTTATAGCTTGTGTGGAAATCATACTCCGGCACAGAGCTGTGAAAAGAGCTGGGTTATGTAACAGTTTGTATTCAGAGTGCACCCTGAGGCTGCTGTCCAATTGAAAAAAAAAAGAGGCATCTGTCCTTTTTTGCTATTTTTAATCTTTGGTTAGACCCTGGGCCTCTGCTTCACCGTCCACCTAGGTCATAGAGCCGTTGATTCTTATAGTGATTAAGAATCCTAGTGATTCCCATCAGTCAGTGAAAGTTGTCTGTTTCTGTTTCTCCAGCCTTTATCTCTCTGTTGGATAACTATGAGAGCGACACCGGTGAGCCAGAAATTGTAACCCCTGAGGAGGTTGCAGAGAATCACAAGTTCCTGGACTCCATCATTCAGACTCCAACTATGAAGGTACCTGTGGAAACTTCTGGAAACGTCACTATAACTTAATCTAACAAAGGCCAATTTCTTTTCTTTATAAAGATTTACTATGGGCTTTTTTTTAGCCTTTATTGACTGGTTGGAATTGAATCTGGGCCCAACAAGCTATCAGCACTACATGAGGGCAAATGACTAAGTTTTAAGGAAGGCTGATCGGGTTGAACAGTTATTAATAAATTTGATGAATATTAATAAAATGAGATTAAATTGAAAATGATGAGACAATGTGGCATTAGATTAGCTAGAATATAACAAGGTTAGAAAAAATAGCATAACAAAAGAGAAGATGACATGACAGGACAAGATGAGATGAAAAATGATTACATAAGTAAGGATGAGTGGACAAAAGAGATGAGTGGACAAAAAGATCAGTAAGACAGGATGAAATAAGATGGGATAAGATGAGATGATGTAGGATGATATATGATAAATGAAATTAAATGAGATGAGGTGAGATCACATAAGTAAGGATCAGAGGACAAAAGATCAATAGGACAGAATAAAATGAGATGGTATAAGGTGACATGACATAAGATGAGATAAGATGATGTAAGATGATATATAATGAATGAAAGAGATGAGGTGAGGTGAAATAAGATTGGCTGGGATGAAGTAACTACATAAAAAAAGGATGAGATAAGATAAACATGATAATATGATAGGGATGAGATAAAATGAAATGAGATCTGATTAGAAAAGATAAGATGATTGGGAATGACATAAAATGAGGCGAGATGAGATAAGATAAGATGATGTAGGATGATATATGATGGATGAATGAAAGAGATGAGATGAGATGAGAAGACAAAAGATAGGATGGGATGACGTAACTACATGACAAAGGGTGAGATGAGATGAGATAAATATGATATGAGGTGAGATGAAATTAAATGAGATCAGATTAAAAAAGATAAGATGATTTGAGATGACATGACATGAGATGACATAAGATGAGATAAGATGATATATAATGAATAAAAGAGATGAGGTGAGATGAGAGGAAATAAGATTGGTTGGGATGAAGTAACTACATGACAAAGGATGAGATGAGAAAAATATGATAGTATGATATGAGGTGAGATAAAATGAAATGAGATCAGATTAGAAAATATAAGATGATATGAGATTACATAAAATGAGACGAGATGAGATAAGATGATGTAAAATGATATATGATAAAGGAAAGAGATGAGGTGAGATGAGATTAAATAAGTTTGGGTGGGATGAAGTAACTACGAGACAAAGGGTGAGATGAAATGAGATAGATATGATATGAGGTGAGATAAAATGAAATGAGATCAGATTTTTAAAAAAAAGGTGATTTGAGATGACATGACATGAGATGACACGAGATAAGATAAGATGATAAAAATGAATAAAAGAGATGATGTGAGATGAGATGAGAAGAATTATGACTGGATGGGATGGAGTTACTACATGACAAAGGATGAGATGAGAAAAATATGATAATATGATATGAGGTGAGATAAAATGAAATGAGATCAGATTAGAAAAGATAAGATGATTTGAGATGACATGAGATGAGATAAGATGAGAAGAGTGAATATCACATTATATTAGATCAGATAAGATCAAATGAAATGAGATAAGATCAGATAATTTCCAACAGAAAATTTTTTGTTGTTTAAAAAAAACAGTCATTAATTTTATACAAATGTAAAATACAGTTGAACACTGTTTAAAAAAGTAGACATTTTATTGCATGAAAGGAACTATGGACCATAGATTTGTGTATATTTTATTTAATATGAAATATATAATTGGTGTGAAATGCTCGTGGATAGAAGGATTGAGTTGATGTTGTGTTTATTTGTGTTATAACTGAACTTCTTGGAGCAGGCTTGTTTGAACAGTCCGGCTGGACCAGGAAGGAGGATTGTGGTATCTCTCATTCACACGCTGCAGCTGAAACAGCCTGCCACTGAAGGAACAGACCAGGGAACAAGTCTAATAATAAAAAATCTCACAAAATTTGAGATGTAGAGGAATATTTATTAACACTATCATAAATTAACTTCCTCTTACCAGAATAATCTGAATGTTTTAATGTTTTTCTAATGAGCATGAGGCTGAGACTTCTGTTCTTGGTGTGTTTTGATGACTTGTCATAAATATCTGATAGCTATTTCAGTCCTGGGAACAACCAAGAGATTCGGCCTTTCCTTGAACCAGGCCTTGAGAGTGACTACAAATGTAAGAAGCAGCATTTTACAGAGTGTTCTTGTTGGTTCACAGATAGCTCATAAATACCTGGTGGAGAAGCAGCTCTCTCCAGCAGATAAGAAAGAATTCAAGGAGCAGCTGTACAGGATCTGGTTTGAACTGTACGCCAGGAGAGGATCCAGCAGGTGGGTGGAATATGGCACAGCACAAAATATCACTTCACCAGTGGAATCTGGCACTTTGATGGTAACCGTCCCACTCTGAAAAACTGACTCTGTTTACCACATTCAGTCTCTCTCACTTTGAGTGGAGCATGTCTGAAATGAAATGTAGTCACACACACAAAAAAAGGACATTTCATCCAGGTGACACACAAATTAGTCAGTTTCTCAAATGCAGAGCTGTCAAGCTTACACTGTGATGAGCTGAGATTTGCACAGAACATTAAGCGTGACGGTGAATCAGCAGGTATGATAGCGGTCCAGCGATTGTGTCTCTCTCATTAGGCCAGACTCCTCAGGGTTTGAACATGTGTTTGTTGGAGAGACAAGAGGAAGGCGGACGGTTATCGGCTTTCACAACTGGATCCAGCTCTACCTTCAAGAAAAGTTGGGGCATGTCGACTACAAAGGCTACAGCGTCAATGCAAATTCACCTCAGGTATGGTTTTATTGTTATTCTCGCTTTAAGTTAGACCAAAGTAGGACAAAAATGTTTTTACAGCCCTTCTCTGTCTACGTGATATATCATGTCAAATGAGAAGTTATCATTTATGTGTAATTTCAGTATTTTAGAAAGTTATTTTCATCCTATTTATGACAAAGGAATACATTTTTTCATGAGCCTACATTTAGAGACAAAAACTTGAATTGACTTTGATCACATACACAGTACATAACCACAAAAATCTCCCATCTTGAGTAAACTTGCACTCTTCATCGTTTTGCTCTCATCAAAATTGTCGCACATAGATGAGAAACCTCACACCCTGTTCTGACTAAGTTTGTCTTGCAAACCTTGGCATTTCTCGTGGATTGTAGTCTGTCGGTTGTTTAGAACTTCAAGTGATGGAATTATTCTGTAATTTTCCAGCAGTTTTTGCCTTTCTTAATACTCGTGTTGAGGTATAGGTATTAATTTATTATGCTAAACAGTAGGACACTGCAGGTAAAAAAAGGTCATATACTCACCCTTAATTTTTGCTTTTGTGGCAAAGTTTGAAGTGTAAACCAATTGTACCGCTCTATTTTTCTTTTTTGTCTTTAAAAATAGGCATCATCTTCACATTTTATTTCAGTCCATAATGCAGTTTCTAATGTATAAATGCAACTACATGCTGATATACAAAAGTCTGTGGATTATTAACATAATGGGAACCTAAACAGTCACTCAAAAGTGTGCAACATCTAAGTCAAATTATGACTCAAAAAGTCAGAATTGTGAGTTACTTTGTCTGGATTATGGGGCATAGGATCATTATTTGCGATAAACACATGGTACCTTGTGCTTTAAAGGTACTATAAGGAGTTTTCAAGTGGTAACAAGACCATCAGCAACAAGTGTGATTTTATCTTTGCTGTGATTCTGATGCCTGAAATCGTTGCACGGGGGTAGGTTTATGCCAGATGGTTGATAGCAGGCTGAAAAAAAAAACTTAAAATTTTTTTTTTCAATACCAAAATATTCACTGTGAGCGATCATTTTCAACAGAATGAGGGTTTTGTCTGAAAAATTTACTTTCACATGAGAAATTAGGGATCACTTTGTGCACAGGGGACACCAGAAACCAACACAAACTAAAAGTTCCTCATAGTAGCTTTAATAAAGAAGGTAAGCGCTCACTCGGTGAAGAAAGCCATGCCACCATGCCTTCATACTAATTTTCTCTGCTGTTAAGTTTCATAGCCTACCACATGGCTCTAGGATAGACGTGTACAGATGGACAGCAAAAGCCAGAGCATCACTGGAGCTATCAAGTGGACATCTCCCTTCGCTTCGTGTTCAATTAAGTTAGGCCTTTTAAGAGAGGCTGAACAGTTGTGCTGGTTGTGTATCTGTCATGCCAACTTCCACAGATCCACAAACAGAACTTCATTATATTCCAACACTAAGAAGGCAGAGCCAGACAAAGAAGCCTGTACGGGCCAGAATTCACCCTCACCAGCTTAGTCTGTATGCTCTACTTACCCCCTACCCATCAATTTTTACAATGGCTGAAAAGAGAGGAGAGAAAAATGTCAAAATGGAAACAAAACAAAAAGATGTTGACAAGCAAAGTCAAGATGATGGCCTCAAAAAAACGTACGATAAAAAGTGAATTTTTGTCCGAAATTTTTGTGTCATTTTGGTTATGAATGGCAAAATATTTTAAGAAATAAATGAGATATCTGAAAGACAATATCACAGACAGTTAAAATTGAGAGAAAATACAAGTAAGGTTAATTAATAGAATAAAAGCATCAAAGTTGTGAGATTAAAAAGTCTTCTTGTAACAAAATCTTGATGCTTAAAAACCTAATTTTTTCTTTCCTCATCCTCCACCACTCATTTCCTCTATCATCGTATCTTTCTTTTCTCTCTCTTATGGCAGCCTGATGAGAACAAACACATCCTGGCGCTACAGTTCAGCTGGAAGAACGGTATAAAACCCAAGGGCAGCATCTTCATCGGCGTCAGTCCTGAGTTTGAGTTTGCTCTCTATACCCTCTGTTTCCTCACTTCGCCCAATGAGCGTGTCAAAGTCCAGTTCAGTTTCTATGATGTGGAGATTGTTTGCCACCACTACAACCAGAAGCACATAGGCACCACCTACCCGGTGCTTCTGAAGTACCAGAACCCTGGGAAAGGTGACTAAAAGTCAAGACAGAAGTTGGCCAACTCTTGAGCTTGCATACGAAGTGTCACAGGTATTGTTGTTGCCTTTTAATTTTAGATGAAGATACAATAAAACCTTTTAACACCCAGTTTTACTTGTTTTCATTACACAACACCTAAAATTTGTGTGAGTAGAGTCGTGCATTAAACACTACTGTTGTTCAAATTTTATTGCATAATGTATTTCAGATTTGATCTCCTCTGAAATAAGGGTTGATGTAGAACAAAGATGATGTTTTGGAGTATCTTATCCACTGTGTTACCATTCTTTCAAACCTACATGCCTCCTTTATCATAATTTACAGTACCAGAGTACACTTAAGTTCTGTTTTTGCTTAATGATAAAACATTTTAATTGTTTTAAAATGTAAAAGTAATCGTAGTTGTTCTGTAATGTTTCACTTGGGGGCAGTAAAGGGTTTGTTTTGGCCATTGACGTCAATCGGCTGGATGTTCGTGGCTTTGTTAAGTTAGCTACACTTCAGCAGGAAATGATAGATACAGATTTGAAAGTAAAAGCTTTGAAAGATTTGGGAATCTGACCTGATTTCTTTGGGACATGTTTGTTTTATTTTGATATTATCTTGTTCTATGATGTGTAATAGTTGATTGCATATGTAGTCAAATGAGTTGTCCTAATAATTCCCTGCACGGATATTCTAGCGTAAAATTAATTTAGGGTCAAACACACCGTAACACCAAGTTAGACACCCCCTTGAGAGATGAATGTTGCTGACCACTTGCTTCTCTAGTTATACCAACTTTAGTAACAACCACACGAGACTAAACACAACTCTCTTCCAGCAGCCGTTTGTCAGTAGCGAGACCACAGGCTCGTCCATTACAGACAACAGCGGGGTGCCACAGCTCAAGGAAGAACATTTATGATCATTACTTCATTATTTCCTTGAAGTTATAATCACCATGCAGTCGATAGACTTGCCCGGAGGTCTCCGTACAAACAAACGGCTGCTGGAAGAGAGACAGTGAGTTGTGTTTGGTCTCTTTACTAAAGAAACCAGGCAAAGCTAAAAAGATGTTTGATGGCTAGTATTGTGGCTAGGACCCTGTACTGTTGATGAAGTTAGGTGCTGTTCTGAGCATTATTTGTGGCTATAGAGTGGCTTTTTGGTTAAGCGCTAGCTCTGTGTATTGCTATCCTGTGGCCGTTACTAAAGTTGGTACAACTAGAGAAGCAAGCAGTTGGCAACGTTCATCTCTCGACGGGGTGTCTAACTTGGTGTTATGGTGTAATTGACCCTAACTTAATGTTATGGCGGAATATCCCATTAAATCAGCAGGTAAGCACCACTGACAATTCAGTACCCAAGACCCAGACATACCAACTGCTACATAAAAAAACTTGGTTGTTTGGCCATGCCTTCTTAATAATAATGACCTCATAGCTAAAAACAACAACCCAGAAACAATACCTTGCACAGTTTCTCGTATTTGGCTTTATTTTGAAAGGCCAACCGGAAGTCGCTTATATTGTCCTGACTGTGTTCTAACTTGACTATGGTAGGATCGTCACTGAGCAGTCGAGGGTGAAGCAGCTTTTCATTGTGGCGAGGATTGAGTTTACAGTTTGTACAGTTATATAATTTGTTCTTTCTCGGGTGTTTCGGCGGCGTTAATCTCCTCTGCGGTTGATTACCAGCTCCGTCTCACGTCGGAATGGCCGAGCCGAGCGCCAGATATCAGCAGGTAACGACAAACACCGACCGTTAACGACGAACGAGCGAGAGAGCGAGCACGTTAAAGATTTAACACGAGAGCACGCGACGGGATCATGTCCTAGTTAGCCAGCTAGGCTTTGATAACAGCCACACCTTACCTGAAATGAAACTAATACCTGTCCAGGCTTTTGTCGTGAAATAATATGGAATTTTTTATTGTTTAAGGCTAACCGTGAGCTTACTCGTTAGCACTGTATTGACGTTTATTTGTGTGTCTGTGCGAATGTTAATGTAGTGATGCTGGGACAGCACATGACCGTCAGCGGTGGGTGTGTCGTTGTCATTTTCATCGATTAACCGTAATATAATGAACACCTGGGTAATATTATGCAATCCAATTAGACAGCTTCACCTTAAATGCATCTACTTTTTAATTATTTTGTTGTTGACACGGTAATACAGGTGATAATTGTTCTGTAAACTAATTATTACATTTGGAGGATTGGTGCTGTACTTAAGTGTTTTAGGTTGAAATGTGTGCCTAATATTTTGTCCCTTTTATGTTTGGTAGAGAAGTAGACAAAATATAAGAAAAACCTTTTAATTTAACACAATATAGTAGGGGAGAGTGGGGTAAGTTGAGACACCCCCTGTTGCTTGGAAATGGTTAAAGAAATTGATCATGTGACCAAATACTTAGGAGATATGCATCAATACATGGAGTCTGCGAAGGTTAGACATTTATTTTCATTTTTCACTCTTGCAAAGTGATTTTATTCTGTCACCAGTTTTATTAGAATTATGTTCAGACCAAAAAAGATCATTTTAAATTTGTTTTACACATCAATTGTTGTATCTATGAGCGACAACATGAGGTCAAAAACCTAGAATTAAAGTCCACCATTTTAGCTTAGAGGACTAATACAGTCATAATAGTAGGTCTGGGGTAAGTTGACCATAGGAGACCACTTTGTTTTTGGCATGCTATATTATCAAGACAGTTATGTTTACACTCATTCTGTTGGTTTGCAGGGATGCACAACATCCTGAAATATATGCAGATACACAAATTAGAGACAAAACTATCATTGTCTTGATGTAGTGATCCAAAATATGAAAAATGGCTCATCTTACCCCACTCTCCCCTACATTACCACCAGCCCTCACTTTGCCCCTTATAATAAATTTAAAGAACAATAACTACCAGTCTGATTATATCCAAAATGGAAGATATAGTTAATTTTTTAATAGATTAAAGCTTTTACTTTTGTGAAACTCTTATAAAAAGTCTGAACTCTTCTTTTTTTGGGGATGATCTTGTCCAGGTCGTACAAGTCCCTAACCCTAAATTGGTCTTGGATCAGGACCTGGTTTCTCTTCAACCTGCTGGGCCAACTGTAGATTTTGATTGACTTATTTATCAGTTAGATGATTTTGAAACTAGGGCTGGGCGATAAAAGGGTAACGATATATATCAAAAATTAATTTCCCTCAATATCAATATTAAACATGGTCAATATGCTTTTCAATAGTTGGCATTCTGTAATGTTTTGGTAGACTATTTGAAAAGCCAATGAAAAGGGGAGTTGCTTCACGCTGAATTAGAACCAAATAGCAAACAGCTGCGTAGTAGCAGGCTGCAGCTACACGCAACCATAACATTTTAACACGTGAAGTCGACAGCACTGTTGGTGAGAAAAAAAGACAGGAATTATGGCTCCATGTGGCAAAGCCCTACGTCAAAACGTAGAAGAGACACAAAGACCTCACAGATGCAGTAGTTTATTGTATTACAAAAGACATGCTCCCAATAATCACTGTTTAAATTTCATTTTTTATGTCGTGACATACATCGTAATTAGCTGATATGAAAAAATATATTGTGATAGACTTTCTCCCATATTGCCCAGCCCTAATTGAAACTTTAATATAGGGTGAAAAGTAACTTTGTGATATTTATAGCTGAATGTACTTAGTATCCTCAAGACTTGCTGAGTAATGTAGAAGTATCTGGACGCATTTCCTCTGAAGTTTCTAGAAAGAAATCGCGGGGATTCCCATGTCCCGTGATTTCCCCCTCCAAAAGAAAACCAAAAGTCTTCCTTCTCTGTTTTTAAACGCAATGATAAAATGACTGATTGGTATTCAGCCCTACCTCCTCGTCCTCTGAGAATTTTCTTAGGTTGTAATTCGACAAAGGGACTTTAACCTTGTTAAATGAGTCAAAAGGTAGGAGCCGCTGAGTCAGGGGTTTGTCTGTACTAAAGTGACTCTCCTTCCCAGTCTAGACCTCAAAGCATCTGTCCTCCTCAGCACTGATGTGGTGTGCTGACTATGTTGCCCTTTTTTGGATAAGTCAGCATGTGTTACCTCTTTGTTGATTTTGCCCAGCACATGTGAAATGTTCTAGATTCAAACTTAAAAAAAAAACCCTCATCCCTCTTTCTCTTATCTTTGTGACTTTTTCTGCAGCTTTTTCCAAATTGTCTTATCTGACGCCCACACTGTGGCAGTGAATTCAGACGTAGATGTAACAGTGTAATAAGAGTAAATCACGTTGCTGAGTGTCTTCTTTGTAGAAACAGACTGAAATGAACTCATACTGCTCGAAAACAAACACTTAATGGGAGCTGTAAACAAATAAGGACGTGGTTTTTCTCTCTTTGTTACAGCTGCCAAATGAGGAGGACCCAGAGGAGAGGCCACAGGTGGCAGCTGATGCCCCGCCCCCGTACAGCAGCATCGCAGCAGACAATGCTGGTAAGACTCTGACTCACCCAGATGTTCCTCAGTGCTGAGATCATCTGCAGCATATGTGGCATATGGGGGAGCCATAATTTTGCCGGTTTGCACAGAGAGAACCTGAGTGTGGAAAATAAACAAAAACAGTTCAGGGAAGTCAAGCAGCAAGAAATTCAGTTCCACTTCCAACAATCTCCTCCTATGTATTTACATACGTAAGGAAACTCTTCAGATAGCCTACCACCAAGTTCACAAAGTATTTCACAAAGTAAGATCTGTGGTCTGCACCCGATGCGTTGTCGGCGAGAGAGTATTCTCCCCTGCCTGTGACTGCTCGGTGAAGCAGTCTGACTCCAGCATGCAGATTTTTTCCTCTGCAAAACAATACGGAAATGACAACCGATAACAGCAATCTCTGACAAGTCACAGTACTAAAGCCTTAGTATAGGTAGTTTAGAAATAATAAAAATGATGTATGTCTTGAAATGAAACTTCCACTAAATAGAGAGGCAGCTGGTTTAAATCTTTTGCTTTATATTCAGGTGTATTTCTCATTTTGTATAACCTGAACTGTTTGTTCTTACTATGGTAAAGCTTAAGTTACTCAAGTTCTAGTATAGCTAAAAGTTTAGCAAAGGATAGAAAGAAAGAAAGAAAGCACCTTTCGTGTTAGTTTTGCTTATGTGTATTTACAGTTTTGCATTCATGTCACTTTCAAACAGAGACGCTGCATAAACTCTTGACACAGTTCTCTGTAAGTTTGGGAGTGAGACATTTTGACCTATTTAATCGTACTTTGTGGAGGTTCCTGAAATCCAAAACAGCCAAGTTCAATTTGGGCGTGATGGCTGCCAGCAGTTTTTATTTTAACAGGCTAAAGGCTCATTTATGCTCGTTATACGTATAATAATGTACACGTCTGTTTCAAACGATTGTTCTGTCACTGCCCACATAGTTCCATGCGCCCTTTACGGATGTTAACCATTGCAACCACCAGGGGGCAGGCCAGAGTCAAAAATGGAGACAGAAACGGATGCAGCGTTGGCGGAGGCGTTGGTCAGTCAGGCCACTAAATTCCTCGCGGTTGGAGGACAGAGAATTCTTTTCTCTAGTTGTACTGATGAGAGAAATTGATGACAATCCTCAAAAAGCCCCGCCATTGTCTTTCTCATTTCTCTCAAGAGATTCTTATCGAGTAGTCACAGCAGCAACACTGCCCCCGTGGTTTCTGGTGGTACTGCTCTGTCTGGCCTGTATCTGTAAACTTCAAGGATACATGCAGAAATACAGTTTTCCATCGCATCCGAAACAGCTCCAATCCAGAATGGCAGCGATTTTTGCCGTCCGCCAATTCCTACTAAATCTGTTTGTAAGGCGAATTTCGTAGCGGATCATGGATAGTGGGAATCGTGAGAACTCACAAGATCCGGCATGCTCTGGCGTCCAGAAAAAATAGAACTCTTGTGATCAGCTGCGGAGTCCGGCGATCAGAAAACAGAAAGAAGCCGGTGGAAATTGACACATTAACTTGAATGGTTCCGATCAACTGCGATCGGCGGATACAGCCTTTTCCTAGCCGTTCCGGATGTGGTAGAAACTGGGGGTCAAAGTGAAAGTCTCTGCTGGTGAATGTATGAAGCTTCTCATGCAGGATTCACTCTGTCTAAAAGTGCAGGTTGGCTGTGAATACAGTCAAGTGTGTCTTATTGAAGAACCATGTAAGCTAAAGAGCCCCTGAAACCCACCCTTACCGATTCAAACTGCACTTTAATTTTCATCTCAGAAGGTCACTGAGTTTCTTTTGTCTGTGGGGGTTGGTCGGAAACTCTTGTTCAGATATTTGCTGGGAACGGTTTCCACTTCAAGAGTTTCATGAGCGTCTAAGGAACACATGTTAAAATGTTAACTTCAGTTTTGTAATGCGTTTACCAGTCAGCTACTGTCAAAACAAGCCTTTCCGTCGGGAGCCGTCTTCCTCTGATTTCGAAGATGTTCTCGTTTCTTTTTCAGCCTACTTCGACTACAAGGAAGACGGGGCTTTCCCCAAGCCTCCATCATACAATGTGGCGACCACGCTGCCCTCCTATGATGAAGCAGAAAGGACTAAAGCTGAGACTACTGTTCCCCTGGTAACTGGAAGAGTGAGTGTCTCTCTATATTTCCTTTTATGGCTGCGGTCACATTTAATCACACACACACACACGCTCTGTAGCTGGTGCTCAAACACTTCCTGTATAGTTTGCAAAGAGAGGCTCAGCACCTTCGACATGGAAAGTTTATTTTGGTGTTTCTCAGTACTGAAGCAGTACGCCTACTTTGCATATCTGATGGAGACTTTTGGCTTCCTGTATAAAATGTCGCAGCTGTTTTTCACGGTTTAAGCAAAAGAATTAAAAAGATTCACCTTTAAGAAAAATCACCTCAGAAAAATAGGACTAAAAGACCCCCTCCCTCTAACTAAGCCTCTGTGTACTTAACACCTGGGTTTGTTCTCCTGAATGTGAGTAAATATTGGTGCAGGTTATACTTACCCGAGGTGTAGCTGTCCAAAGAAGTTAGTGAGAGATTGTTTTGTTTTTGTTTTTGCAGGTCAAGTATTTCTACTCCTACCCCAAACAATTCCAGTTTCTCATATGAGCTCATTTGACCCTGATTTAGTTGTTGATTCCAGAAATGTTGGGTTGTAATTTCATCCCTTATTTATCAAGGTAGAGATGAAATTTTCAGTCAATTGAGCATTTGTAATTTAACTGTTCAGGGTTCCTACACAGTTGAGATTTCCATACTCTACTTTTTAGAATTATTTTTGGAAATACCTACTTTTCTATTTTATAAAACAGTATTTTAATAATCAATATTTTTCCATATTTAATTTTTCAGTTTCCAAACTTTTTAAGACCTGGAAATTGATCACATTTATTTCCATACTTGCGCAGGAACCCTGACAGTTTGTCTGAAGTAGAGATGACTTTTCTTCGAAGAACCCTTTTTAACTGAAAGCACATTCAACATCATGTTTTGAGCTTATATACTGTAGTTTCCACAGCTCCACTGGTATGAGGAAAAAATGTGTTCTAGGGCTCGACAGTGCGACCGTTTCGCTCGCATTTGCGACTAAAAATAGAAGTGTGCAAATTGTAAAATGTATTTAGGGGCACATGTGCGCATAAAAAAAAATCAGCCGAGGCAACAAATGTTTTTTCATGAAAATCTGCAGATCTACCGGTGTCTTCTCACTCTCCATAACGGGAATGGCTAAGGCAGCGTGGTTAAATCTGCTCGGCACCCCCACTGTCAACATCGGGTGTTAAATAAGGGATCATCAATAAATTACCGGTTGATGTTCTCAAAAAGGCTGTTTTCCTTCAATAGCTTCCATGTCATGTGACCAATTGTCTTAAAATTGAATTCAAGTAATAGAACTTATGTCGAACGATAAGACACACATCATTAGATCAATTTTCATTGTGCCCCTAAAGTTCTTTGTGTGCTCCTTACTTTTTCAACTTAGAAGCTCCTTGTGAAAAAAGTTAGTGTCAAGCCCTGTGTTCTTATTTGACTAAAAATATACGTATGTGTTTTTTCTTTTCTAGCAGTTGCACTATTTCCTTTTTTCCATAAAGGGTTAAGCAAATCTTGTTCTATGACATGCCATTAACTTGGATTCAATGCCTGAGGGAAAAATGAAACTAGGAACTCAACCTCCCAATGTGCTTACTCTTTGCTTAAACACAGGAGAAGTCTTCTCTGACTCTGTCTGTCTGCCACATCAGGAACCAAACACCCATAAATACAAACCTGACGTGTCTGGAAAAAAACTGCTGTTTCAGTTTGAGGTTCAAAGAAAAGCAGAAATCATCTGTTCGACTGTAAACTGACAGCTCAAGCCTGACCTCTAGTGGTCACTCTCTTGCTTTACTTCTGCATGTGTGGGGCGACCATGTTTGATTTGACTGTTGGTTGTTGTGTTTCTCTGCCACTCATTGCCTCGCGCTCGGCAGCAGCAGCCTCAACACAGGGAGCGCCTGGAGACTTTTGACGATGTAATTCGCAGTTCACTCGAGGTAACTGGGAGGAGTGTGGAGGATTTGTAATTGGTCCTGGTTTGGTGTGTGAACACGGATGTCTCCTGCGTTTTTATGTGTGCAGCACCCAATCTGTGTCATGTGTGTGTGTATTTAGACGAGTCAATAGCTATACTCACACTGACTCTGGAGGTTAAACACAGGAGTTGTTAAGTAGTCTTGTTGTCCTGTGATAGTCACACATGGTCTGTTCTTGTGTAGTTGTGTAGTTGTGTTGTGTTCCTCTCTGTTGTCAGCTTTGTTTTGCTAGCAGTTGCTCACCTGTGCTTCATTATTCTTTTCTTAGTCAACAGTAGTACATCTAAAAAAAACCAAAACAAAATCTAGTGATTTTCATCCAACTGTCCGATTGTCTGACTGTCCGATTGTCTGACTTTTTCCTTGTTTTCTCTGGTCTCGTCTTCCACAGGATGAAGAGTTTGTAACCAGAGATGACTTTGAGGACGCTGATCAGCTGAGGATAGGAAATGACGGCGTTTTCATGCTTACTTTTTTCAGTAAGTTACCCAATCTTATCTAAACAACCTTTTTCTTGTCTCTTCTCAGCCAAGATCTTATCTGAGTGGGATGAAGAAGTGTTTTTTCCTCTTCTGACATGTCTGACATTCTTGTTTCCCTCCCTTCAATCTCTCTCTTAGTGGCATTCCTGTTCAACTGGATCGGCTTCTTCTTGTCCTTCTGTCTGACCACATCGGCAGCCGGCCGCTACGGGGCCATCTCAGGCTTCGGGCTCTCTCTCATCAAATGGATCCTCATAGTCAGGGTGCGTCAAACAAAAAACACTTAAAAAACACATGGAGAAAGACTCATAACATGCGGTCTTGTGTGTGCACAAACAACACTAAATCCTCACTTTGGTAGACTTGTTGATACTGCAGATTTGTGCCGCCTTCCTCCTTTACTCTAATCTAAATGAAAACAGTGCCATAGTTTTTCTAACCAGTCGTTTCTGTTGTTTTGTTGGGTTTTTAGTTTTCCACATACTTCCCTGGTTACTTTGATGGACAGTACTGGCTGTGGTGGGTGTTTCTGGTTTTGGGTAAGTATTTTGAGTTGAAATCAAGAGTATAATAATCAATAATCAGGGATTTTGTTGCTGCAGTATCCTTTTATGTTATAGTCGTGGGTTAATCTCCAGATTATTTTAATGTGTTTACAACTAGGGCTGGTCGATATAGCCTTAAATCAAGAGACCATATGGGACAAGAGACCATAGCCTACCTACACACATCCAAAACCAACTTTTATTTATTTATTTTTTAGACACCGAATATACGGATATGGGCAAAACGATGTTGGTTATTGTTGTAAATTTCGGTATAGGTAAATTTTTGGTTTATCGCCCAGCCCAATCTACAGCCTCCTGTAATTTGCCGACTCCGTTTCTTTTCAGTTTAATTATTTACACGCACACACAAACGTACTCTGTGGCGTTTCCCACCTTGTCTTTATGTCAGATTGTTTTTACATTTCATTAATATTTCATAAATGTAACCTGCTAGGTCACTGACTGTGCTTGGAAATTTCAACTGGACTGAAGAAAAAAGAAACTTAAGTAGGGGTGTCCCCACACGATGTTGATGTCAGATATCGGTCCGATATTGGCAAAAAAACAAATATTGAATTATATCGGCCTGCGTCAATAATCTCAGATATCAGCACTCGGATTCAAACAGTCCATTCCAGACTCCGCTCCAGCAATTCGATGTAGCAGCGCCTGGATTTTTCGTCAAAGTCCGAAAAAGACATTACAACTGCAAAACTTGTCATGCACAAGTTTGTGCCAGTATTGGATCAATATGGGTATCGACCAATACTGAAGGTTACAATATCAGTATCATATCTGAAGTAAAAAAGTTGTATCAGGACACCCCTAAACTTAAGCGGCACTCTGAGGTTTTATCCATGTGTGGGACAGACTGAATATTCGTATGGGAGTCAGTGGTTTAGCCTTGTGCCTTTTAATGTTTTGAATCAATAACCTGACATTTGAGGGAAATGATCTCAGGATGTTCTTGTGATTTAACTTTGAGAACATCCTGGCATTTCATTTCTGCATAATTATGTTGATATATCAAGTAGTTTTTACCTCCTTTGCTAAACTGCCCTCGGGTCAACGTTGGTTTATCTTAAAACCTACCCCTGATATAGAGTATCAATGTTGTTTCAAGAGCTGATTTGTTTCTGTCTCACTCACCTGCCGTCTGTTTTGGTCTTTTGCTCATCAGGATTTTTGCTCTTCCTCCGGGGATTCATCAACTACGCCAGAATCCGCAAGATGGCCGACACTCTGTCCACCCTGCCCCGCACCCGAGTCCTCTTCATCTATTGAGCTCTCTCTAAATCACATAATCGTTTTTTGTCCTTTTTAGGTGAGACGAGAAGTCTGGCTTTATCGAATCAAAAAGGGAGAAAAGAACTGTTTTTCCTCTGCTTGACATGACGGGGACAATGCGTCGCCTCTAGTCCCCTCTCGGTGTAAAATAGTGAGTGCTGAGAAATGTGTAAAATCCTTCAGTTGTTAGTGGTGAACTGTCAAGTGCTATTTTGCATTTTTGAAGTGTGTGATGTTCAAATTAATGCCTTATTTACTGTTTTAATATCTGTCAGTAGCATCAGCATGCACTGTTTTCCTGCTTAGCCACCAGGGGGCAGTCCTGTTTGTATTTTTTTTTCCCCACAGGCTACTATCTGATGAAGTCATTTGTATTGGAGGTGGTTTGCTGCACAGGGGTCAGCGGGTTACTTTGGGATTATGGGTGGATTAACTCAGTGTAAAATAACATATTTGAAGCACCGATTTAATGTGTTTTTTAACCTTTCTGAGGATTACTTTTTGTGCCCTCTGTGAAAGAGTATTTCAAGCAGGTTAGGCAGGACTAGTAAGGGATAAATTCGCTTTTTTTTTTTTGGAAGTTCACGGTCTGAAAAGGTTCGAGGACCACATTTAAAAGAGATTGGGGGCCTACAGTTTCCTGAGAGCATTTTTTTGCCTCTTGTGTTTTATCCGTGCGAACACTGTTATCAAGAAATTGTTTTCTTATATATATATATATAATATATGTCAGCAGAGAGGAGGAGTTGCAGGGGTGTCCAGGGAGGCCAGGAGCAGAGCCACTGCCTCGTCTGGTGACACAGTGTTAGTGGTGGAATGGGCCGGTAGTCTGTCACTGGATCCACGTGCAATGAAAAAAAAAACCTCTGATTGAATGTTTCTGAGGCCCTGCTTTAGTCAGAGGGCACCTGTAGACCCAGAGTTAATCCAGAAACTCATTTATCAGAATTCTATCAGTTTTTCTAGTATTTAAAAAACAGCTTTGCCAGACTGTTTACTGTCATTCATTTGGGATTCTTTTAAAATCAAAGTGCAAACCAGTGAAACTCAAATATTACAGTCACTGTTTCGATTTAACCTACTGAAACTACAGCAGTCATTTCAACCTTTAGACATATGCAAACATTCAATCCATAAAAAGCATTATTTCTGCCTCTCTGGATTATTAGGGCTTGGACATTTTTCAATATGTGATTTTTTTTTTTTCTAATTTCAAAACGCTGAAGTTGGAGATCTGTATCAATAAATTCTATGTCAGTGGATAATAAATTGCGTGAGACTCTGCTGCTTTATGTTTTGACCTCAGCCTCACCTTGATGGTTTTTATGGGATCTAAATATAACCTCTTTGGAGTGTCTTCGGAAAGGTGGAGATCCGCAGAGAGGAGGAAGCCTTTGCTGACCACGATGTACAGCGCCTGACATGAGAAGGTGCTTTTAGCCATGCTAAATTTAAAACCATGGGCGTGTGTGTGTGTGTGTGTGTGTGTGTGTGTGTGAGCAGGACTCGGGATGATTTACTGCTGGTGGCTAATTATACATGTCAGGGATGTTTTTTCTTGCAGTTGGAACAGGAAGTGAAGGTCACCCCACCTGGAAGACACCAACTGAACAGTGTTTGGTTTCACTGGAAACTTTTACAGTCCTTCAGTGTCAACTCACCACCTTGCCTTGTTACTCCACCCCACTATGGCAGGATACAGGCCTCTTGTGGTAGCTCAGTTGATATTAGCTCCGTACAGGTCATATTTCTTGGGACACAAGGGGAATGTCACTCCTAATTCACTTAAACGGTTATTTTACAACCTATGATTCAACTACTCCCAAAAGCAGAAACACAGAGGACCAAAATCCAGATTTTCATGTTAGCTCAAATCCAGGCTAAAGGTGCGTTAAGCCTTTATGGTGCTATAAAGTGGAAGTGGTCAGCAATCCTTAAGAGACCTTTTTATACAAGTTGAATTGTTGTTAAGTGAGACCCGATGATGGAAAGTTCCAGATTCGACACGAGTAAAAGGAATCCGTTAAATATATGTTGACATTTTAACAAATGTTTCCTCCATTGTTTACCTCGGACTTGCCGCGCCAGTGCTGCTTTTAGTAAATCAGATTTCCTGAAGTCATTTGGTCTGTTGCATTGTGCACTTTAGAAAAATAGAAACAGCTGTTGGTCAGAGACGACAGATGTTCAGTAGCTCTGGGCTGAACTCAGAACTTTTAACCAGCTCAAGGAGTTCATTACTTGTAAATTTAAGGATATTTTTTGTCCACCTTTAATTTATAAAGTAGAAACCAGAGGAAAGTTCATACGATTAACCATGAACAAGCCTGCCTGCCTGCCACTTCAGTACCAAAAACGTTCAGATGAGTCTACTGATCGGTGTTATTGCTGTAAATCCTTGCAAAGCACATAACTCGATTCTTCATTTTGTACTTGAATCCCTTCGTAACGCCGCCCCTCCTCTGCTCAGGCGGGGTCACCCAGTGCAGGTGTTCTTGTTATCCAGATGTCATTCATAAAAATGACTCCATTGTGCCAAGAGCTGTCTGTGTCTTGTCAGCTGCCCTCGATTTACAGAGACGGAAGTATTTCTTGGGGTAATTGATGGGAATTATGTGTGCTAGCCAAGTGCTTGCACTGCTTGAATGTTTTAGCTATCAAAAGATAAGAGGGGACTTTTTGATTTACAAAACCTGGGAGTGAGCCATCTTCCCACAAAAGACGTGCTTTACTTTTCTGGCCTCTGTAAAGCATTTTGTGCAAAGAAAATCTGCCTTTGTAACACTGATTAAGACTTGAAATGTGACAAAAAAATGCACACTACCTAACTTAAAACTGCTTATTTTGAGCAGCTCAAAAGTAAGAATGGTCCCCTCCTTTATGCAGAAAATTTGAGCTTTTTGTGACTTTGGTGATCTCTATATCGTTCCATAAATTTTGCATCAAAACTTCCTACACTATCTGCCTTTTTACAGCAGGCCGGCCTTATCAATGCCTGATCCTCCCCAGCTCAAACCCTCTGCTTGCAGTACTTTTAAAAATTGATTAAAAAAAAAAGATAAAAATTCTTAAAATAAAGACAATTATAACATGAACATGTAAAGAAATCAATGTAGCTTATATATTTATTGGTAAAACTAACTTTTTATGCCATGAAATTTAGGTGTTTACAGCCATGATATCTGAACAGGCAACCTGTGAGTTTGGTTGGTATGGTTGTCCCATTGCAAGTCTGAGCAGGTATCACGCAACACCAACAAACAAGACCTTTTCCCACTAAATTTGAGGTCTTTCAGCAGTTTTAAACATACCTTACACAGTTTTCTGTAAAGTTTAAAGTCCATTTGGAGTTATTGTTCGGTTAAGTACAGACTGCATTACTTTTGTTTTGCCAAGAAATGAGGAAAATGGATGACTGACTAAGAGGACTAAAAAAAGAGGACTGTTTAAAGATATGTGGAGGCTCACCTTGTGGTAACATCATGCACCTACTTTGATAAGGAGAAGGACTGGCTGACCAAGCTGCATTAAAACTGTAAGTAAGCTCAGTGAGTGATAAATAATGTGTTTTTAACTGTTGTGGTTAGCCTCAGGCTAATGTTAGCTGCAGCTATCTTCTGGAACCGGAAGTGTTCAAACCAAACCGCGCTCCAGTTAAGGGATTTTCTAAGTCCACATTTGCTCTCAGTAAAACTTTGGTTTTGGTTCTAGTCGGTGTTTGCTGTGTTTTTGATTGTTTTTTATGCATTTTATGCTGGTATTGCGCGACACAGAAGTCACGTGAGTTGTAGGCTACCGTTGACGGTTAGGTCGAGGTAGTAGAATTGTGACGTTAGTGAACGAGTCGCTCGTTTGAACGGCTCTTTTGAATGAACGATGGGAACCGATTCACAGTGGTGAGCCGGGCCCAAACGCCAGGTAGAGTTGTACAAGTTTGTATTCAGATTTTTATCATGTCTTAATTTTTATCAGTTAAGAGTTATCTCTAGCCTGTGTAGTTTCTTTCCTACCACAAACCTTTTTCTAAAAATCAAATCAATATAACAATGAGCCAGTCTTTTGACATCTCTTTGAAAGGAACAGCTCCCATCAAAGAGACATAAATCGTGTGTGACTTTAGTGAACGGGACAGTCATTTGAACGGCTCTTGTAAGTGCTAAGTGGCGAGCCGTTCGTTTGCGAGCTGTTCTCTTGTGCAAATTGCCTATGCTGCCTCCATGTGTCAGGTAGAGCTGTACAACTTTCTATTTGCATTTTTATCATGTCTTAATTTTTATCAGTTAAAAGTTATCTCTAGCCTGCATCGTTTTGATTGTACCACAAATCATTTTGGGTGAGGTAAAAATTCAAAATAGTGATCTCACTGTTAAAGCATGGGGATATGGCACCACCTTATGGAATATTAACAATATTTCAAAATAATTCTCATATGTGTACCCCTGGTTGACTTCTAAAAATGAAATCAATATAACAACGAGGCAGTCTTTTGAACGGCTCTTTAAAAGGAACAACTCCCATCAAAGAGCCATAAACCCCATCTCTACTAGTTTCTCTTAATTACTGAATTTATCAAGGGCAGGCCATCAGCTGCATGACAGTCAGTCAAAAAACTCGAAAAAAAGATCTTACCAAGCAGAAAAGTCTAATTTCCAGTCACTTACAGTCAATTTATGTTCATTATGTTTGGATTCATCTAACAAGCCTTCATGCACAGCCAGCCATGACTGCTGCAGTGCGAAGGAACATCTACAAGAAATGTTCGGCGCTGATTTGTTTATTTGCAGCTTCAGTAAAATGCCTCTGAAATACGTGTACAGTGCTAGAGTGGATTATTTTTGTACTCTTTCTACATCTGATATTCATTAATGTCATGTTGTTGTGTTTGAAAATTGCCATAAAACTATTCAGCTATGCATTAGCTTTCCATTCATTATGTTGCTCTTACTGAATACATAGAATTAGTAGAATAAGAAACATACATTTTTAATCAATAGTACATTTGAACAGCATTAAACGGTATTAAAAATAGACCGAACATGCTGAGATACATGAAAACAAATCATGGACATTGACCTTGTTAAGAGGAAAACAATACAGCAGCTTATATGAAGACGTACTTGGCAAGATTAGGTTGTAGAGCTTGAAATAGTTCCAAAAAGCACTGTTTACTACTAATGGAGCTAAAGCACGAGAGTTTTTCTTAGAAAGGCAGATGGAAAAAATCACTTGTAACATGCTTATCCTCCCTGGTAACATGGAGATGGGGAAAATTCAGCTTTAAAAAGATCCTCTATTCTGCTAACGACATGGTGTTTCTGGGAAATGTGGTTTGACTCAACAGGGAGAATTTAGAGGCGGAGGGTCATCCACATCAGGCGAGGCCAAGATATGAAAATTTATGTGACCCGGAAGAGATGAGCGCTGTAAAGAGAAGTTTGGACGCCTTGGGTCCAATGCAGGGATACGACTTAAATTTTGTATTTTTTCTTTATTATTATAATTTAAAGTATGAATGTCATCCCGGAGAAATCCCATCCCAAGAGCCTCCTCCTGTCAGTTTCCGATGGGAGGTTTCCCAGGATGTGGGAAGGATGTGGGTTGTATCCAAAGGATACATCCTTCTCCGTCTTTGCATGTGTGTGTTTGGTGTGTGTGGTGTGTGATTGGGGCTGGGTGAGGGGTGTTATCGTTGATGTGTGAGTCATCCTGACCCTCCCCTTCTCTTGCTGCACTTTATGTGGCGTACGCATTTACGAGTGTGTGTGTGTGTGGATGTTCATGTGCTTGTTTTTATGTTGTGCGGACACCTTTAACACTTCTGAACAGGTGTGGACATTCATGTGCGCTGTGTTTTTCACATGTTTGTCTCTTCTTAACGAACGGCGTGAGCATCTTTTTGGTATCGTGTGTGCTTGTGTGAGAGGGAGAGAGGTTGGTAAAGCAGTGGTGAGTCATCCACAGGCCAGCGTTGCCTGTTACCATGGGTCAAACACAGCAGGTTCCCCACCTCTCCATGTGCTCCTTATTTTTTTTTTTTTTTACCTGCCACTCTTCCTTATCTTCTTCCTCCTCCTCCTCCTCCTCTTCTTTTTTTCCCTCTCTGACTCACTGATGACTCTCCCACCACCACCAGTGACATCACTAGCCCCCTCCCTAACACTTTGTTGTGGTGAATCATACTGTATGTGGAGATTTTCTCCCGTCTTCAGCCAACCAGCAATGCCAACCTGAATGTCAGCCGTTCATTCATAAAAAATCAGACTACAGTCACTGATGCGTTTA